AAGCGACGACTCAACAAAAATCCTCGAAAGCTACATCTTTGGTATTCTTTGACTTGCCGTCGCGCCGCTTAGGCTTCAAATTGGTCTAGGTATGTTGCACTTCAACGAGGCCGTGAAACGCTGCACGCCAACGTCGCGCAATCTTCACTCTTCCCTCCCTTGTCCCATCCCAGCTCCCTTCGCTGCTCAACGAGGCAAACCAGCGTCTGCGACTCAGGTCACTGCGTCCCATGTCACTGGTAGTGTCTCCCGTGCTCGCCTGTTATGGCACACATTCGCTTTTCACCCTTTGTTCTTTTGTTCTTCTGACCGCCGACTCAAAGCCTTGCGCAACACAACCTCCTTCTGCATCGTGACTAATTCGTGCCAACAGTCTTTTGCGTCGACAGTTTCTCAAAGTTGACCCCGGTGGCCGGTCTAGCCCCGCATAGTATCTTTGACTTCAATTGCATAATCGATTCCCCGTGGCGCGAACATCATCATGGCGGTAGAAACCAAGTACTATGACGTCCTCGGCGTATGTTATCGACTCTGTCTGTGCTGTGCAGCACCATACTGACACGAGAAACAGGTCTCCCCACAGGCTACTGACGCCGAGCTGAAGAAGGCATATAAAATCGGTGCTCTCAAGTTCCATCCCGGTATGCTCAGAGCGCCCTACCCGAACATATATGCATCAACGAAACTTACAAACGCGCAGACAAGAACGCCAACAACCCCGCTGCTGAGGAAAAGTTCAAGGAAATTTCCCACGCTTACGAAATTCTTTCCGACAGCCGTAAGCGCGAGACTTACGATCAGTATGGCGAAGCTGGCCTTGAAGGCGGCGCGGGCGGTGGCGAAGGCTTGAATGCGGAGGACCTCTTTGCTCAACTTTTCGGCTTTAGGAGCAGCAATGGCAACAGAGGTGTCCGCAAGGCCCCTACCATTACCCACAAGCACATGGTCTCTTTGGAGGACATTTACCGCGGCAAGATCTCTAAACTCGCTCTTCAACGCTCCATCATCTGCCCCAAGTGCGACGGTCGCGGCGGCAAGGAGGGCGCCTCCAAGACATGCGCAGGCTGTCACGGCAACGGTAGAAGGCAGGTAGAGCGCAACCTAGGTTTCAGGGTTCAAATCTTCGAGATCGAGTGCCCTGACTGTGAAGGAGAGGGGCAATCCATCAGGGACAAGGATCGTTGCAAGCAGTGCCATGGCAAGAAGACCATTGTCGACCGCAAGGTCTTGCATGTTCACGTCGACAAGGGTGTTCAGCATGGCACTCGTGTCGAATTTCGCGGCGACGGCGACCAAACGCCCGGCGTTCAGGCCGGTGACGTCGTTTTCGAAATTCTAGAAAAGGACCACGCTCGCTTCAAGCGCATAGGAGACGATCTTGTTTATAAGTGCAAGATCGATCTTGTCACTGCCCTCGCCGGCGGCACCATCTACATTGAGCACCTGGACGATCGCTGGCTGAGCGTCGATATCCTTCCGGGCGAGGCTATCACTACAGGTATATATCTTCCACAACCGAACGAATAAGAATTCGAGCTAACTCGCGAAAGCTTCTATGAAAGTCATACCCGGCCAGGGTATGCCCTCTTATCGCCATCACGACTTCGGCAACTTGTACATCGATTTCGAAGTCATAATGCCCGAGAAGAACTGGACTCAAGACCCCAATGCCTTTGAGGCTCTCCGCAAAGCTCTGCCTTCACCAGCCGTGCAGAACATTCCTCCAGCCGAGTCTATGACCGAGCCAAATGATTTCGAAGACGTCTCGAACGATTTGAGGACTGGGATCGTAAAGGCTCTTGCACAGCAATATCAACTGAGGGAAGAGGAGAAGCAGCGTTCAGCGCAACGCGGCCGCCATCCGGCTGGATTTGGTGGTGCCGAGAACGTTCAGTGTTCCTCGCAGTAAAGCGCATCTGCTTCTTTTTTTTTTCCAACCCAGGCCGGTCGCATCTATCGCGGCGAGAACAGTCCCCAGCTTCGGTAGGCTCAGACCATTTTCGCAATGAATGGTAAGCGACGTCAATTTACTGCATGAATGCATCAGGGACCGGGGGCACCTCAAACGCATGCTGCCCGATTTTTTCTTTGCTGCGAGTGTTGCGCTGTTGGCGAGCGCATTTTGCTTTTCATGATGCTTCCTATTACGGGGCAGGTAGCCATCAAGCCAGAGACGGTAGACGACGACGAGCATCCAGAAAGGAGCGACAAAAGAAATGGCCAGATTGCTGGTCTGCATTCGCTTCTTACCAATGGATGGTTCATGAGAGTAATGAAGAGGGGATTGACGTGTATCTGGCGTTCTGTTATAGAGAAGATTAGATTATTTCCTAAACACATTCAGCTTGTTGCACGAATTAGACCATGACTGTGATTATCACTGCTCGGGTTTTGTCTTTGTCTTGTCGCCAACAACGCCGTGGTTCACGTGCTGGAGTCTTCTCTACGGTCGAAGACGTAAGCAGTTGAAGAATGCGGACATCAAATCCTGATTGCGGCGCTGGGGTATCATAGTGTTTCATCTTTATTCTTCAGCAGCGTCTCCTTGTTGGCTTCCCTCGCGTTCTTCTGGTCCGCTCGCCTGCTGTTTGCGCAAATGCTCCACCGTGTAGAACAACGTGTGCACCTCTGCCTCGGTGACATCCTGCTCCTGCTCCTTGATCTCTTGCGGGTCGTCGCGGACAGGCGCAATGGTGTCGACGGCAAGGCGGCCATGGTCGTCAGTCATGAGCTGGATGAGGTGCAGGCTCTGCGCAGCGGTCTCGGATCCTTCAGGGATGTGCAGCGCCACGGCAAGGCTTGCAGTGCTGCTGGTTGTACTAGTGGTGATGTCGAGAGGATTTCCGGGGAGTTGGATGATGCTTGGTTTGGTCAAGGTGTTGTCGGCGAGGAGCTGCCACGTGAAGATGGCGGAGATGCTGCGAGGGCAAATGTACGTCAGTCACAGTGACACGGGAGAGGGGAATAAGCGCGGAGCTTTTTCGCGATTTGCAAACTTACCCTTCGCAGATTGCGACGACGTGCGTCTGCGTGCCGGATTCAGAAAGATAATCGAGAGCGAGAAGCCTCGACACGGCCACCTTTGCTGCTTGCGGCGATACTTGCTGAGCCGGCGTCAGGATGCTCGTCCTCGACAGGAGCGCGCCGTTGACCCAGTCCCAGACGAGCAGGTCCTCGTCGCCGCCGCCCGAGACGAGCAGCTCTCGGCGCGCCGACGGGATCGCCATGGCGCCGACAAACTCGCCGTGGCCGAGGCAGTATCCGTGGATGACGTGCGCCTGCGGCATGTACCGCGACACGCGAATGTGCTCGTCGCGGTCGCCTGTGATGATGTACCGGCGACCCTGGGCGTCCTCGCCCAGGACGAGGGCCGTCAGCATGGAGACGTGGCCCAGCAGCAGCGTGTGCGCAAAGTCGGGGCTCGCGGCGGCCTTGGCGCCCGAGGACGGGCCGTTGGTCGGGTTCTCAATCTCGCGCTGCTGCGCGGCCAGCGCGGCGCGGTTGCCCTTGGAGTGCACGGTCAGGACCGTGGCGGCGGGCTTTGTCCGGGGCTTTTTGGCAACGGAGGAAGCGGGCGCCTGCTGCTGTGGCGGCGTGTAGGCCTCGGAGCTCTTGATGAGTGGTATGGCGTAGACGTCCCCAAACTTGTCGGCCACGATGATCTGATCATCGTGGGACACCGCAATGGATGAGGGCCGCTTAGGCATGACTCTGGATACGGATTTTAGTTTTCGTTAAATCAAAGGGCTGGAGAAGTTTTTTGTTTCCATGGAGTTCCCAAAAGGCCTACCTACCTCTTGCTAAGCTGTGTGAGCTGGCCACTGCCATTGTGTGCAAAGACCCAAACCGCCTTGTCATGGGCTGACACGGCGACGAGGTGGCTTCCATCAGCAGTGGTGGTCAATTGAATAATGACGGGACGATCAGGCACAGGAATGGGCTTGGGCTTCCGGTGTTCCTTGCCCCGGGTTCTTTTGCCGCCTGCCTCGTCCTCATCGTCCATGTTCTTTGGCGCGTCGTCTTCGGCCACTTTTTGACGCTTCGACGGGGGCTGCTCGGCCTCGTCCACCATGTCAGAGCCTCCTACACGCTCCGCCTCATTTTCAACCGTCGTAGGAGCCTCGGAGCCTGCGGCTGTACAAGTCTCGAGCTCCGGGTGCTTCCATGTTGCAACGTGAGCGCCGTCGTTGAGGCTGAATGTGTGTATCTTGCCGCCACGAGCTCCAAAGAGTATACCACCGCGAGCGTGGAGGCAGTTGTAAGGAATCTTCATTTGTTTTTTTGAGTTTGCTATGCTAGCCTGTCAGGGGCGGAGAATTTCTTCTTCTTTTTTTCCGCGTCGCGACGAGATGCAATGAGCGCGTTAATCTTTCATATGAGAAGCCAGGCCGAAACCGAAGATTGCTTTTCTTGAAGGAAAAAAAGGTACATTAGCAATGTATCTTTTTCTCGTTGGAACGGTACGTACCGACCTGTTCGACTTTATTCTTACTTGCCACTAATCTAAAAATGGACACTAGCTCAGAATTTCCTTGAAAAGCCCTAGAAAGGAAAACACGAGTGGGGCGTCCACACATTTCTCGCTAACGAAGCGGTATTCGTTGGCGCAAAAATTATGACGGCGAGAAGAAAACTATTGTGTGGGCTTAACGTGACAGCAGGCGGCTCTTTTCCTGCACAACGTCCGACGACAACCATCACCATCACCTAACCACTCATTTCAGTTCCTTTTTTGCCCTTAAACAACCTGCCTTACACAATAAGAAGTCATGGGGGGCAAAACCGCAAACAAGGCCGGCTACTTCGACAAGCTCAAGGGCTTGCTCGAGGAGTACAAGTCCATCTTCATCGTCGAGATTGACAATGTCACGTCTCAGCAGATGCACGAGATCCGCCACTCCCTCCGCGGCAAGGGTGTTGTGCTGATGGGCAAGAACACCATGGTATGGGCTCAATTCGTTCCAATGCGTGCTGCGTGCGAAAAGTCGTGGCGCGTGCGCAAGTCGTTGGTGTGTTTCCTGCTAACATTTCTTGAAATAGGTTCGTCGTGCCCTCAAGGGTTTCATCAACGACACCCCCGAGTACGAGCGTCTCCTGCCCTATGTCAAGGGCAACGTCGGTTTCGTCTTCACCAACGACGACCTCAAGGAGATCCGCGACATTGTTCTCTCCAACCGCGTCGCCGCGCCCGCCCGCGCCGGTGCCCTCGCCCCCATTGACGTCTGGGTGCCCGCCGGCAACACCGGCATGGAGCCCGGCAAGACGTCCTTCTTCCAGGCCCTCAACGTGCCCACCAAGATTGCTCGTGGTACCATTGAAATCACGACCGATCTCAAGCTTGTCGAAAAGGGCCTCAAGGTCGGCCCCTCCGAGGCCACCCTGCTCAACATGCTCAACATCTCGCCCTTCACCTTCGGTATGGGCATCGCGCAGGTCTACGACCAGGGCCAGTGCTTCGATGCCAGCGTGCTCGACGTCGGCGAGGAGCAGCTTCTCAAGACCCTGACCAGCTGCATCACCTCCATTGCCTCCATCTCCCTCGCCATCAACTTCCCCACCCTCCCCTCGGTCATGCACTCCGTCGTCAACGCGTACAAGAATCTCATCTCTGTCGCCATTGAGACCGAGATCTCTTGGCCCGAGATCGACGAGCTCAAGGACCGCATCGCCAACCCCGACGCGTACGCCTCTGCTGCTCCCGCTGCCGCCACTACCGGCGCCGCCGCCGAAGCCCCCAAGGAGGCTGCCAAGGAGGAGTCTGAGGCTGAGGATTCCGACGCCGATTTCGGTGGTCTCTTGTTCGTGTACCAGCAGCTTTTGATTGTGAATTTGTGGCTAATCTGTTTTGCAGTGACTAAATGCTGTCTTTTGACCTCGGCGAACGACAGACTCGGGATTTTCGGTTGGGATCGCATCAGGAAGATTAATGGTATCGAGGCCACATGTCACCGGCAGCTGTATAATTTGCTGTCGACACGATGATATGATGACACGAAACAAAATATAATCGAAACTGCGAGGCCAGTTTCCTCGAGAGGATTTATCCCATGTCGCCTATTGCTCCGAGTGCATGTTGAAGCCTTTCGGATAAATTGGCTACCTATCACTCTACAAAAGGTCAGTTTATATCTCCTTTTGCACTTTGGTTCTTAAAATTCTCGGAAAGATTATGAAAACGTTCAAGAGCTTTTTAACCCTGAATCTTCTTGATGACTCACACATCACCACCCTATGACCGATTACCCACGCGCACCCTTTTTCTCAATCATACCGTTTACATGACAGAGGGTATCATTGCTAACCAGGAAAAGATGTTATAGTACATACCAGACGCCATTGCGTCGCCAAATTCCATCCCCATTTTAAACAAGTACACTGCGTAGGCCCACCTCAATGTGCATCCATGTTCTTTAAAACTTGTTCTGCTGTTCGTAGCGCCGTCTCCGGCATCCCAGCTCGTCTGGCGACTTTGAGCGCATGACTCTTGTGGTTGATTCCCCTTTGCAACTTGTGAACGTAGACAAAGCCGCCGTCTGCGTCCTCCTCGATGTCTGTACAATACAGCTGCACCGCGCCGTGGTTAGGGTCGCAGAGTCCGTCAGCTGCTGCGAGATCCGCGACGGAGTGAAAGTGTGTTGCAAAGAGCGTGCGACACTGATTGACTGCGATGAGATGGTGCAGGCAAGCGTACGACACAGCCGTGCCGTCCTCTGGTGTGGTGCCCCTGCCGATCTCGTCCATGATGACAAAGGACCTGGGCGTCGCATGTTTCAAGATGTGCGCCGTCTCGAGCATCTCGACCATGAATGTGCTCTGGTCGCGGTACAAGTTGTCTGCAGAGCCGACGCGGCTGAAGATGGCGTCGACGATGCCGAGCTCGGCGTACGATGCCGGCACATAGCATCCAATCTGCGCCAGGATGGTGATGAGCGCATTCTGGCGCAAAAACGTGCTTTTACCAGCCATGTTTGGTCCGGTGATGAGCCAGAGAGAGCCGGCGGAGGGATTGCCGACCAAACAGTCGTTCTCAACGAAGCTCCGGCCCTGCTCCACCAGTCCGCCCTCGACGGTGGGATGCCTGCCGCCAATAATGGTGTGTGCTGTGGAATTGTTGAGGATGGGACGCAGCAGATTCTGCTCGACGGCCAGCCGGGCAAAGGACGTGGTAATGTCAAGCTCGTCAAGGACGGCTGCGTTGCGGCGCAGCTTGACGAGGTTGATGACGACGTGCTCTCTGAGCGACTGGAAGACGCGCTGCTCCTCGCGCCGGATCTGAAAGCGCGTCTGGTCGAGACGTTGGCCGAGGGCCGTCCATTCAGCCAGGTGAAAGGAGCGCGTCGAGCGACTAGAAGATAAGGCGTGAATGTCGGTGAGGTTTTTTGCATCTTTACCCTTGATGTGGGCAATGTGGCCCAGACCAGGTGTCCATTTCAGAGTGAGGCTTGGTGCGCCAAGACGCTCACGAAGAGTATCGCCGAGACATTCGCGTTCTTCCAAAAGCGAAGCCAGCTGCCCATGTAGTCTGCTCAAGGTCGGGCTTGCTTCCGGCTTCATTATCCATGCATCGTTGTCTTCGGCGTAGTATTCCTTGATGGTCGTTGGTCGCTTCTTCTTACCTTTTGGCAATGACGAGGCGTCTTCGGCGGACCCCTCTGCGGCCACGATGCCTTCTGCGAGGGCCATGAGTTGACTCGCTTCTGATTCTGCGGCCTCGTGTTGCAGCACAATGCCGTCCTCGTCGATGGCCTCTGTGATGCGATGGGCCAGTATCAGAGGCTCCTGAAGATCCATGCGCTTTGTGAGAGTCGCCAGACACTGCGAAGATGGCTCCGCGACTTCTTTCTGGAGAAGACGAACAATATCTGCAGTGGCTTGAATAGTGTTTGCCAAACCCATGAGATCGTCCGCGTCCCCCCTCCCGAGCGCAAACTTTTGCACTAGCCGCTGCGAATCGTGACTACGTCGGAGTAGTGTCACGATGAGGTCGCAAAGATCAGGCGATGCAACAAAGCGGGCAACCAAGTCTTGTCGGGAAGTGATTACGTCTGTAGAAGTGGACGGCGCGCTGAGCCATTCGTTGAGCAATCGTGAGCCACTCTTGGTGACAGTCCGACGAATGGCGTGCAGGAGGCTGCCGCGAAAGAAGCCGTCGCGGGTTGTTTGCTTGATTTCCAGAGCGCGCAAGCTGTTTTTATCGATCGTCATGATTTGCATGTTCTCATGGCGCAGGGGAGGCTGTAATTTCATGCTCATGCCCCGTAGCCTGTCTTTGACATAATTGAGGACCAAGTGTCCGGCGCTGACCTCGTCTGGGGTGAAATTTTCGCGAGTTGCCTGGGGAATGTCGGATTCGAGCATATCACTCCAGTCTGTGATGTTACTTAAGTCGCCCGGAGAAGAATAGGTAATGAGATGTCTGTCCTCGGCGAGGATTGCGAAAATGTCGTGCTCCCTTTGCGACTCGAGGCCCTCGTCCAGGACAATCTCCCTGGGAGCAATTCTAGATAAGACTGAGCCGAGCGACGATAGCTCAGTCTGCTGTGTAAAGAAGTGTCCGGTGGAGAGATCCAACCATGCCAAGCCAAGGGAGACACTGTCATCAGGTGCAGCACCAACTTGGTTGGACACATGGACAGCCATGACGTAGTTATTGACGTGGGGGTCGATGAAATTTTCGTCGATGAGAGTGCCAGGCGTAATGATGCGAGCAACTCTTCTATCGTGCAAGAGACCTCCTGATTTGATCTTTTCTTCCGCATTGTTGGGGAATTCCTCGGCCACAGCCACGTACTTGTTTAGGTCTTGGACAAGAATCTTGAGGTAGCGGTCCAGCTGGAAAAAGGGGAAACCAGCCTGCGGCTTGTCAGTTGTCGTGTTTGACGCTGAAAAGTTGGGAGAGGAAGAGGAAAATTACCATGGAGACTGGACCGGCACTCGTTTTTTTGCTAGCCAGCTTCAGATTGAGCAACGGCGCATACTCATCGGCATGTTCAAAGTACAGCTCGTAGAAGCCACCCACACGAGTCAAGAGCACGCAATTATCAAATTTGTCCATGCTACGCCGTGCCTGCAGCACCACGGTAGGGTATGCCGGCACATTCTTGTCTTCCTCTGCAGGTACAGGATCCGACTGTACAGGGCCCTGAGGCAGGTCGGACAGCTGCATCGTCGTCGTGGTCTTTTTGCCCCTGACGTGCGTCACGACGGGACTGGCGGGCGACCAGCAGCATGATGATTTAACGCAGGCTGGGGATCTGCGTGCTGTTATCCATGATCGACAACTTGACAGAGTCCGAATCGCATGGCTACTACGTCTGCGGAACATGAAATCGATGATACGCGTCGAGGTCCCCGTGTGATGTTGCTGGCGAGTTTTTCGGTGGTGTGTGGTAGCCAAGACCCGCTGAAGCGATATTTTGGTGGGAGGTTTGGGGCCGTTGCCACCGTTGGAGAGGTAAATGTTAAATATCCCAGCGGTTATTTTGTAGTGTCAATATTGATTTGAAGTCGAGGTCAGTCCTTGGAGAAGTTGCTGGGGAAATCCTCAGGGAGATTCTTTCGGGAGACAGCTATTCATAATGACTTGGACCTGGTAGAATTAACGACTGTGGTCAATGAATTAACGCTCTGCGTGAGGGTTACAGATTGATCAACAAATGTGCAGTTAACTGTAGATCCGTGAGTATCAAAGGAAAAAGCTCAATTCACTTTGCGAATACTTGACAATGCGGTAGGAGTGCGATGTGATGTCACGTTCTAAATAGTAGAGCAACATGCCTGTGTAGAACCGCTGCATGGCGCAATAGCCACAATCTACGTAGCTTTCTTTGTAGCCTGCGCAAACCAGAGTACCAATACCAAGCCCAATAATAAGAATGCGACAAGTAATTATGCAGTGTTTAGTTCCTGCCCGCGAATAGCGAAACGTGCAATAAAGGTAGGTAGCACGGTAACTGGTAGGCCCGCCTGCCGCGATGAAAGTGAATTACAGAGGTGCCATTTCAAGACGGAGGAGAAGGCGGTTACGTTTTAGACAAAGCACCATCTCCTCACCAATATTTTTCTGTTATTCCTCTTTATTCGTCTTCTTTTTCTTCTTTGCCATTGCTCTGTCATGGTCATGCTGCCGTTCATCAACGCTGCGTGGCACTGATTGATGACTTGTATCCCTACCCGCTACCCTAGCTCGACGGCCACGACTTGGATCGACGGCCGCATATTGCTACCCTTGGACGTTCTTCAATAGCCTCTCTTGATCAAAATGACGGCTATCGATATGCTTGAACGGATTGCGAAAAGGTATGTCGAACAAGAATTCATTGTCCCAAATCCCGAGCCGTTACCTCCCCGATCCTGGCCCCAGACTAGCAATGCAGAACGCCACTGTTCGGGTACCGGAACAGATAGTTTTGGGGCGCTACCGCAGCCACCGGAGCTACAGTCGTGCGCCGACAGAGCAAGCCACGCAACCATGTCTAGCAACTGCGAGAGAGAAGTCTCTCTTTCGCCTGCAAGTCCCGACGGTTTAAGTCCCAGCAGGGACAAGGCAAAGCTGAAGCCATCTTTGATGTACCTGGCTCCCGCTCACTGGTCCCCCACTCAACTACCAGCCGTGCCACTATTACAAATTTACAACCCAGGGCCTCGTTATATGGAGCAAAAATACCACAAAATCACGACGTATCCTCTTTTATTGCTGCTCGCAATTATTACCTTCCAGAAATGAAACAATCAGTTCCGGCTGCCACCACAATGCCACCACACGGCTTGATCCACTCACTCACTCACTGGGAAGCGCCCACTGATCCGCTCGGCCTAGTGGCCCCGCATCTCCCTTCCCCAGCTTGTTCCCCTCTTCGGCTCCTCCACAATGGTTCACAAGGGCCCCATGGCTTATTCGTATTACAACTTACCACCACCTCATGACTTGTCTTCTTCCAACCTCTCCCTTCTTTAAGTTTCCAGGCTCACTGGCGTGAGAGTGAGCCACTATATGCCGCTGTCTTTTCTCAGTCTTGTTACCATCCGAATTTGCATTTCCGGCCAATTGCTTACTTGACCTCTTGACTGGACAGTTCAAACGCGCCCTTCAGCACCGCCTTACCAGCCGATTGCCCGCGCCATTCTACCGCCTCTGGCCTTTCGCATCCTTTACCGCCACGACTTCGTCGTATTTCCAACCGATCTGCTCCTCCTGCGCCCGGCCACGCTTTCGAAGCTGATACTATGGGTGGTGGCCACGATCACAACAGCAGGGGTGCCTACCCTGTCTACGCCGACAAGCCGGTCGGCGTAGCAAAGACGAGCATCCTTCAAGGCCGAATCGAGCCCTTTTATAAGCCTGGACAATATGAAAAGGTCAATCTCTTGGCGTAAGCTGACTTGCCATTGCCTTGATACCTGCTCCTACTGACACTATTCAGCAACATGTACAATGCCCGCTACTCGGGTGAACCCAACGTCAAGCTCGCCGTATGGTCTGCTCCTGGCCAGGACCGTCCCTCATTCCAGGAAGCTGTATCCCACGAGTTCAAGAAAGCTCATATTGGTGATGCTTTCGGCCCCTCTTGGACCACGCATTGGTTCCACGTCACAATCACCATTCCTCAGGCACTCCACGACGAGGAGTTTGTCATTCTCGAATGGGATGCCAACAATGAAGGCATGATATGGAATGACGATGGAATGCCCCTCCAGGGCCTCACTGGAAACGGTGATCGTATCGAGTGGGTCATCCCGGACGAGTTTCGCGACGGCAAGGAGCATGTCATTTACATTGAGATGGCCTGCAATGGCATGTTTGGCAACGCCCCCAACGGTACCAACGACAACACACCCCCTGATCCCAACAGATACTTTACTATTTCCAAAGCCAACATTGCTGCCGTCAACTATCAGGCCCGCATGCTTCTATTTGACATCTGGCAGATTGGTGATGCTGCCCGCGAGCTCCCCGGTGACTCGGCTGAACAGAACAAGGCTTTGGCTGTCGCCATGAAGATTATTGATACTTTCCAGGTCGATAACCAGGACTCTATTCTCAAGTGCCGCAAGATTGCTCAACAAGTCGTCGGCCCCGATGTCGACTCTCACCGCGTCTACGAGGTGGGCAAGGAACCCACCGTTTTCGGCATCGGCCACTGCCACATTGACAGCTGCTGGCTCTGGCCTTTTGCCGAGACTAAACGCAAAGTTGCCCGATCTTGGTCCAGCCAGTGCGATCTCATGGATCGCTACCCCGAAGCTCACTTTGCCTGCTCCCAGGCCCAGCAGTTCAAATGGCTAAAGACTCTCTACCCTCGCGCCTTTGAACGTGTCAAGGCCAAGGTTAGGGAGGGCCAGTTCCATCCTATCGGTGGTAGCTGGGTTGAGCACGACACCAATATGCCCAGCGGCGAATCACTCCTCCGCCAATTCTTTTACGGCCAACGCTTCTTCGAGTCCGAGTTTGGCTCTCGCAGCCGCACCTTTTGGTTGCCCGATACCTTTGGCTACTCCAGCCAACTGCCACAGCTCTGCCGCCTTGCCGGCATGGACCGCTTCATGACCCAAAAGCTAAGTTGGAACAACATCAACACTTTCCCACACACCACATTCATGTGGGTCAGCCCAGACGGGAGCCAAGTCATCTGCCACATGCCTCCCTCGGAGACGTACACCTCCGAGGCCAACTTGAGCGACCTTCGCAAGAGCATCTCCAAGCACAAGACGATGCGCACAGACAGCTCTTCGCTCCTCGTCTTCGGCAAGGGTGATGGTGGTGGTGGTCCCACCTGGCAACACCTCGAGAAGCTGCGCCGTTGCGCCGGCATCAGCAACACCATTGGCGGCATTCCCAAGCTCAAGCTTGGTCTTTCTGTCGACGACTTTTTTGATCGCCTCACGGCAAAGGCCGATGATTTCCCCACATGGTACGGCGAGCTGTACTTTGAGCTCCATCGCGGCACCTACACCACACAGGCCAACAACAAGTACTACAACCGCAAGGCCGAGGTCATGCTTCGCGATATCGAACAGCTCGCCACCATTGCCTCCATTAAGAACAAGTCCTACAAGTATCCTACCGAAGATATTGATGACATGTGGGAGACGGTCCTGCTCTGCCAGTTCCACGACTGCCTTCCCGGCAGCTCCATCGAGATGTGCTATGACGACACTGACAAGCTCTACGCTGAAGTTTTCAAGACTGGTCACACTCTTTTGAAGGAGATTTACCAGAGCCTCAACATCTCCGATGTTCGTTCTCTATCTGCCCACGAGACCGTCGTTCTCAACACTCTACCCTGGCACCGTAAGGAAATTGTCGAGATTTCTGAGACTGAAGTTGGCGTCGCCTGTGGAGATGGCCAGCTGCTTCCCGTCCGCGCCTTTAAGACCCAGGGAACTGAACCTGCCGTTACCCTCCGCCAAGTCTCCAAGGATCAATTCGTCCTCCAGAACGAGCACTTTCGGGTGGAAGTCGAGGGTGGCTGCATCACGTCTCTCCATGATCGCCTCAACGACCGCGAGATTGTCGAGAAGGGCGGCAAGGCAAACAAGTATGTCATTTTTGATGATATCCCTATCTACTGGGACGCCTGGGATGTCGAGGTTTATCATCTCAATACCAAAAAGAACTTGCAATATGGCGAGACTCGCGTCCACGAAATCAAGCCTCACCGGGTGACGCTGGTAACGGACATTCAGATTAGCAAGGAAAGCTCCATCAAGGCCTACATTAGCCTCTCCGCTTCACTCAAAGGACAGCCCTCGTGGATTGAGTGCTCAGCCGAGGTTGACTGGCATGAAAGTTCCAAATTCCTCAAAGTCGAGTTTCCCGTCAACATTGTCAACAATGAGGCCTCTTATGAGACTGCATACAGTATCACCAAGCGTCCCACCCACTACAACACCAGCTGGGATATGGCCAAGTTTGAGGTTTGCTGCCACAGGTTTGCCGATTTGTCGGAGCACAACTATGGTGTTTCGATTCTCAATGACAGCAAATACGGCTTTGCCACGGCGGGCAAGGTGATGCGCCTGTCTCTTCTGCGCTCGCCCAAATCGCCTGATGAGCATGCTGACATGGGCAAACATTCTATTCGCTGGGCCATCTTCCCTCACAAGGGTGCACTCTCCTCAGCCACCGTTCGAGCCGGCTATGCTTTCAACACGCCCCTTAAAGTCCTCTCGGCGCCCAAGGCCGCTGTCGACAACCTTGGCAGCGCCCCGATCAGACTGGTTAATGTCGATGAGTCTGCTTCGCTGATCTTGGATACCATCAAACGCGGTCACGATGATGAGGATGTGAGCCGCCGCCAGGGTCTTTGCGTCAACCCCGGAAAGAGCGTCATTGTCAGGGTGTACGAGTCGCTCGGTGGTCACAGTCGAGGCACTATTGAGTCGACTTTTGATGTCAAGCGCGTGTCCAAGTGCAACCTTCTCGAGGACGAAGGCGACGACGTGTCTTTTAGCGGCGGCAAGTTTGCAATTAAATTGCGACCGTTTGAGGTGGCCACCTTTAAGCTTCAGCTGTAGGGCGACAATGAAGTAGGGTGCGCATGTATGGAAGTTGAAGCAGCACTGCCCTGAGAAATGCGCGGAGTGATGCATGAATTGAATGTAGCATCATTGTTAGACCTTTATCCCGAGTAAATATGATCAATACACATTCCTAAAGGCTATTGTGGTTATCCTGAATAAAAAAACAAGTAAACGCTCGTGATGGGCCATTCGAAAGGCTACTATGGGTTTGCGGGAAAGAAAAAAAGAAGGCAGCTATGGTAATATACTTGTACAATGTATGTACGCTGATCAAATCACGAGTTTGCATCTCCACCAGGCAGGTTTTGAATAACATTTTCCACCATGGTGATGAGTTGATGTATATCGGGCCGCTCCGCCGGCTCAACTTTGAGACAAGCGCGGACAATTTCGCGAATGGGCTCGCTAATGACGGCTTCTCCGGATGAGGAGCCCTCTCCCGCCCCTGTTGCACCTGCTGCGCCAGGTGCACCGGCGGCGGCCTTTGCCTTGGCGACCTGGATGCTATTGACGCGCCTGGCGCCGTTGGGCGACTGATCAGGAAAGCGCCAGTCGCCGCCCATGACGCAGAGCGACAGGGTGCCGCCCGTCTCGTCGGAGCGCATCTCAAAGGGCGACTTGCCGACGAGGCAGGCGAAAAGGGTGCAGCCGAGGGACCAAATGTCGACCTTTGTGTCAATGACGGTGCCGGTCTGGACGTCAAAGAGTTCCGGGGCGCGGTAGGGCATGGTGGAGTGCTCGGCGGCGGTTTCTTGAATCTGCAGCGCGACCGACTGTGACGTGACGGGCATGGGCGAGGGCGCGACGGAGCCGAGGTCCATGAGTATGGGGTTCGAACCGGAGTCGTCAATCATGATGTTGCCTAGGCGGAGGAGAGGAGAGCGAAAGAAGTGTGAGTAAATGCAATTTATTTGGTTTGACGTTGAAGGGGGCGGAAGGGAAGACAAACCTGGCTTGATGTCGCGATGCGCATACGACTTGATCTTGCCGCCCTGCCCAATCTGATTTTCCGCCTCCATCAGAGGCCGCTCCTGCTCCGTCTCCTCGTCTTCCTCTGTGCGTTTCGTCGACGAACGGGCGCCGCCTCCTCTGCTTCTGCTGCCGCTACTACTACCACTCGGACCCGGATCATTGTCAGCCTCGTGGCCCATTTCCATGCGCTCCGCCGGCGGGGCGTGATGGTCGTGCATGGCGCGGAGGGCCCTGCACACGCCGAGGAACAGGGCCATGAGATGGCGCTCGGGAAAGCGTGCGTGGTTGACGAGGTTGGCGTTAATCATGTCCTGGAGGTTGCCGCGGCGGTAATACGGCAGCAGGACGTAGACGGTCTTGTTGGCTGCCTCGTCGGCGGCGGCGCCACCACCACCGCGTTCAGTCGCGACGGTGTGGTCAATGGCGGAGATTATGTTGGGGACGTGTTGGAAGAGGCGGTACGCTTCGACCTCGCGCATGGCTTGCTGGACCGACTCGGCGCCAAACGGGCAGCGAATCTTTTTGAGGGCAAAGTGTTCCTTGGTGGACAAGTCTTGGACGAGATAGACGTAGGAAAAGCCTCCCTGTTGTTGTTTTTTTGTTACAGTCAGTTGTCAAATACCGCGCGCGCGAGAACGCAAAAGAACAAGAAAAAAAAAAGAAAACGAAGAGGAAGAAGAAAAGCTCACCTCGCCGAGTAATTGCAAAATCTTGAAACTGCGACTGTTGACTTTGAGTGTGGGGGAGCCCGGGAAGCAGCTCAGGCAATTGCCCAATGAGTAAATAAGATCCTGAAGTATTTGCGCCATGGCGAAATGAAATGCTATTGTCTATCGGACAAGAGTTTGTGCGCGCGTTTTCGTGTTTCGTAGGGAAGTGATTGATCGAGGAGCAAGGCAAGTTTATGGGAGGAGATTGTGACAATGAGGGACGAGCGAGCGAGCGAGCGAGGCTCAGCTACCCCAGCCAGCGTAAGCTTGAACCAACTACTGGACAAAAGGTTACGTGCCCGTGGCGCATGCACAGGCTTGGCTTCGAATTGAGCGTTTGACGCGTGCGTGTGCAGAGACGCTGTTATCCTGGCAAAAAGGGGGAAGAATCGATTGTCAAAGCGATGAGATTCCGAGTTTGACTAGCAATCTTGAATGGTAAAATAGTCATGTCATCTGTAGCAATGTCGAAAGCTGGGGACCACGTAGCGTTGTGAGGGTGGTCCAGCCTGGCCGTGGTTAGTCAGCCTTCTTTATATTTAGTGATGATCACAGGTACCTACGGTTCGGAGCGAATTGAGTCCTCTACAACTTCTAGTCTTTGACGCTGACAGGCTCTCACACGAAAAGGTGCAAAATTAAAGGAAGAAGAAAAACATTGCAGCATCAGAAAATTGCAGAATAGATGGCACACCACCTGTAAGCGAGCCTAATGGCCTTTCAAGAGATGCTCAGCTTTACCTCGGGGATACTTCAAACAGCGCCGCCTCCTGCGATTGTAGGATTCAGTACAGTACAAGCCACTGTACGATACCCCATCTCTGCATTAAATAATATTCATAACTCTTTTGAATTAATACATTCTAAAGTGCGCTGAAAAAAACAAAAAAACAAACTTTCACAATGTGACGTCGACTCAGGCCAAGCAAGCAAGCAAGCAAGCAAGCAAGCAAGCAAGCAAGCAAGCAAGCGCAAGACGCCCGCACATCATTGCCAACGGACTTCTCATTGCTGCAACTCTGGCATCATGAATCCGCTTGGAGGCATTCGTCGCCATGAGTATCCCATAAATGCCGACGACTTTCTCACTTCCATCACCACATCCTTGATCTTGCCATCTCGCAGCAGCACGTCCCGCGGCCGTTTTCGCTGTCGTCGTCCATACAACCTGATGAAGCGCTTGAGCATTTGCTTTTCACCCTCTGACAATTCTGGCGAATTTTCCAACTCGGAATCAATCAATCGGAGGCTAGACGAGTTATACGGCTCAGCCACAAGTCCCACTGCCACTTGCTGCACGTACAGGCGAAAGTCTCGCAGAATGTTGTGCACTTCATCAGGGCTCGGGCAAGCACCCGGGTTTGACTCAGACCAGTCGCTAAACGGCTCCGATTCCTCAAAGTAATGCGTGTCTTCGGGACTAGATATATTGGGCACAAACGGTGGCGTCATGTTTTGTACTTGGTCCCAAGCAAAATGCTTGAACCATCTGTGATCTTTAATGTCCTCGGCATCATCTGGAAACACGTGCCGCCCAAACAAGTCCGTCAGTCGATTCGGCCCGGGTGGGCATCGGTCTTTGTGCTGATACCTCTTGGAGCAGATACGGTTTTCTTTCTCATGAATCATCCAAAAGAGCAAGTCTTTGCACCGATCACTGACAGCTGGTCGAGTTGGGAAACAGAATATCTCCTTGTGTTTCTTGCACAAAGTCAGCTCAACTTCACCCTCAAGCCAACACTACTCACCGCAATGTTTTGCTTCGTTTCCTTTCTGCCTTTGCCTGCTCCAAATGGCGTGAAGCCATACAGACACTCAAACAGAATGATGCCAATGCTCCACTAGTCGCATCTTCCGTCGCATCTTCCGTCGTAGCCTCCGCCCGCAATTACCTCTGGCGCCATGTATTGGCTCGTGCCCACGACCGAGTATGCAGTTGCCCGGCATCTGGTGCTACTTCGCGGGTTGAAGTGGTTCAGATCGTTGTATGCAGTGTGGTAGCCTTTGTTTTGCTCATGCGGTCCAAGCTTCTTCGCGCGACCTTTGCTGGCACTTGCATCGCCAGTCGTGCCATCCCCGTCTGTTGATAGACGAAAGTGCTGAAACAAAGAATGTCTATGCCAGCTGTAGAATGCCGCGTCATGGGACCAGTGACCGTCAAAAGCGAGGCCAAAGTCAGATATCTTGAGGTGCCCAGAAGCCGATATCAGAAAATTGTCTGGCTTAATGTCGCGGTGGATGAATTTGAGTCGATGCGTTTCTTCCACAGCCAAAATCATTTCCGCAATGTAAAATCGAGCAATCGTTTCGTGCAGCACATTCTCACGCATCAGCATGCCGAGAAAGTCACCACCGGGCATATACTCCATCACGAGATAGAGATTGGTAAAGTCTTGAAAGCTCGTAACAAGTGGTACAATCCTACCAAAGTCAGCTTCATCAACATTGCTGCCTGCTAAACCTACCAGTTTGACCCCTCTGCTGCGACAAGAAAATCCCGTTCTGCGCGCAAATGACCCTCTTGGCTGCTCAAAAGCATTTCAGACTTTCGGATCACCTTCATGGCAAACACTTGCGACGGCGCATGAGTCCCCGTCTTCTTCTCGCGGACAAGTCGCACCACCCCAAAGCTGCCCTTGCCCAAGACTTTAACGGGCTCAAAGTTTTGTCGGCAATGTGCGTTCATTTTCATCCTTCGTCTTACTTGACTTTGCGCCTTCAGAATGCGGCAATGTCGGAGGTAGCATGATTCTTGGTAGAAGAATGCTCGCCGGATGGCGTCCTTCTCCTCCATCGACATTTGGGGACGGTAGTAGAGCTGCGCCTCCAAGTAATGTCGCCGATGGAGTCGCGAGTTTGGTATCGTCAACAACTCGTTGTAGTAAGTTTCCACACTGATCTTGATGGCAGCGGCTTTTTCCGTTGTCAAAATCGTAGGCTTGAAATTATCCTGACATGACTCCTTGATCGTCGTCAGGGTTTCTGGGTTCGATCTGGCACGTAGAAACCTGTGCGTGCTGCGCTGCTTCAGTCTCTCTCGATTCGAGGTAGACGCAAACGACTCCATCGATGTCTTGCGAGATGAGGTAGTGTCTTCTGGCACCTGATTGACAACATTGTTCGTCGGCGGCGTGAAAGACTCGGCTCTAACTGGCGCATATATGTTATTGAGGGCTTGCGCCGAGCTGCGTCGACGCCGGTTTCGCGACGGGGAACTGCGAAGAATGACTGTAGTGCTGGGTGCTATGCCAAGAGTGTCGAGCCGTAGCCGCTTCACTAATTCACTGGGCGTCATGGCCTTTTCTTTGTATGATGAGTGCAGCTCATCGATTCTGTCATCTCGTTTTATGGGCACCAAATGAGCGTCCTCGGATCGGTATTCGATAGTGTTCGAGTTGTGAGAGCCTGCTACTTGAATTAGACTTGTCGCTTGTCCTTTGTCGTCATAGCCCGTACTTTTGCCAATTGCCTTGAATGCTCCTCGCAAATCTGACCACACGCGGGAACTGGCTCGTCGCAGCTTGAGCATCTCCGAGTCCACAGAAACCAAGCCATAGTTGGGCGAATCGACCGAGACTGGCCCTGTAGTCTCCATTGTGATAGAAAAATGTGCCTCGAGTTGGCGAGACTGTAGTTAGCGAAACTTCCATACAATCAATATCGGTTGCCCACAAGCGCCATGCGCCAACATGTGGGCGATGTTGGATGGTGGACTATAACTGTTTCGATAAAAAAGGAATGACGATTATCGGGATGACTTGAAGAAAGAAAGTAATGCATCTGCCAAGTATGTCAGGAGTAGGTAGTGCCGCGTGAAATGGCTTTCCTGGAAGGAAGGAGGGGTGCAAGCAGCTCTTTCACTGCAGGAAGAAAACACGGAGTGAAGGCTGTTGAGCGCGACAGGCCAAATGCAAACATGCTGGGCAAATAGTTAAGACCATCGAAACATTTAAATTCAACTTTTATTCATGACGGCATGTGTCTAGACAAGGCTAGCAGCTACCATCAGGATAGATGATACACAAAGTAATGACTTATACGCCAACCCATGCAATGCAAGTCCTCGCCTTGACACCATCGTGGAACCTTTAGTCCCTTGATGCACGCGCCAGGCTCTTGATTGCACGATAGATAACAACATGTAAACTCCAAGCCCGAAAATGTCCAGCCTAAACTCAGCGATTCTGCTGAGACGGCTATAAATACAAAGGAAACACGAGATTACAAAACAGACGCTATGCGTTTACTTGATCTCGAGCAGCTTGACGTCAAAGGTCAGCGTGCTGTTGGCGGGAATGCCGGGCAGAGCCTGGCGGCCGTAGGCGAGATTGGCGGGGATAGTCAGGCGACGCTCGCCACCAATCGACATGCCGACGACACCGACGTCCCAGCCCTTGATGACCTGGCCCTTACCAACCTTGAAGGTAAAGGGCTTGCCCTTCTTGTTGGCATCGAACTGCTTGCCGTTCTGGAGCTTGCCAATGTAGCGGACACCGACGCTGTCGCCGTTCTTGACAACGCGGCCGGAGCCAATCTTGCGGTCGTCAACGGTGACGCCCTGAACGACCTTGACACCAACAGCAGCCTTGGTAGAGCCGCTAGGACCCTGCTCAAGGTTCTTGGCGAATTGAACCTTCTTAGCGTCCTTCTTGTCGTCAGAAGCGACAGCCTCGCCCTGGTTGTTCTTGAGCTTCTTTTGCTGCTTCTTGGAGAGCTTGGCGTCGTCCTTGGAAATCAGCTCGTCAAGGTTCTCAGCCTCCTCGGCAGTGCGCTTGTTCTTGCCCTTCTTGGTGGTATCGACCAGCTGAGGCGCATCCTCATCCTCCGAGTCGAGTTCGGTGACACGGGGATCGGCAACATCGTCGAGTTCGTCACTCTCATCGTCGTCCTCACCCAGGGCGTACTCGAGCTCGTCAGGGGAGTCGTCGTAGTCGTCGTCTTCATCATCCTCATCGTAGTCGTCTTCATCGTCATCCATGATGTAGTTACCAGTAAGGTAAACAGTGTGGGTGCCAGACACGACAAAGAAGACCTTTTCGCCCTGGTTCACGGTGATGTCGAGGGGCTGCTGATAGTTCTGCAAAAGAATTAGCGGGGACAGGTGGCTAGGCTGTGGCTTCAAGGCTTACCTTCTCGGTGTCGAGGGTGCAAAGAACAAAGTTTTCGAGGTCAGCGCCCTCCTCGTCATCTGAGTCATCCTCATCATCCTCGTCGTCTTCATCGTCATCATCTCCCTGGGCGGCCTTACCCTTGCCCTTGGACTTGGACTTAGTGGGGGCATCCTCCATGTCCTCATCGTCATCGTCCTGGGTGGCGGCAAGGAGCTTCTTGATGGCAGCGGCTTGGCTAGACTTCTTGGACTTGGCGGGGTCGCTGGGGCCGCCGTTCTCTTCCTCCTCATCATCCTCGTCATCATCGTCAGAGCCAGCGAGAAGAGCCTTCAGGTACTCATCATCCATCTCGTCGTCCTCGTCTTCGTCGAGGCCAGGGAAAGCGCGCTTGACAAGACGGAGGGTAGAACGAGGAATCTTGGGGATATTGCCCTCCTCATCAGCCTCGGGCTCCTCGGTAGGATCAACAGCAGCCATGGTAATGCGGAACTACCAGGTATCGAGTTAGCTTCGAATCTAATCGGCGACGCAAAAGTTCGTGCCGTGGGTCAATGCCGCGGCATCATATGCTCAATGCAAGCGCAATTGCGACCGGTCTACTATAGACAACTTACTGATGCAGGGAAGTCCATGGAGGCGGGGATCAGGATCTCGCCGGGAGGGACCTCGAGGCCATAAACGGGACCAGAGATGCCAGCCATTTTGAAGATGGAGATATGAAGAAGTTAAGGAAGGAAGAGAAGATCTAAGAAATGATTCGTATATAGAAGGTCAAGTCTACAACGAAACAGATTCCACGATCGGGTACGGAAAAAAGAGGTGGTGGTAAGGGTGTGAAGTAGGATGGAGAGAAAAGAAGCTGGAAGGGCGTCACTTTTTTTTTTTTCACATTGCGCCGTCGCGGCCTCTGGAAAAAATCTTTGTCCAGCAGTTTTCTGCCACCCACCTAAAGCCAGGGACCGCCCCGCCAAAAAGCACAAAGAGTCAATCAGAGGCTGCGATAAGGTCTTATCGAGGTTCCGCACAGCTGCTGTCTCAGCAACCAAGAAAACCCCCGCCAGAGTTTAAGTGGGCACCATAATCCTGTTCCTCCACCGCCTTCAACGTTGTCTTGTTGATACCGAGCATGTATAGGACGGGTTAGTCAAGGGACAAAGCTATTGCGACCTCAAATATATCCCGATCCAAAACCCTACTCACGCATCTCGAACATTGTGGGACAATTGCTGTACTTGGAGCTCACCGCGGGCCACTTGGACCACAAGAGACTACAACGTGCGATACACTAGTAATATCAATTATTACTGTAGCGACAGAGGATCATAGTTGATATAGGTAGGTGTCGAGCTCGCTACTTGCTGTGTGTACAGAGTAGTGATCAATCTATGAATATGTAGATACTCAGAAATTTTGGCTCGTGCTCGTTTGGCAAGAATCCTTTCCGCTCGCACGACATCCATCTCTTCTGCCTTTGCAAAGAGACTCTGGGACCAGAGGCGTCATGTGCGTCATATTACTCCGGGATACAATAGGAAAAAATGCATCGTGAGTAGCCAATGCCAGTGATAGGAAAAACCCGTGTTTCTGCGGCGCGACGTGATGCGAATCCGGAGAATTGGCGTCCCGCCTCGCTCACGGGAAACAACTGAACCGCAGCTGATTTGCTGGCCTGTTTTGTTTCATGACGTCTCTTCTATATGACCATTGTAGCCTCAACGTTCAATGTTACCTACTCTCATTGACAAGCAAAGAGGGAGCGCCAAGGCTACCGAGCAGCCACCACTACCACAAAGTGCACGCGGCGCTGAAACATATAGTACGAGCAACATGAGCATTATTTATTATTACCGCAGAATAAAGATTGAGAAAAAAGAAAAAACGTTCTCTGCCAGATTTGGTTGCCACAAATGACGCTGACAACGTTTTCTTTTTTCGGGTCCTACGATATCCTTGAATATTGGCTGAATTGTCGACGCCCCATAATCGAAGCCAATGCCAATCGGCAGTCTTTTGCAACAAGGGCCGTCCGGTTCTTTGAGACTCGCGGAAAGGGGCGTGGACTTTTGAATCATACAAGCGGCTCAGCTGAGGAGACATTATAATCATGTTTCACTCAAGTAAGAGAATGGTGAAAAAATAAAGAAACCGACAATTGATTGTTGACCTATCCATAGAACGAATTCGTTTCGGTGAAAAACGTAAAAGCGTATTCACACCTGAAAGATGATAGTTGACAATTGGTATGCCAGGAAACAATAGTGTGAGAGCCAGCCTCGGCTATCTTACGGCGGGATCAGCTGGAATTCGAGCGTACGCCTAATTCAAGCCCATAGTCTCTGCGCCCACCACCATCGCCGTCCTTGGCGCCGAACTTCGCATTCACTCGAGGGCCTGTAGATTTTCGAGTGCGTCTTGCGCAAAGGTAACCAAGTAGGTTGCCATTTCTCGCCAGCGCTTTAGGACATTGGCCTCCATTGACTGTCTGGTCTGAAGTGGCTGTGCTCACCGCATCTTAACCAAGATCTGGTTCCCACAAGACAATGTTTGCTCACGTGCCGCTCTTCACGCAAGTCAGCCTTGCTAATATAGATCAGAACAGCGCAGAGCTGAATCTGCTTGGCGTAGCTGTCGTTGGTATCACGTCCGGCTTGCCCAATTTATATGCAACCAAGGTGGCTCTAGCTTCGCGAGCACGCGATGATTGATCATGGACCCTTTGCATGTCATCATCTTCTTGTGCTTTGATTGTGTCTTGGTTGCTTCCTCAAGGAGCCTTCTCAAAGAGCTCTAGGATGGGCTTGGCGGCCTTTCTCCATGTTAGCACGCTCGGATTGACCTGCAACTGCAGCGCACTTACATCGATGAACTTTTCCAGGTTCTGGTCGAGGTTGGCAAGATCCTCCTTACGGCGCATATTTTCGGCAATCAGCTTCTGCTTTCTCTTGAGCAGCTCTTGTCGACGCTGCTCTAGGCCTTCGCGTTCGGCTCTCTCATGCTCAATTCTCGCATACATGAGCTCATTTTCGTCGTCGGTGGCGCGGTCTGGGTTCTGCGCGAGAAATTCCTCTACCGGAATCAGCGGCAGCTGCTGGTATTTGTGGCTTAACAAAATATTAGCTCAACCATATCCAACAACAAAGCAGCGAGGCTTGTGAGAGCAAGCTTGTCAACACGTACTCGTACGACTCGCAGGCGACAATCTCGCCTTGGAGGTGACGCTGCTCGTAGTACAAATTCTGCAGCTGCAGATGGAGGCGATCGACGTCCTGGCGGCGCTCGGCCGTCTGTGTTTTGGTGCCGCGCGCCGCAAACGACGCGTTTCGTTGCAGGCCGCGCAGGTGCGATATGCTCGTCAGGAGACGCTTCTGCTGCTTGGCAATCTCGACCTGGTTTTCAGGCGTCGGGCGCGTGCTGGCCTGAGCGACTAGTTGCAGCAGGTCGAGGGCCTGATCGCGTGCCTGGTCCGACACCTGCAAGACAGCGGCGAGGCTGGGGTCGCTGATGATTTTATCAATAGTCATTTGGACGATGGTTCGTGCAATGATCTAGTCGTTATGTCGAATCCCAAATGTTGGTGGTGATCTGGGGTGTGTTGCACACACAGAGTCGAGCAGCAAGTTAACAACTGATCTGGGCCAACTTCGGAATGCAGGGCCGCCAAGCTAGCCACACTTGCACGAGCCACAGCAGCCTCAAGTGCTGGCAATATGGCGGTGCGGTTGCGCCGAATCCAGCGACGAGACAATAATTAATGATATTAATTGGGTCAGACACTGTCAGCCTCCACGCCACTTGATCTTATTACAAACGGGGACTGCCGCCAAGGTTCTCACGTCACGACAAATTCCGGCGTTGCATTCAATACGGAAAATCCCTCTTCTTTCGCTCTTCTTCTCGTCCCAACATGCCAGTGCATGCGTAGATCCCCCGTGCTGCGACACACCATCTTTGCCGCTTCACCATCGGTACTCCGAATGCACGTTGGCCTTTGGCCGAAATCAGCACCCGCATTTCCCCTGGGCGAATCGCCTCGCATCGCTCTTCTCCACCCACGTTGGCTTTGTTGAGAAGCTGGCATCCATTAATAAACCGCAGGGACCCCCATTTCTCCTTCATCTTACCCAACCAATTGCTGCAGAGGCCGACTGCTCGTGCCGCATCCCATTCGACGTCGATCTGAAAATCTTTCGCTGCACCGCCTCACGTCCTCTGCAGCCCAGCCAGCCAGCCGCAGCAATAGCAACCCTTTGGACACCTGCGCGCGCCCGGACTCCCCTTCCTCCCCTCATGAGTTGTTGCGTCTAACCCCAACCCACCCCGCGGCCATTTCACCCACTATGCCGACCGTCACAGCTTTGACACCAACTTGCTCCGGCAGGCCGAGCAAGAGTGAAGACGCCCTCACGTCCGCGACGACATCCGGCGCCGACACCGCTGCCAACGACCAGCCGGCCCTCAACCGTCGCCGCCACTCCTTTTCCCTCCCGCGCCGCAAGTCCATCGTCGGCCAAATCATGGATACCGAAGAGAGCCTGTTGCTCAAGGTCGACCTCTTCCTCTCGGAGCTGGAGCGCCGCCTCGAGTTTATCGAGCGCTACGGCGACATGAGCCGCGACTACAACTTTTCCCGCGCCTTTTCCACCCTCCAGGCCGTCCGCACCCGCTGCTCCCAGGCCTCTGAGGAAGTCATTGGCGCCGGTCGCCGCCGTCTGCATGTCATGGTTGAGACACTAGAGACCCGGTACCAGGAGACGCTGGCGGCGACCGAGTCGCTCCACGAAAAGGCATGCGTCGGTATTGATCTGCTCGAGGGTATGTTGACCGAGTTCGAGGAGCGTGCGCACAAGTTGCGCGAGCAGAGCTTTGCCAATGCCGCCACCGCCGCTGGGGCCTTTATGGGCGAGGGTCGTCGTGTGGCCACGGAAAGCATCGAGCGTGCCAGAGAAGTCATGGACGAGGGTTTCGAGCGCGCCAAGCGTGCCGCCCTATCTCTGGAGGAGCATATCCAGCAAGCCATCCTTTTGGCAAAGGAACGACGACTTTTGGCGTACCATGAGCTGCCCGTCCCGTGGCGCAACAACCCTCACATCCACAAAGGCTATCGCTTTACCGAGACGAAGCTTGAGTGTGTGTGCTCCATGTTCAACATTTCCAACGAGTTTATCAACATCTGGTCTCACGCTCTCGGCTTGGTGCTGGTGCTTGCCATCGCCTGTTACTTTTACCCGACCAGCACCAATTTTTCGCTCAGCACCAAGAGCGACGTCTTTGTGGCGGCCGTCTTCTTTATCATGGCCTGCCTTACGCTTGTGTGCTCCGTCATCTGGCACACGATGAACTCTGTAGCCGACGTCAATGCCATCTCCATCTTTGCATGTGTCGACTACACGGGCATCTCCTTACTCATCGCGGCGTCCATCATGACGACCGAGTACACGGCCTTTTACTGCGACCCTATCAGTCGCTGGACCTATATGCTGCTGACGGCCTCCCTCGGCGTGGGCGGCGTCATCCTGCCCTGGCATCCCAAGTTTAACGGACCGGAGATGGCTTGGGCGCGCGTCGCCTTCTTCGTCGGCTTAGCCCTGACGGGCTTTATGCCTATTGTGCAGCTACTCTACACGCACGGCTCCGAGTTTGTTATTGACTTTTACTCGCCCATTCTCAAGTCGGTGCTCGTCTACTTTGGCGGCGCCATCGTGTACGCGAGCAAGATTCCCGAGTGTTGGTGGCCTGGCATGTTTGACTACATTGGCGGCAGCCACAACCTCTGGCACGCTGCCGTGCTCGGTGGTATCATGTTTCACTACACGGCCATGCAGCAGTTCTTTGCCAATGCTTTTGGCCGCGCTCTCGACGGCTGCCCTGCCTACTAGACAACTTGTATCTGCCGCATACATGATGATCACAGCCGCAGGTGGCACTTTTATATATGTACGATGTTGACGCAGAGAATATGAGGGATGTGGGTTATGCGGACGGTATATGATTGACGACAGAGGTCGCCTCGCCTGGCGGCTAGTAAACTGTCCATTGGTGGACGGAAGATGAGATGCATTAGGAAGCTGCACACATTTACCGCATCATACATACGGGCGTTTGGGACACATTTGGCAATTTTGGCATTTTCACATTCGTTTCTTCAGCATACATTCATTACTCGTTAGATGAGTACACCGCACAGTTCTTCAGGACGACTGCGTGGATGCTACACGAGCCTCTCACATGTTTATAAATCAAAGACATTAGATTTCACTTTCTTAGAGCCATGCGTGATGTATCCCAATGCACTCGTAAACGGGTATTCGTCATAAAAATAATAATATTCGTTCCAATGAAATGAAATGACAGCCGATCCGAAAACAACATGAAAATTAAAAACCGTAAATTCGTGACGACGTGCAAGCGTCTGCCTAGCAAAGAGCAAGGCTTGTAATCATGAAAACTCCTCAAGTACAATACCTTTTGAAACGAAATGAAAGAGTCAGTACAGGCAGGCCCGTGCTACTGCGCATGGACGACAATGTCGGCGTAGACGTCGTCGGGAATCTGCTTGATGATGCCAATGGTGACACTCTTGATGAGGTCGGCATTAAGTGGCGGAAACGACCGCAGGACCTTGTTCGGGCTACGCGCATCCAAATTAGAAACCCAGAGGGTATTAAAGAAAGCATCCATAAAGGACCAGACCCGCGGACACGTACCTGGGAGATTGCAGAATCTGCGCACGCATAATGGTGAGCTGCGCCACGATGCACAGGATATTCAGGTGCGGCCCGTACGCGAACAAGAAATCCCAGAGCTTGAGCACCTCGGGTAGGGGGGGCGTGCAGGCGCAGAGCGTCAGTACCGAGGGAAAGGCGTAAATCTCGGCCGACAGCCCCTTGGCGGTGAGGTACATGCTGAGACGGGGGTCGACGACGGCGAGCACGCGGTCGACGAGCGCGAGGCCGCGGTGCACGCCCGTCATGGCGCCGCGAATGTAGGCGGGGCACTCGCGCGTCAAGAGCGTGTGGAAGGCGGCGAAAGCCTCACCTTCGCTGCGCGCCGCGTACAAGAACGGCGCGGCAAGCACGTTCATGCCCTGCACGTAGGTGCCGGGTTCCGGCGCGCCGGACCGCGACGCCGTCCCGGACATGCTGCCGCCGGTGAGCGATTCCAGCGTCGGCCGCGCCGACGAGTGGCTACTGCCAGGCCGGCTGGGCACCGCCACTGCCGCGTCGTCTCCTCCTCCTCCACGCGCCGTCTGCCGCTCCTCCGCACGCGCGTCGTGTAGCTTCCAGGCGACGGCGTTGAGGAGCCGAATGAGGCTCGCCTCGCTGACGCGCCGCCGGAAGAGCGGATCCGTCGTCAGCGTGCGAAAGGTGTCGTTGCGGATCTTGGCGTAGGCGGGCGACGCACCACGATGGATGAGAGCGAGGTAGTCGTCGGTGGGCGTGATGGGGGCGTCGAGAAGGACGAGCCAGACGTAGATGCGGAGGGTGGACTGTTTTGTGTTTCGACACAGGCTGCGTCAGTTTTCTACGTCTCATCTAGAGAATGTGATACACGCTTGCGCGAGAGGAGGAACAACACGTACCATGCCGTCTTCGGCACTCTTGACGCCTTCGTCGACGACTTTCCACCGCGCGCTCTCCAGCGCCCCAATAAAGTCACCATCGTTGGGGCCCTCGCGGATGATCTGCTGTAGCGAGAGGTGGCCGTGCGAAAAGATGGGTTTGCTACTCCCAGTCCGCCGCGCCGCGCCCACGGCGTTCATCTGGTGCATCATTGGCGAGATGGCATCGCTGTTGGCGCGGCCTCGGGTCTGCCTCTGCTGCGTCGTCGTGCCTGTCGTCGTCGCCGGCACGACCACTGTTGTTGTTGTTGTTGTCGCCGACGGCAGCGGCGGCAGCGGCGGCGGCGCGACAGGGCCGCCAGGATTCCGCACTGGGGAGGCATTGCGATGCAGCGCGTCGCGGTAGTGCGGCGAGATGAGCAAGCTCCCTTGGCTCGCGGCTTTGGCGCCGAGCGTGTGAGCAGATTGCAGCCGGCGAAGGGCGCGGTGCGTGCGCGGTGACGGCGGCGGCTGGAGGTCCGTGTGGAGGAGGGAGTTGTGCTGCGTCGGGTGCTGGAAGTGGTGGTGGGCGGTCGGCGTGGTGCCCTCGCGAGAGGGACTGGTGGTCATTGTGAGTCTTGGGCAGGGCCCGAGAAGGGGGGGGGGATGAGGAAGAGAGGCAGATGATACATTGAGTGGCCGCGCAACCGCGTAGAGTGGTGGTGGTTTAGTGGGGTGGCTGGTATGGTGGGACAGGTGAGGCAAAGCTGGCTCAGCCTTGCGTATTGAGGAATGCTGTTTCAGATATGTGTTATTAATAATTATACCTGTCTTCAATTGAAGAGGGCTTTTCAACTCAGGCTTTGAATGATGGCATTTCGGTGCTAGCATGGTGTGCATATGTACGTTGTTATGTGGTGGTCATACCTGACCACTAGTACAAGAAGTTGCTCAGGCCGTGCTCTCTTTCATAACGGGCAATTGTGTAAATACCAGTCATGTCTGAGCCGGCTCTGAATAGGGGTCTAGGCTCATCTTTCAGACAGCAGCTTATATTTAGCTCGCGGAAGAGTGTTTGTTAAGACACGGCAAGAACCTCAAGCAGTACTCCTTAGACATCTCGGATGATCGGCAGGCCTAGAACGGTGTCAAGATGCTGCAACAGCTGCCAGTGTCTATGTGTGTGCGAGATTGGGGCATATCTTTACAGTTGCGTCATGTTTTCGCATCAAAATCGTCCACTTCCAAGATTGAGAGCTAGTGTGGTCTTGCGATGGTGGAAATACAAGCAGTGTCAAGCATGGTATCGTAGGTCCTGACAATAAACAGCCTTGAGCCAAAAGGCCAAGAGGCCGGCACGACATGTACTAATAAAGGTATGCCGGACGGCACAATGGTGCCGTGTAAACTGTCGGGCCCTCGCCGGGCCATCTGGATATTGCTTGGCCTTGGGGCGCCGGTTTTGCCGGCGAAGAACTGGTGTGCCACGTTGAGGTAGGATTATATTTGAGGGGGGGGTCGTAAAGGTGGCAACAGATGGAATTCGAAAGTGACGTCTGCGACGTGGAACTAAAGAAAAAATTGGGGTGGAAGAAGTAGCTCGATGGGTAAAGAAGAGAAAGAGGATAAAGAGGATAAATAATTGGAATGCGAGATGAAATATGGTGCTGATGGAACCGGATCTTGGGGCAATTGGTCATGATGGAAGAAATTGAGGTCCAAGATCTTGTAGCTGGCTGGTCAAGGGTCCGCGTTTGTAAGCAAAGGTCGCCTATAACTGCGCAATCCAGAAGGGGTCGTGCGTCTGGAACGAAGCAGAGGCGCTCTGGAAATGACGCTGCAGCAGATCTCTAGCATCTCTAGCGCCTTCACTGCTTTGGTTCTCCATGATATAAATAGCAGTATCATTCACATGATCTATTCGGCATTTCTCCCCAACACATTGGGTACTCGCGACCTCGCCCAATATCCACCGAAACACGTGGATTGGCCTTTGCTGCTCCAGGCTAGAACCGATGGCGACATCTCTCCATGTGGACCTACAACGACATCCTGATGTCGTGATTCTCCAGCGTCTCCGGCGTTGGTGAACAAAACAGCCGACGACAAGGCAAAAGAGTAGGACAAAAAGGGCTCGTCGGGGTGGACAAGGAAATCATGGAACCGCACTTGGCCAAGGCCTCTCTCCCCTCCATCAAAACAACAACCCCGCCACCTCGCGATTCCGACCTCACACATTGCCACCACGCCAATACCTACCAATCTCTCTTCCCCTTGGACATCGTCTGGTCCCGGCCACCGCGATTCCCGATCCAGCAGCCTTTCCGCTGCCCTCCCCACCAGACGCCTTTTTTTTGTCTCTTCTCCAGCTTTCTTCGCTCCCTGACAAGTCACACACTTGTTCCGCCGTCACCCTGCTGACCCCACGCCGACAAGCCGCGTCTGACGCAAAACTCAACGTCGACTGGTTGGGCGTATGTCTCGTGGCTAGTCGGCTTACACAACGCTACTCCCTCACTCAGCCAAGCCACAACATACACGGCGCCGCTGCTAAATACCTTCGTGTTCCCTGTCTACGTCGGCGGCGTGGGAAGCGTGGCCTCGACGGTTTTCTTGATTTTGTCTAGCTTGCTGTTGCGCCTAGCCTCATCTTTGCCAGAGACGCTTCGCACACTTCCTCGACACCCGGAAAGGCAGCTCGGCCCTGGCTTAGCCGGTACCTACCGTATACCGTACTGTCTCGAACCCCTTCATGCCGTCATTTATCAACATCGACATGGCGGCGTAGCTTCGGCCTCACCTCTTGCGATATAAGGCCCTCCCTCTCCCGCTCTCCTCGCTTCCTCTTCCTCCGCCTCCACACCAGAGTCTCACGTCACAGCCATGCCGGGCATCTCCAGTAAGATCGGCCATGGCCTCGCCAAGGGTCTTGGCATCCGGGTGGAGGACCCTGACCGCGGCCGCGATATCATCACCAGAGGCGAGTCTGTCATGTCCACCCAGACCAGCGACTCCTTCTTCGAAGGCCCTCCCACTTCTCTCGAGTGGATTCAGGAGCAGGTTCCTACGCGTCAAGAGACGGCCGCCTACATCAAATCTTTATTCCCCTTTCTTTCGTGGATCACGCATTACAATCTGCAGTGGTTTGCTGGTGATCTCATCGCCGGCATCACCATCGGTGCTATCCTCGTTCCTCAGGGCATGGCCTATGCCATGCTGGCTAATCTAGAGCCTCAATTCGGTCTCTACTCTTCTTTCATGGGCGTCATCATCTACTGGATCTTTGGTACCTCGAAAGATATTTCCATTGGTCCCGTCGCTGTGCTGTCCACCGTCGTCGGCACCGTCGTGGCAGATCTGACGTCTGCTGGCTTGCCTTACTCGGCCAACGTTATTGCCTCTGCCCTGTCCATCATTGCAGGCTGTATTGTGTTAGGCATGGGTCTACTTCGTCTTGGCTGGCTGGTTGATTTGACCTCCATTACATCCCTGTCTGCCTTCATGACAGGTTCTTCCATCACCATTGGCGTCAGCCAGTTGCCTGCTCTCCTGGGTCTTTACAGCTTCTCCAACAGAGATGCCACCTACAAAGTGTTCATTAATTCCTTGAAAAATCTCCCTCACATCAAGCTCGATGCCGCCCTCGGTCTTACCGCCTTGTTTCAACTGTATCTCATCCGATATACGCTGACCCGCGCCGCCGAACGATGGCCCAACAAGAAGCGCCTCATCTTCTTTGCCAACACCATGAGAACCGTCTTTGCCATTTTACTCTACACCATGATCTCATGGCTCGTCAATCGAAACCGCCGTGAGCAGCCGGCCTTTCGCGTCCTTGGTGCCGTCCCCAAGGGCTTCCAGAACGTCGGCTCTCCTCATTTGGACAGCGCGCTCATTTCCAAATTTGCCATGCACTTGCCCGCCACCGTCATTGTCATGCTCGTCGAGCATATTGCCATTTCCAAGTCTTTCGGCCGTGTGAACAACTACACCATTGACCCTTCTCAAGAAATGGTTGCCATAGGCATGACCAACATTCTCGGACCCTTTCTCGGCGGCTATCCCTCCACTGGCTCATTCAGTCGTACTGCTGTCAATTCCAAGGCCGGCGTCCGCACGCCTGCTGCCGGCATCGTTACTGGTCTCGTAGTACTTATTGCCACCTATCTTCTCACGACCGTCTTCTTCTACATTCCGAGCGCAACTTTGGCTGCCGTCATTATCCACGCCGTCGGTGATCTCGTCACACCTCCCAACACTATCTACCAGTTTTGGAGGGTCTCGCCTCTTGAGGTCTTTGTCTTCTTCATTGGTATCTTTGTTAGTATCTTTGTCCACCTTGAGGAAGGCTTGTATGCCACGGTCAGTCTTTCAGCGGCTATTCTTCTCTTCCGTATTCTCAAGGCACGTGGCCGATTCATGGGCAAGGTCCGCGTTCACTCCGTTCTCGGCGACCACGTCATTGGAGCCGACCACTCGGAGGTTGTTGGCGAGTACGGCACATTTACTGAGACGCTGGAGAGCTCTTCACGCAACGTATTCTTGCCTCTGGACCACGGCGACGGCTCCAACCCCGAGGTTGAGCTCGAGAATCCGTACCCTGGCGTCTTTATCTACCGCTTCTCCGAGGGTTTCAACTACCCCAACGCCAACCACTCTCTGGAGTACCTTGTCGACTATATCAAGGCCCAGACACAGCGCACCAGCCCCGAGATGTTTGACCGCAAGGGTGACCGACCGTGGAACAACCCCGGCCCCCGCAGGACGGCCAAGAGCCGCGAGACTCACGAGGATCGACTGCCGACCCTCAAGGCCATTATTCTCGACTTTAGCTCCGTGAACCATGTAGACATTACTTCGGTCCAACGCCTCATTGATGTGCGCAACCAGCTTGACAAGTACACGGCCCCTGAGGTGGTGGACTGGCATATTTCCTGCATCAACAACCGCTGGACCAAGCGCGCCCTCATTGCCGGTGGCTTTGGCGTGCCCACGGCACCCTCCGACAGCGTTCCGCACCGCTGGCGCTCCATTTTCAGCGTGGCCGAGATTGGCGGCAAAGACTCTGCCGCTGCAGTCGCAGAGGAAAGTGCACACGACCTGGTTCTTCGCCACAGCCGAGCGGTTGACGAGGAGATGGGCAAGGCGGGTGATTTGGGCGACTCGGATTTGGACTCGCCCGTCTCTACATCATTCGATGACGAGAAGCCACCAAATTTGGCAGGGACGCTGCGCCAGCGTCGCAAGGGTGCGATTATCAGCGGTTTAGACAGGCCACTCTTCCATGTTGACTTGACGAGCGCCGTTCAGAGTGCCATATCCAACGTTCAGGCGAGGGAAGAATTTCGCGCCGCCTCTAGAACAGAGGCGTCTTGATTCTATACATTCTTTATGCATTTGTGATTTAGCGAGCATAGTTTTGCATTAGCGTTTTGTTATCTTACTGAGGCTGGTGCATTTGAGCAGACCATGACATGCATTCGACCTGAAGGATATCGTTCTTGAACAAACTTCCAAGCATCTGACACATGTACTTTTCGCATCGAAATCTTGAGAATAGCAAATGATGTAGATGTGGCGATAATGATGGCAATTAAAATCACGTGATTTCGCGACAAGAAACTCGCGTTCAGTCACGCTGCATCTTTAGCCTTTTATCAACTACACCACGTCAACTGTCCCAGCCTACTAAAAGAAGACCTGTTTCTTCCCGGAAAAGCCCTCAACCTCAAACTCTTACGGAGACATCATCTTGTGCGCGGCACCACCACTGCCATGCCGGTGGGCATTCAGCGGCTTAATGCCCGGCGAACGCAGCCCAATCCCAACATTGTCTTTATCAAGCCTCTGCCCGGGCCCGATTTCTCTACCGCCGAAAAGTTTCTCGAGCGAATCGCCGCGCAATGCCGTACGCTCCCCCGCCAGCCCATTCGCTCATCCCCTTTCGCGGCTCGCTAACAATCCTGCCAGTCCCCATCATGAAGGAGCACCACCTCTCCGTCGTCACACTCGAAGAGTACGAGCCCAACCGCGAATTCGTCGGCCGCAACTTCAACGCCGGCGAGGTCATCCAGCTCGTCCTGAAATCGGTGCACGCGCCGCACCGGTGGCTGCCGTTTCGGTACGTGCAAATGGTCATGATGCACGAGCTCGCGCACTGCACGCACATGCACCACGCGCGCGCGTTCTGGGCCGTCCGGGACGCCTACGCAGCCGCCATGACGGCGCTTTGGGAAAAGGGTTACACGGGAGAAGGAATATGGGGCCGGGGCGCGACGCTCGATACCGGCGCGTGGGAGCGGGACGTCGTGGGGGAGGAGGAGCCGCTCCCGGCGCATCTCTGCGGGGGCACGTATAGATCGCGGCGGGGCCGAGGGGGGCGCGGCCGCAAGCGGAAACCGAAGCGGTCGTGGAAGGAGCAAAAGGAAAGACGGATTGCGAAAAAGTTTGGCGTGAATGGAATGGCGCTGGGCGCGGACGAGGCGGAAAAGGTGAAGCTCGAGGGCGGCAAAAAGGTGGTCGGGAGGCCGCGCGTGGCGGGGAGCGCGAGGGGCAGGGAGCTGAGAGCGGCGGCGGCGCTGGCGAGGTTTGACAAGCAAAAGGTGGAGGAGGATGTGAAGAGTCAGGGAGAGGATGAGGAGGGTGAAGAGACGGAAAGTGATAGCGAGTTTGAGGTGTACTTGGAGGAGGAGGAAGAGAAGGATGATGCGGTGGACTTGGATGGGAAGAAGATGAAGGACGGAGATGGCGGCGTCATGGTCAAGGTGTGCGAGGACGAGGACGGCAACGACCCATCAGCGCGCAACGAGCGCGACGAGCTACGGAGCGTGTTTGCGCGGCCGCCGGGCGGCTTCAACGCCGAACGGGACGGCGGGAGGAAGAACGGGGCGGACGCTGTGCGGCCGCGCGTCAAGACCGAGCCGGAGAGCAGCAGCGGCAGAGGCAGAATCACCCAGACGGATATGCTACGCGAGGTACCCCGCGTTACCGCGCGGCCGTTGCGTCTACACGATATTCCGCACATTCGCGACGCTGTGCCACCCCCCAAACCAACACTGTCAACTCGCAAAGAAGCAGCGCCGAGACCGGTCGCAGCATCATTATCATCGTCGTCGTCGTCTTCTTCTTCGCGACCCACTGCGGCCACACCAAATCCAACCACGCGACCCGCCATTACAATCCATCGCCTTGCCGCTTCGCCGGCACCGAAGCGGCAACGTCCGGCAGCATCAGCAGCAGCAGCAGCCAAGAAAGAAGAAGAAGAAGCAGCGCCCTTGAAGGAGAATGGTGATGCGGCGGGCGCTAAGACGTGCCCGCTATGCTCGCTGCTGAATGACGCGGCGGCGCTGCGCTGCGCGGCCTGCGGCAACGTGCTGAGGGCGGACGCGGTGCAGGGTGCGTGGAGATGCGGCGGCGCGGCGTGCGAGAGCACGGGGTATTTGAATGCCGCGGACTGCGGCGTGTGCGGTCTCTGTGGTAGGCGGAAGCCGTGACGGGGGTTGGGTGGATGATGGTGATAATGATTATGATGGATGAATATAACGACTGTCTATGGCTACATTGTTCTGTTTTCATTGCTGCGATGGGTGTAGGTACTATGCATTCTTGGAGTTTTGATTGGCTTATACGAGCCATGACTGTATCTCGATACACATCTTCGGCTTCTGCGCATTCAATCTTTACAGACGTAAAAAATTTACAATGTTCCATCTTTACAGATCTTGCCGATTCTGCCATGGATACTCACTGGGCAAGATACGTGGGATGGTTGCCTATCGATGCGCCTTGTCCAGTTCTACAATTGCTAGCCGTCACATTCAAGCAAACGAGTTGCAAGAGCGAGCAGAAACAACCTCGACCAATTGCTCTGCCAAAGGGCTACTTTATGTTAACCAACATCACCAGCCGCAAGCACCATGCGAAGTTTCTGTGCTGTACTGTATTCCTACCGCATCGGGCAGCCTGGCGGGGAACCGGACCTGCACGTCTCCGAGGCGAAGACAAAATGAGGTTGGGCTTGACCAATGGGGTTGCTGCCAATCCGTCGCAGAGTGTTGTCTCTCCACTTGGCCAAGGCGGCAGCTTACAACCGACTTTAAGAAAGGGGGGACTAGGTTGTCGTGCGAGAGGAGCATGGGCTCTAGAGACTTGTGTGCCCGGCGGACCAGGATGGCCGGCCCCATCATTTCTCGACAAGAGAATCCGGTAGTTCAAGAGTTGTATCCGATCTACCAATAGCCTCAGAGGCGCACCCCCTCTACCCAATGCCCTCCGCAACCCAGCGTCATGGTTTGCGAGCCGGACAGCAGAACGAGTTGCTCCCCGTACATCAGTTGGTACTACAAGTGGCGGTAGACTTGAAACAGAGTGCCATCGCGCGGGCGGGGGATCACGACGGGCTTGGTATTCAGTCTGTGCGGACTCTGGGGAAAATGCCAGACTGAAGAGCCTAACTAATGTGGTGGTTTTTTTGTTCGCATTACCCCGCAAATTGAAGAAACGAGCCACGTCCTCTAGCGCCGCCAGCGTCGTCAAAAGAGGTGCGTAGTTCATCACAGCGGGGTTAGCAAGGCCAGAGGGGGGGCTTAGATCTTGCCTGTTGCGTAAAAAGTGGCTTTTCTGATAACGCAAGTCTTGCAAATTGTCAGGCATCTGGTTGGACGGGCAAGACGGGGCCGGGGAGCAAGTGCCGAGGGAATTCGCTGGATGGCAGAGGAGGGTGGTGGGGGGAAATGCAGTTCTAGATGCATCTTGCGTCGTGGTGTGTCGCAACCTAGTCTTTTTGAAGGAAAGAAAAAAAAAAGGTCGGTTGATCCTGAATGTCTGGCAAAGGCCTGCTAGACTTGTCTGTTCCGTAAGCCGTTATCTATTGCGGGGAGGATTGAGACACGGTAAAGTTGGACCCCGGGGACCGTTGGACGGTGCGTTGTCACTGGTGATGCCAGCATTTCGCGAGCGCTGTACAGTCGCATTACCACGGGCTGGGTGTCTCGGTTGGCAGGCTGGCAGGTCGGCGCAGCAGAGTCGGAGATGGCCTGAGGAGTATGAGCAATGGGAATGCATGGGCAGGCGAGCATGACGCAAAGTGGTGCTGGGCGAGAGAGCGGATGGGCTGACCTGGGGAGGAGAGGTTATCGGAAAGGAGAGGGCGGGTAGTGGACCAGGCGAGATCTGAAGCGGAGAGGGGATGGAATGGGATGATGCATGCTGGCGCATTGATAACATTGCCCAAGTTGATGCACCAGTGATGGTAAATATTGGCATATTCCAAGGGAGAGGAAGAGGATCTTGCTATCTGATGGGTGGACGAGAGCAAAGTGGTGTTTACGCAAGATGTGCATCTCCGGTTGGGCAGCTGGCAGACGACAGCTTGCAAACAAACAGCCGTCAACAGCCGGTGTTATGGAGTGTCGTCATGGAGAGCCATTGTCTGCAGCCTTGTGGGCTTGGAACCAGAATTTCAATATTGAAGTGCTGATGATGCATTTTCTAAATACCTTGGATGGGTTGAACGTCGTTCATGAATCAATACAGTCAAGTACAGATGCCCTCGTCTTGCCCACACCACGCTCCAAGCGGGACTGAGGCCCCACCGATCGCACCGCGGCCCCCTGGGCTGCGGTGCGTGCCAGCGCTCGAGTCCACTGTATCATGCAGGGTTTCTGTTTGGTACCTTCCAGTATTCTCACACTATATTTGTCCGCAAAGCTACTTCAATCTACTCAAGTTCCCCGCAACAGGGTCTACGTCACCTATTTACCTTATTCAAGCTTTCATGACTGATCGACAAGTGGCAGGACCAGTTGTCGGCCGCTGGCTGATGATTTGTACACCTCCATACAGAGGTTACACTCTATTGTGCCGACTAATCATCCAGTCGTTTGAGTGTGCCGTCGACGTGCTGCAGCGCTGTTGTCGTCGTCTAGGTGGTTGGCGTGCCGCTTGTACTGCCAGTCGCTGGAACCACAAAGCGCAAGAATGGGCACACCACAGCCCACACAGGCAATACAGGCAAATGCACACCTTATTCTGTGGCTCGACTTTTCGCCCTATTCTACGGATACGGATACTGGTACTGCCACCCGTCCAAGTTGGGGTCGCAGTCTCGTAGGTCGTGTCTGAGGAGGTACATGTCGTCTTGTCCGTTTTCGTCGTCGCGAACCACCGCCAAATGGTGTTTCTGCCCTGTCACAGAGAGAGACAGTGAAGTGATACCGGGCAACCGGGCAGTTGAAATGAAACTTGGCTTGGACGACCTAGGGTCCATGTGGATCATACGTCAGGGACAAATGATGAGCGAGACAAATGCGGTCAATAATACGCACTTTTTCAAGAACAAGACAGACATTCGAACCCCTATTTTCTGTTGACTTTTTCATGAATCATCCCTGTTTTTTTGCAAGACCTTGAGCGCCACGCGTGTGCGGATAGTGTCTCGTGTGCCTGTTTGTGGTAGCATTTCCACCCGGATTGCAGCCTTTTCCGTACGTCATGGCCGACTTCTCATGCTTCTCATGTGCTGCACTGTACCCTTTGAGTCGTAGACTTGATGACGATATTTTAAGGTTGCACCGTCAGTGACCGTGTCTTGACTGGATTGCGGCAGTCTGTCTCCGTACCTTGACGGGGATATCCTTGGGTGCAGAACAAGTGGCACAATCGAGATGGTGAGCTCCACAGCAGCAGCCAAGTACCCCAGAAACGGGCGGTACTTGTGTTTACTGGTCAGCGTGCGTCGCAGACCAAGTACCGCATCACGGCTCCGGCGTCGGACCAAGTTGTGGCTGAGACCCGAAACGGCTTAGTTGCGTTTGCTCTGGCTTGTCAGCCTTTAGTTCACGTCGCCACTGGAATTGATGTCACTGAAGCCACTAAACGCCGCTGCGAATGGCGACCTGCACCGCTGCAACACGCTAAATTGTCTGCTAGATGCCACTAACCGAGCCTATCACCACTTCTCTTTTTCTCGTCTCTTCCCCTCACTCATTGCGCTGCCACCCTCCTCTTCTCCCATCGTTCCATTTCTGCCAATTTTCTCTCCCACACCCTCTTAATACTTCTCTTCTTTCTTTTCCCTACCCGTATTTCCATCTCACCGTTGCCGCATCCCACCATCTCACGCCATTCTCATCTAGTCACGCTCTGTGTTGACTAGCCAGGCCCCTCATCATTCCACTTCTGCCGGCGCCCGCCAAATCATCTTATATAACACCACCACTGCCAGCGCGTTCTTCCCCTCTCACTCTTGCTCATTTTTACCTCTTTTCTGCCTATCCCCATTCATCGACTCATCTCACTCGACCTTTTTCAACTCGATCTTGGACTCATTTTCTTTTTTGACTGCTTACTGCCGCAAACGTCGCTAGCTTGCGCTGCTCAGCGAGCCCACTCAATTGTCCATAGTTACGTTCGCCGGCTGTCACAAGCCCGCTCGGCATTTGGCCAACCAGACACCATCACCGCATCACGCTCTTGCACCTCTCGACACAACGCCCACCCTTTGGCATGTCCGACAACGCTCCCAACGCCGGCGTTGCCCATCGCCGCAGCTCCATCACCCAGGCTGCCCTCTCCAACCTCTTCCAACGCGGGCCCTCCAATGGAAATGTTCCCCCACTGCCCGGCGCTCCAAGCATGACTGACCCCCGCGGTCGCCGCCTATCCGTGAGCACCATTGGCCTCTCCGGCAGCTCGCCCACGAACCCTGCCGCCTTTGTCCGCCGCGAGAGCGTCTCGACCACTTCCAACGCCGGCTCCAACGCCGGCTCCATCGACGAGTCTGCCGTCGAGGATGACGACTTTGTCCCAGGCAGCGCTAGAACCACGCCCAACACGCCTTTCACTCGACGCATGAGCTTCGGTGCCTCGGCCGGCTCTGGCTCTTTGAGGGGGTATCGCCCCTCCAACAGCCCTGGCAATGGTAATACCAACCCAACAACTCCTCCTGCCCACCCGCAGCAGGCCCAGCCCCAACCTGCCCTCGCCCGCCGGCTCTCCACCAACAAGTCGCCTCCCGTGGCGGCCTCGTCGGGCTGGTCCGTCTCCGGGCGCCGCCCAAGCACCGTCCTGTCGTCGTCTCTACCACAGGCAAGCTTCACCATGCACAAAAGAGCCCCTTCTGACTATGCAAATTCTCGAGCAGACCAGCAAGGCTTCAACTGGTCCGAACAGTTGAGATCCCGCGCAGAGAGCTCCGTCGCCAGCGCCCGACCCTCCTTTTCCTTCGCTTCTGGCTCGCCTACTAGGATGGCCCATGACCGTGCCAGGTCTGTCTCCGAGATGGCTTCGCCTCCCAGTCAGGTGCCTCCTCCCGTGCAGCCTAGGCAAGATAAGCCCAAGCCCGATGCGTTCCAGGAGAGGATTCTCAAGGGAGATTTCTACATGGATTGATTGAAGTGTCAAATCATTCAGATGCAATCAATCTGTGCAATACATTGGGCGGAATTACTTCGATGCACATTGATGCAATCGATTTCATTGTCATCTGATTCTCATTGACCCATCAAACCTTCCATGAATCAACCAAAAATTGACAGACTTGGTCTGCACGAGTTGAGTCCGTCGAGTAGCTCATCAATCAGCTCATGCTTATTCTATGGCGATGGATTTACTCGACACTCGAGCACCTCATTCGCACTGTACCGGCGGATATTAATGGCGCGACACAAAATGTGGAAAACATGACTCTTCATTTCTGCAGTGTTGGTCTCCAGCGTTTCTTCTTTTTATTACTTTTTTTGTTAAGCGATGGCATCATGCCGTCTCGGGGCGGACGGCTTTACGAACACAACCCACGCATTTGTTACTTGCGACACATGGCTTTGATTCATGTACACTATTTGGCCTAGGTGGGCTACGGTGAATATACGATATTGGCTGTTGAATGGATGATATTGAAGGGGCTCTTGTTGAAACTGGTGGATTTACTGGTGGCGGCTTGAATGGATGCAAACAAGACTGGTCCAGTTTGCAGCGTAACGGATTGTTCGCTTAAAATGTTTATTTACGCGCTGTATTGTCATATTTGTCTTACTTTTTTCGACGAGAGCCGGTGGCGTATCAAGATTGGCTGGCAAAATAGCTACAAATGAAAACTTGACAATTGGTTTTGTCGTAAATATGAGTGACGGTGCAGTAGACGTTGATGACGGAATGATTGACTTGAAGCGCAATAATAATACAAATTAGCAACATACATACATCATGACAGCTGAATCTGTTTTCACAGCCGTATGTCCTCGTTACTTTCATTCTTTCCTCATTATAACCCATCTTCCTCTGGAATCCCACACGCCTAGCCAAGCAACAATATTGTACATTTCAATCCCGTCCTCTGCTTACCTCGTCACTATTATACAAACGACCCTCCCTCCCCCACCCCCAATCGTCACATCATCAGCTCCCTTCTCTCCTCCTCTCACATTCCCCCCGCGCCAACACTCATCAAAACGTAAACATGTTTGGGTCCGGAATCCCTTGAAACATATCCGTCCAAAACTGATCGTTCGTCGCCGCGCTCATCCCGGCTCCTCCACGTCCCGCCGCCGTCGCCGCCGCCGCCGCATCGAACCCTTCAATCGCACCGATGCCCATGGCTGTCGGAAACTCGCCGCCGATCCCGTCGTAGAAACTGCCGCCGACCCCGCCGACCCCGCCGCCCCCGCTGCCCGACATGACGGCCTCGGCGAGCCATGGCGGGTAGTCGATGCTGCTGCTGCTGCCGCCGGCGTTGGGGTCAATGAAGAAGGCTTGTTGTGGTGGTTGCTGCTGCTGCTGCTGCTGCTGCTGCTGTTGCTGGCGGTAGTAACCAAAGGGGTCCGACGCGCTTCCTGGATTACTCGGGTCGCTGCCCGTGGCAACTTCGGAGAGAAGCTGCAGTGGTGTGTTTACCCTCTGCGTCTGCTGCATTTGCGTCTGCACCGGCTGCTGATACTGCGTCTGCGTCTGCATCTGCGGCGTCTGCGTCTGCTGCTGCTGCTGCTGCTGCTGCTGCTGTTGCTGCTGCTGCTGTCGTGTCCCACCACCACCACTCTCCGTGCTGCCCTGCTTCACAAACCAGCTCCTCAGCATCGCCAGCACCACCAAAAACTTGCTCGCCGGCCTGCACTTGTCCTCCTTTGCCGTCAGCCTAAATTTATCCAGCAGCGCATCCAGATGCTCCTGCACGCGCATGCTCTCCCGCAACGACGACGACGACGACCCGGCCGCCGACGAAGCGGAAAAGTACATTTTCAGCAGCACCACAACTGCGTACGCGACGCGCACAAAGTTGAACACGGGCAGGCACCGAATGCTTTCCACATCCAGGGCCAGAAACGTTGCAAAGATGCCGTTGATGGCTGCGAGACACGCCGTTCGCGCTTCGTCATCAAAGTCGTCGACGTAATGCTGCTGCTGCTGCTGCTGCGACGCCGATGATGATGATGATGCGCCAAGCCCGTCGCCGCCGTCGTCGTCATTGCCGATATTGTCCGCGTGCAGCACCGTCTCGTGCATGTACAGCTTCAGCAGATCAAACGCGATGCGCAGGGTAGCCTGCATGCGCGCCGGCGGCACGCCCGCCTTGTACCGGTCCAGATCGCTGCCCAGCGCGCGCAGCGCCTGCTGCGTGCGCGCGTCGGCGCCCACATCCACCGCCGCGTCCGGATCGTCCATGGAGAGCTCGGCGCCGATTTGCTCGCCGATACGGTGCGTCCAGACCAAGTGGCAAAAGTACTTGTCGGTGGGCGCGGCGTCGGCGGAGCTCTCCAGCAGCGCCATGGACTCGCCCATAAAGGCCGTCCACCGAATCAGATTCGGCCGGTGCAGCGACATGGCCGTGTTGGACGCCAGGTAGTAGCACGTCAGCCAGGTACGCCGCGCCTCGAGGCTCGTCGGGTCCGGCGGCGGCGCCTTGTTGCGCAACAACGGATCGCCGCGCCACCCAGCACCACCACCGCCGCCGCCGCCAACAGCACCAAAGCTCATGCCCCCCGCCATTCCCTGGTTCCTCCTCATCCTGCCATTCGTCCTCCTCCCGAGCCCAATATCAATCGCCATGACGGCCGCCGTGTGAATCAGCTGATAAAACTTGAGCTCCTCAAAGTACTCTGGCGGCCAGTACCAAATCACCGCCACGTTGAGCGCCTGCACGAGCTCCAGGCTCTTCTCGCCCGTCACCATGACCTTTTGCGCGAGAATCTGCATCAGCTCCTTTTGCAGCACCCGCTGCAGCGCGTGGTCTTCGCCCGCCGCCGCCGCCATGAGCGCCAGGAACAGCACCGGCTTCGCCCGCCGGAGCTCCGATATCGTGATGCTCGGCGGGAACACGACGCCGGGCAGGTGCCGCACCATTTGCGTCTTGTACCGCGAAAAGAGTCGTGCCGCGAGCTGGAGCGGGACCAGCCCGCGGTCGACGACGTCGCCGTCGGTGGAGCGCGACGTGTACGCCGGCCAGCCGACCGAGGCCGCTGCCGTCGAGGGCTGTCTGTCGTCGGTTTCTGCATCGGCCGCAGCCGCCGCCGCGCTGCTGCCAACGTCCGGGGTGGTGGTGGTGGCGGTCGTGCTCTCCTCCATGGCCTTGCGTTTGCGGCCCGCCATGGTAATCAGCTGTTGAAAGGGGCTGTCCTGGTCCGCCGGGCGACCGGTATCCCACGGCGCCACCTCTCTCTCCCAGCTACCACGTTCCTGGTGTCCGCTACCGCTGCCGCCGCCGCCCCTCCTCCTCCGCCCCGGCGCCACGTCTTGCTGCGTTGTTGTTGCGCCCGCGCCACCACCACCACCAGCAGCTGTTCTCGCCTGCAGACTCGCCGTCAGGGCGTCAATTTTCTTTTCCAGCTCCGACACGCGACTGTCCGTCTTTCTTTGCCGCTTGCGCGTCGGCGCCGTCACCACGCAGCGGCGGTTCGCCTTTTTGCAGCGCCTGCAGGGTCCGTCGTTCGGATCCGGCTCGCACCGCACCTTGAGACCGCGGCAGGCCTCGCACGCGCGCAGCTTTTTAGGGTCTGTGGCGGCGGCGGCAGCAGAAGCTTGTGCCGGGGAGCCGGAGGATGGGCCGTCGCCGCGAGTGCCGTGCGATGCGACCGACGACGGGGACGATTCCCCTCCGCTGGACGCATAGCCCCCAGCGGCGCCCGAGCCACTCTCCTCCATTATATCGGGGTGGGAAGCCCTCTTCCCTTGGTAACAAGCCAAGATGAGGGGAAGGACTTGTTCTCCCCCTAGATTGTCGGTGCCACAGAGTAATAAAATAAAAACTAAAATAAAATAATAAAAACGCGCCCGCCCACCGATCGCACGTTTCTCAAATCGGTCCACCTAGACGCGCTCGCAGATCAAAGATGGCGGGTGGCTGGCCAATGTCCTGTCAGATTTTCGGGGCCAAATCATCCGTATGCTTATTGGCGCGCTGTTGCTCATCCGCGGAACAAAAGTTTCAACGCAACTTTTTTCCTTCTTTGGGAAGCCCACGGAGGTTCGCAAGCGCCGATATACCCGACTTTTGTTCTTGCGGGGGTTTCGTAGCTCCGTTGCCTCCGACCTTTTTTTTTTCTTCCCTTGGAGGGGTTACTTTGTTGTAGTGATGATGAGTCAGCGGAATTAACTTCTCGAGGAAAGCGATTGACCTTTGTCTTGTGAAAAAGAGTAAAAGACTGGGCAGAGACTGTAAAGACATGGAGAAAAAAACGATATTAAATGAGCATCGTGGCTCGGACAAAGGCCATCGATTCGCGCTCGGCGCAAGGTAGGGGGGACAGCTCCAAAGGTCGACGACATGCGTTCGCGGCAACAGAGCTGACAAACCGCTGCAGCCTGTCGGTATTATTAAGAACGCCTGCGCGCTTAGCCAATGCAAGTTCACAACTTTAAAAGTAAAGTCAATGCGATTTGGGAGGCGAAAAAAGTGGTCAGTTGTGAATTCACAATGCTAATTTGTAAGCCATTTCCTTGGCCGAATGTGTCACACGGACGGCGTCTCCGTTTCGAAAGGGCTTCTTGACACGAGCATCATTTGCAGGCCGTTCTCGAAGAATCGAAAAAATTCAACTTGTCATTATTCTATGAGTACTCTCGTTTTCACGTCTTGAACAGAAAATTATGAAGGAAATTCCCAAGTCCAGTCTGCACGTTGAATACTTTTCTCCAATTCAAAGAAACCGCAGTCGGGGCAAAATACCGAAAAAAAAACTTCCCCAATACCAAAAGAGAACCTGCCGAGAAGAGTAAACTCGACCAGTCGAGCATCATCCGACAGTACAAAACGCCGCGCTTATCCTAACCCAAAACAGTCCATTAATTGTAGCCTCCCAACCTGCGCATAAATGGCATTTCGTCCCTCTTTGCATAAATTCAAATCCAGTAAATTCCTGAACAGAGTGGTATCGCTGTGCGCCACAGGTGCTTGGGTATGGGAGTGGTCGTGAGGCGGAAACCCGCCAACAAATCAATCATTCTGGTATCATATAAAAACGCCAATTCCCCAATCGTCTTAGAAAAATGGTTCTAGTACAGAGAGCGACTGTTGCTTCCGCCGCTGCTCGCATAGACGGAACTCTCTCGCCGTTTATTTCCCCGCTCATTCGGCGCCAGATTCGAACTGCTACCAGGTCCATTGGGAGGCTGGAAAACGGCTCTGTCGTAAGCAGCCGGAGGTCGAGCGCCTGTACCGCCCGCTTGCTCCAGACCGTGGTTGTACTCGTATGCAGGCCGCTGTACTGCCGCACCCGAGACCTTACCTGCGTTTTGCTGAGCAAGGTGAGCTGGTTCATAGGCCGGACGGGTGGACCCCGTGGACGGTGTCGGCGACTGCCGGGCGGGAATCCTGCTCTGCGAAAGTGGCGGCGTGGGGGTCGATCTCGACGGCCCCCGTACGGCCTCGACTCTCGCCTGTCTGTGAGGCGAAGAGGCACTTCCCGACGATGTCGATGGTCGAGGTGCTGTTTCCTGGCGTGATGGACCGTCAGAACGCGACGACCTTCCCGCATGCGTCATCTGCACAGCCTCCGTCGCCGACGCTGTCGGAAGCTCGTATTCTTCAGGGTCAATGCCAAAGATTCCTTCAAAGTTTTGTAAGAATGTAGCAAAAACTGGCGCCGGAATGTTGAGCGTTGGTGAAAAAACAATGCCAACATTTCGTACTGTCATCTTGTTCACCGCAGAGTTGTTAATGATTCGAATGAGGAACGAAATAAGGTACTTGAGGAGAATCAGGTTGGCTTCCGGGAGTCGCTGAACAAGGTGGGCCATGATCGCAATCTTTTCATCGCGATCTGTGATTTCCGTCGTGTTCAAAAAGTCGAGGTGCAGATCGCGTGTAAGGATAGTCGAGGGCAGCTCTCTCAGGTACAACTTGAGCAGCGATGCCACAGCATGAATGTCATAGTAATTCTCGTCAGTGATGAGATTAATGTCCGATTCGTGATTGAATCGTTCGCGAATTTGCTTGATGACGGTATTCGAACCACTGAGGCGAAAAATTCCCTCTTCGTTGAGAGCATTATGAGCCTCCAGATACTGGATGCAGCGATAGATGACTGACGGCAACGGCACATCCACGTCGCGTGGCGGGTGAAATTGGACCGCTTCAGCCAGCGACGATCCAAAGACATGCCCAACGTGATATGTCGGGCCTTGCGACACTATCGCCGATCCGCTTTCGCTACCAGCCAGAGATTCCTGGCCATCCGACGACGATCTTGTCTTGGGCCCAAACCCGAAAAAGCTACGCTTCCTCTGCTTCTTATCCTCAGCAGACGGCTGAAGAGGCCCGAGCCTGTTACCCCACATCGAGGCGTCCGAAATCAAGTGAAGGTCCTTGGGAGCAGAAATCACCTTGGGGGTAGAGGTGGTTGGTGTATCACCCAAGTTCTGCAGGCTAGGCTGCTCGGGTAGACCAGGTGCAGCGTTGGGTCGCGCAGCAGAAGTACCATGCTGTGGCGCATCTCCAGCATTGGTCGAATCATAACGCACGCCAATGAGTCCATCAGACTCTCCAGCCTGTTGAGGGGCAGTTCGTGCCTGCAGAGACTTTTTCAGCTTATTTGCTCCGGTCGACTCTTGGTTCGGTCGGTCATGAGTAGCGGGCTTGGCTGCGTGGCTGTCAGTGCCTTCGGAATCCCGAGTCTCAATCCACTGCATCAGTGCATCGATCCAAGAATCGCGCTCTACGTCGTCTTCGGCGCAAAGTATGTGCTTGACATGGCTTGTTGAGTCCCTTCTTTTTGGTTCGAGAATCATAAAGGCATGTCTATACTGGTTGTCGTTGTCATCTCCGGTGCTGCAGGGGACAGGCGACTGATTGTCGCCTTTAAGCGGCTGATTATCGCCTTTATGCGACTGTTTATCGCTTTTAGGCGTCTGCTTTCCAATCTGCGCGCCTTGCAGCTTGATGGTCCCAAGGTGGGGGCCGCCGGGAGTCTCATAGTACTTCAGATTAAGACCGTCCAGGACAAAGAATCTGACCTTCCAGCCTCCAAAGTTCTTGCCCTTTTTGGTGAGGTAACCACTGCGCACTACGCGTCCATCAGGCGCAAAGCTCTGCGCGCTTTGATCTGGCGTCAACCTGGAAACGGCACCAATTTCGTCATCATTGGGGGCAAAAGCGTTAGTGGAAAGGTATTTGCACAGTTCGAGAGCTGTAGCCTCATCAAGCTCAGTATTGAGCAGTTCGTCCATATATTGCTCCAGGGCCTGTCGACGGGCATCCAGCTTAGCTGGCGAATGCCCGTTGAAAAGCGACTTTTCTGGCGTCTTTGCAGTAAAGACCTGGCATTGTTTCATGCGCTGATCAAGCTTAGATAGAGACAAAGTGTCCTTTTCTACACGCCAAAGCTCACCGCGGTCAGCTCTAGAGATGACGGCAAGAGTGAAGACGGGATCTTCTTCCAGTTGGGCTAGCGAGAGCAAGCTAGCTCGAGATGGCTTCATTCGGGAAGATGCAACTTTGATGTCGATGGACGGGAGGGCATTCGGTGGCAGGAGCAGGTCAGGGTATTCGTCCGTGGCTAAGCCCTTGAGTTTTTGTTTGTGCTCCGTCGGGCTTGCCTGCGCGTCTGCTGGCGGTTTCTCGTCCAAGTCGATCTGGCGTATACTAGGTACGTTTAAGGGTGAATCTTGCAAGGGCTGAGAAGGTGCGGTGGAGGAGGCGCTGGATGAAGTAGCAAGAGGAGTGTTTGGGGGTAGAGGGATAGGTTGGCGAGGCGGTCTCGGTGAGAGTGACATTTGACTTCGTGGTGAATGCGGGGGTGATTGGGCGCTCGTCTTTAAAGGTCGCGGGCTCATGGGCAAACCAGGGCTCGGCATGGGCGGTGCCAGTGCCTGGCCTCGCTCAGTGTTCAAAACAGCAGCAAGAGATGCGGTGGCAGCTTCAGGCCCTTGTCCTTTGGAAGCAGCCTGCGTCGGATTAGGCTCGTTGATATCGGGTATGGTTGCCGCGCGGTGGTCATGGTCCGGAGTGCCTGCATGTTCAGCTGAGCTAGGATTCAAAGTCGCATCGCCGGCAGCCCCTTTTATAAGATATCGATCAGGCTTATTCACATTCAACAAATCATCATATTCTGATTCAGAGTCGGAACCTTGACCAACGGGAGGTGAGGATTGCGTTGGACGACCCTTGGGCAACTGGAGAGGTGCAGGTGGCCCTTTTCGAGATGGAGCAGCAGGCTTTGAAGCGGATTCTTTCTTGCGGGACGGGGACTCTGGGCGGGATGGGAGCCGCGGTGGTGGCATCTTGGGAGGTTCAGTTGGGAGGCTTCGCGACGGCGGCATCTTGGGGGATTCAGTTGGGAGACTTCGCGACGGCGGCAACTGTACGTTGAATGGAATCTCACGCAGCGTTTCTTCGCCGCGCTGTTTTCGCGCCTGCTCTTCGACTCTTTCCTCGGCTTCGTGGTCGTAGTTATTGAGGGCGTGTTCCCGAGGCTTTGGCATGGAACGAGAAGGATCAAGAACCTCGGCAACGCCGGTAGCTGAAGCTTGGTGTTGGTGTGGGCGGTCCGCCGGCGGTGTAATGGGATAGGGCGCCATTGTGAGATCGACGGGAGAGTTCTTTTGACTGTCTGATTCGAGCACTGGGGAATCGGGGTTCATGACGTTGTGCGTATCCACATCCACCTGAGGAGTAGGACGAGGTTCCTGTGCACCACCTTGGGGGACGCGGCCTGCAGCTGCGCGAATAACGGAAGGATTATTGATGAATTCCTTGAGCTTTCTCCTATAACGTTCTTTATCTTTGAGGGCCGCCTCGAGATCCTTGTTGAGGCCGAGGATCATGGCTCGCTGCTTATCAACTAATCTCCATAGTTGGCTGTTCTGCTGCGACTGGGATTGCTTCTCTTTCAACAAGTACTTGATGACGGCTTCTGGGCTGCCGGCAGTTTGAATTAGATGAGCAATGTCATGAGACTGCGGGGCTGAGCTGGAGGCGCTTCCGTCTGGGCGTTGGGTTGACATGGCTGAGATGGCTGTATCAAGAGAGGAGTTTCTTGGCGCGGGCATGGCGCGGGCCAGAGCCGCTACAACGGGTGCATCCATGGAAAGGTTAGACGATCCTGGGGCCGCAGTAGGTTTCTCGGAAGTCAGTGGTTGGGAGACGCTGCGGTTGACGCTTGAAACATTAGGAACGCTTTGGCTGCTGCGGAAGACGATTAGCACCGTCAGACTGAAAGATTGCACAGCGTAGAGATGTAGACGAAGGCTGTACATACTTTGCGATAGCTCGGTCTGGACTCGAAGGGCCTGACGAATCCGAGTAAAAGGTCGTCTGCGCAGCAGGCTGATTGTGGCGGCCAGACTTACGAGGGCTGCCTCTAGAGTGCTCTCGTGATTTGCTCGTAGCCGGAGGATCGTATTGCTGTGTTGCGGAAAGTGGACTCGGGGCGGCAGGACGGGGTGATCTAGACCAGAAACAGAGGTCAGCGCCTGGGAAAGGGAACAAAAGAGATGGAGAGAAGGAAGAAGGATAGCGGGAAGGCGGGTAAAAGAGGTGCAGTATGTTGCAGACTGTGGCTAGCACAAGGTGATGGGACGGATGAAGGCGCCGGGGGTTGGCACGAGGGCAAGTACTGACTTAGGACCAGGACCAAGAGCTGCTGGCAGGTGAAGCAAAGGTTTTACAGACTGTGGCGAGTGAGGTCCTGCAGCGTGAAGGTGCTGCAAGGGTTGAGATTCGTGAAGAAAGGCGTGATGCGGACGCGAATCGTGCGAGGGGGCCGCGGCGACGTCGTGTTGCTGGGAGTCGAGGCGACGAGAGGTCGGAGGAGGCGGAGGCCGTCGTCGAGGGCTGGCAGGAGGGGAAGATGCGTACTGGGAGTACAGAGGTACGTCGGTATTGACGTCGGTATTGACGTCGACGTTGGCGTCTGTTGAAGGAGGAGCCGTGGTGGTGACAGCAGCGGCAGCAGCAGGGAGCCGGCCACGGGTAAATGCAGGCTGCGACATGATGCTGACTGGCGACAGAGTCAGGGTCGGCCAATTGGGTGGGGGGGGGGGGGGGGGGCTCCGTGTGAGGAAGAGGGTCTGCAGGGCCACTCTCGCGTAGGAGGGTTTCGAGATGGCTGTCCCGTCACCCTGATCAACGACGCATGAACGGAGGCGTGGCCAGCTCGGCAGGGGCGCGATGATGGGACGAGGACGGCTTCTGGAATTGCGGTCGAGTCTAGTAAGGGTAGTGACTGGACATGTGTTGAGTTGTCGATTGCTGAAGAGGGATGACGAGAAACGAGGAAGTATTAAAATCCGGTGATTCGTTTTTCTGTCCGGGCCGAAGTGCTGGGACGAGCACCGTTGATAAGGGCAGAGCAGTTGGAGGGAAAAAACGTCGTAAGTGGATATGATGGCACAGAAGATGGCACAGAGAGGGCCCCCGGCGGCAAGAGAGCAGAATGAGAGAGTAGTTCGGCGGAGAATAAGAAAAAGAAAAAAGAGAGGCAAGCGTAGGACAGAGAAAGAGAAGAGCCGTGATAATATCGCCAGCGCGTGTTTGGTGGAGTGGAAGAGCGACAGCAGCAGAAGCAGCAGCAGCCCAAGACGGATGAGGGGGGGGCGTGGAGGGGTGGCAAAAGGCGGCGGTGGGTGGGTATGGACTAGAGGGGTGCAAGCGTGCAAGGGCAAGAAGGGGTGGACGAACAGCCGGGACAGGAGACCTACTGTCATGATAGGTGGTTATTGGGACATGCGGATATTTGGGGGGGGGCCAAAGAGAGGATGGAAAGAGGTTTTGGGTTTGATTAGCGGCTTTACTGGGTTATTTTCTGGGTTTATCTTCTGGGTTTATCCGCGTCTTTTCTGAGTTTATTCTCTCGATTAATCGTGTCGATGTATCTTCTCCATTTATTTTTCTGGTGACTTGCAGCGTCCAGACGCTCTGTGGCCTGTTAATCCGTAGTGCGAGCGTGTACGGGTACAGAGCATGGATACAGATACAAAGGATCAAAATTCCGTCTCATGTCTGGACAAGAATAAATTAATGAACTCTTTTCTTCATGGACATCTTTTGTGCAGCAGCCCCCTTTTTCAATCAGTGACCAGTGACCACCGATGAACCGATGTAACAGCTGCAAGTCTAGAAGAGACAGGTGACGGGCCAGCACGGGCCAGCAGCCAGGGCCTTAGCAGTACAATCATAGCAAGGTTGTACCTGAGGTTTACAAGTAGGTAGGTACCTAAAGGTACTGTACAACGAGGCAGCGCTAACAGCATTCACAAAGTTTGGGTAGCAAGTGTTTGTCCCGTTGCAGAGAATCAAGGAGGGAAAAAGCAATGTTTATCGAAATCTCTTGAATCTAGGTATCGCCAGGCACCAAGCCAGACGAACACACAAGCGAGGGCGTGCGACAACAGCCTGCTGTGCGTCTGCAGACTGCAGTGCGCTTGCAGCCGGTGCAGCAGGGATGTCCTGCCGGGGCCGGTGGCAGGTGGCAGGCACTGCCAGGCAGCTGGCAGCCTGGTGGCAGCCTGGTGGCAGTTGGCAGGCCTGTCGGGTGTGGTCATTTTTTTGTTCTAGCGGGTCTCGGGCGGCATCTACCATGGTGTCCGTTGGAGACTCTGTCGTGGGTTTCTGGGGGCCAGTGTTTCTGACAGCACATTGATGATTGATATATTGATTGACGGGAATTCTCATCCGGTAATCTTTGGTGATTTGATTTTGATTGATAACTAAATAGAAGCTAAACAGTAAAAGAAATAGGCAATTCAAGACAAGAGGGTGGTCAAGTTCCCCCCTCTCCCGCCACTGTTAATATTACCGGTAGAACCCCCAGCATCAATCACCCCTGGGCCATGGCCTGGCCTGCACCCAGTCCCTCTCGTGATCCGCTGCAGCACACCTCATTTCCCTGCGATCAGACGTTCATGTCATTTCCCCTTTTTTTGCCAATATCCATCTATCTGCTACCAGTACTGCAAGGATTCAAACGAAGGCAACGAAACATGCTGCGCAACTGCGATATGGATAAGTCATCATCCCTCATCCCCAACCCTAGCCAGATCCCGTAGCCCCGGCTCATGTGCCCTTGATATTCGATTCAGACATTGCCCTCAATTTCCACGACTTTTTGATAAACAAAGCCCTACATTTGGTTCCTGCCCTATTATGTACGCCTGAGCGGCCGGCCTCGCCACCCGACTTCCGGCGTGGAGCCAACTCACAGACTCTCTTAATTTCGCATCCCGTCAAGGGAAAAATCAAAAAATTGAACAACACAACAGAACATGCAAAGTAAATCGCCCAATTCATCAGTCGCCTAGCCCTGCAACTCGACCCATCATATCCAACCCACAACACCCCGCTGGCTTGTTTCCACCTTGCTGCCCGGTCCCTGACAATCCCACCTCCAAGTTCCAACACGCTTCACCGCAGGTAAATGGTCAAATATCATCACCTTTTTAATAAAAGAACGCGTTCGTCAAGCTTTGGTTCCTGGCTCGACTCGTGCCATGTACTGGTATACTCACAGAAATGCCCCCCCTCCTCTCCCTTCATCTACCAGTACGGATAACGCACAGGAACCAAGTACATATTACATGCTTCCGATGCACAACCCGGCATCTCTCCGGATCAGCCACACCCCATCTAATCCGTACACCACCACTGTATTATGTACTGCGTAGTCCATCTACGGGAGTACTCCGACATATCAGTTGATACATACCTCGTAACTACCAGTACAACTCCCTCCTAGCGCTGCTTCCATCACACCGCGCCGCCTTGCGTTCCAGGGATCAAGCCCCAGTCCCTCGGGGGGTTTTTCTTCCTCTTTCTCTTTGGGCGTTTTGGGCGTCTAAATAATCTCGTGTCCCGCTCTGCACCAAAAAAAAAAAAAAACACTGGCCAGCCTGGGGGACCTGGGTCTCTTCTTCTCCATACTTTTAAATTACTGAGTAGCAACCATCCGAGGGGCGGGTGGGGGGTGGCGTGCGGTGTCTATCCGTAGCCATTGCAAGCATTTAACAATGATTAGCCCATCTTTTTTCTGCTGAATATTTTGTGCAAGATCAGGAACCCGGACAAACTGCCAAGCCTTTTTTCAATCGTATCCGCCCGCTTAGACGCCCTCGTTAATCAAGGTCCCGTCGCCAAAAACCCGATAACAACACAGAGTTATGGACTAAACAGAGCATAGCCTATTCGAGCAGGACACAGCCAACGCGTCAAATTCATACTTGACTACCTACTTGGTGTTGGTCCCTAACTATTCATGCCAACAATGTCGTCAGTATACCTTGTTCGACGGAACAGCGCGCCCATTCGACTGCCGTGGTGCATGCCGTCCATGCGCTCTGCTCCCATCCCCCCCTTTCCCCCAGACACTCCTCATACGCGAAGTTCTTGACACTAAAAAATTCGGTAGTACCCGTTGACTGAGTTGAATCGATTCCTTTGCCGTAAAACGCTGTCTTTGCAGACCTTAATTTTTCATTTATTTTTTTTTCCTCTCCTTTTTTTTTTCTTCTTCCTCCGTGTTCCGTGTGACAATCCTCTGTCTCTTCGCTCTCACTTGCATGGAGATGCCTGCATTCGACATACTGCAGGTCCTTTCCCCCGCTTACACGAAGCAATGCGTTTCACCTGGTCAATGGCATCCCCTGTATCCGATCATGGTGATGAAATTTGTCAGCGTGTTCTTTCCTTACTATTAATAGGAAGCTCGCGAGTCCCACCTGACAGCGTGGGGATTCGCAGCTCGCTTACTGTTTTGAATCCCTGGCTGCAATGTTTCCGTCATCAAGACATTCAATGAGCCAACGGGTTGTGTTTATTTGGCATGGTACGTTTGTGCTTATTTGGCACGTTATATTTGTTGCTTCTATGAAGCAGTGTCTCTCGCCCCTATCATCTTGATTTGCGACGAACAGCCCATCTGTCCCTTACGGATACCAGTATTGGTGTATGTATTACGGATATCTGAGTACATTGTTCCACTTTCATGTTTCTCTTTTCAGCGCCGTTTTTCTGTAATTACCGTCTTTAAAAAAAATTCCAACCGTTCATCCCTCGACTGTTCCACCTGACATGACGATGATTCAGACTCATTACTAGACGTGTCCAAATCTCGTAAGCCAGCATTCCCCCAGCATGGTATTTTTTTTTCTCTTTTTGCTGCGCAAGAGGGCATAAAATAGTCATGTTTCTTGTTTTATTCTTGTTATCCAAAGCGCCATTCCACATCAGCTCACCTTGGCTTAAGAAAGTGATTTCATCAAGGGCGTGCCTTGGATATAAACTTGGATAAAATATAGACTATGCATTTCACAAAAACAGAAAAATGTCGAGTTTCACCTCTACCTGAACACAGAGAAACAGCCGTGCACATGTATGCTACAGCAAACGCCTGCACGACATGCCAAAAGGCACAACCGGTCGTGGGTGCGCGCCGTGTAACCTTTTACCAAAACAACGACGTCTTGCACAATCGGCATGGCATTCTTCTTCTTTTTTTTTCCCGTCACCTTGTTCATTTGGCGCTCAAACCATGTCACACCAACTAGCCTTGGCGTCTCGACAAACGATGGTTTGCGTGTGCGTGCAAGTCCACCCTTGTTTCATACACCATCGCTCAAAAAAAATGTCCAAACTTTTTCTCTGAGCAACTTTTTTGAGTCGTGGCGGAACCGTATCAACAATAACCGTCACCGTTGAATCATGAATCGAGGCCTCAAGAATCAGTGGGATTATTGTCTTTGGTGCCATTATTTTGTTTTAGATTGCTCCCGTGCTGGACCGTTTCTTGGTGATGTGAAACAAAAAGTGGTAGACGATAAACTAGCCACGTTTTCCCACATCAACTTCAAACATTAAGAACCAAGTCTTCCTTCACAAGTACACATGTTTTGAAGACCAAGCATAGTTGATATCGTCACGACGATTACTCGTGTGCGTTTTCCATCTCCATGAATCGAGCCAGCACAATGCAGTCGGAACGTTTTTGCACCCATGTCCTTTTCCACCTATAACACCAAATCATTATCACGTCTGATATCGTTGACCCTGTTTCCAGCTATAGACTCCTAGTCAAGTGACCCTTTTTTCCTTTTCCCCAGGCGCCCACTGCAAGACGACACCTTTGTTTCAGAGCTGCCCTGAATGCCCCGTCATGCGTAGCGCGACCCCTGGGACTTACTTGCTGCTTGTTAATAAATAATGCCCTCCACCGCAAGGCCGGGAAAGCCCTTGCTCTTGACGTCACCTGCCTTTCCCTCTTGGCCGAGGCGGCATAAATACTTCCGTGCCTGATTCCCAGCCGCCGAGCTCGTGAGTCGTCTGATGACGGTCATTGCAAGTTGCAAGTCGCAGTGTCGCGTTTCACATGTAGCACTCCCCCCGCCACGAGTCTCTTTTTTTTTCCAGACCTATAACTTGACTTGATATACCTCTTTTTTTTTTTGGCTTGTTTGCTTCTTTTTGTTTTCTTCAACCAGTTTTCCTTTGCTCTTTTTCCGACGCATAAATAGTGTCCACGTAGCTAAACACACAACAAGCCTAGGCTGCTCGGCGCCGCCGCGTACCGGAGACGGTGCCGCCAGAGCGCCCGGGGGCCCACGTTGGGCGTCAACAAGTCGAGGGATTTACCGCGCATTGAACACCAAGTTAAACCCAAGGGCAAAGGGAAAAAAGTCGTCAATTTTCAGAGATGGGGTTGCCCAATTTCGTGTTACGGGACGAGCCGCGCGCCTCATAGTTTTTCTGCTTCATCTCGTCTTTCTTCAGCAGATATCCCGACTTTGTTGCGCCAAGTGGCCCTCGTGTGACATTCATTTGCCTTGTCTCACCCCCATCCCACGTGGACACGACGACACCAAAAGACATATCCCAAAGGGTCCCCTCGTAGTACAACTCATCAAGAGCGCCCGTAACTCGGTTTACGCAGCTTAAGCGCATGAACAGTAGGGTTTCCTGTTTTTCTACCTAGTCATGAGCACTGTGCGTGCCTAGCGCTAGATGCCCAACCTGCTATACAGCTGAAAGAGCTGACCCAGAAAAGAAGAATGGCCATTGCCCACATTTGGGCATAACTACATCTTTTACATCTTTGGGCCAGTTACGGGCATCATCCTCGGCATGGTCCTCGTGGCCCGTGGGTGGATAAGTCTCAATCAGACCCAGACTTGAGAGCCGATGAAAACACCGACGTCACTTGTCCTGAATGATGAGGGACACCTTGGCTGAATACATTCGTATACTTCACAGCCCCCACGAGAAAGATGCCCGCTGAAAAAAAAAATAGAAATTCCTTGGCAGACACTGCTTGACTGCTATTCGTGCATGTAGCTCGTGGAGTCGTGATCCATCAATCGACTTCCCCTCCCTCCTCCTCCTCCTGCCTTGCTTTTCGGCAACCATATACCGTTCCCACCCAATCTCGCGCCATGCCTTGCATTTCTTCTTTATTTAGTCTGTGAGCTTATCTCATACTACCCAAAGTGTTTCCAGTTTTTTTTTGTGTCTTTTTCCTTTTCCTTCTTCTACTTCTTCTGCTTCACATCTTCAAATTCCAACTGTCTTCAAGTAGTTCTCATCGTCGCATCGCGGGCCGCGGTCGCGCAGCGCCACAAATACATATCCTCAGCCGCACTGGGGGGACACTCGTGACATCATCACAGCAAACGGGCTCAGACGACAACAATAGCATACATACATCTTGCACCAAACACTTGCAAACCTAAAAAAAAACAACACTACACCATGGGTAAGCTCTGGTTTTTAATTGTTTCCCAACTCCTCTCGGCCTAGTCCTCCTCACTACCAAACCCAAATAAAAGTCTAAACAAAAAACTCTTTTGCTTCAGGTCGTCACTCCAAAAAGAAACTCTATCTTGAGCGTCCGCCGCCCGACGAGCTCCGCAAGCGCACCCGCATCACCCGCATCGCGCCGCCCTCACCACCTCCTCCATGCCGCGTGCCCGAGCCCGCGCCCGTCGTCGTCTGCCCCCCTCCTCCCCCTCCCGTGCCGTGCCCGCCGCCGCCATGCCTGCCGGAACCCGAACCTGAGCCCATCAACGTCATCGCCGTCGACGTGGACCCCCCGTCGCCTCGGCCGCGCCATCGCCACCGGCCCCGTCGCGACAAGGAAACCATCATCGAGCGTGACCGCTTCATCCCCGTCCCTTACCCCGTCCCGTACCCCGTCCGCGAGCCTGTGCCCTATCCCGTTCGCGAGCCCGCCCCGGCTCAGCCCGCCCCCGTACACGTCCACGTGTCCGCTATAGAGACCAAGCCCCCGTCGCCGCCACCACCGCCGCCGCCGCCGCAGTTTCGCTACGTCGATGCGCCGAGGAGATGTTCGCCGTCGCCCCCGAGCACCTCGTGCGAATCCGATGACGTGGACCGCATCCACATCAACATTGAGGATCGTCACCGTCATCAGCATCGCATCAAGGAGCATCCCGAGAGTTATTATGACCAAGTGCACTACGACCGCCGCCGCTCCGATCGCCCAGTCTACCGCTACTAAGGAATTTGCCTAACGACCTTTTAATGATGAATGAGAATGCAATCATCTCGACAGCCAGCGGCAGCAACCTATCATCAGCCAGTTCACCAGCTTCAATGTTTTTTATTAGGAGAGGCCTGGTGGAACCTGTTTTGCTTTATTCAGTGTTTATTCAGTCCAACATGTTGTATAAATTTGATAATTCTCACAATCATGTTCTTTGTGCTCGTCGATTGTTCTGCTCAGTGTTGACTTGGTTCACATGTATAAAGTGATGATTCTCGACATCATGTCCTTCGTCCTCGTCGCCGCCTTGCCCATCGCCCATCATCATACGGGCTGAATGCGTCCTCCGTAAAAGTCTGCCTCCTACTGTAGCGCTGGGGCTTATCCTCTTCCACGTCCGAATAGTATCGAACCTCTACCGGCTCTGCCGTGGCGCCTCCGTATCCCGTCATGACAGAGCCGCCTACGTCCGGCTGCCGTCCGCTGAGCCACCGCACCACGTTGCCGAGCTCATTCATCCACCAGAGCCCGACGACAATCACCAAGATGGTCACCGGCAGTGCCACCACCCAAAACAGCCATTGACTATAGTCCATGTCCCGAACATCCGACGTGTTCATACCAAAGACGCTAGCGACCGCGCTCAACGGCAGAAAAATGATGGTGACAATGGTGAATGCATATACGGCATTCTCCTGTCGATCCTTGGTCCAGTTCATCTTGAAGGCAATAGTCCGTTCCAGATCATCGACGTATTCCACGTATCGTCGAAACTCAAAGTCGCGCTGGTCCAGTTGTCTCGAGTTTTCCGTCAAGAGCAGACCCCGGAAGCCATTCTTGTCTGTAGGAGACACTTTCAGAGTCGCATCAAAGCTAGTGTGCTCTTCTTCCTTTCGGCCTTCCGCGTAGTACTCGTTGCGTGTGCCTCTGATATGGTGAGCATACCTGGCACGAGGAATATAAGCATCATCGTCCACGCCTCGGAAGAAGTCATTCATCGCGTTTCGGTACATTGTTTGCTTCATAGTTGCAATGATGTGTCGCTGACGCGTCACCGTCCTTCGCACCGCCGAGAGCTCTCGCCTGACAAGGTCGATTCGATGTTGATACGATCTATCAGACGGCTTCGTGGTAATATCGTTGTCCTGTCACGTATAAGAATGAGCTTCGAAAACGGGGGGGTGCCACCTTACCAAAGATGCCAGATACTGCGAGTACGTCTCGTTAATGTCGTCGGGCTGTGACGCGCGGTCCTGCATCAGCTCGAGCACTGCCAGACAAGCAATCTCAAAAGGTTGCAAAACGACGCTGTCGAGTAAGTCGTGGGCTGGAAGCGCCTGGATCATCGTGTCCATTCCATCACTCAACAGTCTTCTTTCGGCAATTGAAAAGTGTGACTCCCATGCGGCGTCTCCGGCCCGACACAAGACCAGACCGCTGACTATATGGAGCCAAGCAGTGACAAACTGCCGCGGTGCCTCTAGTTTGAGGCGGTACTGACTAGGTACATGCGACATGATGGCTTGAAAAGCTTTAATCTTGGGGAACATCAAGCGTAGGGACCTCAAAATAGTTTCCTGGTGTGCTTGCAAATCGCGCCGTCCGCGTCGCGGGGGTGCATCTTCGGTCGTTTTGCCATGCGCGCTTCTAGCACCGCTAGCCAAGTCCAAAACAGCACCCCAAAACTTGCCTGTCGTGGGACCATTGCAGTCCAGTGGGAGGAAGAGTTGAAATAGATACTCGGCAATGTTGAACAGCTCTATCCCATCTTCGTACTCACGCTTCCGGACATCATCCTTTTCGTCCTCAACTTTCACACCCTGCAGTTTCAGCTTTTCTAGTACTGCCTTGTGCGTAATGTCCGTGCAGCTGCTGTAAGCGGCTTGCGTGGCGTATGCTGGCTGCTCCAGCAAGAACTTATCAGCTGCTTCCAGCTGCAGTCTCAGCTCAGATTGTATCACAGGTGGTTTCTCCTCTCCTTCGCTGCTTTGAACAATGAGGGCCAAAGTGTGCAGCAGTGTGTCACTGGTAGTGGCGCTTACTTTTGCGGCCTCCTCCTCTGCAGTTGGAAGAGCACGAGATGCTACAGATCTTTCACGACTGTAACGTATTAGACAAGTCCTGGTAAGCGATTACCACTTTGACACTTACTCCGCCGTCAGAGTCAGCACCACATTCTTGTGACGCTTGGTACTCAGAAATCTGAGAAGCTTTGGCCAATCTCGGGCATACAAGACAGTATCTTCCTTTTTGAATTCCAACATCATAGGCCAAAATGCCGTAAAGTGGGCAATAAAATCCTACATATGTTAGTGTACACTCAGAAACTGCGAACTACGTCGCTTACAAACCACGTGGGACACTGCTCGGGGCTGAAGCTCCAGGTCAGGGAGCTCCCATGCCTGACCAGTATTCGTCCTGGTGCCGAAGCAACCGATAATGCACGAGACGGTTCAGACGTAAGCTTGATCACATTGCCCTCGAGCTTCGATCGTGACATACTGCCGCAAGTAACAAGTAGACCTGAGCACAACGGTCAGTATCAAGTAACAACCTGAAGAACAGCATCAGCCTTACTGTCGCCGATCATCAAGCACCACAGCTGCTCAATATGAAAGCATTCTCCTTTGCTTGCAATGCCCAGCTCGCACACTGCTTGCTGCATATCCCTCTGTTCTGTAGTCCTCGAGTACTGGGATTGTAGCAGTGTCTGAGAAGGAAATGAAGCCATACTGGAGCCTGCTAAGAGTCCAGAGTACTGCTTCAGTATAAAGAATGGCATACAAAGCCATCTGGCCATGGTCGGTGGGGGCTCGTCTCGATCTAGGTCGAACTTCTTCTTTGGGGGCTCAAGTGGTGTTTGCAAAAATTGAGGCTCCAGGTAGCCAACGTTAACACCCTTGGGATTGAATCGCGTTTTTACACACAGACGGGTGACATCAGCGCGAAGTCGATTCGTAGCCCGTCTCTCCATGTCTGACACATGGACTCGACGTGGGATTTCAGCCTAGGAATGTCAATTGACGAGTATTATTGCAGCTGGAGCTCAATCCTTACCCAGAACTCGTCAAAATTCATGACCTCTTGTTGTATATGTCTGCATTCACGTCAGCCATAGAGCCCGATAGCTGTTCAGCAGACATACAGCCATTTGAAGAGCTCGCCACTGCCATTGTGTATCTCGGTGAGCTGAGCTGTGTGGCTACCTCCCGTTTCTGCATCTCCTGTGTAGCGTGAATAATAAATTTGTTTGACTCTCGAGTCATCCATCAATCGATTTGCATCGACTGGTGAAGTGTCCGGGTCAGCAGACGAGGTATCAAAACTTAGGGAGTCGCTGTTCTTGGGCGCCTCGGATTTGCAATCGAAGCTAAAGTCTTCGTAGTTTTCCCAATCTATCGCTTCCCGAGTAAACGGGTATATGGCTCGCACAGATGGTGATCTACTCCACGAGCGAGTCCTTGTTCTCACGCGGGCAGGAGGACTGGGGGACCTGCCACGAGCACGATCTTCGACATCGCTTGCTTCCGACTCTGGGGATACAGATGCGGACCGCTTCTCCGCTGCTCGATGCTTTCTGTCCTGTCTATTTGAACGCTCCACGAATATTTGGCGAGGCTCCTGTATGCCAGGGGGTGAAGGGCTGGTCCTGAACCTGGACGCGTACAGAGGAACTTCTTCCGCAAAAACAGCAGGTCGGGGCTCTACCCTCGCTATGAGGGGAGTTGCCATTGGCTCATGCTGTGTCGCCATATAGCGACTGTAGCCAGCGACAGGACGTCGCCTCGGACGTGAGCTGCGGCGCGGAGGATGGTAATTAACATTGTAGTTGGACGGTAGCTGTGCACGCCGCCTACCGGGCTCTCCTTCGTAGTAGCTACTTCGTCTCTCAAAACGCAAGTTAGCATTTTTGCTCGAAGAGGTGGCAATGAGCTGCCTACCGGCTCGACACGATATGTCCGATGGCGCGGCGGTCGTGTCCGACGGTCTTCTTCACTACTGTAGAACGGGTCCATTTCCTATTCGTGACTGGATTCCCGTCCAGTAATTAGATTGAAGATGTGACGGAACCTCAGGGTTGAAATTTGGTCCCTGAGCGGGAGCGAGGGCCGGGCCGTTGGAAGAAGAGGCTGAGATGTTTTATGGTGCTTACCAGCTGGCAGTCCCCAGTCAACCAATTAGGTAGTTCGCCGTGATGGCTCAGCCGCAGTGCACAGCAGGACATAAGTGCGATGCCACGTGAAGTCTAGGATTTTTGCATTCAACGAGAAATGTGAGAAATACTCAGTGTCTGAGTGTTGACATTACTGTGATCTTGGGTATTCAAAGCTGCTCCTATCAAAATCCAACGTTGTGCATCCCTTGGTTGTCGAGCCAAATTCAGCGGGGGCCATAACGCCAACGGCTCACTACCTAGCTGCCACCTTGTGTGCTTTCAGCCAGGCACCACTTGCATCGCCATCACCCCGCCACCCACGTCCTTGATCTGCGCGCTCTGCCTAAACAATCTTGCAATTTTATTACAATGAGCAAGACAATATCCATTAGCTCTTCGGAGCAGCTTGGAACAGTCTTTGGATCGACTCCGATTGTCGTCGCCAACAGTAAGCCGCCGCCGCCCATCACCCCGCCAAACAAGCTCTTGGTTCTCGCATTGCAGGACATGGACAGCGCCGTTCCTTGATGCTCGACGCTGCTGACCGTCTGTCTCTTCTCTGTAGTATATTCCGAGTTGTCTGAGCTCAGTAGTCAATTATCCGCTGTTTACGAATCCCTCTCCAACTCCCTTTCGCGCGCCGGCCGAATTTCCTTCGTCAAAATCGATTTCGATAAAAATGCCGACCTCGCCAAGAGCCACGGCGTCACCAAGGCCCCCAGCTTTCTGATTTTCCGTGACGGCAAGGTCAGGGACAAGGCTCAGGGTACCAACCCCCTCGAACTGAAAAAGTTTGCCGAGAAGATTGCCAAGGAGGCCCAGGCCCTCGAGTCGGGCTCCAGCAGCGCCGCCGCGTCCGGCTGGAGAGGAGCAGAGCTGCCTCGCGGCTATAGCGATATTACGGACCAGGTTGAGATCAGAGACTGCGAGGTCCTGAACGCCGACGATGGGGCTGGGACCGTTCGCACTCTGTTTGATACTGCGAAACCCAGTGGTCTTGACAAGGGCAAGAGCACAGCTAGCTCGGCCAAGGATTGGGTGCAAAGCGGTGCGGATGACCAACTGCTCCTCTACATTCCCTTCCAGTCTACCGTCAAGTTACACACAATTCAGGTAAGGAATGGCCCATAAAATTTACGGGCCTGTGCTGACGTTACGGTAGCTGACTTCGTTGCCCTCGGCTGACGACGAGGGCGAAGTTTCGAGACCCCACGTCATTCACCTTTTCATCAACCGTCCGCAAAACATGGACTTTGCCGAAGCCGACGACTCAGAGCCGACTCAGGTCATCAACCTCAGCTCTGACGACTGGAATGAGGATGGAACTGCCAACATCCCCTTGCGCTTTGTCAAATTCCAGAAGACCTCGACGGTCATCATATACGTGCAGCAGGGCGATGGCGAGGCAGAGTCTGTTCGTCTAGACAGGGTGAAGCTGATTGGCGAAGCTGGCGCAAAGCGGGAATTGGGCAACCTCCAAAAGGTTGGAGACGAGGAATAAGATTCTGAAGCAGGCTTTCGAAATGAGCAAACAGTCTACCTGTCAATGGCGTTATGGGAATATTCAATGATGCGTGCATACGGAGGGACTATTGATGTCTGAGAGATCGAGTGTAGTTAGAACTTTTGCATTCAACTGAGACAGTGACTTTGATTCTCATTCGCGCTGCACCGTGCCGATGGATAATGGGAGCGAGTCATCAGCTCTAGTTCACCACAAACAATCAAATACGTTAAAGGTTAAATAAAAGTTATGTCCAGCCTCCCTACCGCGACGTCTGTGGAATAGCACAAGACACCAGTTTGGTAAGGTGGCCGGCTGCAATTAAATTTTCTCTGGGGCATAACTGACGCTTCGATCTATCCATTGAGTGGGATTCGAGCAACACGGGTAATATTTTCAGGTTATGCCAGCCGCACGAAGAGAAAAAAGAAGAAGAGAAGCGCAGCTTTGACGGCCCGCGAAGAATTTTATGTGTGGTCCAGTCCACACCGTGCTTAGTCATCCGATCCCTTTACAGGGTAACAGTCCCGGCTTATGATTCTGTAGCATTTGCGTGTAAGTCCTTGACTATTTTGCCTTATTGCCATTGTAAGGCTTCTCAAAGTTACTCGGGCAATCAGGGTACTTTCAATGCTGTTGATAAAGAAGGGAAAAAACTTTCACGGACTTTGGTGGTAATGATTAACCGCCAACAGGATCGCAGCGCAATCGAAGACCGGTGCACAACACAGCCCAGATGCGTATATCACAGCAAAAGTACAGAATCGGTACCAAAGACGGACTCATTAAAAAAAAGGGCCAACGAAGAATGCACAACTATACGAAATACAACACATTTTCAATAAGATCACACTATCTTTTACATCCTCGGTGTGCCTCCAAACCTGGTCACTTGCATGTGCCAGGTGGCAACCTGCTTGCCTGCCAGGCAACAGGCAGCACTAACAAGGCAGGCAGGGCTAGGTATGACTTGCACTAGCCACATGGCGTCACGATTTGCGCCACAGTGACGTCCACGTTCTACACCTGAACAACTTCTGGAATACCAACGGCGAGCGTTTTCTTTACTGCTAAACCGCACACAGAAGCGGATAAGAAACATTCGTCTGTGCCTATCAAGATGTCGACCCCGCCTCCCAACTATTGTAAGTGTAACAGCCGTCCTGCACGCCAAACCTCCGCATACTGACACCAGACGGCGCAGATGCGATCCTAGAAGTCCCAGATAATGCGTCACTGGAACGTATTAGAGAGGCTTACAAAAGGTATACTCCCACATGAAACAAACCAACATCCAATACATATACTCACCGTCAAACCTAGAGCTGCGCTGAAAACACATCCTGATCGTGTCCCCGAGGGTTCACCAGACCGGGCCGAGCGCACGCGCAAGTTCCAGCTCGTCAACGACGCCTACTACACGCTGTCGGATCCGACCCGCCGCCGTGACTACGATGCGCAGCGCAAAATGTTCAACCGCGCGCCGTCGAGCGACCCGTTCGCCGAGGCCGACGACGACGCGCCGCCCGGATACTCGGCCGGTGGCGACGGCACCAGCCCGTTCTCGTGGGCGTGGAACTTCTTCACAAAGGGCAACGGCGGGGAAGAGCGCGAGCGCACGGAAAATGCGCAGTTCCGGGATGTTTTCGAGGAGATGATGCGCGAGCAGGGCATGGCTGAGGATGGGACGAATCGCCCGACGGGCAAGTTCTGGAGCATCGTCGGTGGGCTGAGCGGTGGCGCGCTGGGCTTCATTCTGGCCAATGTGCCCGGACTGGTGGCAGGTGCTGTGGCTGGAAATAGGCTCGGCGCGGTGCGGGATGCCAAAGGAAAAAGCGTATACGCGGTGTTCCAGGACCTTCCGCCGGATGACCGCAATAGGTTGCTCAGCCAGCTCGCAGCCAAGGTGTTCAGCCATGCAACTGGAATCTAATCTTGTAAGCCGTCATGCGTACCGGCATTAAACGCCCCAAAACAGGGCAACTTTAGGTAGCTTTGAATTATAGAATCGAAACTCGCGATACCCACAAACGCACCCTTCCCGAGGAAACGGATTTCGTAAGTCTGTAGCTTCAACTGTTTCTTCAACCATTCAAAGGACGATTTATCAGCAAAGCATGGAATATAATATCATGGCATGAAAAAGAAACAAAGTACATTTTTACCCAGACACCGTATTTTAAATTTCATAAACTCCCTGAACCAGATGTCCGATCTTCAGCGTAGCCATATCTTCTTGTAGTAAAGGTATCGTAAATCCAATCGCGGACCATTGACCAAGCCTCGTACTCATGCAATTATATATCCTATCGTCGGGGACCAGGGTTGAAGCCAGGGGGGCCGCCGCCGGGAGGAGGCTGGAAACCGTGAGGAGGAAAGCCAGCAGGAGGAGCGCCTGGGAAACCAGGAGGAGGAAATCCGCCAGGGAACTGGGGGGGGCCTGAATAGTTGTTAGACATGCGATAGCCAACGTGTCGGCGTTTAGACCACTTACCGCCGCGACCAGCAAAGCCAGGAGGAGCGCCGGGGAATGCAGGTAGACCCGGAGGAGCACCGCCGCCAAGACCGGGAGCAGGACCCTATAAAGAGTCAGTACAACGATTCAATTTGCGGCTTGCAGGCAGAGAATGCTTACAGCGAGGGAGGGAGCGGGCGCGCCGCGACCAGCAGGCTTCGCAACACCGGGGCCAGCGCTCAAAGCCGAGGCGATACCGCCGGGTGCGCTCTTTCCTAGTCGTGCGCTGGGGTCTGCGGGAGGAGGTGACTCGACGGAGAGCGATACAATGTACGCGCCGCGAACGATCGTGAGGCCGAGCGTGCGCTTCTCTTCGGACTCGACGACGCTGCCGCCTGCGCCGGGCGCAGATCTTTCTTGTCGTCTCTTCACGCGTCGAAACTCTTCGGTATCTGCGAGAACTAGGTTCATGTGCTATAAAAGAAGTTAGCAAAGGAAACATGGCTTTCAATGTGCCTGCAATCACCTTGTCGAAAGCGAGCATCTGGCCCGTCATCGCTCGACCATCGTTCAACGTCACTCGCATGCGCCAGTTAATCTAGACTCAGATATTAGCTTCACCCTATTGCATCGCACTCGAGGTAACGGCCGCGCTGCAGGGACGCATTGCGCCTTTTCAAAAGGTAACGTACATAACCGGCCTAGGCAGACATGGAATTAGCAATTGTATATGAGCGGTGGGGGATGAAGCGCGGTCTCAACATACCATCTTGCCTTGCTTGTTCGACATTGTGAAGGATTTGGCGAGAGCTTGCAGAGGCAGCTTCTCAAATGTTCAAAAATTGGTATATTCGCGGAGCTCTTACGCGACCGCGGCAAACTTCAATGCTTCAAGCTCAGAAGTTTAGGTATGACCCAGAATTTGCGGAGCCTGATTGGAGAGGCCAGAAAGAAAGGTACATCTGCCATGTATCATTCACCGCCCAGCCGATACAGGTATAGCGTACCCACATTTTAATCGGCCACAGATGAGGGCAGACAAACCCTCGAATTTTCCTCGCTATCACAAAATCTTTTGATCTCCTTACGCCAGTTTCAACCTCACGTCAAGGCACATCAACCACCGTCGACAACCAATACCGCAGCAATGGCGTCCGAGAAGGCTAACAACCCCATGAGGGAGCTCAAGATTCAGAAGCTCGTTCTGAACATTTGCGTCGGCGAGTCTGGTGACAGACTGACCCGTGCCGCCAAGGTGCTTGAGCAGCTTTCTGGTCAGACTCCTGTCTACAGTACGATTTCTCCCGTCTCCTCGCGCTGCGCACGCAATTGAGTCTAACACGCGACTACAGGCAAGGCCCGTTACACCGTCCGTACCTTCGGCATCCGTCGTAACGAAAAGATCTCCGTTCACGTCACCGTCCGTGGCCCCAAGGCCGAGGAGATTCTCGAGCGTGGCCTCAAGGTCAAGGAGTACGAGCTCCGCAAGCGCAACTTCTCCGAGACTGGCAACTTCGGCTTCGGTATCTCCGAGCACATTGATCTCGGCATCAAGTACGACCCCTCCATTGGTATCTACGGCATGGACTTCTACTGCTGCATGACCCGCCCTGGTGAGCGCGTCACCCGCCGCCGCCGCATGAAGTCCACCATCGGTGCCTCTCACCGCATCAAGCGCGACGAGACTGTCCGCTGGTTCAAGTCCCGCTTCGACGGCATTGTCCGATAAATGCACAAAAAGTACCTGGGAAGGAATTTTTTAACGGATTGTCATGGCGAATGTTTTTTTAAGGGTTTCAATGAAAACGGAACGGAACAGGCGATATTTGTATTCAAGTTATCTATGCATCAGCTCGACAAGCAATTTGTGTCGAGCTCGGCCCTAGAGACCGACCGGCGTCCTGCCGGCTTTATATCTGCTTGCGAATGTGATGAACACATTTCCCTTGGCCTATCTTCTTTTCTCTGCTGTCTCATTGTGGTTGTCACCGACTGCAATGCCACGATTGAGCTTGGAAACGAGCGTGAGCAATCGTCTCTTTAGTGAATCGAATGAACTGCCTGCCTGCCGTAAGCAGAGCCTTCCATGTCCTTAAATCTATCGTCTACTCCGTCTATCAGTAGAGATCGAGTTATAACGCCAGCTTATAGCTTGGAACATGTCGTCTCTCTCTCACCAATACCTACGTGCCCAGTAAAAAGGTCAGCGAAGTCATCGTATATGGTCATTTACCTCTCATCGAAATTTTTAATGAACGAGCCTATACCAATTTGGAGAAGCCTCACTGGACTGACGCATAACATCACCAGTCTAATACTTCCAGTTCAGCGCGGCGAGTTGCATTGCAAATTGAGACTACTCATTTCTCATTCACTCTTTGGTCGCGGTGGAATCAATCGGCACGTCGATGTACAGCCCGCACTCGATAATCGCGTGCGCTTCACCCATCAGATTCTCGATACCGTCATGGCCTCATGTTGTAGCGATATGGACAACGATGTGCCGAGTGCTGTGGAGGAAATTTTTCAATTTACGAACCCAACATCCTTCCTACTCGTCATCCGACACGAGTTCAATTTTGCTTATCGAGAGTGTAATCACACCGTCAATGAAAGATCGAACCGTCCGAAGCTCGGGCAACTTTGGATACTCTCGTATCGCCTTGTAGCCTTTTTGAGACGCTCCACCGTTGCTTTAAGTTGTGAGGCCGCAATGAGTGCTACTTATGGCTCAACGCTTGTCATCGCTACCATGAATCGGACGGCCATAGTAATACGTTACTCAACAATCGCAAGAATTATGGCGGGTGAGTTACTCGGTAAGGATGAGGCAGCGCTTCCGCTTCGCCTCGTGAAACCATCATGGAGCGCAGGTGGTGACGAACGTTTTGTCCCATGTGCACATTCTCCCAAATATAAGTTTGCCAGAAACGCAATTCACTGGCATTGCGTGGTTTCATATGCGTTGATTGGAATGATGCTGATTGTCTCGTGCCGCAGGCGCGCCTGGCGTTACTAATTGAGCGAACTTTGTGATCAGAATCAATGTACGCCCAATGTGCTGTCAGTAGCGATGCACCGGTTTTTGCAAGTCTACTGAGAAGAAAAATAATATGAGAGTGGAAACAAAAGCATGCTCGACCATCTACTGTCTCGTGCCGCTTCTGCTAACCCAGTCGCCGCCACTGGCAAAGACAGCTCTTGCGTGCCAGTCAGCTACTTGGGAGACAGTGATGCCGCGAAATAGGGGTAGAGTCAACAACTGTCATGTAAAGAGTTAACTTGATTTGTAATAGAGGTGCAAGCCTGTCTGAGCGTTTCACGAGAACTAATTGGGCGGCTGATGCATCTTGACCGTTTTTGGTGTTAACACAGCGTGGGTTCCTACAAGCTTACCGCTAGGGCAAGCGCCTGGGGTTGACCATTGGAGTTTTGGGGTGAAGCGAGAGTACGAGCTATAGAGGATGAATTATAAGCGTCAAGAAAGCAGGCCAATACCGTAAGATCCAAGGGCAGGCGCAGATCTGCTAAAAGGTGTGAGATTTCTGCTCACGATGGCAAGTGTACGAGGTTCGAGACGGGACTGGTCTTTCATGGTGAGCGATATACTCGGCGCGGGTGAAGTTGCTTCCGATTGGAAGTAGGCCTGGGTAGATTCTGGTAATGTATCAAGTCCAAGAGAGCTTCGCTTTGGTGGTCTCGATACCATTGCAATTGATGCCAGCGATTGCAAGACAGCTGTCACTGTCCGGAGCAATGAAAGGGAGACATGCTGACTGAATTGAAGCACTGAAGCTAGGTCCGTAGATGATGCATCTTCCTAGGCTAAGGTGTCGTGTTTCTCGGTTGTGTGGCCTGTGGTTGACTTGATCTTATCTCCACCTGTGTTGAGAAGCCTCATTTGTGTAAGCGGCTGCCTGAAGCCATGGCCCAATTACATCGCTCAACTGAGGTTGGCGACTTTCAAACATTTCCAAAGATCAGAGCTAGCGTGAAATAAAAGCTCGACGGTAGACATTTTTCAAGCTGGGCCTAAAGATGAATTGTGCAGACGACCAGCCGGGATCATGGCCAAGCATTGATAGTAATAATGTTGCCTCAGGATTGTCAGATGGGCGGTTTGGAGCGGTAAATTGAGACCGGAAATGGATTATTGTTGTCGCGGCAGCGGTTTTCTCGGGCAAAACCGCGCAGTTTCCCCTGATTGGGTGGCTTGTCAGCACGACCCCACTGCCTCCCTCACAGACTCTGTTCTGTCCTCCCGAAAATCTCCATTCGCTCTCCCCCAAAGGCAGCACTGCATCTCCCAATCTCCCCTCTCCCCAATTGCACATTGCTGCAATTGCTTCTCTTTTCACGTCAGACATCAATCACACCCCTCAGCATGTTCCGCAACGCCCTCCGCCAGTCGACGCGCGCTGTCGGCGCTGTCAGTGCTGCCAGCCGAGTCTCCGTTGTGAGTACCTCCTCAACCCCCGACCCGACCGAGCGAGCCATCGAACCCGCCGCAAAACAGCACGCATCCATCAGAAAAATGCTTTGGGGACCCAATTGGATCGATATACCATAAAGACACCCATGCGAAAAGCTTTTTCAAGCTGTTTTGCCCTTTTTCGAGCTTCTCCGAGATTGCTCCTGGACCTTCGGCTAACTCGTTTTTCTTGCTAGATCCGAAATGCCGCACCCGCCATCCAGACCCGTACCTACGCCGAAGCCAAAGCCTCTCCCACTGAGGTCTCTTCTATTCTCGAGCAGCGTATCCGTGGTGTGCAGGAGGAGGCCAACCTCGCTGAGACCGGCCGTGTTCTCTCTGTCGGGTATGTGGAGCAACGCAGCCTCGCGCGTCAGGAGTTGCGAGACCCCCGACCAGCTTCTACAGCAACGCCACTGCGCGAAACGACAACAATCAAACGCATTGTGTGCTAACTGGCTCCCTACAGTGATGGTATCGCCCGTGTGCACGGTATGGCCAACGTCCAGGCCGAAGAGCTCGTCGAGTAAGCTACAACTCAGTTCCCGATAACCAATTCGCACAAAGACTAATTGAACAATTCAAGGTTCGCTTCTGGCGTCAAGGGCATGTGCATGAACCTTGAGGCCGGTCAGGTCGGTGTCGTTCTGTTCGGTTCTGACCGTCTCGTTAAGGAGGGCGAGACTGTCAAGCGTACCGGTGAAATTGTGAGCACTCGCTGACAGGACAAAGAAGATTCTTGCCAATGCTAACATACCAATTAGGTTGATGTTCCCGTCGGCGTGGAAATGCTTGGTCGTGTCGTCGACGCTCTCGGCAACCCCATTGACGGCAAGGGCCCCATCAACACCAAGGAGAAGCGCCGTGCTCAGCTCAAGGCCCCCGGTATTCTTCCTCGCAAGTCCGTCAACGAGCCTGTCCAGACCGGCATGAAGTCGATCGACGCCATGGTTCCCGTTGGCCGTGGCCAGCGTGAGCTGATTATTGGTGATCGTCAGACTGGCAAGACTGCTGTTGGCCTCGATACCATTCTCAACCAGAAGCGTTGGAACGACGGTAATGATGAGAAGAAGAAGCTCTACTGCGTCTACGTCGCTGTCGGCCAGAAGCGCTCTACCGTTGCCCAGTTCGTCAAGACCCTGGAGGAGAACGACGCCATGAAGTACTCTGTCGTCGTCGCTGCCACCGCCTCTGAGGCCGCCCCCCTCCAGTACATTGCTCCCTTCACTGGTACGTTGTGGCCCATGTTCCATCTATTGCACTTTTTCTGCTCTCGGAGCCTTCTCTGCGCTTTGTTCTTTGCCTCGTTCCGATATCTTCCCCTCGGCTTGTCAACATGAGTCTCACTTGATAGACCCGCTGGCCTTTTCTGTTCATGCCCTCTTGTACCAACTTATTCCTCGTGTTTGTATTCATTCTAACGATCGCTAGGTGCCTCAATCGGCGAGTACTTCCGTGATAACGGAATGCACTCCCTGGTCATTTACGACGATCTGTCGAAGCAGGCTGTCGCTTACCGTCAGATGTCTCTGCTGCTCCGTCGTCCTCCTGGCCGTGAGGCTTACCCCGGTGACGTCTTCTACCTCCACTCTCGTCTGCTCGAGCGTGCTGCCAAGCTCAGTGAGAAGCACGGTGGCGGTTCCATGACTGCTCTGCCCATCATCGAGACCCAGGGTGGTGATGTGTCTGCCTACATTCCCACCAACGTCATTTCCATCACCGACGGCCAGATCTTCCTGGAGTCCGAGCTTTTCTACAAGGGTATCCGTCCTGCCATCAACGTCGGTCTCTCCGTCTCTCGTGTCGGCTCCGCTGCCCAGCTCAAGGCCATGAAGCAGGTCGCTGGTTCTCTGAAGCTCTATCTGGCCCAGTACCGTGAGGTTGCCGCTTTCGCCCAGTTCGGTTCCGATCTCGATGCCGCTACCAAGCAAGTCCTGGCCCGTGGTGAGCGTCTCACCGAGCTCCTGAAGCAGAAGCAGTACTCCCCCATGGCCGTCAACGAGATGGTCCCTCTCATCTTCGCCGGTGTCAACGGTTATCTCGATAACGTCCCCGTCAACCGCGTTCTGGAGTGGGAGGCCGACTTCCTTGCTCACCTCAAGACCAACGAGTCTGAGCTCCTCGCTTCCATTGACAAGGAGGGCGCCCTCAGCAAAGAGCTTGAGGCCAAGCTGAAGGACGTCACCCAGTCCTTCATCAAGAGCTTCCTTAACTAAGCCATAATTCGGAGAAGCTTCTGTGCAGATTAGAGATAGGGCTGTTGCGGTGTTGCTGTCTATACCGAAATCTTTGTAGTCTTTGTTTCCTCAAGCGGAGGAATAACCGAGGGGTTGCGCCTGACGGAGCGACGATGGTTGAAAAGAGGGAATTCGCCAGACGTGCCACCACTTGTAAAATAGAGTTGATAACTCAATTAACGCCCTCGATTCCTTTTGTTCTAATTAAAATCCACCTAACAAAATCATTTCGCTCGTGAGCCAAATCTTGCCATCATCCCGGCGCTTCTGGCTATTGGGAAATGCGCGCATCGTGCGCAACTCGCTCAGCTGGCAGCTGCCAGAAAATTCTGAATCCAGAATTGCCCACTTCCATCCATCTTTGCGACTGTAAAAATCTTGACAAACGCGCCGAACCGTTGCTGCCGTTGTTAATTGGGGGGTTGTCTTTGACTGCGGATCCAATAAACGAGTCGTCGATGTCCCATCGTCATGACAGGCACGTTACGTCACTTTGCTCCAACACTCACCGGAGCAGGAGCCCAGAGATTGCAACAATCGCTACAAAAGTCCATCCATTATCAAAGCCATACCATGCTTATCTCCAAAAAGCATACGAGCGAACAATAAAGACGTAATTCAGAGCTTGCAAGTTTCGCAGCGCCATACGCAGTTTGAAGAACATGCCGGAAGCCATCTCAAGCTCGAGCATGTCAGCCACCACGACTGCCGTACTCTCAAAAGTGAGGCGTATGATCCCGCCAATGCTAGAAAAGTTTCACAAAGGTAAGGGAATGGATGGAATGCATGAAAGCACGATTTTGTGCGGGGGGCGTTGGCTGACGAGCTTCCGCGCCATTTCTAGGACAGCTCGGTCGAGTTGCTGTGATTGGCGGCAGCCAGGACTATACTGGTGCGCCGTATTTTTCGGCCATGGCAAGTGCAAGGTTGGGATGTGATATGGTATGTAATATTTTATCACTAGGCTTCAGAGGGAACCCACGGTGAATTATTCGATAACTGATTTTGAGAAACCATCTAGTCGCACGTCATCTGCACACCAGCTGCCGGTGCTGTGATCAAGACATATTCTCCCAACTTGATGGTTCACCCGCTGATGCGGCAAAGCTCATCCGAGGCAAATGAATCGGCTGTTTCAAAGGAGTCTACGGGTGCGGACAAGATCGCGTCCCCCATCGTTGACATGCTCGCTCGTCTCCATGTTCTCGTCATCGGCCCAGGTCTAGGCCGCGATCCGCTCATGCTGGATACTGTAGAACACGTCATTCGAGCGGCAAAGGCCAAGGATATTCCCATCGTTCTCGATGCCGATGCCCTTCAGCTTGTGCAGAGAGACTTGTGCCTCATCAAAGGCTATTCGCAGGCAGTGCTGACGCCAAATGTCGTGGAATTTGACCGTCTGTGGAAAGCAGTAGGCATCGATGATAGCAGGAGTGAGAGCGAGACGCAGCGAGTAGAAGCTCTGGCTAATGCTCTCGGGGGCGTCACCATTATACAAAAGGGACAGCAGGACCACATATCGAACGGCAAGGTCTCGTTGACAAACGATATCCAGGGTGGCAGGAAGAGAAGCGGCGGTCAAGGAGATACTCTCACGGGAAGCGTTGCCACGTTTCTTGCATGGAGAAAGGCGTACCTTGACGAGTTATGGAAGGATACAGAGACGACTCGTCTAGACAAGGAGGAGATGATTGGGCTGGCAGCGTTTGGAGGAAGCGCAATCACAAGAGTACGTGTTCTCTTTGCCACACTTGAAGATGTTTTGGCTTGCTGACTATGTAGGAATGCTCTCGAATTGCCTTTTCGAAACGTGGGAGGAGTTTGCAGGCGAGTGATCTCACAGATGAGATTCACAGCGCCTTCATGCGCCTCTTTGGCGAGGTCGATGGCGATGACGGCTCCTCGAAGCTCTAACCTGACAAACACTTTGGCGGCGGTCATGGATATGGCTTCAGTATACGACAGACTTGGACTACCAGTAAACTGTCATTGCTACCAAACACTTACACCGTGGCTACTATCCCTTTCTACTGCCATGTGAAGCACAGACCCGACTACTTTACTATACTATAATAGTACCCTATTATCAGGCCAGAGTTGCGGGCTGCACTCTCGACCGCAACAAAACTTGGCATTTCTGACAGTTTGAGTGGATCCATCGTGCATCATTCTCCATTTGTCGATCCTTTTGCCTGTGCCTTGTTTGACAATCTCGTCACTGCCAACTGCGTCGCATTCGGGTATAGGCCGCGGTTGCGCGGCATATCAAGAGTGCGAATGACTTGCATAATTTGCGTCATGCAAGCATGATACGCTGCTACTCTCCGTGTCTCCCATATCAATAATAGCAGTAGTCCAGCTGACCGCCCTGAGGGGGAAGAGGGGGACATTGCATATACCAAGACCTGTTAAACGACGGTGATATTGCAACCGGACGCCACTTACTCCGGTGATTCAGCCTCACCGGTACAGCGTAGACTTTTCTTCTTTCACCCGGCAGCTGCGTGATATGACTGGGCAAGGACAAAGATGAAGATTTTGCATCCTTTATCACAGCAATATATCCGGGCTGGGGCTGAAATTTCGCCGGCATTGCTACGCTGGGGGGGAGGGGATCCGGATGGCTAAGACAAGAAGAATTGGGCAAAGGGCTTGCATGACAAAGGCGCCCCCCCTCCCAGCGGGATGGCGAACACCGGAAACTTGAGCAGGGGGGTGGCGGGATGATAATATTATACTCTAATAATAACCGGCTGCTGGGCTTGCGATGACGCGCTTCGCTGCAATAGTTGGGCTTGCAAGTTGCGCTGAACATGCAAGCCTCTCCCGCTCTTGCGCGCAGCCATGCAGGTCCATTGGACAAATGGTAGGCTGGGGTTGGGGGGTTTTTTTTTCCCCAGCGCAGCAAGGTAACAATCAAGAGTCAGTAACTGAAACTTGCATCGGCTGGCCCCCTCATATAGCAGCAGTACCTTTTCTGTCTTTTTTGCGAATTTTTCTTTTTTTCCCTCTTTCTTGTTCATTCATTACTGCCAAGGGGGGAAAAAAGGACACTTTTATGTGAACCGTGCACCAATCAGGCCATGTCAACCCCCATCTTCCCAGGAACAAGGTGGGCGGACACTCACCGGCTACTTTCCGATGATAGATAATCCAACGACAGGGGGTAGAATTGCCGAGCAACAGCATCTTTAATCGTGCAGAAAAATTTAAGCGGTTTTTACGACAAGTCAAAGCCGAATTTCATCACTCATGGAGGAGTGGATAACGAAAAGGGAAATATCCGTACGAGACGACGTAATGGGTCAAGAAAGAGGGAGGCTCCCTCCGTGCCGACTGGTGAATCAGTAATCAAGCCGTCCTAAGAGCGGTAGAGCGATATCGGAAATCCAAGTATTGCTGCGACAATATATCTCTTCTCTGCAGACAATGATAGAGCAATTTGCTTTTCATTGAGAAAGAGCTTGCACGCTTTGTGCTCATAATATCGCAACGAGCCGAATGGGAGGGCTACACGACATGCTCCGAACAATGCGTAGCTGCTCAACTTTTCTCCGCACATGACACACATTGTTTCTATCGAATTGTGTCGTGCAGAGAGGTGTCGGGTCACGAAACCCGGTCCCCCCCCCCAAACAAACAATAAGCCATTCGTCATACGTAACACGGCAGCTCCCTCTCACAGCCAAGCATTGTATCTTGCCAATGTTTAACGAAGCAGTTGCACCCGCTGTTGCGTTGGTGAGGTAAATTGCGCCCTCCGCCCCCAAAACAAGGACAGTATGGCGTCGCCGGGGCCGTGCCATGTCTTGCGAAGGGACGGGACGAGCGAGCACGGACCGGGCCAAGCTGCCGAGCTCCGAATCATGAACCGATATATCGGACGTTTGGCCTGGAAAGAATCACACCCAGAGGCATGGGTGCTGCCCGCCCGATCCCTTGGTACCCGTGCGTGCCGCCGATAGGTCAGACTGTCTCTGTGCCTCTGCCTCTTGCTTGCCTCTTTCGTCGAGAGAAGCGCCGTCACTGCGGTGGCCATCTTCATCACACACATGCACACACATAGTTACTGTTTGTTCAGCCAAGAAAATGACAGCCTTAGCCCCCCCGTCTCCGATCTGGAATCAAATCAGAGACTGGTATCGCATCGGCGGGAGCGAATCTGAGATGACGCAGGCAGCGGGACTTCCCTTGTCGAACAACTGTTCCTCCCGCATCGCTCCTCAAAATCCTGTGGCTGTACTCCGTATGCTGGGCAGAAATCCGAGGTATCACGCACACACGCAAACACCACACATCGACCACCACCACCTTTCTAGGAGGTTGTATTGGACGAGGGGGGGCGAAACAGTTCCCGTTGGGTAATGTAATATGAAATAGCTGTCGCTCGAAAAAGAAAAAAAAGGCCTCATGCCAATAAGACTTTCAGAGACGAGAACCGTTGGACTGGATACTGGGGCTGGGACTGCCTCCCTTGCTTTCGAGAGTGTTGTGCGGCGAATGGGCTCTAGTTTGATGTCATTCATCAAGATTCGTACTGCAGGTCTCACATAAGCAGAGCAAAAAACAGGAGCAAAACCAGGCAGGTGCAAAAAGTAAACACCTCAGCCGACATGTGTCTTGCATGCGAAAACCATACACACTCCGACACACTGTAACATAGGGCCTGTTCAGTTTCTCTGGTATCTGCCGCGTATGATACTGAGCATGGCGACGAGAAGAAGATTAAGGTTTGCTCTCCCTTTACTCGCTTGTATAATTCTCCGCCTGGCGCTCGTAACATTACCATGTAGGGCAACGGCCGAGATGCGGGGCAGTATTGCATAGTAACATCCAAGATCGCCTGCCCCCCACAAGACAACGCAGATCACCAGTGAACCTAGTGAAGGATCAGAGAGGATGGGCAGGGCGACGACGTAGATGAATAAATCGAGTGGCATAGCACAAAGAAATGAGAAGATGATTTCTCAAGTCCATCTCAGTTGCAAGACCAAGTTTGGTTTACACTGACGTGGCCCAGATCCCATCGAATGCGACCGCTCGAGTCCAAAAAAAATAAAAAAAAAATAAAAAATAGGCATCGGATGAGACTTTGGTAGGGTCCATTTCCCTACTGGCGAGAGTGACATCCTAGAAGCCAAGGCGAAAAGAAACAAAAACAAAAAAAAATCAAGAAGAAGGAAAACGACAAAAAAGAAAGTCAAAATATGACGGGTTGTCCCTTCAACAGGGCGGAGCTCAAGGGTGGCGTGGTGTGCGTTCTCTAGTTTCTTGTTGCCTCGCGCTAAGAACACGGGTTACGGGGTGAGGAAAGGGAAACAGGGGGTGTTTAATTTGTGACGAAATGAAAGGCAAATCAATATATCATCAGTTTTCGCCATTTTGCCACGTTCAATTGAAGATAGTTGCGCCTGGGGGGGAGGAAGATCCATGTTCGACATGGCGAATGACGCTTTTTCAAGTAGTGTGCCGATCTGAACACTGAACGTCAACAACCCGACCCTTGACGCAAGAACGATGTCGTAAACTTAATCGATTATCGCATGTCCAGGGTTCAGGCAATCTGCCGCATCTTCTCCTGGCACGACCTGGGATCGACATGGCAGGGTCGTTCCATGGCGACAAATACATAGCGAAGCGAGCCGAGTCGCACGTAGATAGGAGTTCATCAGCAGACAGGGCCTGGTAGGCGACATCTCGCAGCAGATGATCAAAGTTTCAGGACCCTGTACCCTGAATCACCCCTACGCAGATTCATGTCCATTGCCTCACCCCTCGATGCTAGAGGGCGGCATCAAATGTGAACTATTCGTAGCTTCTAGATGGTGCTTTTGACGACGAGTGCAGGGGACGGATGGCCAAGTCCTATGGTGGATAGAAAGAAGCGACTAGATTGTGATAGCGTGTTTGAGGGCGCCGAGTAGGACAGCCATCGCGCAAAGTGGAAAAAGAAAATCTGGAACTTGTACTCCGTATGGCAGTAATACTCTGTACGTCTGTACTCCAGTCGTCCATACACAGCCATCGGTCTGGACGAGAAAATTTGAGAGGCAGTCCCACGAATTTGATTTTGCCTTTTGTGTCTTCTACGCGGTACTCCGTAGCAGCAATTCATCGATTGCAGGCGGTGTCCTAATGTTCAGATGAGACACGAAGAAGGCGAGCCACGGTTTGCGTAAATGCCATAGCCTCACCGTTGGATTTTGCGGCCGCAAACGGCGTCGGGGCTCGTCGCGTAAAGCCTCGGCGGAGCTTTGAGAGAAATCTAGGCCAAGCCCGATGCCACTGCAAGCAAGGTACCCGGCAGCTAAACTGGCCAGATATTGCAGCCTGCTACAAGCATCAGACCCAAAAGAAAACAGCCATGACCGTGCGCAACGAGGGCTGACCGAAATCAGTTGTAACTTGTCACTGTCGAAGCGTCTGAGCCCCCGGGGCTGGACGGCTTGGTACGGGGTGGTCCACCACAACAATGCTTGGGCTTGCCGGAATCACAACCGTATTGTGGGCGGGAATACTGCCAGGCGTTCCGTGTGGGGCAGAGAGAGAAAAAGCCTGTTATTCATTAATGCCGACATGATAGAGTTGAGGCTCGCACCGCCCCAGGCCGTTGGCCATGGCGCCCGCTATGTCCGTGTGTGTGGTGGCCGAACGGCGGTAGTCTGGTCATGTGCTTGGCGATGACTAGATAATCTTTCATTGACCAACTATATACGTGATTTGTATGCCAATGAGACTTGTGTGCCACTCAGACGCACCTGTGCCAGCAATCTGGCAGACGACAGCCCGGATTTTCGGCTCATCGTCAAGTGCAGGACGCCGAGAGGGGCCCTCTCCAGCTGGCCGGGAAAGTGATAGCTCGCGCGCAGGGAGGATTTGCTTTCTCAGCACGACGACCCTCCATTGCTCCAGTCTAACTACTGAGCTCTCGCGTCATTTTTGCACATGCCCTAGTTCATTTGCAGCGAGTGGACTCGTTGCGGAACCAGGTTCGTGGTACGCGGTGGTGCGCCTCATCAAGCTGCACATCTTTGCCGTTGGCGGGCCTTTTGGAATACCTGTTTCCCCTGCTCGTAAGTATCACCGTTTTTTCCTCAAAGAAGATCCTTGTAGGTTCATTGAACGGGCGGAGAAGCGAAAAGGAAGGATCAAGGTAGGAAAGGTTCCGTAATAGAGAAGACTTATTAATAGACGCCTCGTGCGGAGCCTCGAGATTATTTGGTGGCCAAATCTGGTCCTGAAGAGCATCCTCGGGCGAATTGTAGCAAAGGTAAGACCCCGAGCCAATTATAGACAAGAAGTAACACTATGAAGCCGTCCTTGAGCTCTTGCATTATGTAGAAAGACATTCATTCGTTTCGCTGAGTAGCGATGGTGGTGGTCGGAGGCGCATCACCAAGGCACTGGACTGTCCGTCAACTCCGTGCAGCAGATATTGCAGCAGTGCAGGTACTATTGCCTGGGGCTCTTGGTGCTCTTCTGGGGTCCCGTAATGCCAATGTGGCGGCACATGAGAATGACAGAAAACAAGAGAAGAAAAAATGAGAGATGATGGCAAGGGGGCAAGTGATCGCCCGAACCGGTATGCTGGTGGTGCAGCCTGACCAATTGGAGCGCGGGCGTCCCACGACAAACCGTTTTGCTGGCTCGAAAAAAGCAAGCTTGTAGTTGCATCAGCGCTGTTTAAGCATTCGTGCTGCGAATGAGCGACCTTCGGGGACCTCTATGATAATTACCTAGAGTGTTAGCCTGTTAGGTGACGAATTGGCCGTCTGTGGAATATGTTCATCCTCGTATTCTGGAAGCGAGCACGGCAAGCTCCGTAGAGGACACTTCATGCTTAGAGCTTGCAGAAAACGATTCTTGGCTGATAGGGGAGCCTTGAAGGTAGCAGGCCTGATGAGTCGTGGCGTTGGTGGCTATTCAGAGATTGTGTCTCGGTGGTTTAGGGCCGTTGAGCGGGCGGGCGGGCGGGCGGGCGTGTGGTGACTGGGAGATGGAACCAGCTGGCGGCAGGCTTCTCAGGTGGTCAGTGGTGAACTTATCGTGGGCAGAGGCCGCAGAGCATTCGAAGCTCCTGTCGCCACCACCACCAGCGTGGGAGGAGAGACAGAGGTGGAGAGGTGGTGGAGGTTGTGCCGCCATCTCAACTCCCGCTGGTATTGGTGACCAATGGCGCGGCAGTCTAGGTCCAGGTCTGAGAGTCAATAGCCCCCTGTCATATTAGCCACTGTCTTCAGTTTTTTTCGGCTGGTGTTTTGCTTATTGTTGCAGTCTTGTTTCTTTGGCCGAGACGCTGGCTACTTACCACGCATCCACAACCATGGCACCCCTTCGACCCTTGTGCTGTGGCTTTTTCACCCCCACCCTGGTGCTCCTCCTTGGGATGCTGCTCCTTGCTTTTTGAGTGTGGTTGTGCAGTGCCCTTGCCTCGCTCTTAAAAGAATGGTACCCTCCGGCATGGGGTTTTGTGAGGAATGTTCTCCTTACGATGCGAATTTCTGCATAGATTGTTGAATAGGAAAACGACGTCTGTTTGCACCACGTTTTCGCCTGTTTACCTTGCCAGCTGTCAACCATTTCGACTGCCAGCTGCCAGCTGCTGGCCAACTTCTTCCTTGTGCGGATACCGAAAACGGTTCTCCAGAATTGGCAACTCCATCTGCCGCTTCCCTGCTAGGCACAGGCACTTGCTTGAGCACGCGCCTCCCCTCTTACTTACACCTCCGCTGCCGCATATTAAGCTTCCATTTGACCAACAACTTTCATTACATTGGCTTCAATTCGGCAATTTCACCGTTTCATCCTCGGGAACAGCTTCTCCACAACCATCGCCGTTCACGAAATCCTTCTGCTTCAGCCCTTCCACTTCTAACTAAGCTCCATTCTCGGGTTGTCGTCCCTCTTGGCGCTGCATCGCATGTCACTGCTCGTCTGACCGAACAACTGCGAATTCAGCTTCTTTCTTTACCCGAGACAAGTTTTCAACAATCTCTGAGCAGTAGCCATCTACGTGACGATCGAGTTGGGCCCTTTCGTCCAAGGACAGCATCCCTGTCCGCCTTATCTTGCAACTCACTTTTGCCTCATCTCGGGACACTGGCGTGACCTGATGTTGCAAACGCCCGTCTTCGGTGACCATCAATAGCTGCCACTACTTCTCCCGGACACTTATACCATTACAAAATCTCGAACCTGCTTCGCAGCAAAACGTGGTCATGTCAACTAGATTTGATCGCTTCGAAAGGCTCTTTGCCTACAAGCGCAAGGGCTCCCTATCCTCTGTCCCCTGCGAGCTTCCCAGCCCGACTGCACTTCCGATCGAGAATGGCCAACAATTCCCTTCACCATCATTCATCCGTCCTAAGAAGCTCCGGATGTGTGCGCGAGATGAGGTTCGTCTGAGGGAAGCCGCCGGCCGCTCGCCATCTGTCCCCGACATCTTCACCTCCCAGGGCTCCATCCGAGGCCACTCTCGCGACAACGGCTCGACAGGAAGCTCATGCTCGCAGAAAGCATCAGTCCGCTCGCCTTCCCTTAATGGCAGAAGACAGGATCGTCTAGTCACCGGCCTACGCGATTTCCAATTTCCCAAGCCCACGTTCCAAAACGGCCAAGTCTCTCCCCAATTGTCCACCTTTAGCGACAAGTCGGGTGAGGCCCCTCGCATTCCGAGCCCCCGATCGCGCTCGCCTCTTCACATCAAAATTCCTCCTCCATATAGAACCGATACGCCACCCTCTTCAGACCCCGAGGACAACTCGAAATCCTCAGAATCGTGGAGGACAAAGAAGCTTCCCGAGTTGCCTCATCGCGCTCCGCCCACGCCTGAAGAGTCTCCTCAGCTGCGACCGTTGCCCGACCCACCGAGACTGCCTCGACTTCGGCACTCTCATTCGACTGGTGCCCTGAAAAAGACGATGTTCAGCGACACTACCTTGGACCTTGGCGACACACTTGAAGGTGTGCCCATGCGTCGAACCAACAGCGAGCAGAGCTTTTCCCCGTCAGTGACGCCCTCGACCTCCAGCTCGATTCTCCGCGAGCCAGATGTCAACGAGTTCCTCAGTCTCAGTGATGATGACATTGCCGAGGAGGAACCTGATGAGCTCGAAAGATTTCAAAGCACGCCCGTACCACAGCCACTCGCCACCACTCTACTGACCCTTACACCGCCCCGAGCCAGTCAGCCCGCCACAGCTGCAGCTTACGTGGCGGCCAGAATTGCTAAGAGTTACGACTTTGACCTGGTCTACATCGTTAACTTGTGGCCCGGTCCGATGGAGTCGAATGGCCAACGCCCGCTGATTGGACGCCTCCTCGCCGCCCATGGTCTGCACCACGTTCCCTCGCCTCTCCAGATCTCTTCCCTGGTTCACACTACCATATTACGCTCTGACGGCTGGATCGAGTACCGCAATGCCGTTGCTCGTCCACACGACCTCGCCCGCGGCTACGCTAGTGCCTTTTACACGGGCCAGTATGCCAGGAGTCTGTCTGGAAACACATCTTCTCCTGTCTCCGGTGTACGCCTCTCTGAGCAGATTGATCGTGGCATTGTCTTTGCCGCCTATCGCAAGCCTCGGTCCAACCCTGACCGTCTTGGGCGTTCTTTTGATGATAAGGAGCTTGGCGAGCTCCACCGCGAGGCAGAGAGCCTTGTTGAGATGCTCATTGACATTCACGTCACCAACCGACTACGCCAGCCGCCCACCAGCCCCCGCGCAAGCGAGGAGACTGGCCCTATGCCGTCGCAGCAACTCGTTGCCGCATAGAAGAATATGGCACAAGCAACTCAGCCCAGACTCTTACAACTCTGCAGTACCGCGCTGCCCCGACTTTCCTATGTCCTCCTACAATGATACCTCTTGGGATCAGACACCTCACTTTTCCCATATGCAACGAAACATGATTATGACCTAGATGTGTGTTGATTTTACCCTTTATTTCTTTTTACTTAATTCACTTGCCGCGGATATGTAGATGGTCAGTTCTTGACTGGACTCGAGACGTCGCTGCACATTTCTTTGTTTGTTGACTATCTGAAGTTTCTTTTTGTTGGAACGGTTAGGAAAGCAGAAAAAAAGCCCTCGTAAGGCGGCACCTGGCATGGAAGGCGTCGGATTGTTGACGATTTACTCGAACTTTTTGGTTTGCACTTACAGAGATAGGATGAACAGTACATCACACTGCCATTGTTTTAAACATGGAAGAACATGAATTGATTTGAACCTTACTTGAACACTATTATCCACTCGTGATATCATTCGCTATCTACTATGAAAATGCCGGTCGATGACTGAGACTATGCTTGACAGCTGAGTCTATTTTACTATATTGTCTACGTGATGCGTGCTCTACCTAATCAAAAGGGATCCTGCGCAACGAATCACCGCCTCCCGCTTTTTTGATTTCCTGCGCGGCCGCTATGCTACTGGGTACCTTGATGCCACAGCAGTCATCCCAGCCCTTGGCATCGTGCCTATGACCCTCGTGCCCTGCCTCTTCCTCGCGGTGCTCACCGCCCCCTGCTGCCGCAACCTGGCTCTCCTCGCTCATGCCGTCGGCGGCCGGCACCAGCGAGCCAAACAAAAAGTGCTGCATGACGGGGAGCTTGCCGAGAATCTCGGCGACAAACATGCGGCGCATGCCGCCGTCAATCTTGGCCCACGACTTGGCCGACGAGATGTCGTCGAGCATGGGGCTGTGCCAGCGGAGGCCCTTGACCGTCTTTGTGCTGTTGACAAAGGCGACCTGGCCGAGGTAGAGGTAGTCGGCGGCGGCCTCCTCGAGGGTGAGGTCGTGGTGGATGGCGCGCGGGGTGATGTAAGGGTGGTGGAGGAGCTGGGCGGCGCCAAAGAGGAACGGCAGGAACTGGTAGTCGTCGAGGCCCCAGACGCCGTGGGAGCCGGCGGGTTCGAGGTAGTAGAGCATCTGGACGGCGCGCATGGCGGCAAGGTAGCGCGCAAAGACGCGCAGCACGAGCGCGGGCAGGTCGGCGGCGCGCAGCACCCGCAGCCGGTACAGGCACAGCAGCCACACGGCAAAGTTGAGCTCGTGCCCGGAGCCGTAGTCGATGCGATTGCGGTTACCAAAGGACTGCACGAGGTAGGCGGACGCTTCGGCGACAGCGGCGCTGCTGCTGCTGCTGCTGCTGCTGCTGCTGCTGCCACCGCTGTCGAGGCCGAGCTGCGCGTGCCACCCGTCGGAGCGCGCGCGCACCAGGTCGACGAAGCCCTGAAAGGCCTTGTTGCCGAACCGCGAGCCGCCTTGCTCGTCGGGCGGTGACTGCCGCGTCAAAGACTCGACCTCGTCGAGGATGCGCAGCAGCGTTTGGACGGGTTCGCTGAGGGCGGCGTCGCGGGCAACGGCCGCGGAGCACGGCGTGTCAACGACGGCTTCGGCGAGGCCAAATATCCACCCGACAATGACGTCGTACGACGGCGAGGCCAAAAAGAGCTCGTGGTCCTTTTTGGAGAGTATGCGGCGTGAGGGGGTCTCAAAGGTCCAGCTGGATATGTCGGGGATTTGCTCGGGGAGGGCAGGCGTCGCGGGGACGGGCGTCGAGTTGGAGGGCTGCGTGCGCCGTTTGCGGGGCTCGAGCTTGGGGAGACGGTCTTTGAGGTTCGGTATTGAGGATAGGTGCGGCGCGGATGGGGCGGCTTGGCTTTGTAAAGGTGCGTTGGAAGCCATTTGCTGGGGTTGTGTGAATGTTGAAGTAGGGAAGACGGTGTGGATGATGGGTAGTCGAGAAGTGGCGCAACTTGCACCTTTGAGAGGCGAGGGGCAACGGCGGACTGGCGATCTTGGAATTGCCCCACCATAGCTTTTGAACGGGCCGCTACAGGTAATTATTAGTTAGCATAGTGAGGTGCCAGGTCGGTGAGAAGACAGTAAGTATGGGGAATTTTTCTATCTACGGCTACATTCTTTATCCGGGTCGACTCAAATTGACTCGAGGCGCTGGCATTCGTGTGTTTCCCGTCTTTGATATGCCCATAACCGGCCTGTTTCACTACTGCCTTGTCTAGCTGCGACGGCCGCCGACAACGATGGCACGGGGCGGTTTCCAGATATGAATAGGAAGAAACTGTATTTTGTATTTTCGGTTTCACAGCTGGTAGAATCAGAATTACTCATGCCATCCCATCACTTAGCGTGCAACGTCGAAGCTAGCTGCCACCATTCAGCAGGCAAGACTGTGGCGGGCTTGCCTACCCGTCGAAAACTCACTAAAAGAATGAGCGTGTCGCTATGCCGAAACTGCCATCTTGCACGGTCATTTATTGAGTAAACCCACATTCAATTTGAGTTTCTCATGATATTATAAAGGTATTGAAATAACCGGACTGGTGTGAAGTTTTATGACTATCAAAACTGATTTGTCTGGCGAAGCGTTCTCAGCTTCGCCGGCTGAAAAGTCGGAAAGGTCATAGTATTAAGAGCCAAATTGAAGACAATTACACTAAGGTTGGGGTTTGAGTCCCTTGTACATCGAGGTACTTGTCCGCAACTTCTTTTTTATGGAATTTTTGTGCTACGTTTTAATTTTTCTTTCGCACCAGGACTTCCTCCTCAGACGATCGTGGAATCAGTCAAGCACAACCACATTTGCAGTCATTTTGTGTACTCCGCACGTAAGATATGTATCTCGAATACTTACACCGTGACATACCTTGGCCCATAAATACTGCACATCGCTGTTAACATGATATTGACTTTGGTGCTTTGGAGTGGCCGCCAAGATACCTTGATCGCTTCTCGGAGCTAATTTTGTTCCTTTTTGAGCCTTTCCTGGTAGAAAAAGCCTTGTCTTGCGTTTGCGTAAAGTGCCAAACTGGTTTTTGACTGAACATAGGTGACCTGTAGTTGAAGTTTGCTTGTAACAAGAAGGTTAGTCGCAACGATCGGTAGCGAATTGTGCACCTGTGTCTTTCAGGATGTACCATTGTACTTGGCACATACCTACCTAGGTAGGGGGCAGACAAACAGAAAAACACATGTTACTGATGAAGTAAAGATCTAGATGCCTTGGGAACTACAAAAGAAATAAATTATGTCATGCATTTTCTATCTTTTACTCTTTCAACTGCTGTATCATCTAGCAATGGGTGTTTGAACGTGCAGCGAGGTTGAGCTCACTGTTGGCGCAAAAGTACCTATACACACTAAATAGCAGTAAAGATACTTTCCGGCCATATGCCATACCCACCTGAAAATTACAAACTGCCATCACTTGAAATTTCCCAGGCCGAGAAACCTTGAGGCAACCTCATCACATTCACGGAAATGGCGCCAATTGCCGAACCCAGGGCCGAATTGGCTCCGCTGCCCAAGGCAGACGGCTCAGCAACATACTCATACAGCGGCTACACCGTGACTGGCGCCGTCAACGGACCGATCGAGGCCCAACGGCGCGATGAGAATCCGTTTGAGGCTCTCATCGACGTCAACGTCCGCCCTGCGGCGGGTGTGGGAGGTAAGCAGCCCGATACGAATGCCTTGGTTGGAATACTGATTCTACTTGTTTGAATTCTCAGAAAGCTGACGAGGGCATCTGGCGGGATACAGGCACGGCGGAGAGACTGCTCGAGTCGATTCTGCAGCGAGCGCTCCGGCAGCTCATCCCCATCAGAAACTTTCCGCGCTCCATGATTCAAATAACGCTGCAAGTCACGGAGACGCCCGAAAACGCTTACGCAAACACCAAAGTGGTTCAGGCCCAGCTGGTACGTCGGCGGAACCCCTGTCCCACGCTCTACGATTTTCTTCCTCTTGCTAACTCGTTCCCTCCCGCGGCGTAAACAGAACCTCGCCATCATCCCCGCGTTGCTGCACGCCGCCATTCTCAGCCTGCTCACGGCGGCTATTCCTCTCAAGACGATTGCTACGGCCGTCACGCTCGCTGTGCCCAGCGACCACGGAGACGGCAGCAGCAGCAGCAGCAGCAGCAGCAGCAGCAGCAACATCGTCGTGGACCCCAGCGCGCGCGAGGCCGACACGGCCCGCTCGCTGCACGTCCTGGGCTACACGGCGGACAACGAGCTGCTGCTGGCGGAGAGCCAGGGCGCCTTTAACGTGGACGAGTGGGAGGCGGTGCTGCAGACGGGCCAGCAGGCGTGCTGCCGGGCGGTGCGGCAGGAGCTCGGGGAGGACACGGCCATGGCGGACGGCGGGCTCGAGGCGCCGAGCATTCGAGCCTTTGTGCGGTCGGTGATGGAGACCAAGATTGCTGAGGATTTCGCTTGGAAGTGAAAGAAGGGGGGGAAAGATCGGAATTGGAAATTGCAAAGGAGAAGGACGGGAGGACTGGGCAAGTCATTGAAAGAAGAGGCTTGCTTCATGAAGTTTATGCAATGATGCATGTTAAAGCTTCAAATGCCGGGAAAAAAAAGAAAGGAATCACTGGTGTAGAGGCGTTGGTATCATTTCTTGTTAGTTTGATATTTCTTGCTAGTCATTTGGGGATATAGCGGCCATGTGGGTGAAACGTCGTCAGATATAGCAATAACTCATGGCAATAATAACAATGCTGGCTGAGCAAGCCTCGTCCTATTTGCCTCTTTTACCCCCCCCCCCCCCTCCTTTCCTTGTCTTGCTTATTCCCATTCGGCAATCCGCTTTTGCAGAGGTTTTTTTTTTCTCTCCCTCGGTCTGATCTAATTCGCCGAACATGAAGAGATGTTGTGGGCGTTTGAGTCGCAGACTGCGGGCGTTTCGAGTCCTGTCACTGACGCGCCCACAACGGAGGAGGGCGTTTCACCTCGCCGTCAGGGCGACCGCGCGCCGCGGCCGAGGAGATCACGCGGCCTTGGCGATGAGGGAATGTCGAAAAGGAATTTTGGTAGAGTTGAGGGGTATATGGTATTCGAAGAGGACGGAGATTTTACCTGCAGGTTTTTTTTTTTTTTGTCTGCATGCAATGAGCCGAGGTCAGTATTTAGAAGGGCCGCATGGAGTAGTGAACAAGTCCGTATAAGCTTAGGTAGGTACTAATCACCACAATAATAACAGCAAGGCAACGGGAGTCAGGGTCTCGCAGATTAATGGTTCAAGGCGAAATTCGAATCCGATGGAGTTCAAAAGGGGTCATTGGATATTAACAGGATCGCAGTTATATCTCAGTCCGACAAAGCCAAGCCGTCTTGGCCGTGTTAGCAATGACAAGGTCAACCGTCTTAGCAGTTGACAACTTGTCAAGAGGTACCTACCTACCTAGGTACAGCACACCCACTGTAGGTAGGTGGTAGTTACCTACCTACCTACCTATTCACTGTTATTAGTCTATTATGAACCCCCTGGCCTGGGGGCCTGGCTGCGCACAGCGGGGCGGGTCAGCCCTTTTTACATATTGCAAACAGCTTCATCAACCCAGACCAAAAAGACCGAGGGCCATGAAGAAGCCAAGGAAAAAAGTTTCATCCCTTGGCCCAAAGCAGAACAGATGACTTGTTACAGAACCGCCCGCCCGCTGCCTCGCTGCCTCGCTGCCTCGCTGCCGTCCACGTCAGGCGGAGGTTGCCGCCACTGGCAACAAGGCGGTATCCTCATTACCATGGGCTCTTTGTCACAGGCCGTGTAAGAGCTTCTTTGATCTGTGCCATCTGATGTTGGCGCCAAACGTCCTCCCCCGTCCCCCTCTCCTCTCCTCCCTAGATCCTGGTTCAGCGCTGTCTCTATCGGTCTTGTTCTGGCGACAAGGCAAAAAAAAAAAAAAAACACGGCAATTGCTCCATCTTTATTCATTCACAGGCGTCTCAGGTCCCTATAATAGCGTAGAGAGAAGGGGGGGGTCGATTTAGTCGCCTTGCTTGCTCTCGCGCGCGCGACAGAGAGCGTTTGTATGAGAAAGGCAAAAAAAAAAGCTTTTGCCAAATACGACCCTTTGTTTCCGTCGACGGAAACCGACAAAACGCAATGCAAGGCGTTTTGTGTCGGAAAATGAGGAAGAAGGAAAAAAAAAGGGATTGGAAAGCCTTATTATTATTATTATTATTATTACTGGTTTAGGCAAGCAAAGCAAGAAAAACAAAAGGTTCAAGGTTCATATGCAGATGTCTGCCCACCACCCATCATGACGAATAGTGTTCCCTTTCTTTGTCGTCGATCTATCCTGTTTGCTTAGACCCGACCGAGTTTGTCGCCCACAAGATCTGTGCTGTTGCGCGTCACGTCATGCCAGAGTTGATCTCTGTGTAGCTTTCGCTTTCCTTTTTGTTTGATTCTGCCCTGGTCTTTTCACTGTTAATAATCTCTTCGTTTCTCTTGTCCTGTTTGTGCATCATTATTACTCATTCGCTGGTCGAGGGCATTTTACACAACTCGCTGTCTTTGGCAACGGCTCAGCGACTGTACTTTGTCTTCATTCTTCATTCGCACAGTCTGTTCGCTTTTGTCCTTGGTAAGTATACAAACCGGGATCCAGGCGCAAGGCTAATCAAGACTAGCATCAAGCCTTTCGTCTAGACTCATTAATCACCGCCGCCATCTCGAGGTGTTTACCAATACTTTTGTCAATTTTTCTTTCCAAGCATACAACTCTTATAATTCCTTGGACAAACAACAAGAAAATCCCAGCTATATTTAAAGGCACCTTGCAGCCAGTCAGTCACACAAACGACGACTCAAGTTCCGCCCGGAAAGATTATCCCGCACCCGTTCCGAGTCTGACTGGGCTGTTCCCACCAGTCACTGTACGAATCAGCAAGGGTAAGCATGGCTGCAATTCAATCGTCTTCCAAACTTCTTTTAATTTAGACTAACAACAAAGTGATAGGCTGACGGCTTGCCAAGTCATTTCGTTCGCCAATCGAGGCTTACGCTACCAAAGTCCGACGGTCCAGCAACACAGACACCTTCCTTCACTCCCATGGACCCCGGAGTTTAATCACATTTCATATCCGCCGCTATTTTTAGTTTTACGAGAAAACAAGAAAAAAACAATGGTTCATCCACTCGCGTCACCAGCCTCTCTGGGCAAAACAACCCAGGGCTCGCCCACCACGGCTCTCCACCCAGCACTGCAGGACCTCTGGCCCGCGACGGAAGGCGGCACCACAGCCACCAGTGCCATCTTGGACCGCCGGCCCAAAACCTCGTCTGCTCACCATCCCTCCTTCATCAACACGTCCAGAGCCCCGGGATATGAACAACGGACCTACAAGACGCCCCTGTCCGCAGTGCCAGCTTTAGGAGGAGGTGCCGCCGCCGCCGCTACGACTGAAACAGCCGCTCTTACACCGTCGTCATCTCCAACGTGGGGCGGCCCATCAACCACCTCCGTCTCCTCCGTCGCCGCCGCCGCCGCTGCCGCCATTTCCGAATCCCAAGCAGGCCTCGACGCTGAGCTCTCCCCCGGCAGCAGCGCCTTTCCGCCTCGCAATAGCAGAAATATTGCTACCGACGAGCAGCTACCTAGCACCCGCTTCGCCCCCGCGCCTCTTATGCTCCGCCAGCCGCAGGCGGCCACCGAGGACGTCTCGGCGATTGGCACCACCCCCAGCCGCAAGCCCGAGGCCCTCTCCCTCGACAGCATGCTCTCTCCGTCGTCATCGTCTTCGTCTTCTGCAGCCGCCGGCATGTACGGCACGCTGCCAAATCCGCCCCTCTCGGCCGCTTCGCTCAAGCTCGCCGACGCGCTGCACAACCTGGCGCGGCGGCGGCGGCGCTCCTCGGCAGCGACGACCACGACCACTGCCACGGCGCTCGCGGCCCTCAAGTCGCCGTGCTTCTACCATCAGCGTTTTGACGACGCTGTCGACATTGACAAGGTGCTCGAGGAGATCAAGAATGACTCGTCCATGTCGCACTCGCGCCTCGTGCAGACAGCCACGTCAGTCCGCGAAGTCTCCAAGCAGCTGCAGCGGCGGCCTGTCAAGCGCGCTGTGCGCACCGTCATGATTGTGACCAAGGCCCGAGACAACCAGCTCGTCCACCTAACGCGCGAGCTCGCCGCCTGGCTGCTGCGCACACCGCGTTACGGCGCCCGCACCGGCGTCACCGTCTATGTCGACGCCAAGCTACGCGGCTCCCGCCGCTTCGACGCCCCCTCGCTCGTCGCCGAGAACCCAGCCTTTGCCGACACGCTGCGATACTGGACCCCGGACCTCTGCTGGAGCCAGCCCGAAATGTTTGACCTCGTCCTGACGCTCGGCGGCGACGGCACAGTGCTCTTCACCTCGTGGCTCTTTCAGCGCATCGTGCCCCCGGTGCTCTCCTTTTCACTCGGCAGCCTCGGCTTCATGACGACCTTTGAGTTTGAAAAGTACCGCCAGCACCTCGACCGCATCATGGGCGACGACGGGATGAAGATTAATCTGCGCATGCGCTTCACCTGCACCGTGTGGCGGCACGGAGCGTTGAACGCCGCCGCCGGCGAGGGCGAGCAGTTTGAGGTGCTCAACGAGCTCGTCATTGACCGTGGGCCCTCGCCCTACGTCTCCAATCTCGAGCTCTACGGCGACAACGAACTGCTGACCGTCGTGCAGGCCGACGGCTGCATCTTCTCCACGCCCACGGGCTCCACGGCCTACTCGCTGTCCGCCGGCGGCTCGCTCGTGCACCCCGATATACCCGCCATCCTGCTGACGCCCATCTGCCCGCACACGCTGTCCTTTCGCCCCATGGTGCTCTCCGACACCATGGCCCTGCGCGTCGCCGTCCCACGCGGCTCCCGCGCCACCGCGTACTGCGCCTTTGACGGCAAGGGCCGCGTCGAGCTGCGTCAGGGCGACCACGTCACCATCACCGCCTCCCAGTACCCGTTTCCCACCGTCACCCGCACCGACACAGAGTGGTTCGACAGCGTCAGCCGCACTCTCCGCTGGAACACGCGCGCCGCTGCCCAAAAGCCCTTTGAGGACGGTGACTGCGCCGCCGCCGAGGACGAGGACGAGGCCTGGGACATTGACACGGATAGCGCGTACTATGCGAGCGAAGAGGGCAGTGTCAGCACGAGTCCCATTCGCAGACAGATGAGCATGCTTGGTCTGTGAAACTGGCAATCTCAGAAACTTTTATTAGAAGGCATATTCGAATGATCAAGTTGGCGCAAAGAACATGTTGGCATGAAACGACACTGAAAGACTTTTATACATTTTGCATGGGCTGTCAACGTTTTCTCATTACAGGCGTTTTTTTTTCCCTTTAGATAGAGGGCAGCTGGATACAGCGGTTATATATATATATTGACTGTTCCTGGTGAACATTACTAAATCATGAATATACTGGTCAGCCAGGTTTCTTTTTGGTCTCGGAAATATGTCACGAACCTGTGCTTCTTGTAGAACCTGATTGTATCATTTCTCTTGGCAGCTCTGTATTTACTTTTCCTCTTTTCATCCTTTTTTATAGACATTTTCTATAGACAGAATTGGTCATTGCCGTAGAACAGAAGAATTTGCCTCATGTTCTCACCTCACCTAATTCTACGTTGACAAGTTTATTTTGGCATGCGCACAAATTTGTGCTGCTTCTCGCAGTAGCCATTAACCATCCAAAGCACACAGTGTCCCTCCAGTATGACACAAGTCCAGGGCATCTCGCACACCACTCTCGCCTTTAGCTAGCCAAGACCTCGTTAAATACAAGACAAATAACTACGCGAATCACATTCATTCGCAGACTGCGTGACCCATGTTTGTCCCCGTGGACAAGTTCAAGCAACATCGTGCGGCCAGCTCAACCACGTTCCCTACGCAAGACTATTTTTATAGAACATAACTAGTAATATATATATACACATAAAATGCACGACATGAAAACAACATGCACCCAGTTTACATCAATAGATCAAAGTGCCCAAACGCACAAGTTTATTGTTCCCCTTCTTGTGCGTCCGCAAAAGACTCAAATACTTTTTTTTTTCTCTCTCAACATGGCGCCAAAAATCTGTTCAAGATGAATAAAAGTACACTGCTGTCCTCGTGATAAAAGAAAAGGAAGAAAAAGTTGTAAATGCATCTCTAAAACACAAAACCATGTGTCATGTACGCCAAAACAAAACAAAAGGGACGTTGCTGTTTCCATTCCACAGACCAAAAATGAAAAGGAAATATGAGCACACCCCGAAACAAAGAACCAAAGTCAAAAAAAAAAAAACAAATTGTCCAACACGTGCAAAATATCAAGACAAGTATATCCATCGTCTCGAATCAAGCCATGTTAAAACTCGACGTCTGCACCAGCAAAGCTGTCAATCCGTGAGAGAAAAAATGTTGCCGTTTCGAAAAACACCACCAAATGTCGCTTTGATAACAAGAAACAATGCTAAACCCACGCCTTTGAAAGCCGAATTCGATTGTTAACATTTTGAAAGAAATTTCGTTCCTTCGTATCCTGTAGCAAGCGAGCTCCCTTCCCCAAAAGTTCTTGTCAACCAGTGACTTTTGCGTTTCCATCAAGCTTTGACCCGTCATCATAATTCGAGTATTGATTCATGTGGGCGAGCTATCGTCATCTCCAGGCACCTTGGCTCAGAGACAGCAGGCCGGCCACGCAGTCCATATCTGGCTTCTTGCTGGGGCTCACGTCGCCGCGCATAAACTTTTCGACATCCGCGTCTCGCGAGACACGCGTCGCCTCATCCTCGAATATGTCAACGCTAGCCTTCATGCCGCGGGGTCGCGATGACGGGCCCGTGTTGACGCGGCTGCCCAGCTTGCCCGGGCTGCGGCTCTGCAGGATGCTGCGGCCCACGCGCCGCGGGTTTTTGGGCTTGGTTGACGCGGGCGGCGGCGGCACGGGGCGGCGGGAACCCACATCGGCAGCGTTGCCGTCCTCGTCAGGGCTCCAGTTTTCCTTGTCTGAGTCGGTCGGCGACGCCAACAAGCTGACTTTGACTTTGCCATTGTTCTTGCTGAACGGCTCGTCGTTCTCCTTACCCGTGTGCTCCAGACGGGCAACGCTCGAAATGGTGCGGCTGAACTTGGCCTTTTTGGCAAAGTGGCCATCGCGTGGCGTCGTCACGGGGGTGTTGCGTTTTGAGTTGCTTGATTGCAGCACGCCGCTCGTGGAGCGGAGGAGACTAATGGCCGCCACGGCGGACCCGTTGGATTCGTGCTCGGCGTGCGTCGTCAACTCATCGCGGGTTTCTGCATCAGCGCACGACTGCCAAGCCTGCACATCTCGCGAGCGACCACGGGCAAGACGCGGTGGCAGAAAGCTAGTCAGCGTGGAGATGGGAGGAAGTGTTACGGCAGGCAACGCGCTGTAGCTTCGCTTCAGGCCGCGCGGACGAGAAGAAAAGTCGGGCTCAGAAGAGTATTTCTGTGGAGAGGGACGCGTCGGAGAAGACGCGCTGTCAACGAGCTCAGCTTTGCCTTCCAATGACAAAGATAGTCGCACGTTGGTTTGGCTCTGCCGTTGGCTAGCATTGTGAGTCGTGTCAGAGATGCAAGACGACGGGACGAAATGTCTGGGGTGCATTGATTAGTACAAGCATTCACGCATTGTGTATAGCGTATACTTGCCTCGGAGAATCATCAGCGTCACGAGTTTGGCCAGCAGGAGTGGAAAACGAGCTGCCAATGTTCCATCTGTTGGCAAGATAGCCTACAGAGCCTGAAAACGAGTAGGTAACCGAAGACGGTCCGTCTTGGCTGCTCTCAGAGGATGGGATGTCCCGGTTTTGAGGCGTCGTCTCTGGCAATTGAGGATTGGCCGGAGCGGAGGCTCTGGGAGTCGCAGTAAGCAATGGTGCAGTGGGTGGGATCGGTTGAGAAGAAGTTTGTGGCGGCGAGACGGTAAGAGGGTCCGCGGGCGCGTGTGCGGGCAAAGTGACGGGTACTTGAACATTAGAGGCGGCGGAAGCAACGGCCATGGGATCAGTCGAGACGCCATGCAGGCCATTGAATCGAAGAGCGGCCAGTTCAGAGGGCGAAAGTGGACGCGACTTTCGTCTGTCGTTTTGGCGACGGTTCTGGAACCAAATCTACCAAAACATGTCAGCAATTGTTATGGCGGTGTAATTCTTGGACGACTGTATGATTTGGTGATTGTGGAGAGAATTATGATTAATCCATACTTGAACTTCCTTTTCGTTGAGGGAAACGCGGTTCACAATATCGAGACGCGCTTGCTTGTCGGGTTTGGGATTGGCCTTGTAGGCCTCTTCGAGAACCATCTTGTCCTTGGCACTTAATCGAGTAAGAACGCGTGTTAGTGTTTACGCAAGAGGTAATCATGGTGTAGACAAGGGTCAATGGTCATGATGGGAAGTGGACATACGCGGTACGCTTCCGCTTTCCTTTGGGGTGCTTTTCCATAACGGCCTCCGAGTCAAACGAGTCGTTGGCGGCGGCGGGCGGCATATCCTGGGAGAGAATGGAGGAGTCATGTCGGGAAGGCGAGGTGGTGTCTATTTGAGATTCCGAGACGGCAAAGGAATAGTCTGGGGGCGAGTTGGACATGGCGGGGGATCGAGCTCGAGGACGAGGTGGAAGAAGCGGTGCGGCTCGTGGGGATCAGGTCGAAATGGGTTGCTATAGGGCACCAGGCATTACTTGAGGCGAATTGGGGATGCACGGGGAGGGCGTCACACTGCACGAGATCGAGGTGAGGAAAGATGGAGAAGAGGTAATAGAAAAGACGACAAGAATCAGGTAGAGGAATAGGAAGAGAAGTCAGCTCAGATATCGAGTAGGAAAGAAACAAGAGAAGCATGGACGAGGTTCGAGGGTCCCACAAGACGTGTAGCAGCAGTGGGTCATTGGACGTGGACGTGGACGTGAGGAGGGTGTGGGAGGGAGTGGGCGTGGGCGTGAGGCGTAGAAGAGGAATGGGAATTTGGTCGTAAATTATTCGAATTTACGGGTACTTTTTATTAACTATGAATTGGTTACTTGGAGAATAAAAAGCGAATAATTCTCTTCAAGTTGTTGGTCAATGGTAATACACGGCTACCTGCCTGCCTCGGTATCTGCCTACCTACACCCGCCTCTACAGCTCTACAGCTCTATTATGGTACAGCTCTACGGTCTTTACAGGGCGTGTCGAGTCGTGTTTGGGCGTGTCTGCAGCGCCCAACCACCTGAAGCCCGCTATTGGACAATGGACCCAAGATATCTCAAAGCAAAGGACCGTGATGACCACCGAAAAACCCATACAATGCTAATCCGTACTTGGAATTAAATACCTAGATACCAACCTAAACCCTTTGTGAAATCTACCCGCGTGCCGCGTCAGTGGGCCTTTTGCCCCAGACACCGCTCGCGGTGCCCTGTCAGCTTGTCAACGGCAGTGGCCAGTGGCCTATTCTGTCGCTTGGTTTGATAGGCTCAATAATAATATAGACTCATAAATCGGAAAACATGTCAACACGCGTTGCATATTATAATAAATACAATGCCTTCCGTACCTCGTAAACAGACTCATTTATTTTTCTGCAACCACTCAACCACTATACATGGACTCTGCACGTCTAAAGTCGTCTTTTCCTTGTTTATTTCTTATATTAATTATGTTCCCTTGCCCACTTCTTCCACACGTAAAATATTGCCCTCTTCTTCAACGCGCCACATCCACAGCAACCACGCTAGACATGCATACCGTGTCGTGCAGCAGTCAAGACTCAACAAGCAAATGTTTACTTTACCTGCCGTCTCCGTCCGTCTGCCGTCTGCCGTCTACCGTCTGCCGTCTACTACCATTCAAGTTTCGGGTGGCCGATAGCTATCCAATATGAGATCGATCCGAGTCGGTCTATGCCGTCTACACTGCTAATCCACAGCTACGCACTCTGGCCTCTGCCCGCTAACTTCGATCCAGGTCTGCGAGGCTTATGTACGTGTCTGTATCCCTAATCGTATCTGTAGTTAGCATGTACTCCGTATTCTTTAAATATACTAATCTGCATGTCTGCGTTACCATTCGATGATACTCACAACCCACTCCCATACTTGCACACTCTATCACTTGTAGACAGAAAGCCGCCGACATGTCTCATGGCTCGAAGATCCGATCAAATCGCCGTCTAATTATAAAAACTTAGCATAGTCTCTTGTTGCGTCGCCAGAATTGACCACCACCGACCCCGCCTCTCAACTCCGCCTCCCTCCGTCTCAAGTGCCGACTTTTGAAACAGCACGTCTCTGCTCAGTCATTCCACGACAATGTTCGCTTCTCGCGTCTACCGGAGAAACAAGCCCACGACGAGGCGAATAAGGAAAAGCCCGCCATTAAGGTCATTCGGCAAACCTTTTCTGTAAACCATGCACGCAACGTGGGATATCGTCGAGTCAAGCCCCGACGCCTGGGCCGTCTTGGCTTACACTCGCTTGTTCTTCGACGAGGCCCTAAAATACCACCACAAAATGATGGACATAAGCCAAGATGCGCCCATTGATTGAGATTATAAGTTTTTTTTTTCAAGCCACCAAGATTTGAGTTCCGTGGCGTCGTAAGTCTTCCTCGCGGCGCTCGCTTTCAGAAAAAAAAATTAACATGTTTTAATATATATATTCAACACTCACGTACAAAACTGCCACGAAACACCAATATCTAAGTCTCTGCCGTCACTCACCCCTTATTACATCAATTCTTGCTCCTCGGCATCGACAATGAAGATTACCGCTCTTCTCGCTCTCCTTGCCTCGGTCTCGGCCGCTCCCATCTCTCTGGGCGACGACCCTGTCCGCACAACTGCCAACGAGTTTGTCGAAGGCGGTTGCGCCGACATGATTTTCTTCTACGCCCGCGGCTCCACGCAAGATGGCAACATGGTGACCATCTTTCCCTCTTGCTTTTCCCTCTCGCAGCATACAAAAGCAAAAGAAAAGAACAAGACTAACCCCCAGCTAGGGAGAATCGCCCGGTCCCAAACTCGCCAGCCTGCTCGAGGCAAAGTACGGCGCGGACAAGGTCGCCGTCCAGGGTCTCGACTACAAGGCCGACCTGATGGAAAACTTTACAGAAAACGGCACCGACGACGCTGCCATTGCCGCTCTGCAAGCACACCTCGTTGGCGCGACCAGCAAGTGCCCGACTGCCAAGATCGTCGTCGCCGGCTATAGTCAGGGCGCCGCAGTCATTCACGCCGCCTTCAAGACGCTGCCCGCCGAAGCGCTTGCCCGCGTCAACGCCGTTGTGACGTTTGGCGACACCCAGTACGTTGAAACCCGTTGCTGAATTCGATACCCCGGAGACTGTTGCTAATGAACCATGTGTGAAATAATAGAAGCAAGAAGAATGCAGACAAGATTCCCAACTATCCTGCCAAGCATAGCCTCTTTATCTGCAACAAAGGCGACACTATTTGCGAACAGGGCAAGCTCGAGTACGACGAATCACACTCAGACTATGACAGACGCGCCGCCGAGGCCGCCGACTTTGTCTTCAAAATGCTCGCCGAGGCTTGAACGAGAACCTCGCACCCATTATCAAGTCTTTTTTTTGGGGGGCGTATGTGGTGGTTACTTTGCTGTTCTTTATTGGTCTCTTGACATATTTCTTCGCGCGAGATGTGCCTACACGTTAGTACGGGTATGCAATCCGCGATTGCCTTCCATGTCATCATCTGCCCTTCATAACGAATAGCGGACCCAAGCAGATAGAATGAAGGATAGTTATGATTCAAAGTTAATTAATAAAAATAAAAACATCCGAGACCCCAGCCTCGCTTTGACTGATTTTACCTCTAATTGGACAAGGCATTGTGGAGGCGCGGGCAGGGGTGAGCTCACCGATTTCTCTAATTGATACTAATTTACGGATTAGATATGTACTTAAATCAGTTAAAGAAGAAAAAAACATAGAGCGCCCCCGCAATCGACACGCGAGACGCGTTCGTCGTCCGTTGCTGAGCAATTCAGCCATCTCTTATTGTTTTCTATTCCCTATACCCCGGTCCTTTTTATTTGTTTTACTAATTTTCTTTTGCCGCGAGGGCGTGCCGTTATGAATCGTCTCAGCTGCATGGGGGATGGTGGCCCATGTCAACGTCAACCTCTTTGTTTCCCTCAGTACGGAGGTCGTTTCCAAAAGTCGTGTCTGCCGCGATACTAGAAGCCGAGATTTGACAATGATCTTTAGTTACAAGCTCTCATCAAGATAAGTTGTAGTATCAAGATAAATTTGCTGTGGCCAGGTAAACAGGCCTGTTGTGTGATGGCTTCAGTACTTCCACCCATTGAGAAAGACGATAACATGGTTGGTAGGCTGCTGAACAGACGCGAGTCGGGCCGCAAAACGGCATACATTGTAATGTCTTGTGTGATTGATCCAAATAACCGGGTTCAAGGCACTGTCAATTCAATTGTTGCCTGCTGATAGTTTTGCCTGCCCGAAATAACCTTGACACCAGTAGCGAGCTTGTTACCTACATCTGCCAGCTAGGCATCGTGCAACTTGCCGCCAGCGCTAGATGATGAATGAAAGGATGGGCATTTTGGTCAAAAGACCTATCCCACGAGTCGAGCAACTAATTCTGATTGAAAAGGGAAAATACACAAGGATAGAGAAGGTTTTCATTATCCTTCCCTCCAGAGGCCTTCGGTCCGACGGCTTTACTTTCAAGTACCACCAGAATTAACAATGTAGAATGAAACTTGACAAATCCATTTTATAACAATCGGCTTTATAGTTCACCCTTGACCAATACATGGGCAACTAATGGAACCTAGAATTATCCTTATGCCCAAGCCATTGTAATTCCCGGCTAGCGCTGGTTGGACCCCTCTTGCGGGACACAAGCTGGCGGGCAGCTGAGCCGGGCTCTACAACGAAGTAATTTGTAAATGAAGATGCACAGCTGGAGTGCAGGAAATTGTAATTGTGTAATTGTTAGTGCAAAACAAGTCTTTCCTTGCAGCTTTTGAATTGACACTTTCTGGCCCACATACAGCGCCGCTAAAGTTGATCGGCCACCTACGTCTGTCTGCGCGGCACCCGAAACACAGCAAGACACAACTTTGTCAACAACATCCACCAAACGCACCTCTGCATCTTCCGTTTGCCGCCATCTTTCCCTCTGCTACAGACTGCCCGGGAACTGCGCATTGGCAACGTCACCGAGGCGTACCGCGAAGGCGTGACGGAAAATGTTTCACTGGTCATAACGCTGAGCTCTCCGTATCCTGGCGCATCCGCCCCTTTAACGACGACCCCAAGCGCCGATCTCCAACACACACCACGAAAGATCTTCTCAAAAACACGGTTTCGACAAGACGGTTCGCAGTAGACGAATCGGCGACAAGTCATGGATCAGGCAGACATCCCAGCGCTGCTGGCGCGCCTGTCGAGCGACGAGGATGCCGCGCGCAAAATGGCCGTCTTTAAGCTGCAGTCCTCCATCAACGACCCAGCGTTTGCCGACGTCTTTATATCCTCGGGCGGTCTCGTAATCTTGCGCCGCCTCATCATGGGTGCCGGCGGCAACACCTTGGCCTACTCGCTGCAGTCGCTCTCGCGCCTCCTCGAGGTTGACATGGGCTGGGATATTTTCGAGGGTCCCAGCGCGGGGGATCTCGTCGAGCGCATCGTCGAACTCATCGTCACGAACCCGCTGGTTAACATCCTTCGAGGCGCCATGTCGATCCTGGTAGCGCTCGTCAGCCATTCCCAGTTTGCCAACGAGGCCCGCGGCAACCAGGGCAGCTTTGGCTTCCGCGCCCTACGGCCCGCCATTGCTGTGTATCCGCAGTTCTTTGAGCTTGTTGTCCAGCAGCTACAGAGTGCCGACCACGCCCTCTGCGCCAACGCCCTTATGCTCACAAACGCCCTGATCCGTGACGCTCTGTCAAGTAGCAATACGCCCGAGGGCACATTCGAGGGGACCGGAGAGGAGTGGACCAAGATCATCAAGCGCCTTCACGACCTGGGTCTGGTCAAGGCCGTCTACAAGATCATGCAGAGCTCGACGCTGCAGGATCTCGCGCATCCTGTACTGGAGTTCCAGGCCCTCAGTAAGCTGTTGCTCCGCCGTTGGAGAGAGGTGGCTGTCGACGTGGAGCGACCCGAACATAGACGCGCGCTCAAGGCGCTACATCTCGCCAGCAATCCAGAAAAGAGCAACGAGGTTAATGGGCACGCGAGAGATGACTCAATGGAGGGGACGAAAAAGGAAGGCAAGCGCCGCAACCCCGACAAGTGGCGTCGGCTGGGGTTCGAATCAGAGAGCCCGGCCCAGGAATTCGAGACGAGCGGCTGTCTGGGTATGATGGACCTGGCTGACTACGTGCGCAAGTTTGAAGATAGCTACCAAAAGACACTGCTGGAGCAGGCCGTCAAGCCAGTCCGAGAACGATGTCCGATTGCGCATGCGAGCACAGCCGTCACAATGATATTATACAATCACTTTGATGTGGACAAGACAGACGTGGAAGACTCCAAGGGATATCAAAACCTAGAGGACAAGAACTACGACCAGCTTTTCCGTCCACTGCTGTTGCAGTGGTCGCGACTACACACCTCTGCGCTGCAGGCCTTCTTTCGCATCTGGAAGAGCACCGGCGCCGAGACGGACGACTTTGACAAAGTAGGCGAGCTGGTGCGTATCCTCGTGGAGCACGTGGTGGGCCAATCTTCGCGCACACGAGATGTACTCGAGGTCGAAGACGACATGGCCGAGTTTGACGTGGCGCGCCTGCGCGAGCTGCAGATGGAGCTGCTGGAGCAGTCGTTTGACGACACCTGGGGCGAGCACCTGTACCAGGTCCGCGAGACCCTGCGACAAGAGGCCCTGCAGTTTGTCAAGGAGCAACGCGTGCGATGCCTGCTGCAGGGCTCGTGGTCGATGCACCCAACGGCGACGGCGGCGGCTCCCGAGCAGGGCGGCAAGGAACAGCAGCAGTGGCGCTTCGCCAAGCTGTCACACAACCGACGCTACCTGCACTATGCCGACTTTGACAAACAGACGCCGCAAGATCCGGGCCTGAACAGCCTGACTGAGAAAATTGACCTCAACACCATCAGCTCGGTCGTGTCCAACGTCTCGACCAATAATGACCAAGCTAGCCACAGCAGCAGCTCGACATTGCAGAGCCCACGTGCCCCTGCTTCCGGATCCCCCAAGACGCCCACAACGACAACCAAGATTACTATTTACAGCTACGTGCACGCGGCAGGCGCGGCGCGCGGCGGCGACAGCAGCGAGTACCCGATCCTGGAGCTATGGCCGGTCAATCACAGCCTGGCGTCGGAGTGGCTAGACGGCTTACTGATGCTGCTGAACCAGACGCCCATCACCTCGGAGACGAGCAAGCTGGTGAATTTGGTGAGCGATTATGGGCTCAAGATTCGGCTGCTGAACGTGCGAATGGACGGGGCGCTGGAGGGGCCGCCACCGGGGGCGGGCGAGGTGCCGAGTCGGGATGGCTTGGATGAAGATTACTTTTATGAAATTTGAGTGGAATCAGAACCTGGGCGAGTTTCTTGGTTCCACTACTGTTTTTATCTCTCTTTTGCATATACCCTCTGTATATGGCGCTGATGGTTTATATCCTGTATGTATATCGAATACTGCACATGTCTTCTTGGTAAATAATATGAAGTGAAAAGGTCGCAGACGCAGCCAAGTCAAAGGGGGGTTTTTTTTTGAGGGGGCTTGATCTAGACAGCCAGTAAGAGGGCCAGCGATGGGTTGAAGCTGTCGTGCGGTAGAGGGTTAGGACTGGGCGCGCAGTCCTACGGGCAGCCATTGATTAATTCGAGTTTCTTGCGTCCACATTTGGATCATCTGCTACTGAAGGAATGAAATGTTGTATTGCATGGAAAATATACGAGGTATATTTTACAAAAGGGAAGATGATATACTGAGATGCTGTGATTGGACACCTGGGTAAGCTTATGAGATGGGCTAGAGTTGTGCGGATATTCTAGCGAAATCTGACGTGCTGTTGGGAAGGTGTTTCAACCTTTGAATCATGGGGCATGTTTTCTCGCCGAGGACAAATTAGCCAGACACAGAGAGGCTTGCATGAGTATCCGTAGCGTGGCGTGGATCTTTGTCTAGTCGCACCTTGATTGTGTGATTGTGTGCCGTCGAATCGTATCTGTGTGTCTCGGTTGACCGACTGTTCGGGGCCCGGAGTAATTATCAGTCCAGGTTCGGAACATGTGCGAGAGCCAACGCATCCCTATATTCTTCTACTTTATCAGTATACTTGGGGCCATGATTGGATCGAAGCCTAACGTTAATTCCATGCACCCGGGCCCATTTTGGGGAGGGGAAGATATCTTTGCTTGTGAAAGCAATGCTAGTTAGCTCAGAAAGCTAGGTATAAAAAAAAATGATGATGCGGCGGCCCGTTGCAAGTGTGGAGCTATCCAAACATCTGTGGCTTTTAGGCGGAGTCCGGCTTTGGGCAGGAATGGTGATTGTATTGTTTAGAACTTTGTTGTCGACTTGTACTCCGTATTATTCGATGAATTAAGTGCCAAGAAATATTGACAGAAATGTCTCGGGATCTTGTTTTGGGTATGAAGGATTTAGAATCTCGTGTTTTTCTTCCTTCAAATCGAGCAGCGATGTCTTACGGATCAGCAAGCCATGTCATGAATATTTATCCAGCCTCTGGTAGTTCTTTATATCCCCACTATTTAAGTACAGCTGCATCGCGGGTACTGGTAGATAGGTATGTACTTGGGCGCAAAGGGCGGTGACTTGCTCGGCGCAGCGTTGATGCCTGGCAAGAGCCCCATGCTCACATGTAACTCTTTTTGCCTGGTTCGGTAGACGAATGGCGACAACTCTGGTGGATTAGGAGAATGCCGATTTTTTTCTGGCGTCCGATCCATTGGGCGCGTGGTATATCGTAAGCTAAGCGTGGGTTTGATCCGGATTTGCCGTTCCGGGGGACATAATATCTCGTCGCGCTGTTTCCCCGTCTCTTGATTACTTCCTTTCCTTCTACACCCTACTTTTTCCCTATTTTTTTTTTCTTTCCCATTTGTTGGTGGAAGGGGGAAAAAGAGTAGAGTTGGGGAAGAAACGTCGACAGCCCATCACGGTACGTACCGGACGGACGTGCCAACAAGGGCTGGAGACGCGCAGTGCCAGCGCCTTGCCTGTGACGGCAATTGGCGTCTGGCGTTCGGAACGAGGCCTGTCTGCCGTATCGTTTCTGGCAAACAGCCTCGCCGACGAGCGAGATTCACGGTTCCCTGGCCGCATTGCGTTGCGTTGCGCTTTGGACTCTGTTCGCTGCTGTTGCACGCCAGCTGACTAAGGATCTGGCTGTGCGCTGGGAGGTGCTCCACGGATATCTACAGCGGGCAGAACCTGCTGAAATCCACTGGGAACCCATTGAAGTGAACCTCATTCCCGCTGTGGGTTCGCCTAAGCGTTGAATCTGGCCTGACTTGAGCCATCCACATCAAACCTTGGCGACACCTTCCCCCTGACAAGGACACTTGGACACGAACAGAAAAAAGTTTCAACAGTTTTCAAACGAAGAAAAATATTCATCCCTGCACAATCAATCTCCCGCCTCGACCAATCTAATAAACGGAAGCAACAAAAGAAAGAAAAACCCAAACTACAGCCAATTGGAGCTCCCGTCAGTTTCACTGCTTTGCCTACCAAACGCTGCATTCCTCCCTCCTCATAACTGCCTTCGCCAACGACGCATTGCATTCATTCACTTGATTCCCTCACGCAACCCACCATCTGCAGGTATGTGAATTGTGGCATAGTTCAGACAAAGACCCCTTTTTACCCTTTGCGAGAGCCGCTCGCTTCATCCTCCCTTCCACTCCCTGTGGCTTCCCGATAGGCTGGCCGCGTCTTGGTGGCGCCCTTGGGCTGCTTTCGCTGCCAGACCAAGGTCACAGAGCGAGCCAAGGACCAGCTGGCCAAGTCTGCCATTCTAGCAATAAAGGACGCTTCATTCCCAGCTCCCGTACCCCTCGTCCTTCGTGCCCCTTTCGAGCCCACGACCCGTCGCCTTATCGCAGGGGCCGAGCGGGCACTCTTTGTCTGTCTGGCCGCCACTACTCGGACGCAATGGCTAATTTTCCCTCCCACAGCATTTCTTAGCTCTTGTCAGCATCATTAAGCCTGCATCTTTGCGCCGCATCTTGACTCCCGTCCGCATCACCATGGCTCGCATCCAGATTCCCCTTGACGCCCTGACGTCGCGCCTCAACTTTGGCGAACGCTTCCAGGGCCTCCGCAACGGTCCCCTTTCCGGTCGCTTCTCAAATCTCAAGCCAATCTCCGAGTTTCTCGACTTCAAGCGTCTCTCCAAGCCCGCCAACTTTGGCGAGGCCCAGTCTCGCGTCAACTACAACCTCAGCCATTATTCCTCCAACTATGCTGTCGTCTTTTCCATGCTGAGCATCTACGCTCTCCTGACCAACTGGCTCCTTCTCTTCGACATCATCCTCGTCGTTTTCGGCATGTTTATCATCGGCCGCCTCGACGGCCGCGATCTCGAAATCGGCACCTTTCGTGCCACATCCTCGCAGCTCTACACGGGTCTGCTCATCGTCGCCATTCCATTGGGTCTGATTGCCTCGCCCTTCTCGACCCTTATGTGGCTCATTGGCGCATCTGGCGTGGCCATTCTCGGCCACGCTTCTTTCATGGATAAGCCCATCGATGAGGCTTTTTCCGGGGAGGCGGTCTAGGTGGTCGGCCGCAAGCTCCCAAATTTGCGCCCCAATGGGGAAGACCATCGAGGCGCGGGCGGAGGAAGACGGACGGCGATGCTGGTCTGTATGATTTTATGTTTGGTGATGGAAGGGTGGAAGAGGTCAACTCGGACGACGAGAGTGATGGCCATGGAGTGGGTTTGTCTGCGCGCCGCCAAACCCGCTTCGTTAGCGATTCTTTGCAATTCACGGGCACCGACTTGGGTGACCGCTCCGCCGGCGTCGTGCGTCGCGGACACCACTTCCTAGCTTCCAATGACGATTCCGAGGCGACGTCTGACAACAGTGAGAGCGATGATGATGACGAGACAGAGGGCAGCTACAGCGGAAGTTCCCAGCAACCCTCTAGTGCTCAAGAGGAGGCGCTCGTTCAGTCAGCCCTCAAACGCATCAGCCGCGCCCAAGCCCATGGTCGTGCTGATGTCAAGCTCAATAAGAATGAGCTGGCTGCGCTTGAGCGCCGACGCAAGCGCATGCAAGAGGAGGCTGAACGAGCCGAAAGGGAGCGCGCCGCACGTGCATCCGGATCCAGTGGCAGCGATCGAAAGAAGAAGCGAAAGGAGCAGCGAGTTGCTGTGCCTCTGTCTCAGTTTGAGCCCGTGTCGAGAAAGAAGCGCACCGACAGTAGTCACCCGCCACGCAAGGACTCGCTGCCCTCGCGCGCTGTTGTGGGAGACTCCCCGGACCAGCAAGTGTATCCTCCCATGGGCTACTTTCCGCCGCCCGCGCAGTCGCGTTCTCGCAGCTCATCGCTTTTGCAACGCCCCGGTAGCCGAGCCCGTGACGTCAACAACGGCTCACCTCCAGTCTCTTATCATCAGTATGCTTCAGGGTCCAGTCATAGACATGCTTCCGACTCTATGGCGCGGCCTCACTCTCGCGGGCTTCCCCATGAGGACGCATGGGATGCCAACTCAGCACCCAACCCGTTTCAGTACCAGACCGAGGGGCCCCGTGTCATGTACCCGGCGTCGTCTAGGGGCAGCCGCTCCGAAGTGAGCTACAGACAGTCGTCGCACGGCCATGGCACCTCGTCGCCGTCGACCAGGAGCCGTCACGGGTCAGCGCGCCCTAGTCTCAATAGGGTGCCCAGCAGCGAGACGAGCTCGGAGGACACGGCCAGCGATGAGCTCGGCAACGGCGCGCAGATTCGGGAGCAACAGCAGCAAAGGCAGCCACCTGCACGAGGGAGGAGCAATAGAGAAATCGTCGTCGAAGTAGAACCAGAACCACCAGCACCACCAGCACCAGCAAAGAAGAAGTCTTCGTCACCAACAAAGAGAAAGCCCGCGCCGACTGGGAAGAAGAAGAAGAGGTAGAAGTTACTATGGTAGCTTGAGAAGAAAAGGAAATTGGGATTGGGACTAGAAAAAGGACGCTCAACAGGATGTCTTGAGGTTTGTATTTTGTTTTCATTATTGATTTGTGTTCATTGATACCAATCTCGAAGGAGTGGAAGTGATGCAGCATGACACTCTAATAAAGACTTGTTCATTGCATTACCAACTGTTGACATTATGACAATAACGGACAACGTGACACTACTTTTCTTTTCTGATGTAGATTGCCACCTCGTCAAGCCAGTCATTCTCTGGCGGGGTAGACACTTTAACATAGTCGTCGCGAAGCATGTTTCTGACCCGCGACGAAGCCGGATCACCACTATTCGATCCGGTCAGCACCTTTCCTCCCAGAACATAACCTGCCAAAAGAACCAAGTACCTCGCCCGTCTCGAAAACTTACCATTCACCTTGATTGCCTGGCCGCTCCGCGTCTTGATGCCACACCAACACCGCCGGCCGCGCCACATCGCACACCACATCCCAGACGGGAACATTGCCCGGCCACACGGCCACCACGACGGTCTCGTCGCCAACCTCGAGATAGCCGCGCGGGTCATCAACCACCGCGACCCGCTCCCCCTCCAGAACAGTCTTGTCGATCACCGTGTAGTAGCCCGCGTCCTGCGCCACGCACGCTACTCCGCCGCCGACGCCGCCGCCGAGCACGTCCCGCAGCGCCAGCATCAGCGCGTGCTGCGTGACGCTACGACGTCCGGCCATTGCTGTTGTCATCATCGTCTTGGGCCTACCGCACGCGAGCGCCACAATGTTGCGAATTCGCGGCGGCAACGCGGAGAGGAGCGCGCGCAACAGGGTGTGGTGCGGCGAGCGTGCCCGGCACGTGTGCAGGCGGAGGCGCAGCGAGTTGGCGTCGTTTTCGTCGTCGTCGGCGGCGGCGGCGACGGGCAAGCGGTCGTCTAGGAAGCGGCGCGGCGGCGGCGGCGGGACGGCGAGTCGCTTCTCGACAATGTGTGCGATTTCGAGAGGGAGATGGGCGCGTATAGGGTGATATAGGGTGTCGTCGCGGCAGGCGTCGAGGAGGCGTGCGGCGTTTCTGTAGTGCGGCGTTGGCCGTGTGCTGTTTCGTCGCCCGCAAATGTTTCCAGTCAGAAATCTGTGTTGGTACCCGCAACAGGTCTCGCAAGAAGATAAAAAAAGAAGAAGAGTTATACTCACAGGACGCAAATGTGCGCATCGTCAATGTGGTGCGCGCGGCCAGTCAGCAGCGGAAACGCAACGACTTTGCCGTCTAGGCCCGTCACGCGCATGGGCTGCTGCGTAGGGTCGGCGACGGCGGCGTCGATTTGTGCGGCGAGGTCGGCGAGCGCGGCTCTGGTGAATAAGGGGGCGCCAGAGTCGTAGATTTGCGCGAGGAGAGTTTGAGAGGCGGCCATGGAGCGGTAGAGCTGGCGACGGGGGGGAGCGTGGGGTGGGAGGGCGGCGAGGCAGCGGGTGATGCAGCGATGCTGCGGTTCCGGAGACGAGGAGGAGGCGGGCATATATGGCATCGTGGATGAAGAAGAGGGCTGGAAGGGGGATCGTGGTTTCTGCGGTTCGAGTATAGTACAGCCGTTTGAGCACGAGTAGCATTCGAGTAGGAACGGCAAGATCTTTTTCTTCAATGTCTACTTGTTCCTTCTCTCGAGAAGAAGGACTGTTTTGAAGAAGCGTCCATTTGTTATCATCACAGAGTTTTATAGTAAGCTTCTGCTTGTGGTACAATGTTTATTCGGTGTGACGATTTTGGTTGCCTCGGAGTTGTCTGTTGTACTAAGGACGGCGGCAGAACCTAGGCATCTCTATGTCATTTCAATATGGAGAAAAGAAGCGAGTGATAAGGGAGATCGAATCAATAGCAGATAGCAGAAATCGTGTCAAATAGTAACTGTATTGCTTGGCTGCCTATCAATGCAAGACTGTAATTGATCACTGCCCAGGACCGTCAGTTTTCTACCTGCACATATGTGCAGACGGGTGGTAGCTGATCATATGGCTGTGCCAACTGCAGGGTATGAAAGCTCTAGTAAGCAATCTCAAGATGCTTATTCAAAGAAGAAGAAAAAATATCACAAAAGGGCCCGTCAAAACAGCCAAGGTTCGCCCAGCCGGTGATGCGTTGTTGCGTTGGACAAGATCGAAATCACAAGCTCGGGGTGTAATCGCACAAGCTGGATAGCACAGCTCTTTCTGCCTTGAATCAGCAAGACTTGTTTTCAGTTTATCACTTTTGAAAAGGCATGTGATGAACCTCGTGCTGAGAAATCCTTGGCCTTTTGTTGGAAACGTTGCGGTGAATGCCGCGACAAGAAAGTCGATGCGCAGTGTCAGCCGATCAAAAAACACCACGGCGTTCCGAAACCAGAGTTGTAGAGAAGTGATTCAGTGGTTCTTGACGGATGCACAACAAAAAACATGTATAAATAATTAGCAAACCTCGCATCTCCATCAAGAAGCAACCTTGTTCTTTCCAAGAACCCATCCTAGCAGTTCACAGCACCTCGCTTCAGTGACTAACCCAACACCTACCATCATCTGCGCTCGGGTCAAGAATATATCGTCATTTCTTCTGGAACCACATCTACAACTTTATCAGTCTTTAATCTCTCACCATGTGCGTTTTCTACTACCACACGAATCTCTGTGGCCATGGTGCTACTCCTGTGGGCAGCGAGCCGATATGCCACCCGGCCTTGATGCCCTATCATGAGATTCAGCACATAGAAGTCGGCACAAACGAGTTTTGCGGCCCTTGCAAGCAACTTGATGACCTCGCCAAAGTTGAGCGCAAGGAGTAGTAGGTAGACGTCTGCGACGAGTTGCGCGTGAATTCCTTCGAGGGCCCTTTGAGAGAGAGTTCTGTTCTTGCAGATCATGAGATACGACAGACTGAATAGTCGTCTATATGTACTGGTGCACTGAATTGACCGAGATTCATATATGTTTGGCAAGGAACCATTCCCTGGTATAGGCCTGCGCCACAGTACCTTGCCATTCTGGTGAAGGTATAGTGTGTTGATTGAGCATGCTCTCACGAGCATGCCACGCCGAGATACTGTAGTTTTTAAACAGTCTTTGCACGTATACTTTGGATTTACCCCGCATGATGAAAAGTATTGCCGTGTTGCGCATGTGTTGTCGTGTGTCGTGGGACTTGGGCTTGTCATGGGCGGAAATGTTCTAGGCCGTACGGTGAGGCCCGGCCCTCGGCCCACGATCCCGCACGAACCCCTGTAGTTAGACCGACAGCTTCGCCGCCGCGTCTAAGGTAGTTAGCGCCCCTGCTCGGCTTCCTTCCTGCATCATAATCCAAAGTTCTGTTTACCCTTTTCCCCGAACAAACCAATCTCTGCCATTCATCAACTACTGCGACATTACTGCAAATTAGATACCCCCCCCCCGTTATTTTCCCCAAGGACCTCGCTCGCGACAGCGCCTCCCCAAAGCAGAGGAGCTTCTTCTTCTTCCATTGCCGCAAACCCGACAGCTACCCCGACCCATCACCACCACCACCACCACCACCATCGCATCAAACATTACACAATGCCTTCCTCCTCCTCCCGCAAAGACAAGACTCCCACGTCGTCCAACGTCTCCAAATCGAGCTCCAAAAAAGACTCGTCCTCGGGACGTACCGGCGCTCGGCGCCTGCTCAAAGAGCTCGAGACGTGGCGCGCCGAGCAGCCAGAGGAGCGCGGCATCGAGCGACTCGGCCCCGTGAGCGACGAGAGCTTGATGCAGTGGGAAGCCGTCATCAACGGCCACGATGTCGGCCACGGCTACGACGGTAACAAACCCCCCTCCCCAATATCCCCCACACCTTGGTCAACGCCCCTCGAAGCTAACCCTTTTGCTCCAAACAATAGGCGGCCGCTGGCTCATCGCCATTGAGATACCCGACGAGTACCCCCTCAAGCCGCCCAAGATGCGCTTCGTCACGCAGATTGTCCATCCCAACATTGCGCTGCAAAACGGAGAGATTTGCCTTGATCTGCTCAAGGATGCCTGGACACCCACGTACAGCGTGCTGGAGTGCGTTCGCGCCGTCCGCATGCTGCTCAGCTGTCCGGAGACGGACTCGCCGTTGAATGTCGACGTTGCGGCGCTGCTGCGCGGCGGCGACGTCGTCGGCACGCGGAGGCTTGTCGAGCTGTGGTGCTCCGAGGACAGGGGACGCTATGAGGGTGCGTAAAAAACAGTGTGTGAAACGGGATGAGGGTTTTCTCCCCCGCTATGAAGACGGAATTTTGTCGAGGTTCTGGTAGTCGTGTGTGTGTGTGTTTTTTTTTCTTCATGTTCCTTTGGTCATGTGTATTAAGCGATGGAATGATTTGTATGCTAGTGACGGAATGTCGAGATTGGATATAATCAGAGTGAGCATATATATACTCGAATCTACAAACTGCAAACGTATTAAGCTATCCGGTCTGTTTCGTCCAACTGACTCCGTAGAAGGATCACTTTGTCTTTGCTGCATCATCTACTTGACCGATTTCAAAGGCATCTTATCGCTTCCATGTAAGCCACATCATCATTCTTTTATTTCAAGTGTTCTATTCCAACCTTACTCCTTCCTTCCTTCCACCAGCTGCCTCGAGAAAAAGAAACGGGCCGCCGTGTCGTTAAAAAATAAATACAATGTATAAAGAGACACCAAAAAGTTTTGAAACATGGCAAAACCAAGAACCAGGACATAATCAAAAGAAACAAATACACGCATCAAGAGCAAGAGATGAGGAGAGAACAGAGTAGAAACTAGAATTCGCCCACTCTCTCATCTCATCTTGATACACTCTTTTTTTTTTTTTCATCATCCTTGCTGTTTCAATAATAAATGTTGGAAGGAAAAAAAAGATGATGCTCCCGGCTCCGAACCCGACGTTCTCCAAAATCTGGGCAAATGAGAGTAATGCTGGTCTAAAACGCCAAAGTGTCAACGTCTGCGGGCTCCCTTGTCGGCCTGGTTGGCTATACCACACAGGCTCTCAGGCACGCCGACAATCAGCGCCGCAGAGATGCAAACCCCGAAATCATGCACCCCGACAAACCTCCTATTCATTACGCAAATGCGTTACTCATTATAATGGTAGACCTTGAGATGAATGAAGTCAGTCTCTACACACAGTTGCAAGCTTTTGGCAAGGAACAAACCTTGTAGTTGGGTAGACCCCATGGTTGCTTTCCAAGACGCTTCGCCATCTTGGCAAAGCCCTCAGTCTCAATCAGATTGTAAAAAGAAAAGGGCGGGAACATGGCACCGTCACGGTGCACTTCAGCCTTGACTAGCAGAGCGGTGCCGCCGACGCCGTCCAGCGGCATCACCTGATTGATATCGCCGTTGGGGTCAAACATTTTGGCCATGAGAGTGCGGTACGTGGGCATCTCGGCGTAGCCCTCGAGAAGAATGTCGTCGGGGCTCATCTTCTTGGCCAGCTCTTGGGCATTCTCGCTGTCCTGCCAGTTATTAAAATCGTATGGGCGTTCCGACATTTGCTTGAGGTCTTCGTCGTAGTAGCGCTGCCAGCAGTTGGCGCTGACAAGGTCCTTGTCAAAGGCGGCGAGGTCTTGTATGAGGCTTGCGGGGCTCTCAACAACGTCGGCGTCGAGCCAGAGAACCCACGAGGTCTTGGGGCCGAGAGTGGTGAAGAGCAGCGAGTTGCGGGCCTTGGACATGACCTCGCGGCGGGCCTTTTGGTTGGCCATTTTGTGGCGCTCGCTCTCATCCTGGGAGGAAAGGGCAGGATCAAAGTCCTGGCGAAGGATAATGATACTCTTGAAGCGGTCCTTGCCGGGGCCGCGCTTCTGTGTCTTTTGTATTTGCTTTTGCAGCGCGGCGGTAGCGGCGTTGCCGTCTTTGTCCTTGGGCAGGATGAAGCCGAGCGTAATGAGCTCGTGCGGGTAGTTGAGCCTCATCAGATTGTCCCAGTAGCCCTGATAAAAACGGGACATGGGCGTGAGGATGAGAATGTGCTCGTTGTTGCGCATCGGCTGAGGCGTGACGGTCACCTGGTTGAGGTCGTAGCGGGACACGGGCGGCGGGCTCGACTTGCCGCCCTTGAGGCTCGATTTGCGGTACGGCGACGTCGGCGGCGACAGGTGGTGGTCGGCTGTCACACCAGCGAGGCGACTGGAGACTGAGGAGCCTGATGGCGAGATCAGGAAGATGATGATGAAGATGCACAGCACCGCGCCGAGGATGAGGGTCGAAGGGTTGGCCTTCTTTAGGCGGACGGACCCCATGGCTCGAGCCATGGCCGATAGGCGATTGTAGAGTCCAGACGAAAGCAAGAAAACTATACTTGTCGGCGTCGAGTCGCGACGAGGAGCGGGATTTGTTAAGGAAAGACGAGGGGTGAGAGTAGAGCTGCAGGAGAAGAAACTGCCAAGGATACTGTCGAAGCACACATAGAGGTACGTGCTGTCGAGTCGCAGAATGTCGATAGACGCGACGATGGGCTGAGGGAGAAAAAAATGCCCGTCAGCCGTCACAGGGTCGCGGAGAAGAAGAGCCGAGGCGAGTCCCTTTTTCGCACGGCGAGACTTGGTGTTCTTGGACTTGAAATAAAAGGGATGCGCTCGAGCAGAGAGATTTAGAGGCCAACTATGGAACGAACGAGGTAGGGCCGACCAGATTTGGCCTAGCGTGTCAAAATGTCTGTAGCGTGCAGAGCGCGCGCTCTGTCCAGGGGTACTTTTCATGACTGCGCAGCACTGGCCAATAAGAGGTACCTCTCCGACAGCCAACTACCTAAGGTACCACCTACCCAAATAGTTACGGGCTACACTAAAAAGGGGAGCCGTGAATCCGTCTACGAAATCTGCTTGCAAAACAGCAGGCTGATCTATTTGTAATGAGCCGAGATTATTCAATTTATCATTTTGATGTTTTAGCGGGCCAAGTTGCAATTTGCCTTCTTTGGGAATAACGAATCTGTGTTGCAACCCCCCCTCCCCCCCCGGGGGGGCTGCCATCCCCGCCACAGAGTACTTGGCAAAAGAAACAACCAACTAATCAAATAACCAACAAGACCTCGTGGACTGGGCCTTGGACTTGAGCTTTCCTACTCGTTGCGGCTACCTACACCTCCAAATCTATCCCTTTTTTTTTTTTTTACGCCTCTCTCAATTTTCAACAAGTTTTTGCGCTTTGATATTGGAGTCTTGCTTGCACGCACTTTCTTTTCAAATCAATCCTTTTCAAAGAGACCCTGTCTTCACGTCCCTCTCTCTGAGGGAGTTGTCACTACTCTCTCACGCCTTTGGTATCGTGATCCAGCAACATTCAACATTTCTCTGCTCGCTTCTACTGCCAAGACCCCTTAGTACATAGTTCTCGTTATCATGCCTCGACGGTACCTGGGACTTGTGCATACACCCCCCTCCCTCTTCGTCCCGCCCAGGCTGCAAATCGTCATGGGACTTCTTGCTTTACAAGCCCAAAGTAACCTTGGCCTGCTTTCTTATTGGCTGCCAGTCCTTCTCCTTGCTGTCAGTGATGTGCGATTCCGATCAAAGCCCCCAAAAGTGGTCTTTCGTGGCGGATTGGCAAACCACCTCGGCAGTCGTACTCTACACGCCTCTCCACCTCTCTGAGGCTCTACCTCTTCAACGGCCCCTGCCTCTTACAGCCGTTCATTTCAAACTCACCACACCGCATTCCCACGTGGCTGATCTAACCTTCCCAGTTTGTCCGTCTAATGTCTCGATCCCCCTCGGTATATTTACCTCGATCCGCCTGTATAGTGACGCAGCCTTTGGTGGCAGACCCAGCCACGGTCCTGTCTTGGACAAGCACGCCTCCTCTTCGTCATCAGTATTCGCGTGATAGCTTGTATTATTCTTCTCTTTTTCATTTTCCTTCTTCCATTGACGTCGTTTGCCGTCCTGTTCGTATCCTCGCTTCGATCCTCGGTATCTTGCGGCGCTCTTATTGCAAAGACACGACAACATTCCGGGCGGTTTCCTCTTCCATATGCTGTCTACTTATCGTCTCTTCGTGGCGGTGCTCTGAGCTCAGGTAACCCTTCGCCCTGGACGACTCGTAGAGACGTCGATTTACACGCTCTGGGCCCGCCTGGCAGAAATCAAGAGTACTCAAGCAGCAGTCATGGCCATTTTTGCGTGGCTCTCAAGACGCGTAGGCGGCCTCAGTCTTATTTCTCTGATATTCCTCACCTACTGGGTACTCTCACATGAGTACATTGCCGCTCGACGTCTCGTCAAACCCGGTTCCGCAAATAAAGCGCCTACCTCGCGACCTGTATATGGCGCTGGTGTATGGTCCTTCGTTTTTGCCTACTACTCCCTCTTTATTCACTTCCTAGTATTTATTGCTCCGCTCCGCGCATGCAAGGCCGTTTGGGACATTACTGCTTCTCTGAGAAAAGATGCTAGGCTGCATGCAATTCGCGACTACAAGATACATCGACCTCGATGCGAGTCGCAGGCATCCATCTCGAGCTCCGAAACCCTTCACATGGAGCGTTTGAGCATTTCTACGTCATCGGTTGAGCCAATAAGTGACACTGAGCCAAGCTCCATGTCCGAATCTGAGGAGCCGAAGGCGATCAGTGTCATTCACGCCATCGTCATCCCCAACTACAAGGAAGAAATCGATACCCTTAGAGAATCGTTGGACGTTTTGGCATGCCATCCATACGCTGCCATGACCTACGATGTAAGTCCCCTGAGTACCTACCTTGAGACATGCGCCTTGCTAATCATGGCCTCTGCCTCTAGGTATACCTTGGAATGGAACAGCGCGAAGTAAAGGGAGAAGCCAAAGCTCTTGAGCTCATCCAAGAGTTTGGTAAAAAGTTTCGTCGGATGGACTATACCCTGCACCCCGGCGATATTCCTGGAGAAGCTGCTGGAAAGGGAAGCAACATGGCCTGGGCTGCCAAGAAGCTCAGTGAAAAGTATTCGATGAAAACTCGGAACAATGTGGTGCTCACCAGCATGGACTGTACGTTGTAGCCACAATGTTTATTCTTGTCCTCTATGCTGACAATTTGACAGCCGACAGCCACCTTGCCGCCAAGTACTTTGCCAAAGTCACAAACATGCACCTCTCCCATCCAGACACCGCCCACTCCACGCTCTACGCTGCGCCCATCATCTTTGACCGCAATGCTCACAACGTTCCCGCACTCGTCCGCACCGCCGATGTTTTGTGGTGCGCCGCCGGCATGTCCGGCCTGTACAATGGTTCCGTCCTCTCGCCACCCACTTCAGTCTACTCGGTCCCGCTGGCGCTCGTCGACCGGGTTGGCGGATGGGACACGGGTGCCGAAGCCATTGGCGAGGATCTGCACATGTTTGTCAAGTGCTTCTTCGCCACCAATGGGAACCTGACGTGTCGCACCATCATGAGTCCCGTCAGCCAAAGCAACGTTACCTCTGGCAGCGGCGCCGGCGGGCTTCGCGGCGCAGCCCGCGACATCTCGGCGCGGTACAACCAGGCTCTGCGACACATGTGGGGAGCGCTCGACTCTGGCTTTGCGTTGCGGCAGGGAGCCAAGATGTGGCAGGACAGAAAGCTCACGAGTCGAACTTTCCGTCCTCTGCACCAGAATACGGGTCGTGATTTCGACCTTTACGTCCCAGACAACCAGGTCAACGGTGACGATGCCGACACGTCAGCAGAGAGCGGCGTCTTTGCAGATGTAATTCAGGAGATCATCAAGGAGCCACACTGGGGGCGCTTGTTTTACATGTACCATCGCCTGTTTGAGGCGCATTTCCTCCCTGTGCACATGGCTGTGCTTGTGGTTGCCTCTGGCATCTGGGCCTGGATCACGAACGGCAATGGTGACCCCCACGGTCTCAACTGGACGTTTACAGTGTCCGCCATCTTGCGTACCGTTGGCTTCATGGCCATTGGTGCCTTTCTCTTCCTGTACGAGAGCTATCATCGCCTGGCTGTCAAGGCGCGTGAGCGCGATATGCGCCATGCCGGCTTGGACTCGGGCATGTCCTTCTCCCACCGCTCGTTCAGGAAGAACATCTTGGACTACTTGCTCATCCCTCTCGTTGCGCCTCTGTACGGTACAGTGCCGGCTATGCAGGCGGCGGTGGCGCAGCTTTGGACCACGGATCTTGTATACCAAGTCAGCAAGAAAGAGAGTCGACAAAAGACGGAGACGCCGTCTGTTGCTGACTTGGTGTGATGAAGTCCGAGCGATGTTGCGAAAGTTTGATAACTAATAGAGCGCGTGAAGCTAATAATTGTATAAGCAAGGTTCTCTTCTTCTATGTATGAGTGGAAGTTTCTTCTTCTCACTGACGCGGTGTGAGCACGGCGCATTGCCAGCCGACCTCTTCTTTTGATGAGACCTTTTAAGCCTCACCAACACCAGCGTTGTGGGTTTCCTGCTGCTACATAGCACGGCAAGTCTGTTACTGACGGTTTTGAGAAATTGAAAGGGAATGGATTTATTTGAGAGCCCTATCAACAGGCTGGTCAATTCTCATTCGCTTGGATGGGAGAGGGTTGGGTGTGGCAAAGCAACTTGTCAAGCATATACTTGTGAAATAATAATGTTAATACTGGACTGTGGATCGTGAAATTGGGACATATAATGACACAAGTACTTCTAATTGTATACTTGTTGGTTCATTGGATGCAATGTATAGGGTTCCCAGAGGATACATTAAGAGACCACCGTAGAGTAACATCTCTTTACACCCAACATCAACAACACCAGCAACAGCGACGACGCCGACTCAGGATCCGAGACAGGCCAAAAGTCCGAGCATCGGGATCAAAATATTTTCCAAAATTTACATTGACCGGGGTGACGCCGCGTCTATTCGCAAAGATAAAGTCACTCTCATGGGCTGAGGAAATGCGTTTGTAGGATAAATCGCAAGTCCAACAATGTTTCACCGTCACCGGACTACAGTGCAAAGCTCCACCTCGCCATTTATGTTTCGAGGGTGAAGTAAAAAAAATACGAGCAGATTCACTGGCTAGCAGCACGGGGTAGCAATCTTGCGCACGCGGGGCTGTGGGATTCCGTCGACCTATTGCTCGCAGATAAGCCGGTGAAAACTGACCAGCTGGAGAAGTACATCTCTGCCCCGTCACGTCACAGATGGAGCAGCCGATTATCGACGCCGGCTTAATTGAATTATGTCTCTTTTTTTTCATCATTTGTTTAATATCACCTTCTAGTGCAGTTGTTTGGACACCAACGTCAAAATGAGAAATCGCATCCTCCATCAACAACAGCCGTTCAGATGCTTGATATTCCTCCCTTTTGTCCGCCGAAAAAAACAGCACGCCAACACCTTCTTTTTCTCTCGCAAAAAGCAGCTAGACAAAATACAACGGTCGTGTTCCTTTTTACTCACCATGTATCATGCACTTGTCCTAAATACTTCATGTACACCACTGTTCAAATCCTTCCTCTGCGAACTCTCCAACGAAGAGGTGACGGCTGGGTATGACTAGTGCCATAACGGATGTCGTGATATTGATTGGACGCCCAATTGGTATCCTTGATTTTATTCGTTTCGTCATGCATTGCATTTAGGAGCTGCTGGGCTCAAGAGTGACACCAGCAGCAATCGTGGCCCAACCGATCAAGCGCCAATGCTTCTCGATACGACGCGACAAAGCAACCTTCTCACCAATGCTCGTGCACGCGGGATTGGTTAGGATCAGCTTGGCAGCATCGTTCTTGATGGCAGCAACCTTGGCACCGGTTGACGTCGAGCCAATGTTGACCATGATGACTTCATTCTTGGCCAGCTTGGCAACCTTGGCCTGCTTGCCATCCGCAGTCTTGACACCAAGCAGACGGCGGAGGAGATAGAAGTTAATTTCAATCTCGCTGTAGATTTCGGGAAGGCGACCCTTGAGACCAAGGACGAAACCGACGAGACGATCGGCGCGGCACAGAGTAGGATCGATACGGGTACCGACACCGATCAGACCGCCAGGGACGGCGTACTTGAGTTCGTTGGATTCGGAGTTGAGCGACACTACACGGCTGAAAATAGGCGTGCACTTGATGGCACCACTCTGATCGCGGGACACGATACCTGGACGAATCTCGACCTCGTCGCCAAGCTTGACAACACCGTGCAGAATGGAACCACCAGCAACACCACCCTTGAGTTCGTCAATCTCGGCACCTGGCTTGTTGACGTCGAATGATCGGATAATAATCATATGTGGGTGCTTGCTGAAATCACGGGGCGGCACAGGAATAGTGTTGACAATGGCCTCGTTGACCGCATCGACGTTGAACTTGAGCTGAGCAGAAATAGGAATGACGGGAGACTGGCCGGCAACGGTACCGCGAATGAACTTGAGAATGGAGTCGTAGTGTTGCTGAGCGGCCTCTTCTCGCATCAAATCGACCTTGTTTTGCAGAATGATGACCTTGTCAAGCTTCATAATCTCAATGGCTGCCAGATGCTCCGAGGTTTGAGGTTGGGGGCAGGGCTCATTGCCGGCAATGAGGAGCAGGGCGGCGTCCATGACGGCGGCACCTGACAACATTGTGCTCATGAGAATATCGTGACCAGGGCAATCAACAAACCTAGATCTGTTAGCACCATGGCAAGACGTATGGCTTGAATTGGGCATGCTTACGAAACGTGACGTAGCAGTCTATATGTGCCGCCGCAGCCATCACGCTCACAGGCCGGGTCGACCTCCTTGTCACTCTTGTAGCTTCGGTAGCAGGTAGGGCGCGGGCAGGCTGAGTTGTCGCACTTGTAAATCTTGGCGTTGGCATAGCCGAGCTTGATGGTAATGTTGCGAATCTGCTCGTTCTTGAAGCGGACCGTGTGGACGCCAGAAATGGCCTTGACGACGGTCGACTTGCCGTGAGCGACGTGGCCAATGGTACCAATGTTGATGGTGGCCTGACGGGCAATGATTTCGGGCGTCAGCGGGGTCAGGCTGGCGACATCGAGGTCTTTAGGTTCGGTCTGTGGCGGGAGGTACGGCTTCGCGACGGTTTCCTGTGGGACGGGCTGGCTGCCCTTCTTGAGGGCCGACTTGAGGGGCTTGCTGTCAAAGCCATCACCAGGGGCGTTGTTAATGGACTCTCCCGAGTCGGACTCGGAGTCGATGTCGTATTTTCGGTCGCCGTTCGCAGACATGATGGCGGTAGGGAGGTGGTTTGTAGATGTAAAGTCGGCGAGGCGGGGCAAAATGCGCACGAGATTTGTGGTTTTCTCGACAAGCTACTGGGCGGGGTCTCTTGAAGGCACGCTCGAAACAAATGCAAGAAACGCGCGAGCCGAATCTGTGTTTGATGAGAAATGTGCGGCTTCGTACAAACTGGCAAATTTTTTTTTTGGTTTTCACGTCAGCGTGGTCGCGATTCAGAAGTCACAGCTGGGTAATTCGCCTGAAGAGTATCAAAATTCAAAGTGTGCAGACCAAAGTATGACTCTTGCGCTAAGCCATTTGGGTGCTGATAACGATAGCTACATGCCCCTCCATGCCGCCCGACCTGCGAACGTCTCTGGCCCAACGCAAACGCTGCAAGAAACATGGCTCAGCTCCGCGTCCATTTTCTAGCTGTTGCGACGTATACGTCATGCTAGAACTCGAATACCAGAGTCGGCTGGCATACGCCAGTTGTAAAGTCATTGAGGACTCGTGCGCTTAAGGGGCAGCGTCATTTAGCCTAGAAGCACTCTCTTATGAAGTTCAAATGTGAGCTAGTGTTGTTTATCGACGCAAGCAATCGTAATCTACACAATCAGGTATTCCCGAGAAATTCAGGCAAAGACTCGGCACATCAGCCGTGAGAGCGTCAATACCAACTGACGGCAACTCAACGCGTGTTCCGGGCCTTTCTCTCGCTGCACGCAACAGTCGCCGGATCTTCTGTATGTGTGCAGATTCATTATTCACATTATTCAAGGCTGCAGAATGGAAACCCGCAGTTGCCAGGCATAAATAAGCCAGCGGGCAACGTAGAAACAGCTGAATAAGGAAAACAGCCAGAGGCCAGAATGAAACAGGCAATTACCAGACCCTCTAGCGACTAATAGAAGTTCGTCCCTTTAATAATTGCTTTGGAGTAAGCAAACGAGGGTCAGTTGCGTACTGGCTTGCTTATGTTGGCGCTACTGGTAAGCTGTCACCGATTGATAGCGCTCGCGGATTTCAGCATGAAAATCAACGTTCAAAAAATTGACAGAAGAGAAACGGGCGACGAGGGGGGAAGGTTCGTCTGCGGGGCGCTGGCACTCGTAAAAGCATCAGCAGAAGAACCAAGAGGCCAAGATAATCGGCCCAAAAAGAATGAGGACCAAGGGTCCAAAAATGTAAAAGATGTAGCAATTGCACGTTTCGATCGTGCGACCTCCGGGTTATGAGCCCGGCGCGCTTCCACTGCGCCAAATTGCTTTCAATTGTTGAAAAGGACTGACTAATTTTAATACATCAAGGACTCTCCACTGCACTCCACATAGCCCAACTTAGCCAGCCCTGTCGTATTTTACCAGTTTGTTGGGTTTTCTTCAATATGCCTTAGGATCAATTTGCCCGTAATGGATAAATGTGACGCCTCTGAATGCACTTTTCAAGATCTCTTGCATACTGATGAGCCTAGTTTCTAAGTTGTATGGTGATATGTATTAATATAATAGTCATATGTGTATGTAATCATGCAACCAAGGTATCTTCTCATCGCCCCAAAATGCTGATTGTCCCTTATTTTCGTACTTTTCGCGCATGCTTGACCAGATTTTCTATGACCCCCTCAAATGCCTCTCGATCACCAAGCTTCTCGTCTGTGCGCTTCTTCCAGTATTCTAATACATCGCTGGCAGAGCCCTGCATAGCCTCCAGTTTGCTGACGTGCGCCTTGAGCTCCTCGTCAGTCATGCCCGCCAGAGCCTCGTCTGTGGTATTACAGAGATATCGTGCGGCGACGAGGTCCAGGTCTGGCTCCGTTGGTGGGCCTCTACGTGTTTTCGCCACAGGTTGCTTGCCTTGGGAGTCGACAGACGTTGACGATGCGTTGCCATCGCCTTGTCTCAGCTGTGACACGCCGCCGCCGCCGCGGGTGTCGCTGGATGCCCGCGGCGACGAGGATTTGAGGTTGAGTGAAGGAAGAATCAGTTTTTTTTGCTTTGAAGCCGGTAGGATCTCGTCAAGATCCACGGGTACACCGAGTGACACGAGAAATAGACGTCGTGTTCGCGAACGTATCCAGTCGGGTGGTGCAAGGGGCGGAGGCGCCACTAGCTGCGACCACAGCGAGGCTGAACGGGGGTTGATAAATACGGACGCATCTTTTGGTAGTGCTTGAGGGGCGGGTACTTCGAGCAATTCGGGGGGGTATAATGTATTGAGTATGTCTTCTGTTGCTTCGAGGACTTCGTCGGGGTCGAGCCTATCAAAATCGGGAATGGCCTGGAAGCGTCAGTTTTGAGTTACCCATTGGAATATAACACGTACAAATGGGGAAGACTTGTGCTGAGGAGTCACTGGCGTCAGCGGCTGTGCTGCTGGTTCTGGCTGAGCAAAGTCGTTATCGTCAAAGTCATCGAAGTCGTCGTCGGCTTCCCCTCCCTCTTCGAAATCGTCAAAGTCATCACCAAAATTGTCGGCTCCATCTTCCTTGTCTTCTCCGTCCTCGCTGTTTGCGGCCTTTTCCTCCGCCTTTTCCTCCGCCTTTTCCTCCGCCTTTTCCTCCGCCTTTTCCTCCGCCTTTTCCTCCGCCTTTTCCACTTCCACGTCTACTTCGGCATGTAATTGCCTGGACGTGACGTCCTCGGCAGGGGCTCCCGCTTCCTCCCCAGCCGGTAGTATATCCTCTTTTTGAGATGCCTCTTTTTGCTTCGTATTCACTTTTGGGGTGGGAGATCGAATATTGGGAGTGGTCGGGCCCGATCTTGCGTCGCTGAACTGGTCGTCAGAGTCCGATGTGTCTTCCATGACTTGTTAGCACGGTTCTTGGGAAGCACGCTTCTGCAAGCCCGCCGGGATGATACTGACCATGGTTCGTCTCTGTATTAGTGGAATCGGCCTGGTCAAATTGGTGTGGTGAATCCAAGCTTCTGGAGTCCTCCATGGTTGTCGAGGCGCTAGCCGCAGCGGTATGCGTCTAGAAACTGCTCAGGGGAAGGATCGCCTAGTATAATCGCCGTTACAACTCGCAGCTCACGTTCCCTATACGCCACAGTGAGATGTTCGCTCTCGGTATTCTGATACTTGTATAGATGCTAGATTCACGACGAATCGTCACATGCAGGGGGGGGTTTGTAATCCACTTTGTAGACCTGCTCTATTTAGACCTTTGGGCTAGCTCACTGCCATAGCTTCGTGGGGTGGAGGCACGTGATACTGCAGCTCTGCGTGCTATTGTAAAGTGACGGTTGGGCAAATTTTGGTTTGCCATAGTTTACAAGTAATTTGTATCTACATCGGAAGCCCGCACATTTCCAAGTGATTGAATCAGTCATTGTGCTGCGTCAGCAGTCGTGTGTGAAAAATGTGTCGCCGCCCTTGTGTCTTCGCTACCCGGTATGGGTCTTGTCACACGAGAAGAAGATGCCTTGAGTCGTTCTGCTCACATCATACGACATTGAGCATAAATTGACAGTTGCTTTCTTTAGGGAATTTAGCTATATTACAATTCTCCTGAGTTTTGTGTGCAGTGACGCTTCTTGGTTGTCAAAACATCAAGCCTTATACCTTTTGCTTTCTCTGGTTGTCTATCCAATCGCGTGAATCACAGAAGGTACGCCAAATTGTGACAGAAGGAAAAAGCTAAAGATAGAAGAAGATATGGGGAAAGAGGAGTCAATGAAATGGTCAACATAACTATGGTTGGTGGAGTGAATGCTACTTCATCGTCTACCTGGAGATGATTTTTATTACGTTCCTCACAGTATACCGACTCGGTCGACTGCGCAGGATGCAGGCGTAGTCGTCCAAGCGACTCAAAACCTGTAAAGCATCTGCAGTAGGAATCAAACGACTCCTGTACAAATTAAACATGTTTTTGAAAACGGCCAGCTTTGCAGACGTTGGCCACTTTGATCAATTCTAGAAGAAGGCAGTACTAAAGCGGCATCGCTAATGTACCACTTTAGGCCTAGTGCCTTGACGCGGCTTGCTTCGCGCCAGCTTCCAAGCTATCAGGAAAAAAAGCTCCTAATCGCTGTTTGGGCTACTGCATCCCTCTTCAAGCACACTCGGCTACTCCAATCGTCCTAAGCTGAGCTGGCCCAAGAAGAGACAAAACCGATTGTCGCCACTATCGAGCCATCGAAATATCTACTGCGAGAAGAATACAATCGATACCACTGAAGTTGCGCGGTCAAGTAGTCCCGAACTCGACACCATCGAGGCTCATCAACCATGGCTTCACCCTTTGCGTTTGGAACTCCGGCATCGAGCGGCGCGTCGAATAACAACACGACATCATCGGCACCCGCGTCTGGAGGAGTGTTTGGCTCTGCCAACAACGCTGGTGGTGCTGTGGCGCCCCTCAATTTTGGATTTGGTACCGCTGGTGCTGCGAACAACACAGCTGGCGCACCCAAGGCTGCTGGCGTTTTCGGCAGTGCTGCATCCACGAGCCCCGCGACACCTTCGGGAGGCATCTTTGGCGGCAACTCCACGACAACTTCTACTGCTGGCGGTATCTTCGGCGCGAAGCCTACTTCAACAGCGCCCGCGAGCGGCGGTGTGTTTGGTGGCGGGGCTGCTGCTCCTGCTTCCGGTGCGCTGTTCGGCAGCGCAAACAATGCCGCAGCAAAGCCCGCAGGAAATCTCTTTGGAAGCGGTGTTTCTACCCCGGCCACCGCTGCGGGAGGCGGTATTTTCGGCCAGCCTGCGTCGACGAGCCAAGGTCAAGCTGCCACGCCCACAACAACAGCACCCGCAACCTCAACGCCGTTTGGTGGCGGGGCTGCTGCAACGCCTTCATCTTCTGCTCCCCTGTTCGGAAGCAACCTAGCTGCGCCTGGCGCAGCTGCATCTACTGCTACTCCGGCGAAGCCCATGTTCTCTCTACCATCAACAACACCTGCTGGAGCACCGCCTGCTGCTGGCGGCGCCGGCGGCGCACTTTTTGGCGGTGCCAAACCTGCTGGTAGTGGTGGGTTGTTCGGTGCAAAGACCAGCGGTACTGATGCTGCAGCCACGTCTGCTACGACGGCACCTGCAAGCACCGGACTTTTCAGTGGCCAAGCCGCATCTAGTGCCGGAGGTCTTTTCAGCGGGGCAAAACCAGCTGCTTCTCCCTCGTCTGGGTTCTTTGGCAACGCTGCTGGCGCCACTGCTACTACACAACCCGCAGCTACGCCAGCCGCCGCCGCCGCCGCACCAACCGGAGCTTCTTCTCTATTCGGCGCTAAGCCTGTGGCTGGGTCTACATCTGCTGCGTCAACTCCCACAACCGCGACTGCGCCGCCTAGCTCCGGTGGCCTCTTCGGCGGTGGCGGAGCTGCTACTGCTACGACCACCACGGCACCGGCTGCTACGACAACATCAGCCGCCGGTGGTCTTTTTGGCGCCAAGCCTGCTGCTACTGCGGCAACGACAAGTGCAGCCACGAGTACTGCTGGTGCCTTATTTGGCGGCGCAAAGCCTGCTACCGACGCTGCCAAGCCTACGTCATCTCTTTTTGGAGGGCAGCCTGCGACTACTGCAGCCACCGCGGCTTCGACAACTACACCGGCTTCAACCACTGGCGCTTCTGCCCTGTTCGGCGGAGCTAAGCCAGCCACAGATGCCGCAAAACCCGCCACGCAGACACCAACAGGCACGACTTCTACTAGTGCACTTGGCGCTTCTACTACTGGGCCCCCCTCGCAAATCGCCAGACTCAAAAACAAGACAATGGAGGATATCGTCACTCGATGGGCATCAGACTTGACCAAGTATAAGAAGGAATTCAAGGAGCAGGCCGCAACAGTGTCTACTTGGGACAGGAACCTGGTTGACAATGGCGAGAAGATTCAGAAGCTGTACCTAGACACATACGAAGCTGAGCGCGCCAGCCATGAAATCGAGAGGCAGCTTGCCGCCGTGGAGAGTCAACAAGAGGAATTGGAAGCTTGGCTCAGCCGCTACGAGTCTGAAGTCCAGGATATGTTTGCCAAGCAGCTTGGTCCTGGCGAGCATCTGGCCGGTCCAGACCAAGAGCGGGAGCGCACATACAAGCTGGCCGAGAAGCTCACACAACAGCTGGACGAAAAGTCTCGCGACCTGTCCAAGATGGTGAAGGAGATCAATGATATTTCAGGAACTCTGAGCAAGGGTGCCAAGGCCGAGGATCCGGTACGTATCAACAACCACACTGAGTACGATAACGAAGCTAACTTGCCCATCTAGCTGAGCCAAATTGTGCGTGTTCTCAACGGCCACCTCACACAGCTTCAGTGGATCGACGCCAACGCGACGGCACTACAAGTTAAGGTGGCGTCAGCGCAAAAGTCTAGCAACGGCATGGCCAACAACTATGCTGGTGTGGAGAGCGACGCTGCCGAGGGCTTTTATCGTGCTTACACGGGACGCAGGTGAAGGCAGCGTACGAATTGTTTTTGATGTGCATATTGGAGTTATGGACAAACGGGAAACCAATTGGGATAGTAATTTTTAGCAAGATAAAGAACCAATGGCTCGTAAGGGAACAAAGGCCCAAAAATAGTTTGAGAGGTGGATGATGTCACATTTCGTATGTAGTTGTACACTATTTTAGACGGAATTTCAGGACCGGCTCATCTTTTATCACTCCTGACGCTACATCTGTGATGCCATGTCGACGAAGGGGGAATGTGGACCGCGGTGAAGCCTTTTAGTTCTTCTCGCCACCCTGATTCTTGGTAATCTCGTCGCTGCGGCGGACGAGGTCAGTGAATTGAAAGTAACAAGCGGGGTCATGCGTGCATATAGGTAGGCAGGCCGATGCAGGATACCCAATGCCGATGTGAAGTAACTTACATGTGCTCAGACAGGCGCTGGAGGTGCTCCTGCTGCTCGGCGAGCCTCTGCTTGAGCTCGAGGAGCTTCTCCTTCTCGCGCTGGCGGATGGCGTAGTCCTCGGAGGCGCGCTCGCGGCGCTGGAAGGCGTCACTAAATGCAGCCAGACGTGTCAGAAAAAGAATTCCGGACCGATTGCGCCGGATCAATCGGAAACGCAGGAAATGGCAAGACTGTGGACGTAAATGGAGCTTGCTTACCCTTGGCCGCCGGTACGAGGGGGAGCGCCGGTGTCGCCCTCGGCCATGGCGCGCGCGGTCGTGGAGAAGGCGGCGGTGCGGATGGGACGGAGTGCCGCCGTCTTGGCGAAAGTTGTGCGAAGCATCGTGGGTGAAGGCTTTTTTTGATGGGAGTGACGATCGCTGGAGATGACGGGTTCGATTGGAAGATGGTGTTTGGAGAGGAGGTACTTAGCCAGGCGCTATAGCGGTAGAAATGAGCATAATTCTTCGCACCGCATCGATTGACTATGGGCACCAAACACGCGATTCCCCACAATAGAATCGTCAGCGGCACTAAATGCATTGATGCATATACATACCTTACCTACACATAGAACGGACAGAGAGTTAAGTCAAAAGCCTTTTATGTTTGGAAGTCACATAAATCTCATGGATATCATAGTTGATTGACTTAGTGGAATAATTCTAAAGTATTACTCAATCTTCATATTGAATGGAAAGTCCAGTGCTTTTAGTATTCTGTGTATAATAACTCGCTATCTGAAGTGGTTACCATCACTTTTAGCTTGCTAGGTAGAGAGCTCCAAGGCCCTTAGGTTGTAGCTCTGTTGAGCCCTAATAATGACTTCTTAGCGCATCGGCTCTGAATGTCGACCATGGTTGCCTCAAGGTGCTCAAGTCTTGCTTCCCACTATTCAGGTTTGTAATTCTACCTCATCATTTCGCTACCCAGCGAGATCTTGATTTCGGGAAATTGAAGCTCGTCGCCTTCCATATAACGCATGTCAAAGGTTGTGGTAAAGGAATCTGCGATGATTATGTTGCCGCATCCTCACGAAACGCTTTCACACGCCATACGTCGTGCAGAGCGATTGAGCTGCCTTTCTGGTTCCATCAAGCTGAGGGAAGTAGCCCTGAAGCTGGACCTGGTGGTGTTGTAGTCAATCACTTGACCTACTTAAGCTGCCTGAGTCGCCTCAGCAGTAAGCCGAGGAGTAATATAGAGCATCGCATTATAACATTGTAAGTGTGTTGAGCGAGCGTCATTGTCTACTTGGATGGAAGATCAAGGCTGAAGCGATGCATTGCAAGGTCCTTGAGCGCATTCGGCTTACGTCGGCGAGATTACGCATCAAGAAGGTTTCGGTCAACGTATAACGTGCGCAAGAAGCGCAATTGAAACAGGGACACCAAAAGCGAAGCGCGCAGCAGCGGTATGACAGGAAGCCGTTTCATGGCTCATGAAACTAGCTATTTACCGATGCGGAAGCAAACCTTGTCCTCTATCTTGACTGGGGTTCGCGTGCTGTGAAGATTGAATTGGCCAATGAGCAGTGAGAGAAATGAAGAGGCACGGAAATGACATGTTGTTTCCGCTTAGTTCGAGAGAGCCGGTGTCCTCCCAACTGCCTCAGTGGTATGGTAGGGCATGTCTCGAGCGTGCGCATGCTCATCCCCATTTGCGCAATACCTACTCTGTTGACTTGAAGAATTGATATAGATGCGCGCCTGCCTGAGAGGCTGCTGGCTCAATTGGCCAGCAAGGTGGCAGCCCCAAGATGACTGGTGAGTTTACAGTGGGCTGAAGAGGTGCAGATCGAGCAGGCACGGCAGGCAAGTCGCCAGCGTGCACAGGGTCCAGCCGGAAGATCATGTTGTCTGTTGAGATCGAGCAACTGATAGCAGCGGGTAAAGGTACTGGTACATGCAGGTACAAGGCAAGGGAGCAGTGGATGTGGCACAAGTTTCTTTAGAAAGATGGGTGTAAATATGTCTGTCTGATGAAACAAGAAAAAACGCAACTGATAGAAGGCCAATGAGCTTTTAGAAAATTATCTTCTTTGAGCCTCTCCGTCTTGTGACACATGCTCGATATCATGATCAGAGTGCCGTCGCCATACTGCCCGTGGCAGGTGGGCGGTCTGAGATTTGTGTGAGACTTTTTATTTCAGGCGCACGTGATGTTTCGAGATAGGTAGATATTGGGCGTGATGTGCCTGAGGCGTTCCAGTGACTGTACCTACCTAGGTAGGTGCCTAGTTGCTGAGCCGTGTTGAGCTCATGTACCAGTACAGCGGCAGTGGGAGGTACTTGGTACTTGGGCACCTGGTGGGTGGCACTGGGAGTTGGACAAGCCACTGGCCAGGCAGGTACCAAGCACTGCAGTAGTTAGGAGCCAGAACAGCGCAAGCTGAACAGGCCTGCAGCAGGTACCAGCATTCACTGTTGCAGCATTTTTTGGTGCCTCCAGCGCTCGGGGTACCTGTAGCGTGTACCTCGATAAGCCTGGCCCGCCTGTGACTTGTCCTCTCTCTCCGCCTCCCTCTCCTCATCACCTGCTTCGTCTGCCTGCTCACTCGCGCTGCTACATAATCTCAACAAACAAACCAATTTCCACCTCCCGCATCGCATCAACTTTTCTACACACCACTCCGGAGAAGCTCCAACCGCCGAATCCTCCGATCTTGCTCATCCTATCAACAACTCGAATACTTTTTTTCTTCCTTTTTGGTACGTCACCCAGATGAATGGCACTGGCCTCGTTCAACCTCTCTGCCTTTTCAACCCCTCCCGCCTGACCATGGTGCACTTTCGTCATCGCACCCGTCTTGCCTATACCCCCTCCACAGAGAGCGCCCACCTCGACGACACGTCCCTTGCGGCGAGCCATCACCCAGTCCGCACGAGCGATGTTCTATATCTCGTCACGCTTTGCCTCGGTGCTGCCTCTTCCCATTCTGGCGCGTCGTCGACAACCAGCACGACAGGCCAACCCCCACTAGGCCGCCCGAGGAGCGGGGAGATTTGACGGCCTGAGCTGTCGCTGTTCCTCAGCGTCCGCGCGCGTTTTGCCGCGTCGATGTGATTCGCGATACGTCAATCTTCAATCCAAATCTTGCTTGTCCTACGCTGCGCTCTTCGTCGTTGTTCTTCTGCCGCCACATCTCCCCTAGCACCTGCCTGCCCTTGATGAGATTGCCAGTGGCGACCCCTCTTCTCGGTCCCCCTTTTTCGCACAACCTCGCTGCCCAGAGCTAGCTATCACGCTGCACCATCGTTGCCTCGCTAACCGCCATTCTCTCAAATAGACCTAACTCCTCCAAGATGGGTAACGATGATGCCGTTTATCTGGCCAAGCTCGCCGAGCAGGCCGAGCGCTACGAAGGTACGTTTCTAATCCGCTGGCTTCAGCACTAACCCGAAGGGACCTCGTGCGCTGACCTATCTCGCCTCCAGAGATGGTTGAGAACATGAAGATTGTCGCCTCCGAGGACCGCGATTTGACTGTCGAGGAGCGTAATCTACTCTCCGTCGCTTACAAGAACGTCATCGGTGCCCGCCGTGCCTCCTGGAGAATAGTCACTTCTATCGAGCAGAAGGAGGAGTCCAAGGGAAACTCCTCCCAGGTTACCCTCATCAAGGAGTACCGTCAGAAGATTGAAGATGAGCTCGCCAAAATCTGCGAAGACATTCTCGACGTCCTTGACAAGCACCTGATTCCCTCTGCCAAGTCTGGCGAATCCAAGGTCTTCTACCACAAGATGTGAGTCGTTGATTATGCAACTCCGCCACGTTACTCATTGCTGACTCCCATTAAGGAAGGGTGACTACCACCGCTACCTTGCCGAGTTTGCGACTGGCGACAAGCGCAAGGATTCGGCCGACAAGTCCCTCGAGGCTTACAAGGGTGCCACCGATGTTGCCCAGAGCGAGCTTCCTCCTACTCACCCCATCCGTCTGGGTCTTGCCCTCAACTTCTCCGTCTTTTACTATGAGATCCTCAATGCTCCTGATCAGGCTTGCCACCTCGCCAAGCAGGCCTTCGACGATGCCATTGCTGGTAAGCCCGCCTCCATGACTTCAGCTCAGCTAGTGCACCCGACTGACGTTCTCACAGAGCTTGATACCCTGAGCGAGGAGAGCTACAAGGACTCGACCCTCATCATGCAGCTCCTCCGCGACAACTTGGTAAGACTGCCTCCATCATTCCGTTCCTCAGTTTTGCTAACTCGTTAGACCCTCTGGACTTCCTCCGAGGCCGAGACTGCCCCCGCCGCCGAGGGTGCCTCCAAGGAGGAGCCCGTCGCTGCCGAGGAGCCCAAGGCCGAAGAGCCCAAGGCTGCCGAGTAAGCCTACCCACGTTTGGGACTAATTGGCTTTTTTCGCTTTAAGGTTTTCGGGCGGACTGGTGTCTATGGAGTGACAGAAGACGTCGTTTTCATCCAAGAGCTTCGGCATTGTTTAGGTAAACACGCAGAAACAAAGAACGGGGTTATTGATTTTTTGTCTCCTATCTGTTTTCCCACGGACGCGAAGAAGCTCACCAAGCCGTTACCAAAATGAGCTTGCTCTGGACTCTTAATGCCGCGTCCGTCGGGACAAATAAAAATTTATTAAAATTGCTTTCAATACCAATATCCTTTCTATGCCTTTGGTGATTCATAATCGTGCTCTCATATACAATTGTCATAAATCATGGTTACTCCTCGACTACTGCAAAGTGCACCTTGAGCCACAGGCTGCAGTCCTGGCACCCCACCAGCAACACGCCGTCCTCGCTCGACTCGACGAGATCATCTTCCTCAAACGAGTACCCGCGGTCGTTGCCGCATCGACACGACCTGAACCAGCGTTGTCCGGCCTCGTCAAAGTCCAAGTCGTCCAAATCGACATTTTCAATGCCCGTCTGAAATTTGGCGTCCTCGTCCTCCCCGCCGCCGGCTATCCTCGACAAGCGCAGCCCGGCATCGTACTCTTTGCGCCGCTGCGGGGAGGACAGTACTGCATAGGCGTCACTGATTTGGTCCACTGTGAACACGCACACGTCGTACTGCTTGCGTCCGGCCTCAGCAGCCTTGTCGGGGTGGTTGCGTAGCAGCGCCCGGTGATACGCGCGCTTGACGAGCGTAGACGCATCTCGAGGCTCAGCGGCGCCGAGGAGGACTGGTTGCAGGTCGAGGACCTCATAGTGCGTTGCGGTCCGCGATGGACGTCCCGCGGAGGGACTTGTCATTTGAGAAGTGATGACAATGAAGAAAGATCAACAGAAGAGATGTTTGAAGAAGGAGCGTGGAGAGATGTAGAATTTTTCGCTGGTCGTGCCGTTGAAGGTGAACGAAGTCGAATAGAGTCACGTGATGCGCCTTCATCGAAAAAAGGCAATACTTCACTACTGATTAATTATATAACAGAGACGATGAAATATTCACTATGTTTGCAGGTCTCTTTTGGATTAATGATTGTAGTGTGGTAGAATGGTGTTGAGAGACGACGCTGAGGGGTTATCTCATCACAGCAGGCGGCGACAAAATTGTTCAGAAATTGTATTGTAATAGTACATGGTGGTATATACACGCTTGAATCGGTCGACAAGTTTTCTAGCCCTCTCAGTGGTATTGTACAGATGTCTATTTCGGGAACTTGGTCCAGTTTCGCTTTCCGACCTATTTCGCATGATTAGCAGGGCTCGCGCATAGCCAACGAGCTCGCGGAGAACGTACCATTTTCCATTTCTTGATGAGATCTGGCATTTCCAGCATAGCCTTTCTTCTCGTCTCCATCCTATCACGCACGCCATCGTTAGCATTTCACCACTCCCGAGCCGTCCTGGCCACGGCGGCGCTTCGCCCACGTACTTGGCAATCATGTGTCGCTCGTGAATGTGTCCCTTGACCTTTTGTCCTACACCCGTGCCCTTGACGCGCAGGCCGTGCTCGACGCGGTGCGCCAGTCGCTGCGTCGGGTTCTTGGCTGACGGGGGCAGCAGCTCCGCGACGCCGTGATCGCGTGCCAGCTGGAAGAGCTGCGCCTGCCGCCGCGCCGAGTACACGGGGTCCTGCAGCCGTCCCGTCACGGGGTGCTTGTAGAATTCAAACGGGTTCGGGCGCATCTCCTGGAACGAGGTCGGGGCGCTGCCCGGCGAGACGAGGGCGGCGGGCGGCCAGCGGGCAAAGAAGCGCTGCAGGGGCTGCGGCAGGCTCTTGGCTAGCCGGACGAAGTGCGATGTCGAGGTCATCGTGACGTTGAATCTTTCGGGTGACAAGCCAAGAATAATAATCAAAGCCTCCGAGAATTGGCCGGTATTTCGTGTGCGACGAGGCGCAGGAAAAGCTGACGATCACCAGATTGAACGTTCTTGAGGCTTGACGATCCAAAATGTCCAGCGACTTTTGAGGCCCCATATTTTCAAGGGACAGGGGTCTATGATTGGCCCCGCTTGCCTACCCGTCCAAACTAAAGTCTTGGAAAGCTTCAATTACTTTCGACAGCTTCGTGCCGCGCATTTCTGGACGCCAACACACCTTTTCATGATTTTGGATTTGGCGGCGCTGGCACTGATTTATGGTTTCTCGTGCTGTCTGGCAAATGCTATTCTTGACCATCTGAGGACCACCAAGACTGCCACAGAAAACCAGCAACAGCACCATGCCTCTCGACATCGAGGAAATCCTCCGCCAGAAAAAGGCAGCCGAAGCCGCCGCAGCTAAGCCTCGCTTCATACCGAAAGCGCAGCGTGAGCGCCTCGCTGCCGAAGCAACCAAGCAGGAGGAGGAGTTGAAGCGGAAGAAGGCCGACGGCGACGCACACAAACGAGCCGAAGAGGAGAAGAAGTGGGAAGCGCGCGCGGGCGCTACACAGTCTAGGGCTTCGACGAATGGCGGTGCGAGAAACAGCGTGCCCACGGGGCCACGGTCTATGAACGGTGCTGGCTCATCAGCCCCTCGAGATCGGGATGACAGAGACCGACGCGACGGCCGGGGAGGCGGAAAGGGTGGAAAAGAAGGCGGCAAAAAGGGCAACAAGGCGAACGCGGAGAAGCGCTCCGCCGAAGAAATTGAGGCCGAGCTGCTTCGATCACGATATCTGGGCCCCGAAGTGAATCAGCACTCTCACTTCTCCGCCCAGAAGAAGCGAATGCGGACGACTGAGAAGAAGTTCAACTTTGACTGGGACGCCGGCGAGGACACGTCGCGCGCCGACGAAGGGGGCTTCAGCGGCGGTGCCGGCGTCCGCGGCTTTTCTCTGGCCGGCGTCGGTGGCGAGTTTGACAAGGAGGCGGAAGAAAGGGCCAAGAAGCGCGCTCGTCTGATTGAGCAGCGCGATCCGGAACATGGCCGAGAGCGCGCCAAAGGAATCATGGAGGACTTTTACAGGGCCCGTGACAAAGCGCGGGATCGCGCCGAGAAGACGGGACTCGGCCGCCGGTGGAACGAGAAGCGCCTCGACGAGATGCGCGAGCGTGACTGGCGCATCTTCAAAGAGGACTTTGGCATCTCGACAAAGGGCGGCACGTTGCCGAATCCGATGCGCAACTGGAAGGAGTCGGGCTTGCCGTCGCGCCTGCTCAACATCATTGAGCAGGTTGGCTACGACGAGCCGACGCCCATTCAGCGCGCCGCCATCCCGATTGCTTTGCAAGCGCGTGATCTAATTGGTGTCGCCGTGACGGGTTCCGGTAAAACGGCCGCATTTCTACTCCCGCTGCTCGTCTACATTTCGGATCTGCCGCCACTGGGAGAAACCAACAAGAACGACGGGCCGTACGCGCTCATCCTCGCGCCGACGCGCGAACTGGTGCAGCAGATTGAAACGGAAGCCAAAAAGTTTGGCGATCCGCTCGGGTTCCGGAGCGTGAGCATCGTTGGCGGCCACTCTCTGGAGGAGCAGGCGTACGCGCTGCGCAATGGCGCGGAGATTATCGTCGCGACGCCAGGCCGTCTCATCGACTGCATCGAGCGCCGCCTGCTTGTGCTCTCGCAGTGCTGCTACGTCATCATGGACGAGGCCGACCGCATGATTGACATGGGTTTCGAGGAGCCCGTCAACAAGATCCTCGACGCGCTGCCCGTGTCCAACGAGAAGCCTGACACGGAAGAAGCCGAGGACGGGCGCCTCATGCAGCGCTACGTCGGCGAAAAGGACCGCTACCGCCAGACCATGATGTTCACGGCCACGATGCCGCCGCTCGTCGAAAATATTGCCAAGAAGTACCTGCGCCGGCCGGCCATGGCCATGATTGGCAACGTGGGCGAGGCCGTCGAGACCGTCGAGCAGCAGGTCGAGTTTGTCGCGGGCGAGGACGCCCGCAAGAAGCGTCTGCAGCGCATTCTCGCGTCCAACATGTTTGCGCCGCCCATCATCGTCTTTGTCAACATCAAGCGCAACTGCGATGCCGTTGCCAAGGATGTCCGCTCCATGGGCTGGAGCGCCGTGCCGCTGCACGGTTCCAAAACCCAGGAGCAGCGTGAGGCGGCCCTCGCGTCCGTCCGCAGCGGCGAGACGCAGGTGCTCGTCGCGACGGACCTCGCGGGTCGCGGCATCGACGTCCCCGACGTTTCGCTCGTCGTCAACTTCAACATGGCGACGAGCATCGAGAGTTATACGCATAGAATCGGTCGTACGGGTCGCGCGGGCAAGAGCGGTACCGCGATTACGTTTCTCGGCAACGAGGACGCCGACGTCTTGTACGACCTGCGGCAGATGCTCAGCAAGAGCTCCATTTCAAAGGTGCCAGAGGAGCTCAAGAAGCACGAGGCCGCGCAGACGCGGCCCGTCAAGGGCGCGGGGCGAAGAGCCGCAGAGAATGAGAATGAGGGCGGTCGGGGAGGCAGAGGAGGACGATAAAAGAGAGATACCAGAAATTAGCCATGTACAAAGAATACGATTATTTAATGAACACAAAACCAGCGCTTAGAATAAATCTGTACTGATACCAATACGCCTGTTCCGTAACTTCCACCCTGATCATTGTACAAAGTCTTTCCACCACAGAGGCTTGACAACACTGCCACGGCACTGCACGTACATAGTTCAAGCCGGAGAGCCGTGGTCTCGCTCGATAATATCTTCACGGGCCAGCGGCCGCGTCCCATCATTCAGCACCATCGCCTCCCGGTGCTGTCTCCTCAGCCGCCGCTCCTCGGCCGAATGCTCGCGCGCCCTTCGCAGCTGAGGGTCGGTGGGAGGCGCCTCGCCTATCACGTCGCCAACCTCCATCAGGAGGTCCGGCAACTCGCGCATACGCCGGCGCGAGTTATCCTTATCCACCAGCCCGGCCCTCTCGAGCGCGCGCAGCCCGCGCCGGCACTGCTCAACCCTGGTGAGGATGTCGACGATGCGGTTGCTGCGCGCCTCCTTGTAGGCCTTGAAGTGCTTCTTGCGCTTTTCCGGCGAGTCTCCCCAATTCTGCTTGACGAGCCACTTTTCCACAAACTTTGCCTTGACAAGCAGGTTCGCGCCATACTTGCTTGTTAATTCTTGAAGGAACTTGAGACAGAATCTCTCCGTCGTGTCGCGGAGATAGTACTCGTCCCAGTGAATGTTTGTCACAACGGGAGGTTCTGCATCGTCGAGGCTCTGCTCTAGTGATCGAACAAGAGCTGAATAAGCTTTTGGGGTATTGAATTTGGATATTCCATCGAGCCCTGTATCACAGTTAGCCTGGTTCATCAAACGGTCGAGCTATGCTGTCACTGACCAAAAGTCTGGGCTGTGAGCACGGACAGAGCACGCAAGCAATACAGACGCTCGTCGTAGCTCTTTACTGTGATGCCGTACAACAGGTATGTCACGGCGCTCGGGTCATTGACAGCTCTGTCGCAGAGAATCTTGGTGGCAATGTCCCGTATTGAGAAGTTGGGGTGCTCGAGGAGCTTCGCCAGCGTGCTCACCTGAAGAGCGTCCTCTGTGTCTTGCGTAATATATTGCGTTTTGGGCTCCACAGGAGGTATCTCGTTGTCATCTCGAACCAGCCTCAAGCCTATCATTATGGTGTTGACTACACTGAAAGCGGCCAAGCCAATGCCGAGCAACACGACACGATCATCGCGCGCAAAGGCCCAAAAGCCAGCTTTCCAGCTCATGGTTAAATGAGAGGCCATACTCAATATCAAGGTATGTAGTAAAGGAATCAGAAACGTCGTTCATCTATATTGTCTCATGATGATAATCGTTGGAGTGATGGATGGAGTGGGAGGCTGAGATGAGATGAAGTGAGTTTGAAGACCGGCGCGCCTGCTTTCTAGCTGTACCTACCTACCTACAGACTACAGTGCTTGAGTGGGTGGGTGCATGCGGCGGCTTACAGGGTCATTCGCCACGCTGTAGGACCTCAGCCAAGCCGCCAACCCACCCTACCTTTAGTTAGGTAGGTAGGTACCTAGGTAGCGCCCAGCCTTCCTCAGAGGACCCCATCAGCCACGCCGAGTTCGCCAGCCGTTCGTCAGCCCAAACAAAACATCGCCAGAGCCTCACTCTCGAGTCTCTGCATCTACTCTTCTCATCCCTCGCCGGGCGCCGCATTTTCTTGGACATTTGCCACTGCACTTCTATCCACAGAGATTCCAGCAATCCCGCCCTTTCGCAATGGACAAAGGCCTGGACGAGATCATTTCTGACAAGGTTCGTCCTCCTCACTACAAACTGTCCTCACAAATGGCCACCCCCATGCTAACGCTTCCGCCTCGCAGCGCAGCAATGATCTTCGAAACAACCGCCGCGGCGGAGATAGGCGTCGTGATCGCCGCGAAGGCCCTCGTGATGGCGTCAGAAAGGTGCGCAATAAAACTGCTGCCCGCGCCCGTCTTTTCTCATGCCACCTCTACTAACGCTGCGGCGCATTCAGGTTGCCTCACCCTCCCCATCGCTCCCTGCCTTTCGACTGTGTCAACGCACCGTGCGACGCCTCTGCCGAGCCGACGATCAGGCGTCCTGAACCACTGACCTGCGTGGGCAAGGCGCACACCTTGACAAACTCTTTGGCTAACCCGAGCTATTGCCAAACAGTCGTATCACGATGAGCCACGAAGCATAGATAGGTTTGTGTCATTGTCTCTGGCATTCTTGAACGTCCTTTCTAACTGAAAACAGCGAATGGGTTCATGATCGATTTGAAGACGACGGTAATTTGGCTCCCGTTTGCGTAGCTCGACGATGTACTAAATGCTTTAGATCGCCGCCGTGCACCCGCCCCCCGACGACGTCGCGAAGAACCTCAAGCGTATGTGCCTCTTTGATCTCCTACATCATACCTCGACTGACAGTTGAACAGCGAAGCCAAAGGAACCAAGATTAAGGTCGATAACCTGCACTGGGATCTCACCGAAGAGGACATTGGCGTACGTAGCCTCTTTCATCCTGTCCGCTTCCTTTGTGTTAACCCGATCTAGGAGCTTTTCCGCCGTATTGGACGTGTGGTTCGCCTGCAACTGAAATTTGACCGCGCGGGCCGCTCCGAGGGAATTGCTTATGTCACCTACGAGCACAAGGAAGACGCCAACGAAGCTATCAAGCAATTCGATGGTGCTAATGCTAACGGTATGCCCTTGGCTGTTCGGAAAGCTGCGCATTGACAACACACTAACATCCTCAGGTCAACCAATTCGTTTGACCCTTCTTCCGAACCGAAATCCCTTCGATACCGCTGTTATGCCCGGCCGTCCTCTCTCCGAACGCGTCTCCGCTCCCCGTGGGCGTTACACTGAAGACGATGCAGTCCGCAGAGGCATTGACAGATACATTCCCGGCGGTGATCGAGAGAGTGGACACGAGGGCGGCCGCGATCGCTCCAGAAGTCCCCGCGGCCCCCGCCGTCGTGGTGGCCGTCGCCCTGGCGCGCGTCGTGAGGGCGGCGAGAATGGCAGAGACAGCAGGGAGGGTGGCCGTGGCGGTCGGGGTAATCCGCGCATCAAGAAGACCCAAGACGAACTGGACGCCGAGATGGACAATTACTTTACCAAACAAGACGGCGACGCTCCCGCCGAGTCGGCCCCCAACGCAGAGGGTGGTGCCTCCGCTGCCGGTCCTGGCGATATTGACATGATTGAGTAAAGCTCATATTGTATAAATTGTACGGTTCTCGTTTGACTTAGTGACTGGGCCTGGTCATTGTCTGTCTAGATGGAATACATTGCTACTGCAATTTTCAAACGCCAATTAATATGCGCGTGGGTCTGGTGATACCTGAGGGAGTTAAGCTCGCAAAGCCTGTTCGAGTGCTCTGCGGAAATTGATGCGTGCCCGTGTAGAATGAAGTGGCGATGTTGAATCATCGCCCGTCTCGCAGCCTAAGCAAGATCGACAGCTACGCCAATCACTGCCCCAGACAAGATGAGCATCGTCGGTTCATTTCGTATCAGCGAGCTTTTAGGCCCATTCTCATGCCAGTGGTTACGACTGCTCTCATCATTTGCAGATATCACACCAAGCCCCACGACACTTGCATGCCCGTGCTTGATCATTGATCCGCACATACGCTACAGCTTCAGTCAACTACTGTCATTGAAGGGTATAGATTGTATATTTACAAATGCCCGCCAGCTGCTGGTGACAAAATGCTCCAGGGGTATTGTCTAACTAGAATAAAAAAAAAAGTCGAATGCATACATCAAAAGAAGCCGCAATTAGACGATAACGGCCCCGTTGACACCCACTGCCTCGACACGGTTCACCAGCTTCTTCACATTCGTCCACTCCTCATTCTTCAAACTCTCCTTGCCGCCAAGACCGCTTGCCACCTCAAACACCGTGAGCGAGCCGTCGATGCCGCCCGTCGCGATGCGCTTCCCCTCGTTGGACTCCCAGGCCACCTTATTCAAGCTCTTTGAGAGCATGGTGCGGCCGTCCTGGCGCTGGCTCGGCGTGATGCGCGAGATGGGCTCCTCCGTCTCCTTGCTGATATCCCAGAGCTCCAGCCAGCCGGCGCCGTCGACGAGCGCAAACACGCTTGGCTTGACGGGCGACCAGCGGGCGTCGTATACGACATCCTCGCGCACAAAGTCGATCAGGGGCCGGATGAGGCCGTCGCCCGAGCCCGTCGTTGACGTGGCCGCCGGCGCGCGCACCTTCCACAGCTTGACGCTCCAGTCCAGCGACGACGAGAGGACGAGGTCGCCCAGGTCGACGGGGCCGCGCGACGGGTGGAAGTCGACCGACATGACGGGCGCCGTGTGGCCCTTGTAGCAAATCTTCTTGTCGACGCCCGCCTTGGCGCCCGCGCGGTCGTACCGGTGACAGGGAAATATGGTACCCTCCTCGCTGCCGACCAGAAAAAAGGTCGGGTCCGTCTGGGGGAACGAGAGGCAGGTCGGGCTGACGTCCTCGACGGCCACCTTGGCCTGGGCAGGGTTCTTGAGCTCCAGGAGCTCCTGCGGCTGCGCAAAAACGTCCATGCTCCAGCCGCAGACGACGCCGTCTGTGGAGCAAGAGATGATGTTGTTTGCGTTTTGCGTGCCGACAATGTCCACAGAGTAGATGGGGTGCGCGTGGCCAAAGCCTGTCAGCGGCGTCTTTTGAACCGGTGCTGCCTTGGCGCGCGTATCCCAGAGCAGTACCTGGCCGCTGTACGAGCCTCCGATGATGAGGTTGGGGTGGTATGGCGAAAATTTAGCAGTTAGAATGTCTGACTGCGCGGTAAAGACGTATTCCGGTCGATCGTGCATGTGTGTATTCCAGACCTGCACAAGACCGTCGGGTTCGTGTGGTGCCGTCGGGTTTTTCGTGTAGGATGCCAGCAAAAGCTCACTAAATTTTGGCGAGAAATCGATGCTGCTAATCATGCGTTTCTTGGACCACCGCTCGTCATAGAACTGAGCGACTTGTTTTATCCTGGTTTGGCCGCGACCGCCGGTGTTGCCAGTCTCATCATCTTCCTTATCCAGGTCCTTGCCCTGCAAGGAGTAATCGGTAAGGATGTCGTACGTCTCCTGGTCAATGGCGCGTTCGATGACCTTGGTGGACTGCTCCAAGAACTCTACAAACTCATCAGATCGTGTTACAGCTCCGAGCTCTTCTGAAGTCAGTTCTCGGATCGGGTAATTGGTCGCAGAACTCTGCTGAGCTTCAGCACCGTCCGCCAAACGTTCCCTTGTAGCTCTCAACTCCTCCTCTACCTCATCACGGATCTTTTGGCGCAGCTCTTCCTCCCGGTCGCGTTCTCGCCTGCTTAGTTTCTTTGATGGGCTTGTCATGGAGCCTGACACATCATCTTGATCGGATTGTAGAGACTGCGATCGTGGTCTCGCGGGCGACGTCCACCCATCGGTTGTCTGGACCCCCTTGTTGTATGAGAATATCTCTTTTACGGGCGAAGGAGGACATTCGTAGACGGTAGTGAGAGGAACTGTGCTCAGTTGTACAGGCGGCGGCGCGGGTGCTGATGGTGCTGAATGTCCGCTCGGGGGAGCTGCGTACTCGGAGGTTCCGTTGCTAATTTCTCCGGCACTGAGAACGCTATTTGGGCGACTCCCGCGGGGCGCAGGCGACGCAGCGCCGCCAGTTGTCGTCGATCCCGGGCGGCTTTCGCCAACCAGGCTGTTGATAAGAGACTCGATTTCACGTCGACTGTCTGCTCTCCCGGGTGAGGGCGACACAAGCTGTAGTAGGGTGAGGTTAGCATCTTCATCGCTCTAGCTACGTCTGTCGAACGCACCTCACCAGGGCTGCTAATGCTCTGGCGTCCCGCGAATGCTTGGCTGGCGCGCAGCTCTCTTTGTCGCTTCAGCTCGGCGAGCTTCGCTTTCTTGGCGAGGATTTCATCGCGGCGTTGCTGCATAATGCTGTTTGCTCTGGCCCATCACCAGCGACGAACTCAGCTGGATGGGATCCCTTCGCGTGCAGTGACGCGGTTGAGATGCTTCGAATTCTCGATCTGGATGCCGTGGGAAGCTATCGCAAACTTTGAAGCAACGTCGTCTGGCCCAGGATGGGTTGAAAAGGGCGGCAAAAGTACAGTACAATGAAAATGAAAGATGTTACGAGAATCATTCCCCAGTGTACGGATACGCGACTTGTAACTCTCCCATACCACAAACTTACAGCGCTGGGCCACAGCTAATTAGCGCCACGGCAGCCCCTTGAAAGCTCCGTGTCACTGTGGCTGGTGACATTTTCTGGCGCGACTGTCACGTGATTTCAACCGCCATTTTTGAGCCGCCTGTCACCTTGGCCGAGCTTGATGGCGAGCATTGGAAAATCTGCGACTTTACCCGAGGAACAGCAAGCTTCTTCGCATCAATTCTCCGCGCACTTCTCCAACACTCTGCGGACTGGGTCAATTGATCTCAGCTGACCACGCCAGACTCTGTCCTATAATTCAACAAAGTTGCCGATCGCGACGCTCGAGTTTCTCGCAATGGCTTCAACAGGAGTTAACGTATGTTGCGCGTCATCAATTGTCCTGCCCAACTCAGAAGCCGTCGTCGGACTTGCAGATTCTGATGCGGCGGCGGAAACCAACTGGCAATCATCGCAGCAGTAAACTGATACCACCTTCTAGGTTCTGCGGTGGTCCGCCCTTGCCGCCGGTCTCTTCTACGGCTTCAGCCACCAGCGCACTATTACTGCCACCCAGAAGGCCGCGCACAGCAAGCACGAGTACGAGAAGAAGTCAAAATTGATAGAGCAGGCCAGGGCCGAATATACTAAGCAGAAGAACCCGTCCCCGGCCTCTGCTGACAATGGTGCGTCTTTGCGGCATTACTTTGTTGCCGACGTCGATGCCGGCAGCGACACATCCGCGACCACACAACATGTACTAACCGATCACGCAGTTGTCACCGATGTCAACAGCCCACAATTCGATCTCGAGAAGTTCCTGGTGAAGGTTGCCGAGGAGAACCCCTAATTTCGCCCAGCATGGTTCACAGTTGGAGGGAGAGCAGGTGGACGGGCTCAATCAGCCAGAAAGGTAATGCTTGAGCCAAGCCAATTCGACAAATGCCTGAACGCCATGCACAGGCTTGATGTATGATTTAAAGCACACTCGCGATGCTGCATAGAAGTTTCCTTGGGTTCGCGTTTACGCAATTGTACAGGTGTAAAATACGCGCAGTTAGACGGTACTAAGAGACCAAAAAGCAAAAATATCATCTGCATTTCTAATGCAGGCTATGACCTTCGAGGCAGAGATTATTTCCAGGAAGATTCAAGCACGCTCGAGATGCTCTGGCGGTTGTAATGGACTTGTTTATGGTGGAGATGTTACATCATGATTAGTGACGAGGATGGCCAGTTAAACGATTGGTTACGACGTAACAGCTTCTTGAGCACAGCCATTGATAATGAAAGGTATTTTAATGGCTGCTTCTTTACTACATCATAACGCGGAAGACGACGTTGGTGGAGGTGGCGCCACCTGGACCTCATCACATTGACTGCATTCAATCATGTGCCGCTTCACAAATAATCCACGGTAGCTGGAAAATAGCGAATGATAATTGTCAAAAGGCTCTCAATCATGGAAACTCCAGCTCCGGATCTACATAGTTATACTGCAACTACGTACAGTAGCGGGAAAAGCTCGGCTGACGTAGATCGGCAGGCCCACAGCCCCCCTGCTGTGGGCATTACGCAGTCTGGCTAAAGCTCCAAGCTGTCCTCAGCAGCAAGTGTGGGATGCTTGTGTGAACCTCCTCCATCAACATCCAGGTGCTCAAAATTGCATTCTGCGCACCATGGCGGTCGAAAAACAGGGAACCGCATTGACTGCGGTCAACTCCCAAAGTACGAGAACTCTTCTGAGGACCATCATTCTTTTCTTGATCGCTGGCGCCGCCATTGCCAGCCGTCTGTTCTCGGTCATTCGTACGTCTCTACACTGCGCCCTTGACGTCGCGCACACAACGCGCAGCCTTTACATCATTGCCAATTCAGCTAACACGAGATTCAGGGTTCGAGAGTATTATCCACGAGTGTTAGTTTAGACGAAAATCACCAATGGCCGCTTAGACCGAATACTAACGATATACAGTCGACCCCTGGTTCAACTTTCGCGCAACTAAGTACCTCGTTGCCAATGGATTCTACAAGTTTTGGGACTGGTTTGATGATCGCACATGGCACCCTCTTGGCCGTGTCACCGGTGGTACTCTGTATCCCGGTCTCATGGTTACCTCGGGTGTCATCTATCACGCTCTGAAGGCCTTGACCGTCCCCGTCGATATTCGAAACATTTGCGTTCTTCTCGCGCCCGCCTTCTCCGGCTTGACGGCGTTCGCCTCGTACCTCCTTACCAATGAAATGACCACTTCGCCATCGGCTGGCCTGTTGGCTGCGGTTTTCATGGGTATTGCCCCCGGTTACATTTCTCGATCCGTTGCTGGCAGTTACGACAACGAAGCCATCGCCATTTTCCTTTTAGTTTTCACCTTCTATCTCTGGATCAAGGCCCTGAAGCTCGGTTCTATGCTTTGGGGTGCTCTTTGCGCGCTCTTCTACGGCTACATGGTCTCGTCTTGGGGTGGCTACGCTTTCATCACCTGTCTTCTGCCTATGCATGCGCTCGTTTTGATTTGCATGGGACGCTACAGCACTCGTCTCTATGTGAGCTACACCACCTGGTACGCTCTCGGAACGCTTGCTAGTATGCAGATTCCCTTTGTCGGCTTCTTGCCCGTCAAGACCAGCGAGCACATGCCCGCTCTTGGTATGCTGAGATGCAGTTAACGGCAACGGTATCTGGCTAACACGTCTCAGGCATCTTTGGATTTTTGCAGTTCATCGGCTTCATCCAGTACGTCCGTTCCGCCATTTCCGGAAAGCAGTTTCAGACTTTCCTGGCCACCCTTGTCATTGGCACGTTTGGTATCGGTCTTGTCGGTCTCGTCGCCCTCACCTCGCTCGGCTACATTGCTCCTTGGGGTGGTCGTTTCTACTCTCTGTGGGACACCAGCTACGCCAAGATTCACATTCCCATCATCGCATCCGTCTCTGAGCATCAGCCTACCGCCTGGCCTGCTTTCTTCTTTGACCTCAGCATGCTGATCTGGCTGTTCCCTGCTGGTGTCTACCTGTGCTTCAACGACCTCAAGGATGAGCACGTCTTTGTTGTCGTCTACGCTCTGTTTGGCAGCTACTTTGCCGGTGTCATGGTCCGTCTCATGCTGACTCTGACTCCTGTTGTCTGCGTTGCTGCCGCTATTGCTGCTTCGCAGATTCTGGACTCTTATCTATCCGTTGACTCCCCCACCGTGGCCGAAGTGGAGAGCGCCGAGGCTGCGTCTAAGAAGCCGGCCAAGAACGGAGGCCTGCGCGGCAGCGATAAGCCCATCGTCGGCATCTTCAGCAACTTCTCCAAGATTTCTGTTGTTTCCGCCATGACCATCTACCTACTGATGTTTGTGACTCACTGCACTTGGGTCACCTCCAACGCCTACTCGTCGCCTTCGGTTGTCCTGGCGAGCCGTATGCCTGATGGATCCCAGCACATCATCGACGACTATCGCGAGGCCTACCAATGGCTACGCCAAAACACCAAGGAGGATGCCAAGATCATGTCTTGGTGGGACTATGGTTATCAGATTGGTGGTATGGCTGATCGCCCCACTCTTGTCGACAATAACACCTGGAACAACACACATATTGCCACCGTTGGCAAGGCCATGAGCTCCCGCGAAGAGGTCAGCTATCCCATCATGCGTCAACATGAGGTTGATTACGTCTTGGTTGTGTTCGGTGGTCTCCTCGGCTACTCTGGAGACGACATCAACAAGTTTCTCTGGATGGTCCGTATCGCAGAGGGTATTTGGCCCGACGAAGTTAAGGAGCGCAACTTTTTCACCGAGCGTGGTGAATACAGAGTGGACGGTGGCGCCACTGACACCATGAAGAACAGCTTGATGTACAAGCTCTCCTACTACAACTTTCACACCATGTTCCCTCCTGGCCAGGCTGCTGACCGCGTCCGTAATGTGCGTCTGCCTGACCAAGGCCCTGTTTTGAACACTCTCGAGGAGGCCTTCACCAGTGAGAACTGGATTATCCGCGTATACAAGGTCAAGGACCTCGACAACGTTGGCCGTGATCACGCCGCCGCTGCCGCGTTTGAGCGTGGACAGAAAAAGAGAAAGGCTTCCAAGAAATCTGGACCTCGCGTCCTTCGCGTTGATTAATTAAAAGTGTGATTGATAGAGGAAGGGATTTCATTGGTGATAAAATTTACACGGACGGGAGTTACTATGTATGCCAGATGGGTATATAGGAATGTATATCATTGTATGATTTTGCTTACTCAGAGATAACTGATGGCTGCATAGTGTCTATCCATTCACTACAAGCGAACAGATACGACGTGCTGCTGGTCATTGCGCGCAAACGGCCGCTGGCAGCGCAGCGTTTGCCAGACGTGGCCGGCTGCTTGAAAACATTACACTGCCTCGCCAATCACTGATCACTTGCCATTCACTTCACATCTCCACGAAAATTTCTGTTCTCTCATGCATTATAACCTTTAGACTGCCTCGTCTCCTACCTGCTCTTCTCTTTGTTACCACGCACTGCCGTGATGATTGCCCATTGAGCTTCCACCATTGCTAAATCACCATGGCTGGGGGCACCCAGCGGAAGACCGTTGTGGCTGGCAATGGCGTCCTCTTTGAGGTTGTCTTCCAGAATGCCGACCCGAGCAAAAAACCAGCTCACGGCATCTCGCTGAGCTACGGCGGGCAGGTCTACAGATGCAGCGACGCGGCGTCGATTGGCTCCGTCCACACCATCCACACGGACGATGAGGATGACGAGGACGATTGTCTAAGAAATTCGCGCGGTCATGGCAAAGATCATAGTCAAGCTTCCCATCGAAAGCCTTCGTCATCTGCTTGCCTGAAGAAAAGTCCCCGGGGATCTATCCTACGGTCCCCTCTCGCGCCCAAGCCGTCGCCGAAAAAGCTGAGGAGGAGTCGCACTCTCTCGCCCTCGCACCAGTCCCGGACGCGCTCTATCTTGGCTCCATTCTCCAATTTCTCGCGAAAGTTATCTTTTCGTCGCCACAGCTACGATGAAGACGCAAAGACGAAGCAAGATAAGCGCCAGGTTCGGCAAGAGGCGACCAAACCTGTGATTGGCCCGAGACCGATTGTGCAAAACATTCCCCTTGGTTGCCAACAAGCGCCACCGTCCTTTGTCTATCAGAAGCAGTTTCCAATGTATCACTACGTACCAGCTCCTCATCCTCAGCCAGTGTTTGGCGCTCCGCCACCAGCCTATCCAATGGCACATGGTGCGCCTCCAAACAACATTGCTCCTCAGTGTCCGCCGGCGCTTCAACAGCTGCAAGATCACATCAACCACCTCACTTCTATAGTGGCCGCTAATCCGATTGACTTGCTTGCCAAGCGAGAGTTGGGTCAGCTACTCGCGGAGCGCAATGCTTTCTTGGACTCTGCGACCAAGAAGACCGCGACGACGGTTAATCCCAGCCGCGTCGAAACGATGAAGCCAAAGAAAGATGGTGTGCGTTTCATTGCTTCAAAGAAGCCGATTCTTGACGACTCAGGCGGCGATGAGTTGCAGGAAAATGCTGCTGCTAGCATCGGTTCCAGCAAGTCGAGTGTTGCGCCAGAGCAGCACCACATTTGCTCTGGCTGCGGTGAGCAGCGCTCACCAAGCTTCCATCGAAAGCACCCTTTTGCGAAGCCTGTTCACAACGTCTGCCGAAAGTGCCGCGAGGGCAAGCGAGCCAGTAGTGTCTTGAACCGCTACCACTTTTGCGACAGCTGCGGCATTGTTCGGTCGAAAGAGTACCACCACCGTCGCGGAAATGCTACGTCGGTCTCGGGACGGTCCAAAATTTGTCGCAAGTGCCATTTGAACGGCAACCATGTAAGTGGATAGCACCGGGACGTGGGCAATGGTCTGACAACGATAGGTACGTGAATCTACGAACAAGGCTCCCCGCGATTACAAGGACCTGAGTAAAGACGGAAAACGCAAGGAGGTTGTCACCTCAAAGTCAGTTGCCCGTACTGCATCTGCATTGCCGAGGGAATCTGTCAAGATTGAGCCCCGAGCTCGATCCAGACAGTCACAACGACAGAGGAACTCTGCAGATAACAATGGCGTTTTGGGTCATGATGGCAGATCCGACTTGGGCCAATCAACTCGGAGTACCACGCAGCCTGAGACCTTGTATAACACTGTCAAGGAAGAATCGTTCAAGAGCTACCGCCCGCCTGAAATCAGCGATGAAGACGCGAGTTCCAACCCGCCTGTGACGCTGGAGAGCAGCTTCCACTCGTCGAGTACAGAGTCTTTCAATTTCCAGGAACGCACCGTGCCTACGACTCACTCTCCAGAGTTTCCTCTTTTTGATACTGCTTGCGAGTCCAGCGACGCATCGCTCCGTTCGTTGTGCGCATCATCACACAACACCACCAGTAACCCGTACTATCAGCCTCGCAGCACCGCTGCACGACCTTGCTCCCCATTCCGTCCTGCAGAGGCTCCTCCTCCTTCTCCAAGTCCGCCTTCTCGCAGGCCGCCACCTCCAGCTCACCACCTACCGCCTCAGACTTCTTGCCCCTCTCCGGTCGAGATGCGCTCGGGATCAAGCTTCCCGGACTTCCCAGGCGTCTCCGGCAAGCCTCGCTTCGTCGACCGCAATCAGTCCTGGCCTGGTGACATGCACGTACCCTCCCCCTCCGACTTCTCCTACGTGTCCGGCACTGGGCGCAGAGTGTCTGCCTCTGATGGCGCCCGGTCACCTCAACCGATCCCACCCATGTACGACAACCCTCGTCCTTGGACACACGCTGATGCCGGCGAGCGCTTTACCACCGGCGCCTTTGGCAAACCGCCGCCGCCGACATCGTCCTTTCAGACGAGCACTAGCCCGCCCGCCTCGCCCTGGGCCAGCTTCAGCGGACCCATCCCCCAACCCGCCGCGGACGAGTCCGGTGGCGGCGGCAGCAGAGGCGCATTTTCCCACGACGGGAGTAGCCACGCCGGCGCGCGCAAGGCGTCCGCCTTTGGGGGTTGCTACTACCGCAACAGCTCGCCGGAGCCGGCTTCGCCAGACGATCCGCCCCGGGGATTCCCGTTTCGCTTCGAAAAGCCAAGATCGTACTCGCGCCGCGGAGGTGGCGTCCGCGACGAGTTCAAGTCGACGCGCGGTGCTTGGAACGTCAACACCGGCAGATCGGCGTTTGCGCGTCGTGGAGGGGGGCACGAAGACGTGCCGGAGCCCATTATCGAAGAGCCGTCATCGCCTGTGGCCAAGTCGCCGCTGACGACACCACTGTTGCTCGGTACGTAACATTCATCGCCTTGTCTTTGCACCATTTTCTTCTTTCCCTCGCATTCTATCCAATATATCTTACCATCATATCTTTTCTAACTTGTACAACGTGAAGAATTTCACGGGGAGACTTCTGACTCGGGCGTCGAATTCCTCACAGATTCCTCAGACTCCTTCTCCGCGTCGTCATCGTCCTCGTCGTCGCAGGAGAGCTTGCTCGCTTCGCACCTCGGTGATTTCTCCGTCCACAATCGTTAGCAATGCTACCGCAGAGCGAACCCAAAACCTTCATCACCAAAAAGGAGATTTGTGCGCGCTCATCTGGCACCAAAAGTTTTTGATTCCCTAAACTTGTCTCGGCTGTTTATGTTTTGCACACCCTACGCGGGACATCCTGTATTGCCCCTTTTTTGCTCCTTATCTTGCACATACACATGACATGCACACAGCTTTCTTCGTATTGTCCGTCTTGCACACAAACACACACGCACACGCATGTTAATCGTGTTACCTGTATCTTTTCTTTCTGCACACATCTTTCCTGTATTGCCCGTCTTGCACACACACACACATACACACATACGCACTTACACAATTGTTCTACATGTATCTTTTCTTTCTGCTTCTTCACCTGCTACTTCATTTGCCTACATGTCGGACCATTCTTACACAAAACCACCATGTCCCCCCTTTTACTTCTTCACTTTTGCTTCATGTCGTAAACACACGAGTCAATGAAAACTTTTTTTATGCTACGAGACGAAGGGGAAAAAAAAAATGTCCATGATGATACGAAGCACGTACGGAAAATCTGGAGTTGGGAGAGGGAACGAGAAGAAAAAGAGCTTTGCGTATGTTGGACATGAACAAGTTTATAGACACCCACAAACAAAATTCACAAGACTGTAATTTATATCCATTCAACGCTAATGCTGCACGCTACTTTCATTTCTGAAAACCCCGTCTGTCAACTAAACAAAAGAAAGAAAAAAAGTAAGAAAGGATTTTGTTTTTGCAGCATGCTTTTCCAATTTGTGCTTATACCAACGAAACCAATGCCAAGACTATAATGCCGCTTCTTCTCATATTATCATTCGCTTTCCATGCCCTTTCCATTGCCCCCAATCTTCCTGTCCAAAAGGAGAAAGAAAAACACTTTGTAGTCGGTGTGGTGATTGCAAGCTGTATATGCAATTCTTGTATACTCTATACAGAAAAGAAATGACGGTTCTAACCACTTCGTGACGTCTCTTCCGCCATTCTCCTGTCGTACTTGTATCGTGGTTCCATCTATCGTCTCGGAAATCTCGTCGTCGACTCCACCATCCTGCCCATCGTCCTCGCCGGCGAGTTCCTCCTCGACACCGCCCCAACTCCCTGCTTCATTGCCAGGTATGCAATCGCTTCTTGCCTCTTCTCCTCAAACCTCACATTTCTCTGCCTCTCCTTTTCCACGTTCCGTCTCCTCTCCGCCGTATCTGCCGCATCTCTCCTGCGCATTTGATTCTTGGGTCGCTGCGCCTCGAAGCGAGTCGCGCCGCTATTTAGTTTATGCGCCGTGTGCGTCGGCGCCAGCGCCAGCGCCATGCTCGCGGGGTCGCGCGTGGCGGCCGACCCGCCCCATGTGCAGCGAAACGTCAGCTTCGTCTCGCTGCCGTCCTCGCCGGTTCCGTCGTGCCAAATGACAATCGAGTCGCCGTTGAACAAACGCGTCCAGTTTGAGGACGGGTCATGCGGGGATTTGAAGCTCGAGGAGCTGAGTTGCCGCCCGTTGATGCGAATGCCGTTGGTCGCTTTCGTCGAGATCCAAAAGAAAAACGCATTCTGTTCTTGTTCGCTCATGTTGGACCGCCATGGCAGGTCCAACTTGCCCGGGTCGTAGCCGTCCTTCCACAGCAGTATCTTGAAGGCGTATTTCGGTACTTTCGTCACCGTCTTGTGCTTGTACACATTGGTATTCTCCGGCCCGCGCCCAAACGACACAAGCGGCTCCGTAATGGGAATCGAAATGTCGCGAATGCACGACGTCAAGTCGCTTTCAATCATGGCAGCCATCTCAGACGTGGGAATCGGCACCACCAGCTGCGAGAATCCCTGCGGGTCTTGCGAGCCGTGGGGGCCGGTCGCCGGGAACTCGGGTACGCGCACCAGACTATCAAAGGGCGACAACGTGGGACTATCAGGCAGCTGCGAGCTGGACCGCGGCGTCGGCGGAAAGTACTTCATGGCGAGGGCCCACAGCGGCGTCTGGCCCGGTCGAAAGACTTCGCGGCGCTGGCTCGCCGCCTCGTTGAACTTGGCCAGCTGCGAGTCCGTCATTTCGGGATAGTCAAGGTGCCATGTGGAAATGTCGTCGGTCCAGAACTGGGCCTTGATCACTGGCCAGTCACTGGATCGACCAATCGAGTGAACGGGCGGCACGCTGGCCAGCAGCTTGTACTCCTCCACCATCTCATCGGTGACCAGGGCATCCACGTGGCCGTCTGATCGTAGTCGTTTAATAATTGGCTTTCCGGGAGGCGTATTCTCGTCAAACTCGTCACTCGTTTCGACAGACGGAGGCTTTCTTTTACTAGTATTGAGATCCAGCGAGTTCATAGACCGCCGGGAAGAGGTCACCTTCTTTTGACTTTTCTTATCGTCGCTCCCAAGACTTTGAGAGGCGACATCTTCCACCAGACTTTGCAATTGGTCCATCGACTGGTTTGGAAAAATTGACAAGGCACCCGGATCCTGCGCGTCGGCCGCTGTAACCCTTTCAAAGAAGGACTCTGCCGAGTTGTACGCCTCGTCGAGGTTGGGATCCGGCGTGCCTGGGACAGGTAGGTTGCCATTGCCAGTCGACAAGTTGAGGTATTCTTCCGGAAAGACGCCGGAGCTACCAATGGCCGAGACGCTTACCTCTCCAAATAGCCTAGGCGCTTGGGCCCCCGGAATGATGGTATGGTTTTCCTGATCCGAGTCGTCGTCCGCAGAGTCGCTGACCCGATCATCCTCATACCGTCCTTGAGAGAACTGCGACGCTTGGCCGGGGAAATCTTCATCGTCCGTCACTTCGTCAAACGACTGCGACGCTTGTATCGTCTCGCCAAAATCAGTAAGCCACGGATGATTCTGCAGTTCATCCACCGTTGCTCGGTGCTCCGGTCTCCGCGTGAGCATGGCGCGAATAAAGTCAATCCCAGCGTCGCTGACACCATATTTCTGCAAAGGCACAATATTTAGTTGCGTCGTCATGACTCTGTGCAGCACCTCTGATGGGCTCGTCACCGAGCGCGCAGGATATGGAGCCGCTCCGGTTAGGCAGTAGAACAATACGCCACCCAGAGACCAAATGTCAACAGCATGGCTGTATCGCTGGCCCGGTGGGCGCCGCGATGGCCTACCCCGCGTGCGGTGTCCGTTGTCGTCGTACTCGAGATACTCGGTGTAGACTTCTGGCGCACAGTACAGCAGCGTACCGCAAAAGGTGCGCAGAAACGTCTGATCGCTGTCAATCATCTTGGAGAGGCCAAAGTCGGTGAGCTTGACCTCGAGCGGCTCCAGAGAGTTGATGAGGATGTTGTCGGGCTTGATGTCGCGGTGCGTAATGTTGAAGTTTTGCAGGTAGCGCAGGGCGGCCAGCAGCTGAACCGCGAGGACTTGCGTCGTTCTCTCCGTAAGAGGCCCGTTGTCGGCAATGAGCTTACCCAGATCGCCTTGAGGGACAAACTCCATGATGATGATGAATAAACGCTCGTCCCAGTCAAAATTCTCAATGTATCGTACAATATTAGGCTGCCGTTGGCGGTTAGCGATACACTACATCTCAGCTTGCACAACGTCAAGGATCAACGTAACTTACATGATTTAAACGCTGCATGATGCGCATCTCATTTTCCACCTTCTGATCCAGCACCCCATTCTTGATAAAATGTCGCTTCTCAAGCTCCTTGGCGGCGTAAGGCCGGCCATCATATTTCGCCGTGACCTTGTACACGACCGCAAAGGCGCCCTTTCCAACGGCACGCACCTTGTTGTATTTTCCCGAGCCGGTCCACTCGCGGGTGCTATTCTGCTTGATCATGCGCGCGGGCGCCGCCATCTGTGTCGTGTCCTGGTGCGGGCGCCGCAGAGGCTGCCCCGCGGTCCGAAAGAGGTCGACGTGCTCCGCCGGTATGGGAGGGTTCACGGGCGGCACGCCACCTTCCCTTGGCAACCGGTGGCGGTCGAAGTAGTCCTCGACGCGCTGTTGGTAGGCCTGCTCGTAGTGGCCCTCACGGCGAGGTATGCGCACGCGAAACGTCAAGTCCCGCACCTCATCATGCAAAAAGATGTTGATGACCGATCCCGACGACAGGACCCAACGGCTGGGCTGCTGGGGCGCGCCCTGCTTGACCTTGGCCGAGAGCAGCTTACTATCTACAAAGGTGCCGTTGGTCGACTGGTCCTCAATCATGACGTTGCCAAACTCGTTGACGTAGATACGAAAGTGAATGTTGCTGACGCGGCGCAGGGGGTCGTTGGCGAAGACGACGTCGCAGCGGCCCGGGTTGCGGCCAAACGCGAAGCCGGCGGCCGGGTTCTTAGGCACCGTCGACAGGCGCAAGATGATGGCGTGCGCGCCGCCGCCGCCGGCACCGCTGGCGCTGTGATTGTGCGACTCGAACTGGCTCGCGCGGTCCTCGAGCTCGTAGTTGGGCTCGACGCCGTCAGCCGCGTCCCGGCCAATGATAAAGGGCGAGCCGTCGGCGACTAGGCGCTGCACCTCTTGGCGGGCCGACGCCGAGTGCGGGTAGAGGACGCAGACAATGTCAGAGATTTCGTCGTCGGTGAAGCCTGTGTTTTGCTGTCCCACGCGACGCGGGTCGACGATTTGCTGCGTCGCGGCTGTGGGCGAGGAACGTGTCAGTAGGTATGCTAGCGACGCGGTGGGAACTCAACAGCTGCGACCGGGGAAAACGTACCTTGGGTTGGCTCCTCGCCGTCCATCTTTGCCGTGGGTGTCTATGTATATTCAGAATAGGCAAGACAGCAACGGAAGCGCAAGCTCGGGTTGTTACGCGACGAATTTTCGCTTGACAAGTCCAGACGGCTGCCTCCCCAGCAAAGGGAGGGGGGGGGAGAAGGCACCAGCGAACAACAGCTGAAAGTCGAAAACCAAGAGAGAATCGGGACAATCAAGTGGTCGGGGTATAATGGCTTAGCCAATCTCCGTCAAGTGGTCAGGACGGGCTAGGAAAAATATTTGAAATAATAAACAGTCCCGCCGTCTGCCGTCAATTGTTGTGGTACGGCGACTACGCGAGACGCCAAGGTTCGAGGTTGTTAAGCAGCAAAAGGATGGACTGGCTACCGTTGGCGGGTGGCGGCAAGGCCAGGCAGAGAGCTGGTAATGGCGGGGTCGTTGCTACGCCACGCTTCCTGCCTCGCCTCGAGCGGGACGGCGCGGACCACGAACCCATGCGCCAACACGGCAGGCAGCACGGTGAGCAGCAGTTTGTCATGGCTCAACCATGTTTTCTTCAGTATACACGGTTTTCGCAATTCATGAAAATTCAAAGTCACCAGGAACAAAAGTCATTGCATCTAGTATATACGTGAGATTTTAAGGCGCGTCGAATATTCTAGTGCGCCCCAAATAACAAATAAAAACAACAGTCCAGTATCGCAGCGCTTACTACCGCGGCAAATCCATCGGCCAAAGGCAAGCAGCGGCTATCAAATATAACAACGAAGGGAAAAAAAAAGAAAAGAGAGAGAAGCGACTCTATAGTCGCTAGTGTCGTACTGTTCGCTTTGCAGACAGCAAAGCTTTCAATTGTGCTTTTGATCGTCCCTATCGCAGTAGTGTAGAAGAGAGAAATAAACCTGCCAGTATTGTGTCCTGCCGACAATGCCGAGAATGCCATCCTTTGTATCCCAAGCAAGAGATTATCCTCGCCCGATTCAAAATAAAAAAACAAGAAAAAAGGGAATGCAACAACGCCATTCGTATGCTGCCTTCACATACAGTTTCAACGCAGAGTCATGATTCATTCAGCAACGCAGTTCTACCTGTCCATTCAAAAAGCCTGGCCTTGGTATGCCGGCTGCTGCTGCTGCTGGGGATACGGGGGCCGTTGGCCTTCGGGCGGGCTTCGCATTGGTCGCGAGAAGCTGCCTGGTGGCGGTCCTTGAGGTCCGGGGCCGCCATTGGGTGTGTAAGGGCGTCCGTCATTAGGTGTGTAAGGGCGTCCAGAACCGGGGCCAGGCCCATAGCCAGCAGGAGGGCCACCATGATGCTGTGGGCGAGGGGCTGTACCCGAAGGGCTGCGCATCTCGCTATATGCGTCGATAATGTCGTCGGCAGAAGGTGGCGGGCCACGGTTTGGTGGTGGGCCGCGCATGGGCATGGGCTTTCGGTGCATAGGTCCAGCACCAGGCGGAGCTCCAGGGCCTCCAGGGCCTCCGGGGCCTCCGGGACCGCGAGGGCCGGGTCCGCCGGGCCCAGGTCTATAGTGTTCATGGCCGGGCGGCGGTCTGCCGCGTCCTTGGCCTTGGCCAGGGGGTGGGCCTTGACCAGGAGGCGGCCCTTGGCCAGGAGGATAAGGAGAGCGACGTCCCTCTGCCGTGGAAGGACGGCTGCCTGGGCCTAGACCGGGTCCCATACCAGGTCCCATACCGGGGCCCATACCGGGGCTTGGTGGTCCGTAGGGCGAGTTGGATCGGTTCTGGCCTGGGCCAGGAGGTACGCTGAGTGACGGTGGCAGCTGTCCGGGACGCCCTTGAGGGCCAGGTCCGCCCATGTACTGATTGTGCGCGGATGGCGGCGGACCATTGCCGCCTGGCATGGGATGACCGTCGAGTTCGTTGGCGTAGGGCTGAGTTCGGGCCTCATGCATCTGAGCCAGCGTGGAGCTAGAGAGTCGGCTATTAGCGCGACGGAGCTCAGGAGAGTGATAGGCCTTGTTGCTGCGCTCTTGAGGATTGTGGTTGAAAGCAGGCGGGCGAGAAACGGGCTCTGGTGTGTTCATGTTGCGCATCATTTGAGGGGTGGAACGACCATCTTCGGGGCCGGCAAAATCTTGGGGATAAGGTCTGTTGGGCATGGGACCTCCGGGGCCACCTGGGCCGCCTGGGCCGCCAGGAGGGCCAGGAGGGCCGGGAGGGCCGGGATAGGCTCTGGCATTGGCGTCCTGGCAGGCGACATATTAGCTTCAAAAAGCTTTTTAACAGGCGGCAATGACTGGGGCACGTACCGAGCCAGGCTGCTGCCAATTGGCTTGGGCGTCAGGGGGGGCGGAATCGGTTCTGGGACCGCTGCCGCTGAGGGAGTGGGAGCGTGACGATCGAGTAGATGCGCCATCGTCAGCAAATCCAACTTTGGGTCGCAGACCACCCATGGGGCTGTTGGCACTGTTGCGGCCGGTGCGAGGAGCTCCTTCCTCGATGGCGTTCATGCGGGTGCCAGTAATCTCCTTGAGGCGCTTGCGCCACTCACGCTCGTTCCAGCTGGAGCTGCCCTGCTCATTGATGAGGGCGGCAACGTCGAGAATTTCGAGATAGCCGTAGCGCTTGTGCTTGGGCATGGCAAACATGAGGGAGCGCTGATCGAGGACGCTGGCAACGAGACGGCCTGGGCGGCCGTAGAGACCAAAAGTGTCCCAGGTAGGCAAAAGGTTGCGCAGGAGCATCTCAAAGCCAGTGACCATGGGATGGATCTCGGGCATGACGAAGACGAAGCCTTCGGTCGAGGAAGGAGGATCGGTGTGAATGGAGACGCTGCCCTCAATCTTGATGAGAGTCGAGGCATCGACTAGGGACTTGGCCTGGGGGTAGATGGCGTAGGCGGCATAGGCATCGGTGATAGAGGCGATGGGTTGCAGCTTCTTCTGCTTTTTGCCCTCCTTGCGCTGGTCATAAAACTTGATGTCGCCCTTGAGAGCAGGAGCGGAGGATCTATCGTAGGCAGAGCGCTTCTTCATCTCCTTTTGATGCTTGGCATACTCCTTTTCGTCTGGAGGCGAAATGACGCACCAACAGCGTCTCCAAGGCACACCGGCACCGAAGCGGACTCGTACCCAGGACTCTGTGGGGAAGCGGGCGCGCTCGAGAATGACGTTGATGTTGTTGAGAGTCTTGCCTCTGCCGGCAATGAGGGCACCGGTGTAGGCCTCTTGAAGGGTAGAGTGCTCGTACATGGCGAGACGGATGCCGGCAGTCCATTGGACCAAGGAGTGGTGGGAGTTGAAGTGGAGAAGGTATCGGTTGCGGCCAGCGGTAGAGATGCTGAGGATATTTTGCAGGGGTTGCTCGTCCTTGGAGCGGGTGGGAAGAGACTCAATCTGAGGTAGGTGTCAGCAAGGGTCCGATGATGGACCGTGGTGAGGCTGGCGCGCATCACATGGAAGAGGCGCAGGCACAACGCCATGGCGGCGGTAGGCACATGGGTACGGAATGACTTACCATTTTGATGGAGGCATCAGTGAGGTTGATGAATTTGGGGAGGACCTCGCCATCCTCGCCGGCAGCATCGAGCTCGGCGGCGTCCCATAGGGAGAGGACGGTGCCGACGAGCTGAGCAAAGCACTCTGTCCATGTCCGGTCGACATTGGGTTTACCCTCTGGAGGTGAAGTGTTAGTTGGTTGCGTTGCATCTTGCGGGTGAATGTGGTTAAGATGGATGGAAGAGGGAGGGTACGTGCGCCAGGGTCGAGAGTAGCAGGACGGCGGGGGTAACAGCAGGACATGGGATGGCGGATGGACGTACGTGTGTTTTGGTCGTCGAGCTTGAGGAAGTAGCCCTCTTGATAGAGTTTGTTGGAGTGCGAGTTGAGAAAGGAAAAGACGGGCTGCAGCTCCGGGATGGTGTCCTCGGTAATGTCCATGAGAGGCGGCTGGTACGAGTAGATGGAGAGGGGTCGGGAAGCGCTGCGCTGACGCTTCTGAGGGGGACTGTCGGGACTGTCGGAGTCTACTGTGCCATAGTCCGGGTAGGAAGGCGGGGTGGGAGGGAGGTTGAGGCCGATGTGATGGTCAGGAAAGGGCTCGTTGGTGGCGGCAGCGGCGGCGATGGGCGAGGTGGTAGGAGGCGAGGCGGCGGGTGTAGGTGGGCTCCAGGAGCCAGAGAAGCGGGAAGCAAACGAAAGGACTGGAGAGCCGAGAAGGCTAAAGTTAGTACGTGCGAGTTGGCGAGACGAGTGTGCGCAAAGAGCGTTGACTGGAGAGGAGAGAGAAGGATGGTTGCTGGCGTGCCGGTATGGATATGTGTGAATGTGCGAATGTGTGGATGTGTGGATGTGAAGTGTATGATGATGGCGGCGAATAGATGGCAGGCGGCCAGGGCAGCAGAGCGGACAAAAAAGTGGGAGGAGAGTGGGAGCGCGGGAGATGAAGCGATGCACATGTGGACACTCTGATCAGACACTGAACCACACTGTGAGAGCCTGAGAGGACCACTGAGTTGAGAGGAGGGGCCGCAGGGCCTCAGGGCCGCAGTGGGGAGACGCAGATGGAGGAGAAATCAGCTGGTGGACAGCGTCAGCACAGGGCAGAACAGGGCCTGTCAGCTCGGCAGGGCACTGGAAAAAAAAGTCCTGAGCCACAGCACTGCCCAGCAAGCCGCCCGGTGAGTCGCTGCCAATTTTCTCCAGCCATCAAGACATTCATTCGTTGCTTGTCCCGCTTCGCCTCTGTTTCTCTTGACTGTGACGTGACGCTGCGTTTGCCGCTGTTTGTCGTATCTTCGTCCATCATCTCGACACCTGCCACTTGGCCACTGACTGCACTCACAGTTGACCACAGACGACAAATCACAAACCACAAATCATCAACAAAGCTGTCAGACAATCCGGACACGCCAAAACGCTTGCCTCGGCTTGCTTGGCCTGCAAGCCATTGCATCCATCGTGTAATCAATTTCGTCTCGGCGCAACTGGAATGCGCACTTGTACAAGGTACGTACCTCTGTTGCGGCCCATGGCTGTGTCCACAGGTATGTATACCCTTGTTGTTGTTTATCCTTTTCCTGGCGCGAATTCTCTTGTTCGAAAGAAGAAATCGGTCACCTTGCCGCTTGATTATGGAAAAGGGGACGAGAACAGAAAATCAAATCGAAAGAATAACCACGAGAAAAAGATCCGACATCAAATCTGGGCGTGCCTTGCTTGATAAGTGCACGCAGGAGAGCCGCAAGGACCAGGGTGTGCCGTCGTAGCGCCCAGCAAACTAGTTCGGCGGACCCGGCACCAGCGGAGGTTCTCTTTTTTTTTCTGCTGCAAGCTTCCGAAAATGGCTGGTAAAGGTCTCAACCAGCGCCTTGGCGGGGTGTTTTGTTTCGTCAGATACGAGTAATTGGCAATCCTTGACCAAGAAAAAAAAACAAGTTAGCCAAGCCCTTTCTTCTCCTTGTACCAAAGACGACTGAAGGGGAAATTAAGCCAAGACTGGGGGAGAGGGCTGTGGTCGGCTAGCTAGACAATCCGCAAAAGACGCACCACGCCAAGAAGGCTTCTGTAGCTGTACAATGTAGACTTGTCTCTCATGGACGTATAATACGTCGTGGCTGGCCAGATTCTAGGTGAGACGGGCGCTAACAAGCAGTAGACGGACGGCAAGTTCGCAGCCCCGGCTCGCCGCGGGAATCTTTGTAGATGGATAATTCCTCACTTGAGGAATGGCTGACGTATTTCCAAACAAAGTGGCTTGAAAATGAACGCGTGGAAACAACCTTCTCACCTTGAGAATGGCAATAAGCTCAGCCTGCAACGCTTTCCCCGATTCCAAAAAGGGATCTTGGGTCAATCGGGTCGATGTAGGTAATACGTAAAGGAACGACAGGAAACTCAAATCGGGGCCCCCAAGAACCTAAAATATCAAGAAGAAAACTTGTGTCACTGTGACGGCAGCACCGCTGGAGCTTAATTCGTTGTCCCTTTTATTTTCAAGAGGTTTTCACTTCTCCTTTGTTCCCCTCGTTCGATCCCGCAAAAAGTGTACTACGTCACCGACCGGCTACATGGATGGATGCAAAAAAACCTTGGATACTGGACCTTGGGGACTGGAGACGAAGGCGTTTTGGATCAATGGGTAGATATGGGGTTCAGCGGCTGCTGTGACATGTTGCGCATGCATCCCCATCCAAGCATTTGTTCCAGGAGGTCCCCTTTTTCAGACGGGGGCTTTAAAGAACCATTGACTATGCATGAAGAAAGGATAATACCTACCCAATCTCACACCGCGACTTGTTCCATGTCATACTAGCCGCCGCCGCACCAATCGTTCCCGGGGGGGTTTGGGAAGGAACCCCGAGCTTTCCGGGTCCTATTAGTTTTTATTTTTATTTTTATTTTCGATTTCTTCTTCTCTTTATTCTCTGCCTTTTCTCGCAACGCCGCTCATTCATACGCAAGTTACCGCTGCATGCATCAAGGTATCGTACGTATGTATACGTACGTGCATAGGCGCCCTTTACGGGTACGGTGTGATGAATGGGCGGGCACACGGCTGGACGGCTCGCCGCATGGCCCATTGTCGAATTGAAATGCGTCAGCACGCCTTGGACCTTGCCAGTATTTAGGTGCAGCAAACTACTGAGCGCTAAAATCTAAAAAGGTCGTTACCGTCACGCATCATTGGCACAAAGATGGACGCCATCTGCGACGCCGCGGACGTGGCCTTTGCCGGGATCCAGTCCTTCAGCGTGGCCCGCTAGTCAGTCAGTTGGGCATCCATCAGCTCCAATTGATCCAACTATCCGTACCTACCTAGGTAGTAACTACGGATCCGTAGTAAGTAGCAAAAGGCTCCCACTAGGTTTCGACGACGAACCCTTTTACCGCCATCAATGCCCATCTCATGCACTTTGCGTTTGCCATGTCGTTTCCATGCAAAACAATCGCAAGAAACCGCGTGTATCCTTTCTAACATCGGCATTTTCCCCAGAACATGTCATACCAACAACACCTTACACCTTGTTATATCCACTCGTACCACCGCCGCCGCCGCCGCCGCGCCGGCTCTATCGGCGCTCTCCATTGTCAGAAATGACTGGCACAATCTTGTGTCCTGCGCCATGCCACCCGCTCCAGTGCAGGAAATTAAATACTCTAGTCCATGACAGAGCCATGAATGAATACGTCCACCCAGCAGCACCGCCGCCTGGGAAAGAAACAAATGCCCAGCGCCGCTTGCAGCCCGCCGTCCACGCTGGCGTGCCCTTGGCAAAAAGCCTCTTTTGTCTTGGCGCTACTACTCTGGTGAGCCTCGATTCGTAAATTAGGTACAGATAGACTTGGAATTATTTGACCTATTGGCCAGTGCCAGTGGGCTGTGTGGGCTCCATTCCCATTGTAATTGTATCATGGCCGGCTCAAACAAGGCGTATCAATTCAATAATTACAATAGTAGGCGAATCTTGCTTTTGCTCACCTTTTAGACATGCATGCATGTCTAGGCGCAGCACGCACTCGGCGCTCGCCCGCCAAATCAGCTTGCACGATTGCACGATTTGCACGATTGCATACCTCAGCGGCGCACAGCCCAGTTACACAACAGCCAGTCGAGAAATATTCATCTATTAATTACGACAAGTCGTTGCCGTGTTTCCTTGGCTCTCCCGCCGCTTCGGAGTCTTGGCCAAGTCCTGGCGGTTGCAACTCACCAACCAACCAACTAATACCTGTAACTAGTTAGTTCCAACTTCCAACCCCAGCCCGCTCTTCAGCCAGCCCTCTCGGGATGGAGCAAGTCACCGAACTGCCACATCCCGCTCAATCCTCTTCTAATATTGACTTTGTTGCGTGGCCTTTTTTAACCTCCCCCACGTTTGATACCTCCTTCAATGGGTAGTACTGTGCCATCTTACTATCTCGCCATCTCGCCATCCTCCCTAGTAGCGCTCGTTTGTTTTTTTCTTCTGCACATCACTGGAGATCTTTGCCATCTTGCGCTTGCTTGAATCGATCCCCCACCAAGATTCTCCACGAGCTTGCGTGTTCCGACTCGGGGGGTTGGGTCGGCTGGACCAGCTGGCGACAGACTGATGCATGGATGCGCTCACCTGGCAGCTAGTTTCATGATAGATCCGAAATTGGTCGCAGCCGAGCTTGGCTTTTGCCTTGCCTGACCTGTTTCCATTTTTCCAAGACTACCATTCCGCCCCTTGTCAAGCTGGAGAAAAGATGATGTAATCTTGGCCCATGTTCTTAAGACTATTATCCTGCTGTACCACATTGCTTGCTAAACCCATATCTCATATTGTGTGCCAATGCGCTCAATTCTTGTCGAGTTTCGCCGCTACCACCGCTGTGGCGCAAGACTGCACTCCGCCCACTCACTTCAGCCACTTCAATATCAATTAGGCCGGCGCACGATGTATGTTAGACACAAAACTGTCTTCATGTTGTCAACCCCTGGCCATTATCACGCTGCTTCTTGAAGAGTACTGTGCAGTTTTGTGCTGCCTTGGTCGACTCTCATCGCTCAGTAGTGGAGAATCGGACTGTGCTCTTCGTAATCGATCGCCATTGAGATCCAGGCACAGCTTTTTAGACTGCGACTCGTATCAAGCAGCTTAAATACCGTGTTCGATCTTTGCTCTAGCCTTGTCAGCATCGTCCACAGCACCAACCTTATCGCGATGACATGAAAATACTCAGGCCAATACGGATTACCACTCCAAACAATCCTCTACGCCGTTGGCCCCAGACTAGGTTGTCTTCCCAAGTCCGTCGACGCCATCGGCAACAGGCGCAACTACAACGGCGGCATAGCATCCTTTGGAATCACACAGCCTCACTTAGGCGAGGCGTTGCGTTCCTCATTCCATCAAATATCTTTTCAAGACAGTCGTACTGCATTCGTTTCTCTTTTTTTCCATATCGCGCGCACCAGCCAACTTAGACGGATTCTGCCAGTGACGTCATTTGGCCATGTAGTCCTTGGTCACCCCACCGTCGGACATATCACATCGCCAATACAACCACGCAATTGGCAACCTATCCAACTATCCTACCCGGAACCAGGACCAGGGACCAAAGATGTACCATCGGTATCGAGAGGAGGGCAGGGCACACAGATCGCAGTGATTGGATGCTCAAAACCGATGACTTTATCATAATAATAGAAGTCATTATTTGCCAAGTGATGATATGCGCAACATGTCTAGTCAAACGGGTTGGTGTGAACACGCCGAAAAGGGAGTGAATGTAACAACTGCGTTGTAGGAGTAAAGCATATAGTTACCACATCTTACTCCCCGAGCACCCCCAAAATACCGAATTCCACCAAACTGATCATCACAACACTCAATGGAGGATATCCAAAAATAATTCGACACGACGTCGCTTCAATGCTGACGAGTCACGGCGGCCTCTGCGCCTTCTGACCTATCGTGCCGTCACGTGCAGTATTGGCCGACGCCGCAGCATTAGGCATTTTTGTCGGACGATTCTGCTTCTTCCCCTTCATTTCTAACCGCGAGAACGAACCACGCAAAGCAACCTTTGATCAGTCCTCTCACCGGAAACCAAAGAAAGAAAATCTGTCGATATTAGCTCCGGTTTGCGACCCTGCAGGGTCGGCTCTAGCATATGCGGTCGGAATGCGAATATTACGCCGCCCGGCGCTTGCGGCCTCATGGGCGTCTCCTCCCTCACCTCAGCTGCGCATAGTGCTTATCTCGTCGCGGGGCCCCGGCCGCGCGCTCGCACTCACGACGCTCGCAGAGGAGCGCAGCGCTGGCGACAGTGGTGCCGCGCAGAATAACGACGATTCGATACACGGCGAGCAACAGCATACGAGACACCCGCAGTCGCCGCGGCTTCCCTTTCGATTCGAGACGGGCATCGGCGTATTTGCGAAGCGCCCGCCACGGCCTTTTCCGCCTCCTTTTTCTTCACGTCCGTCAGTTTCATTTTCTGATCCTCTTAGCACGCACCGTGCCATTGTCGATGGCGAAGAGATCCGCGGCCTCACCAACGGCGACGATGCCGTCTACGCCAGCGACTTTTTCATCTGCGCCAACGACGGCGTGGGGGCCTGGGCGACTCGACCACGCGGTCACGCTGGGTATTTCCCCCCTCTTCCGTCTACCCTCGAGTAATAAACCCCGAAAAATGTGCTAACCCGGCGTCAGGCTATGGGCTCGGCTGATTCTCCATTTCTGGGCGTCCGCGATAGAGGAGGAGCTGAATCGCGTGGCGACCGGCAGCGTGGACGGCGAGGCGGATACGGAGCCGCACCCTGTCGCCTGCCTCTCTGCGGCGTATAAAAAGACACTCGAAGCGACGAGCGCGCACGACTGGCAGGGCACGACGACAGCATGCGGCGCGCAGCTGCACTATACGACACCGCTCGGCAGCAGCGGCCCGCCCGTACCGCTTCTGTACGTCACCAACCTCGGCGACTGCCAGGTCATGGTGGTGCGCCCGCGCGACAAGTCGGTCGTCTTCAAGACGCGCGAGCAGTGGCACTGGTTCGACTGCCCGCGGCAGCTCGGCACCAACAGCCCCGACACGCCCGAGGGCAACGCCGTCGTCGACCGCGTCGAGCTACAGGTCGGCGACGTGGTGCTTGCCATGAGCGACGGTGTCATTGATAATCTGTGGAGCCACGAGATTGTCGAGATTGTAACGACGAGCATTGATGGCTGGGAAAAGGCCGAGCTCAAGACAACGACAGCGACGGCCACGCAGCGAAGAGGCCGAAACGGCGGGATGCGCAAGGCCGCGCAGGATCTCGTTTCCGCGGCGAGGAACATTGCGTCGGATCCGTATGCGCAGAGCCCATTTATGGAGCACGCCATTGAAGAGGGCCTTGCCAGCGAAGGAGGTGAGTCAACTCTGGGGTGATTGAATAGACGACAGAAGATGCTAACAGCGGCGCAGGCAAGATGGATGACATCAGCGTAGTCGCTGCTCTCTGTGTTGAAAACAGCGAGGAGCCATGACGCGACGGAGATGGGCACTTAAAGGAACAGTTACGACATTATTTCGCATGAGATTTCGCATTATTGGCGTCTTGGGCACAGAGCGACCTCTTTTATCATAGCATGTTTATCCCTTTCTTTCTCCTAACTCTTTATGAATAGTAATACACGACCATCAAATTATCCTGGACTTCGTTCCGGCTCCGTGACCGAGACTGCGACCGAGCACGTTATTGCCATGTATACGCCGGATGCGCATTTGCCCTTTGAAGGCAAACATGCTTACCTCCAAATTGGGTGTGACTTTTGAATTGACATTAATTGATTCCAGCCCCCTTTGGACGCCTCATTCACTACCAGCTGCCACTCACATTGACTTCACCTGCTCAGGTGTCACACGCGCAACACTCGCGTTCTTTGCCGCCCAGATCAAACTGATCGCAAGAAACCTTGCTCGACATACATCATAAGAAGACCGAATTTTCGTCATCATGGCCGTGATATCTCGTGCTCAGCTCCAAAGCGTCACCGCATCGGGACGGGCGGTCATCACAGACGTAAAGCACCTGTCGTCGTACAATTGGATCGAGGCACCCACCCCGACGATTGTCGTTCCTGGCATGCCGGCGCTGTGGATGGCCCCCAAAGGCCCTCGGAGACTTGCAAGAGACTCTGGCTTCTTCTACACTGCGCAAAACGCTGCTCGCCATCCGTACCACCCTCTCGAGCCCTTGTTTCGCTCCCTCTACGCCGAAGATGAGTTTTTCGATATCAGTTCTGTCGGCGTAATTACCGAAAGAAACAGTATCCGCAAACTTCTCTCACTTATTATTCCGGACCCCTACAAGAGCGAATCGAGTGCCTTTACCATCGGCGTCGAGGTTATAAAAGACACCGTCATCTTCCGTCGAGATGAAGCAGTCACGCACGAAATTGTAGGGCCAGGGAGCTATCGAGGTCACGGCCACGAGTTTGAAAAGGCGTACACGGTGAATCGAGTCGATGGGAGTACCGGGTATCACAGAATCATTTCGTATCAGTTTTGCGATTTGAAGTTTCTTGTCTGCCACGAAACAGATGCCTATATCGACGAGACAAACGATTCTTGTGAGGGCACGATGGTAGACCTGGCCACACCCCTTACTGCATACACCAGCATCAATGACTCTAAGTTGCGAATTGCGAAAGGGGGCAAGATGGTTCCTCTCCATACCGTTCTCGAAATTAAGACTCGTACCATGAGGAAGCCTCTTGCGATTCGCGACGTGGCGCCACAATTGTGGATTTCCCAGACGCCGAATCTGGTGCGAGCCCATCACAAATACGGTGAATTCGCTAAAGCGCAGACTGAGAATGTAGCTGCGCAGATTCAAGAATGGGAAAACGAAAACCAGCCTGCCTTGGAAAAGCTTGGTTGGCTGATTAAGGAAATAACTGCTATTGCCAAAGATTGTGGTGGTCAAGCCAAAGTCGAGTATGACCCTCAAGGGGATCGATTGGTGGTTTCGGCAGATTGCGGAAAGAGGATGCTGCCCGCAGACTTGTACTCTAAATGGAACATGGAATCATCGTATCGTGAGCCAGAAACGTCGATTTTCGAGCATGGAGGGGCTGAGTTCACGGATGAGGTGAAGACGAAAAGAGATTGAGACGAGCTCTATTATCAACACTAGCGAACCAGCTACAGTTCATTCTTGATAAATTAAAACCTTTATATTGACATTGGAGCATCTTGTCTTGTTCCTTGACGGTGGTGGACCCCTGCGCGGGGCCGTGCCCGAGCCATCGCCGGCCGTTTGGTAGATCTAAAGCTCCACCACAGATGGCTATCTAATTGCTAATGAACTTCTTATCGCACGTGCACGGCCCGCCGCAGCGCTGCGATAAGAAATTTATTCTACTTGCAGCGCCAAACGCTGGCGCAAGAAAAAAAGTGCTGCGTGCTCAAGCAACGGCCATTTCAACACCTATCTATCCGCACACAACACCGTCAAAATGAGAGGCAAGCGTTCGAAACAATACCGCAAGCTCATGGAGCAATACTGCATGACTTTTGGTTTCCGCGAAGCCTACCAAGTCTTGGGTACGAGCTCTCTTCATCTCCGCTGGCTCCGCGGCCAGCTACGACTGAGAACTTGCTAACACTGCATGTAGTGGACGCTGAAATGGTACAAGATGCCTGCCGATTCAAGATGGACCTGACAGCAGGATTGGAACGCACAGTGCACGGGAAAGTCAAGCCCAGTAAGTCCAATGGCTGCTGCGAAAAGTATTGAGGCCCCAGCTGACAAAACCTACAGTGATTACGCAGTGCGAGATTCGAAAGCTGTACGAGAAGAAGAACGAGCCCGGGATCCGGGACGCTATCGAGCTCGCCAAAAACTACGAGCGGCGGCGTTGCGGGCACCACCCGGACGAGTACCCGAAGCCGCTGTCGACGCTCGAGTGCCTGTCGTCGGTGGTGGACCCCAAGCAAACGGGGCAGAACAAGCATCGGTACGTGGTGGCGAGCCAGAGCCAGGAGGTGCGTCGGGCGCTGCGCGGCGTGCGTGCAGTGCCGCTCATCTACATTAAGCGCAGCGTCATGATCCTGGAGCCCATGGCGGACGACAGCGCCGAGGTGCGGCTACGTGAGGAAAAGGCCAAGTTCCGGGCGGAGCTCAAGAAGAAGACGCCGCGCAATAAGCGGAAGCGAGAGGAGGAAGAGGATGGGGATGAGGGTGAGGGTGGTGACGGGGAAGAGGGCGGCGCAAAGATGAAGAGTGAAGAGGAGAGGAAGAAGAAGAAAAAATACGGCGGCATCAAGGAGCCGAATCCGCTGTCGGTCAAGAAGACGAAAAAGAACCCGCAGCAGGTTGAGGAGGAGAGGAGGAGGAAGCAAAAGGAAGAGGCGAAAGAGGCGGCAGAGAAGCCAAAGAAGAAGCGCAGGCGGAGGGCCAAGGGCACCGGCGACGGCGCGACAGGAGAAAGCGGTGGCGGCGATGCGGGCCCTGAAGGTGATGATGAGTAGCATGGCATTTGAGGTTTTGTTGATTTGTTGGAGTTTCTGGTTCAAGTCATGGCATTGTTGATTTTTAAAAGCACAATTGAGTGCAATATCCTGCTATAAGATATGGCGCATGCTGCCATTGCAGTTTGGGCCGGTCAATGTTTGTCACCTCGTAATGAGATCCAACAGACAATGTTGCTCGAGAAAGACATCGTCGTGACGGCTGCATTGTCTCAACCGACGCCCCCCACTTGAAAACGAATGTCACGCGAGCTGCCAATTTGATCCCCCCCGCCGTTGTTTCTACTGGTAAACAAAGCTCTTTCTTTGGTCGCCCGCTGCTACGTAAGAAAGGAGAGGCGCAGCCTGGGTGGGAAATTGCAGAGCCAGTTGGAGATGCTTGGCGGGCGTACCCCAGCGTGGTATTAGGGGCAGCATTCCATACCTCCTAGGATACATACATGCTTCAGTATCTTTTTCAGACGTGGAATAGAAGCCATTCGATGAATACCTAGCTCCCGAGTATTCTATAAAGCAAATCATATATGCAAGTAGGAACATATGCTTCTTCGTCCGACCTGCCCCTGTCAAGCGACTCTTGGCTGCTTCAAGGCATCTGTGACCTGCATGACGCCGTTAGTTTAGTGCTAACTTATCGTGCTGGTGCCGCTAGTGCCGCTATGTAAAAACCCCTCTGTGCTCACCTGTAGGCGGTTTTAGTGGGCTCGAGTATCCGTAACTCCACCTCATAATCGCCAGACACTGCGAGGTACGCTGCTGGTGGAGTATCAACTGTTTCTCTGTGCCGACCGCCGCCCTTTTCGATCCACCCCAGGACAACTTCACATCCCTCATACCATGATCAATCACGTCCCGTCCGGATAGACCTAGCAGAGTCACAGGTTGGATGAGGGCGTGATTTTAATCTTTGAAGTTTCTTCTATTCTACATCATATTCTCGTACCATTCTTCCTTGTTACAACATACGATCCCGGGAGAATGGGCACGGCCAACGACGCCCCTGCGCCGCCCAGCGGTGCGCCCACCGCCGCCCAGCACACCATGACGCAGCCCATGGTCGATGACTTCGGTCTACCCATAAAACAATTCTCGACACCGACGCCCGAGGAAGCCGCTGCCAAAAGGTCTGTCGAAGAAAAGACATCGACGCCGGCGGCCAACGAGCTAGAGTCAAAACTGAAACCTCAGGAGCCTGTCACTGTCGCAGCACCTGAAGCTTCATCAAAAGAGCAACAGAATGCCGCTACCAACACCCCTTTTGATCCCGCAGCTGCTCAAACGGCCGAAATTGATAGCGAGAATGACGAAGCCGACTTCAAAGATGCGCAGACCATCATCGAGCCCAACGGGGCACCTGTGTCGCCGCAGAAACGAGATATGGCCAGAGAGCAAGATGCAGCAGAGGACGGAAAAGTTACTACAAAACCAGTTCAAGCCACCACAGAACCTGATACGGAGCAAACAATGCCGGGAGCTACAACCCCGGTTGCGCTGCCACAAACGTCCGAGCAAGTCGAACAAGAAGGCCCAGTTGTCCTCACCGATGCTGCCGACAAACCGCGACCCGAGCGAGCGTCTATGGAATCACCAAACAACGAAAAGAGCCACCGTCCACGCGCATCCACCGGCGCAAGCCACGGCCGCATGAGCCACGACCTCGGCGCCGCTGACTCGGTGGTCAACCCCAAAATTGTTGCGCATAATCGTGATACAAGCGTAACTGGTGCTGGCATCGGTGTTTCGGAATTCTCTCACCAGCAACTTTCGGTCCAGCCCGAAAATGAAAAGGTAGACCAAGACGATGGCTGGCAAGAAATGCCATCCTTTGCACGATACGACATGTACAATGACGACAACAAATTAATAGCTCGCGAGATGAAGGAGGAAGATGTTGAAGCGTACGGATACGCAGGTCTAGGCGGTGCTGGCAAAGGGTACACGCGCGTAGTCATGGACGAGGATGCCGAGTCTGCCACCAGTCTGGATGAGCACACACAATATCTATTCAAAGACGCCAACGCTGGCGGCACCAGCATGAACGACGAGGACGCCCGAGATGCTGTATCGCAAATGCAGGCCACGAAGGATCTTCTAACCGAAGGTCAGCGCATTGCCTATGTTGGGCTCGTGCGCCTCGAGGTTGCCAACCTTGTCAGCGAGGCCGAAAAGGTGGAAGCGCTCAAGAAGATCAAGAAACTGGTCAACATGTCGACCGAGGCGACCAAAATGTGGGGACAAAAGATGATGATGAGACTGTACGCGCATATGGACATTAGCGAAGCCGAGCAGGTTATGATTGAGCAGCTTGCCGAGCACGGCGTCCAGTCTGCCGACTTGACGCCAACTCTGCTCGCCAATTCGCGCGTTAAGAATCCCATGGCCGACTCGAAGCGGAGCTCCGTCATAAGCTCGACACCATCAGACGAACGACCTGCGGAGGCACCCCCACCATATGAAGCAGCCGAGACTGACCACGTCCCCGACGTGCAAACACCCTCTCAAATGCCGCACACGGATAAGATTGATATCGATCTCCGATGGACTGTACTGTGCGACGTTTTCCTCGTGTTGATTGCAGATTCTATCTACGATGCCCGCTCCAGGATCTTGCTGGAGCGTGTGGCGCAATCGCTCGACATTAGCTGGATCGATATTTGCCGATTCGAGAAGCGAGTGACGGATGCGTTGGAAATGCAGCAAGCTGCCGAAAAGGAAAATTGGAACGAAGAGGAGCATATGGAGGAGCGCAGAAAACAGGCCCTCAAGCGGCGCTATATGATGATGGGCTTGGCTACTGTTGGCGGTGGCCTCGTCATTGGTCTTTCGGCTGGCCTTTTGGCGCCCGTTATTGGTGCTGGTCTCGCTGCGGGTTTCACCACCATTGGCGTTTCGGGTACGAGCAGTTTCCTTGCCGGAGCGGGAGGCGCCGCCATTATCACGTCGTCAGCCGCTGCGTCGGGCAGTTTTATTGGAGTGCGCGCCGCCGGCAGACGAACAGGCGCCGTCAAGACGTTTGAATACCGACCGCTGCACAACAACAAGCGTGTCAATCTCATTGTGACTGTATCTGGGTGGCTGACGGGCAAGATGGATGACGTCCGTCTGCCGTACAGCACAGTCGACCCGATTATGGGCGATCTCTACTCGGTGCTGTGGGAGCCAGAGATGCTCCGCAGCATGGGTGACACTATGAATATTTTGGCTACGGAAGCCTTAACGCAGGGTCTGCAGCAGATTCTGGGAAGCACGATTCTCATGAGTCTGATGGCTGCGCTGCAGCTACCGCTGGTGCTGACGAAGCTGTCATATCTTATTGATAATCCCTGGGCCGTTTCGCTGGACAGAGCGACCTCTGCAGGCCTCATTCTGGCAGACTCCATTATTGAGCGTGGTTTGGGAACACGTCCAATCACACTGGTTGGGTACTCCCTTGGATCCAGAGTCATTTACTCGTGCCTTCAAGAGCTGGCCAAGAAGGGCGCCTACGGCCTGGTGCAAAATGTGTACCTTTTCGGCTCGCCTGTGGTAGTGAAGAAGGAAGAATACATCAAGGCACGTACCGTCGTGGCTGGCCGCTTCGTCAACGGGTTTAACCGAAATGACTGGATTCTGGGCTACCTATTCCGGCTGACCAATGGTGGTATTCGCAAAGTTGCGGGCCTGGGCCCCATCGAGGACTTGCCCTGGATAGAGAACTTGGACGTGACGGAGCTGGTGGCTGGCCACATGGAGTATCGCACGGCGATGCCGACACTGCTGATGAAGTGTGGTTGGACGGTGACGAGTGACGAGTTTAGTGAAATCGAAGACCCGGATCCGGATAACCACGGCGAGCGCCAGCGCGAGCTCATTAACGAAATAGAAGAGGCGCGCAAAGAGCTGGAAAAGGAAGAAAAGGCCAACGCCAGCAAGTCGTCACGCTTCAGCCTCTTTAGTCGCAAGAAGAAGACGGACCGGGAAGAATGGGAAGTCTACGAGGATAGCGTCGCTGCCGACGCCGCCAAAAATGGGAATGGCGGGGCGGCAAAGGCGCCATCGTCAAATTCAGGCGTGCTGTTTGACATTGATGCGATCCGCGCCGAGCTGGCGAATGAAGCCAATTACCGAGAGCAGGACCCCGAGGTGCTGCAGATCAAGGAGATTCAGTCGACGCTGCCGCCGATGAAGCTTGACATTCCCGCGGCGATAACGGCGACTTCGTCGGGACCGGCGTCGGCCAAGTCGACCACGGTGAGCCAGCTGCAAAACTCGTCGAACCCGTTGCGCGAGACGCAGAGCGCCGAGGCCCTGCCGAGGAGGTCAGCGACGCTCGGTGTGGAGCAGCAGCAGCAGCACGCGGTGACGCGCAAGGCCAGCTGGAACAATGGCGTGGTCAACACGGCCGCGTATCATGCGGAGCCCGACTACGAGGAGGAGATTTCGATGACGTTTGACACGTCGTTTCACGATGACGGCGGCAACCTGGCGGATGATGGGCTGACGCGGCCGGCGCTCATGACGACGAGGACACTGCCAGACATGGCGCTGGCGGATCCGTGGTCGGATCCGGGACGGCATGATGATTCGGATGACGAGGACTTTGGAAAAGAAAAAGAGATTTCCATGACGTTTGCATAAAAGAGCTTATGAGATATCCAGCTCGGTCGGGCGTTTTTTTTTCTTCGTCTTGTAATACAACTGGGGCTTTTTGGTACACGTTTGTTTTCTTCCATGGCTGGAAAGGGTGAATGAAAGTCTTTGGGTGATGGATGTGGCATTGGGTGTTGCATATGTAATATCAAGAATTAATGGATAATTTGAATGGTCTGCAGGATATCTGTCGCAACATGTTTGTTGTCCTTTGTGAGGATGTGGCATCAATATAATTAATGGGCGGTCGGTTGAAAGCTACCAAGCAAGGTTGGTGGTTTATATTTAGTGCAAATGGTGGTTGCTATTCTTGGCGTGATAATAAGCTCCCGGCGCCACAACGGCCGTGGAACCATTTTTTTTTTCAGCCCGTCTACCTATCACATGGAGGAAGCTGCAAGACGGGCGCGACTGGCAGGCAGGCAGGGCAGTAATGAAACGAAACGAAGACATGGATGGGATGGAAAAAGAAAGAAGGGGAAAAAGAAAAAAAAAAGGAAAAAAAAAAATAAGTCTTTGCGTTGGTGACGGCGCGTCCAGCCGTATTGAGTTAGGCGTATCGCTGAAGCTACTTTTCTGTGAGACTGAAGATACTCTACTGTTGATCATTTTTGAATGAGACAGATGTCTAGGAAAAAATGAGGGGAAAAAAGTATTTATTGCGGAAATGAAGGCGCGGCGCCGAAATACGGAGCAAGGCTGCGGGAGAGCGCGCGCGCGCCATGTACGCTGTAAATTACTTTACCTTGCCTACCCGCTGCCAAGGTTGGTGCCAGCCGGAATACCAGCGAGCGTATCCGTACCGTAACCGTACATAGCAGGGTGGTTTGACAAAAGAACCCCCGAAATGTCGAAAATGTCTTTCCAAGACAAGACGAGGGGGGTATCAGAGTGACAGATCACCAGAGACACGAAACAGAAGCTGGGCGGTAACAAATGCTGGAGCGACGCTGTGACAGCCTAGTCTGGGGTAAAAATCATTCATTTCTCGACATTGAGTCGTCGAGACGGAGCAGCTCTTTGGGATATAAATATATGTGCAACGAGTTAATGTAGCAAGTAATCGCGCCAAAAGTCGTCACCCGCACCTGGAGTGAGGAGCCAGAAATCAGCCTTGAACTAACAACCCCAGCATGTCATCGGATCCAGTCCTACCTCATATTTGATACCAGCAGCCACGGAGTATTACTCCATACCTAGCTAGGCACCTACTGGTCGTTGTTCCCTAGTTGCACCGAGCTGTTCTTGATGCTCTTCCCCAGACTTTGAAAGCTGACTGTAGCAAAGCAAACAAGCCCCAACGTCCTTTTTTCTCAACTACCAGCACCACCTCGAGAGGAACTGACTTTTCTTTGTGGCTTCCCGCGCTGAAAGCCCTGCGGATCGGCGGCGGGAGTTCCCCCCTCCCCCCTCGTCCTGTCTACACCCCTGCGTAGGTAGGTAGGTAGGTAGTGGGACACAGCCTTCTCTGCTCGTTGGACCGTTGGGCGCTTACACCACCCGCCCACCACCACCCGACACCTTGGCCTCGTCTTTTCTCTCTCGTCTTACAACTCCAAAACGGCTCAAGCTATACAAGGCGCCATTCTCTTCACAAGCCGTCTTGTCATCTGGTCAGAGGGCTAGCTCTGCCTTGAGTCAGGCTTTGATTAAAGTCTTGTTCCTCCCCCTCCTTCCTTTACATCACGGTACTTTTTTGTTGGCTGTTGTTCGGTCTTGATCCCCAACTTGACCGACTATTTTTTTTTTTGCTCTATTCTGGAGTCATTGCGGAGGAAGACGAGTAGGAAATTCTATGAAGCAAGTCGAGTGATTTTCGGAGTGACGACAATCATAGGTGTATGCGACCATATTCGACGACACCATCATAAACATCAATCTTTATTCACATACACACACACACCGCACAGGATTAACATGAACTCGCCCTTGTCCGCATCGCCGTCAGGGCCCGAATCAGCGACCCCGATGTCGAGCTTTGGAAGTCATACCCCCGCGCGCACGGAAAGCAGCGTCCCCGATGTTATCACTATCAAGGCAAACTCCGACGGCCAGGTGTACAACATGCAGACGCGTGGAAAGCCCGACAGGCCGTTTGACATGCAGTTCAAGCCGGCAAACGACAGCGTTCAGGTCAAGAGCTTTGGGTGGTACATCAGCAACCCCACCGAGTCAAAGCCGGAGACGCGCAATCTAACAGATTCCGCCGAGGCAGATGCCCAGAACGGGATTCTATTCCAAAGTATGCCCGCCCCCTTCTTTTTCTTCTTCTTGCTGTCGTTTCTGGCTTGGACGGTTGCTGGAGAGCGTCAGTCAAGCAAAATTGAACATGACTGACCAGCCATTCTTAGGGTCCGACGCAAATAATAAGACCTTTGTCTGCCTCAACGTCACCGATGTCAACAAGAAGCACCATAATGAGCTCAACAAAGTCATGGTCATCGGCATTACTTGGGCTTCCGGCAAACAGGAGGGAGAGACTTTTTCAAAGGCCTTCTCCATTACCCCCAATGATGGTGAACAACTGAGCAATAACGTCTGGGGAAAAATCCAGGAATCCTACTACAACATATCCAGGGAGGAGCCCATTCAATCTGGCGGCAGCGGCAGCGGCGGCCACAACGGCTTTACCCCTCCCAACAACAAAAGCGACGACGACAACAACAGCAACGGCAACAGCTCCTCTGACATGCCCACCATCGGCGGCAACAGCCCCTCCTCGCAGACTCACAACCGCGGCCGCGGGGGTCTCGGCACTGGCGCTATTGCCGGCATCGCCGTGGGCATCGCCGCGCTGCTTGCCGCTGCCCTCGCCATCTTCTTCTTCCTGCGCCGTCGCCGCAGCCGCGGCACGTCCTCGACCGCTGCGCTGCACCACACGCACGCCGCTGAACAGGAGAAGCTGTCGAGCTTCGCCAAGGGCGGCGTGGCTGGCGGTGCCAGCGCGTCAGACGCGGCGATTGCGCCGTACCGCGACGATAACTCGACCTTGACAAACAGCCACGACCGTCGCCGGAGTAGCGCCGCCACCGGGGGCCGCGTCGCGCCAGGGGAGGATGTGGCGCGGCAGCCGTCGCCGCCCAAGATGACAACGGCGGCGGCTGAGAGTCGTCATAGCCGCACGAGCAATGGCGTGACGCGCCACTTGGTTGAAGAGGGCATGACGGCCGAGGAGATTCGCCGGTTAGAAGAGGAGGAGGCGCAGCTGGACGACGACATTCAGCGCGTGAATGGCAGAAGACGGTGAAGAGAGGGTCAAAGTTTTGTTGACGCAAAGAGAGTTTTGAGTTGGCATTTTATTTGTAAATGGGAGTAACATGTTGGCGCCAGAGTGACCCTGATTTTGAACATAGGGGAATGTGGATGCCGGATGCCGGGACGGGAGCTGTTGATCAGCGCTTGTTTCGTTTCTTCTTGAACGGCACGAGCAGAGATGACCCATTGCATTCGTTATATAATACCAGAGAATAGTTTACATGATTCGGCGAGCACAAATTTGACATTAACATCGATTCCTGAAGTAAGCAAGCCCTTGAAACTTGTCCAAGTAAAATTGTAATACACGTGAATGAGACGCGGCACATGCAGTAAAATGACCTATCCATACACCAACACTTCACAAAAATGACACCGGCACATATCCTCGGGGACCGGCGTTGCATAGCCTCTGCGAAACCCCCACCCCCCCCCAAATACTTCTTGCTCTAATGCATCAAATTCTGCCCTGCTCTGTTTCGCCTTAGCGGGAGAAGAAGCGGCCAACCATGTTGGTCGCCAGCGTGCCGGCAAGGTTGGTGCTGCTAAACGCGCTGCCGGCCAAGTTGGACGCCTGGCTAAACTTGTCGCAGCGCGAAAACGCCAGCGTGTTCATGACGGTGAGCACAAGAGCAATGACTGTGTGTTATTTTATTCCCAACATTAGCAATCAATCACATGCTGACCCCCATCATTCCCCTTTACAAACAAAAAAAGAAAAAAACGTACCAACGAGGGGCAGCCACAGAAACTGCAGACGCACGAGGGCCAAGACGGCGAGCAGAATCCACAGCAGAGGCTGCACGTAGAGGCTGAGCCAGAAGAAGCGGGCGTCGGTCGGGTTAATGGTCTTGGTGCCGGGCTCGCTGCTCTCAAACACCCACTTGGAGTCGCCCGTCGCGGGGTCGACTTCGTTCCACCAGCGGAGGCCGACGAGGCGACGGCCGGCAATGTTTTTGAGGTAGTAAAAGTCGGCGGCGAGAAGGAGAATGGTGATGATGAAGATCATGATCCTGTGATGGTGGTCGTGGGTTAGCGGTTGAACAAACTCTTTTGTGCTTCTTGTGGAATAGGTAGCTTCTGAAAAAAAAGGGCAAAAGAGGAAAAGAAGATTTACTCAACGTACATGCTCTTGATGACCCATAGACCGAGGAAATAAACCACAACGCTAGCTGTATACACAAGAAAAAAAAAACACAAACGTTAGCTGGATGCGCAGCTCTTGTCAAGACCCAGAGAGAGAGAGGGCAAGAAGGGGGGGCTTGTTTTTGTTTCGTACATATTCTGAAGCCTAAAAAGGTCAGAAGCGTAATTGGATGCGAAGAGAGCCTCCAGCTCAGCGAGCCAGGAAGAGGCTGCGCGGCTTCCATGTCTGTTTCGCCGTGTCGTGTGTCGTGTCGTGTGTCGTTGGTTCGTTTTCGGTGATGCGGGTTCGCGCGAATGTAGTCAACGTGGTCCGATGAGGGATTGGCGTGGGGGGGGCCCGAACCCTTTTGATTTCCCCAAGGGTTCGCGCGCGCGCGTCGAGTCTCTGGCGGCCGTCTGAAACAAAAGGTCGACCTGCAATTGAGTGACGAGTTGTTGAGAAGAGGCAAAGGACCAGGCTCGGTTCTGGCGGCAAAGGAGGAGGGAGGGATGATGTAGTGTAGTCGCGCGCAAGCTTCCTACCTACCGTAGTCACTTACGTGGAAGCAGAGTTGTGGCTGGCGTGGTGCGTGGCTGGTGGGAGCTACCTTAGATAGATGGGCATGTACCTGGTTGGTGTAATTTTGCGGAGGGAGATACTTGGTTCGTTTCGCGGGTTGGACAAACGGGCCGCTATGCCCATCTGGGATCAGCTTCATCGGTGGTGACAAACGGTTGTTGTGGAGAGAGAGACGACGACGTCACCGAGATGGCTTCATCTCAACACACCAGCATCAGCAATTCTTCAATGGCATGTCAAGCACATGTTTTATGCAATTTTACGACTGAATGACTGTGTAATTATGATAAAATAGCTCTAGACCGTCTTTGCACATACACTTTGTCGCCTTCATCGCCAGTACCCTCACTCACCTCGTTCACAATGGCCACCGCCGCCGCCGCCGCCGCCGCCGCCGCCAAATCATCCGCCATTCTTCGGCGCTCCCTCTTATACGGTAACCCCTCCCTTCCATCCATACATAAAACTCCCTCTATAACCCTCCTTACTCTATAACTCTTAATATTAACATGCTTCCAGTCCCCGCCTCGTCCCAAAAGATGCTCACCAAGTCTCTCGGCCTCACCTCTGACAACATCACCTACGACCTGGAAGACTCCGTCACCCCCTCAGCCAAGCCCTCGGCCCGGACACACCTTGCTGCCCACCTCTCCTCGCTCCCCCGCCGACCCTCCACCGTTTCCGAGCTCGCCGTGCGCATCAACGCCGTGTCCACGCCCTTTGCCCTCGACGACCTCACCACCCTCGCGCCCTCTCCGCTCGTCGACGCCGTCGTCGTGCCCAAGGTCGAATCCGCCGCCGACCTCTCCTTTGTCACCGACGTCCTACGCCACGTCGCCCCCGACGCGCCACCCCTCCCTCCTCCTCCTCCTCCTCCTCCTCCTCCTCATCCGCTTCTTCTCCCATTGAAATCATTGCTCTGATCGAGTCCGCCAGGGCCATTGTCGACCTGCCCAGCATCTGCCGCGCCTCGCCGTACCTCTCTGGCCTCATCTTTGCCGCCGAGGATTTCGCGCTCGATCTCTCCATTACGCGCACGCCGTCGCTGTCCGAGTTTCTCTACGCGCGCTCCGCCATTGTCACCGCCGCCAAGGCCTTTGGCCTGCCCAGCGCCATTGATCTCGTGTGCACGTCGTTTCGCGGCGATCAGGGCTTGCGCACGCTCGAGGACGAGTGCGCCGGCGGCAAGGCCATGGGCTTCAACGGGAAGCAGTGCATTCACCCTTCGCAGGTCGATACGGTGCAGCGGCTGTTTGCGCCGACGCCGGAAGAGGTGGAATGGGCCGTGCGGCTCGTCGTTGCTGATGAAAAGGCGGCGGCTGCTGGACGCGGTGCTTGGACAATGGACGGCAAGATGATTGACGCTCCCGTATCTGCCAAGGCTCGGTCCATTGTGGCAAAGGCAGAACAGTGCGGCATGGATGTCGACAGTCTACGAACGACATGGAAAGATCAAGAACCAGAATAAGTATTGTAACCTAAAATCTAATATACAAGATATAAAAGTCATCTAACGGAGAAAATTGGGTCTCCAGAATGCTTTTGTTTCCTCGTCAGGTCTGTAGAGTGGCTCTAGCTCATGCATTGGACCAGGGTATGCGTATTCATCGTATACATCCGGCGTTGGCGCCATGCAGCTAAAGTCTCTGCTTCTATGCTCGTGAATGAACCACTGCGGCTGCATCGGTATACTATCGACGTGCTGACTTGGACAATGCGACAAAACATGTTCGGCTGAGCCCAGGCCTGGCTGTAGACCTACGTGTGGATGAATGCCTGTGTTCGAATAACCCGTCCCATGATATTGTGGCATGTACACTGGCCGATTGTAGTATGGAACGTATAAGTTTGCCTGTCCGGTTTTGTCAAATTCGCCAGCAGGAAGCTCTACATGAGGCTTGTCTCTCGAGCCGTTAGGCGCGACGGTTCCAACCTGACTCATGGTATCAGCGCCGCTGTCTACATATCTGATTATAGGGCGAGGCGTTGTATCTCTTGAGTGGACATGCTCTTTTAGCGCTTTTTCAGAGACGCCTTCGTTACTCGGCCGCCGCTGCCGTCTCGGCCCTTCCCCGCGGCATTGTCCTGGCCTTGGGGTAGGAGTATCTGGGCACCCTCCGATGACAGCACATGTATCTGCTGATATTTTATTGATCTGCTCCGGAGCTGTTTCTTCCTGTAAACTGGGTCTTTTACGGGCACCATTCGGAAGTTGCGGCGACGCTGCCCGAGGCGCGGCCTTCTGTGTAATCGGAAATGTCAGCTCATTGAATGTCAAATCGGCCACTGCAACAGTGTTAGCGAAGTCCAACAAATTCGGGCCTGTTTGAACCCACGCGGAGTTGACACGGAGCCTCGACCGTTCACGAAAGCCCCTGTCGCCAAAGCAGGTTTCATCTATCCGTTGTGTGAGTCGACTGTAGATCGTGGTGCTACCTGTGAGCGGAGGACCAATTACCAGAACAGGCCTGTTTTCTGTGGCAGAGCAGTAAAAATTGGAGACGACCTCTTTTCGCAAACGAAGCTCCTTCCTCTTTTCCTCGCGCCTCTCGCGCCGAGACAAGGTTTTCCTCTCTCGATGCTGGTGACTGGTGTCGTACCGGTCTGGGCGCGTCTTTCGCCGTGGCTTTCTTTCGTACTTGGATGGTTCGTCGGGACGGGCGGCGCTGCAGGGGACTCGAACAAGGTATTCTGGCACCGGCTCGGGCGTGGCGTCAATGTGCGATGGTGCTGAACTCGGTGTCGCCTGCGGCAGAGCAGGGGTCTCGGCGCGATGATGTGTCCTACGATGAGAAGAAGCACAAAAAGAGTGAGATGAGCCTAGGCGGTTGGGGCTAGAATGTTTTGGGAGACATTCCGATAGAGAGTGTTGTTGTACATGATGCCTCGTCTCGTCATGCTGCGGCGCTGATAACGTGGCAAGCCACCGTGCACAATAATCGGTCGCTGGATCAATGTGCAACTCATTTGGAGTACAAGGTAGTTGAGAAGGCTCAGGCTCACCGATTCCATCCATTTCGAATGTTCCGATCAGTGTCACTGCATGTGAATCCACGCAGTCTCAGCTGCTCAGTTCGTTGATGTAGTCCAGCCTCCGTGCAAGGTGGCTCTTGCAGCGCATATGGCGCTGCTAGGCAACCACGGCCAAGTTGCGCGCCGTACAACTGCAGCATCACGTACAGCACTACCGTTGCTGTAATCAAGTAGTAGGTATAATTGGCCTATGCCGCGCCAACATAATCAGCCACCTGGGGGTTGGAACATGAACTTGGCCGTTGTCACTGGGGGTTGACGACGACGTGGTGACGGCCAGGTTGCGAGAAAGAAAAGAAGAGCTGAGTATCTGCGGCACCAAAGGATAAAGCTGTCACCTGCTCTCCATCGTCTGCACCGCACGGCCCCAGCATGCAACACAAGCCTCTGCAGGCGACGACGCATTGGGAAGGGACCTGAAGGCCGTAACCCGTTCTGCCTGTGTAAATTAGAGCCGGGACATGCAAGAAGAGAAAACGGCCGAGGAAGGACAAACGAGCAGCACAATAAAACTGCAAAAAAAAAAAAAAGAAAAAAATTAACGAGACGAAATGGTGTATGTTGCTTCGCCTACACTGCCCACCATTTTTAGCTAGAGTAGTTGTTAGATGTCAAGTACAAGACGTGGTCATGTAAGAAGGCGAAGATGGGCGACCTTTCATATTTTTATTATTATTAAACGCTATTCTTTTTCGTCGCAATTATTTTCAACTGTGTATCCAGCACATCGCGCCCCCTTACGAGAAAGCAACCGAGATATCGTTTGGATGCTGGTGGCTGCCAACCTTTCACGGCTGGTGAGATAAGCCCGGACTTTTTGGTGGGACAAGGCAGGGATAAGTATTAACTCGTGGCTTTGCGTTACAGACAAATGATCCTAACAGCATGGGACCCTGGTACGCAGATTGTGATGGTGCTTTTGGGGATGATGGGGTGATATTGCATGCGCGGAGTAGGTGTAGGTGTAGAGGGCCGTCCAGATGACTCGCCCAATTGCGCTTTGTTGAAAACTAAACGATTGAGATAAGATATGTATATATATAGTATAAGAAAAACGTGGGGGATCCGAGTTTAGAAACCGGAAACGTGACGCTTTAGTTACGTATCGATTGGTCGCAAGTTGATTGCCGGCCAACAGCGTTCAAGCTCACGGGCGAGACAAAGCTGTCAAGGATTACCTGCCACGCGGGTGACATAATGTCGGCCGCTTTTTTGGTGGTGAGCTGGTGAGAAAGCGGCGATCAGTTTCGTCAACCCAGGTAGCCTGCGTCCTGTTGCTTCATCAACTAAAGAGAGCAGTCAGTCAGTGCCAACAAACACAAAATGCTTGTACGGCAAGAAGCACGGCCTGGCAGCACGAGTCTGCAGCAGCTCAATCCCTAGCCTGGCCCCAACAAGGGTAGCTGCTGCGACAAACTTTCGCACTTTGCTGCAGATGGAGTTTGTGTAACCCCTACGAGGATACAAAAAGGATGATCAAGTTGTGCAGTGTGGCCTTGTGTGCGACCAACCCCCTCCTCCCTCATCGTTCTCGAAAGAAGCTCGGGCAAGCGCCATCTCCGTGCATCCTTCTCACTCATACTTATTGCTCGAATTTTTTTTACCCGTGTCTGGTCAGAGCCATGACGGTCGCACAATCTATCTGTTCCGCGCACCCTCCTTTTCTTTTCTCAATGATTCGATCCCGCCCGCGTGTGTGTTTTTCGCTAGCGAGTCCCGCATCGCCATCCCTGATCGACTTGCCACTCTAGTTGACACCTTACCCGCCCCCCCCCTCCCCATCTCTCCTCAACGAACCCTTTCATCAGAGACAATGCCAAAGACAAAGAGAAAGCTCTCGGCTCAGTGGTTGGCGCCAGGTCCCTAGCGCCTGTAGTGGAGGCCTAGAACCGTTTCCCATGCATGCCCACCTTCATGGGCGAAACAGCCACAGTGGTCGCTGGCATAAATAAATATCTGCCCCAAGCCATTTGCCTCTCTCTTGTTTTGTTTTGGTCGCCTGTGCTTCTCTCTGTCCGTCGTCGTCTCCAGCGTTGGTCCACATCTGAATCTCACAGCATATACAGAGTACGTAAGCTGCTCTCATGCATGTACTGCTATTACTCGTCACAGTTCCCCTCCCCAATTTTGAAACCCCCGCTGAAGCACTGCGAGGCCTTTTACGGCTTAGCGGCCCCCTCTGTAGCTGCAGGCACTATAACTTTTCCCTTTTCCTGCCTGGCAAACTGAATGGGCCGCTGTTTTTTCCCACCCCGTATCAATTCGGGGAAAGGGGCAATTGCGTTTTGTTCCATGGTGGTTATTCATTCCCATAGTCCGCTCGAGTCATTTTATTCTCGGGAGCAGCTTGGCAGGTGGTCTTTTGTTGGCCTGAGGACATGATTCCTAGTTGAAACCACAACCTGTGCTGCAGTCTCACCGAGCAAACTCGTCTCTTATCTAACCCCCTTGACATGGTCAAAAGAAAAAAAAGAAAAGGGAAAGAAAATCACCAAGCTCTAATAAAAAGCATTTGGTCATCAATAATCTAGGACAAAAACTCAAATTCTCGGCTAGATCAGCGGTTGTGCAGCACCCACTTGTCGCCATTCATCACACCATGGTAATAATCTGCGCCCTCTCAAGGTTTGCAGAGAGAGATAGAAAAATGGAAAATGGAACGTTTGATTGAACAAGTATTGAGAGCATATTTTTCGAAATAGCTCTTGTGCGTGCGCCAGTCATTGCAATTCACTGAACAGTGAGTGGGGGAGGCAGCCAACCGTTTCTGCTCAAGTTACGGATTACTCACGCCTTTATAATAATACTGCGACGCCCTTTGTTCCCATCGCAAGCCCTCACCGTTAGTTAGTCGTGTCGCAAGATGCTGCCGCCTGCCGTCAAGTCACCGTTGGCTCAGAACTAGCTCATCTCCTCATCAGCAGATTTTGCGCGCTTGGTACCAAGCTTGTACCCCGATCAATGACTATCGGTAGAAGTCCGCAGATAGCCTTTGCTTTTTCGCTATACCATGAGCCACGCAGCAGCCAAGCTCACCCCTCCTCTTCCTTCTGCCACACCCCCATCACCAATTATCCTAATGAACCACTGCTCAGAACTTATTTAGTTGTGATCGGTGTCGACTTGTGCACTGGTGGCGATGCTACATCTATTCCGTGCGACCACTTGTTAAATCGCACCGTGCCAGCAAGATCTCATCCACTAGGTAGTACCTTAGCGGGCTTAGGTACTGATAGGCGCACCTTGTATGCCATGCTCATGTTAGACACATGCTCCCCCGGACAGGGTCTAGCAGGGTCTAGCAGGGTCTAACAGAGCCTAGCAGGACATGGTAGCTTGGCTTCGTTTTGCGTCCTTCTCTTGCACTGTCCTGGCACTCCTGGCACACCTTTTGACCTGGACAGCTTCCCCTCCAGTCCTCGTCGCAATAACAGCTAAGCTTAGAAAGTTAGCTGAGCTACTCCTCTTTGGCAACTACCGCACTCACTTCATCCCGCCACTTCTGCCCCCAATTCTTGGTTTCCAATGGGCCAATGCCCGTCCCTCATTGGGTCTGCCCCTCAAACGAGCGGACGCGTTGCCGTTGTGCTTTTTTGCCTTTTCGGCCTGACCCTGCTTTCGCCTTGTTACTTTGCATGTCCTGCTGTGCTGGTGGTGCAGTACGAATAGGCTGTCCACCACGCCCACGCCCACGCCCACGTCCCACCCCCCCCTTTCCCTGTCCGCCGCCCATCCCATCCGCTCTTCTGATAACCTACTTTTCCATCTTTTTGTCTTCCTACTTATTCGTACACCTCTGGCTTTTTTCCGTACCGTACAAGTACCTAGGACAGTGTGTGGTACCTATCTGCTTGGCTCGGCTCTTATTTGTCTCTGCTCCTTAAAAGAGGGAACACCCTTGAGCTACCCCTCTTCTACACCTACATCAACACCTTTCCGCAGCACCGCCATTCACATACCAGAAAACCCCCGAGGACTAGTGAATCAAACAACGTTAATCGGCCCCATCGCGGAGAATCGTTCCAATACCGAGAAACCCATCTCCAGCAGCTTCAGCTTCATTGACATCAACCTTCGCTGCCATGGCTAAGCTTTTTATCGGGTGCGCATCACTTCATACCTGCCTTCTCTCCCTGCATCGACTGCGCGACTAACATGTGCTCCTATAGCGGCCTCGCATGGCACACTGAAGAGGCCACTCTGCGCCAAAAGTTTGAAGAGTTTGGCGCCGTTGAAGAAGCGGTACGTCTTGAGCTTGCGCGTCTTATCTTGCCATCATTTCTTGATTTCCCATCGCTGCCTTTTGCTTCGCTTGCCGATACCGAGCAGCTGAGTTGATGGCGCAAATGCGCCACGGCTGCTTTTCCCCCTTGTTACGCGGAAAATATTGTGCGCAATCATCCCTCTAATGCAAATGTCTCCCCCCAAAGGTCGTGGTCAAGGATCGAGACACTGGACGAAGCCGCGGCTTCGGCTTTGTTCGGTACAACCAGGAAGCGGATGCCCAGAGTGCCATCGCTGCGATGAACAATGTCGAGTATGATTATTTATCCTCTCTCATGCCAGTCATGCTTCACCAAGACCGAGTTTCGCTGCTTGCTCGAGGTCCGCATCCGTGCGCTTTAGCCGCCTGATTCTCATACGTGTTCCTCTGGTTTAGGTTTGACGGCCGAACGATTCGAGTCGACAAGGCTTCCGACAATGGGCCCCGTGGCGGAGGAGGCTTCGGACGCGGTGGTCACGGCGGCTACGGGCGCGGTGGCTACGGCGGCGGCCCTCCCCAGTACGGCGGCCCTCCTCAGGGTGGCGGATATCCCATGGGCCAGCCCAACGTCTATCCTCCTGTCGCTTACGGTCGCGGGTACCCGGCTGCACCCCAGGGTTATGCGCCGCCTCCTCAAGGTGAGAATATTGAGTCGAGATGATGACGACCGACTAACGAGTGCAGGATACGGCGCTCCCCAGTATGCCTACCCTGACCCGGCCCTGCAGCAGCAGCAGCAGCAACAGCAGCCGCAGCAGCCGCCTCCCCAGGGTGGACAAGGCTATTAAACCACCGCTGCCAGTCGCCAGCTCCGCGTGACGTCCCAACGCATGAATGGACGTTTCGGTCCACGGTCGATGTCGCCGACGAGCTGGCGCTGCAGAACAACGCTTTCGATATGGCAGGCCCATTATTGTTCTTTCTTCTAATCACTGCCTTTCAATCTTGGGGCTGATTGATATGACGATTGCTGGAGTTGGTGACGTCTTTGCACTGCTTTGATTACGAAAGGGTAAAGGGAAAGGAAAGGAAAGGAAAGGGGGAAAAAAATCGGAAGCCAACCGCTGGTAAACTGCGTTGATTTGTCTCCTTTTATGAATCTCTTTTTTTTTTATTTCATTTGTTTTAAATGAGACTGAATAAGATGTATGATCGCTCATGCGCTCATGCGTGAGGAAACCGGAAGCTCGTATTTGTAAAGAGCTGAATAGTTGGCATGCAAACAAGGGGAAACAAAAAAGGGTTCCATTTTCCTATATAAACTCTTTTGTTTTCTATTCTTCATGTACGATGCAATCTTTTCTAAATTTCCAAAGTCTACCTCGTTAATGTTATATGTTCAAGTGATGTGAAAAAAAAAAAAAAAAGAAGGCTGAATAGTTGGCATGGTGCAAGGGACGAACAACAAAACGGATTCTATTTTTGTGTTAAAACTCTTCCGGTCTTCTATTCGTCATGTTACGATGCAGTATTTTTCTCATTTTCCCCCAAAACTCTACCTCTTGCCAATGTTGTTGTTGCAAAAGTCAAGTGATGTGGGATGGACATGGGCACGCCACTCGAGGAGGGCTCTCAAGCAGCTTGTTCCAGAGCCCGGACGCGCCGGGCAAGGTCCGCGACGTGCTCGTCGCCGCTCTCTGGCGAAAGCTTCTCCAGAGCGGCATCCAGCCCGAAAAGGTAGTCCTTGTTCAAGCCGCTGGGCCCTCTGCTTTTGAAGATGTGCTCCGCCAGCGCTTGCGGGTCCTGTGGCCCGACGAACTGGTCATTGTCGGGCGTGCCAATGTAGACGAGGGTGCGGATGGGCGCGGAGCCGTCCGCCGGCTGAAAGGGCGTGTAGTGGATGGAATAGCCGTTGATTTCACGAATGTCGAGGTAACTCTTGACCTCGGCGACCTTGTCGGGCCGTATGCGGTAGGCGACGCCCCAGACTCGTTCGGGCGCCGAGCCGTGGTGGTGGTCCGTCAGGTCCTCCCAGTAGGACCGCTCGAGGAGAGTGACGACCCGGCCGGGCGCTTCGGGCGTGCCGCGGTGGTCTTGACTAAGAAAAAAACGCTGGTGTGTGAGTATAACAGGCTGAAATGCAGCTGGAGAGTATAAAGAGACTCTACCTTGCCTGCCAAAAAATTGTCAGTAAAACCGGGAATCGGGGGAGGGGGGGGAGGGGGAAAGTCTAGGGAGAACATGCCTGCCAGAAGCGGCGAACGTAGCCGGTTACGTAGCCTGGAATTCGTCGGTCTGTAGGTAGCCAAAGGAAAAAGGATGGTGTAAGTACGCAAGTCATAGTGATTTGGGGGCCGAAAACCAAAACCAACAGAGGCGGCGCGGCATCATGGCATTGTTGGGTCAAGTACCAAAATGTGGCGGGGGTTTCCAGATGAGGCTTCTACGTTCGCGGGGTGAGTGACAATGTCAGCTTGCCGAGAAGGCCAAAGTGAAAAGGTAATTGGCAGCGAACGATTAATAGGTAGAAAGGTAGGTAGGCAATGCAACGTACCCATATCCGTAGAGCCAGAATTCGGGGGCTGCCGACTCGTCAGCCATGGTTTTGGTCAACTGTTTGTCGTTTGTTGTTGTTGGTGCCACGCAAGTCTGTGCTGCGTGCGCGCGTAGCGGGTGTGGGCAGATCTGAGACAAATCTGACAAGAGGTAAGGAAAAGGATAAAGGCTATATTTGCAGACCAAAGCGGCAATGCGCGGTAGTTAAATTAGTTGGACCAAAGCTTGTATTAGTAATACATGATGAAATATGTTTCATTCTTCAAGTCATAACATCATTAATCGCTTTCCTTACGTAGAAAAGTCCCATGTCGCTTAGCCAGGAGTAGTATTAATAGTAATAATGCCACGTCTTATCGATTTCCCCCGTTTTAGTGTCTTCAGCCTGATTGTAATAATGCCAGTTAGCCAAGTCCATACATGCATGGGCGTCACCCGACACAGTGGAAAAAAAACGTACCAAGAACTCTACAAATTCGGTCATTAATTCTTCTTCCTGGATAAATTTGGTTTCGGTGTAGTCCTGGCATTTGCCTCGCTGTACAATCTGCGAACAGTCAAAGTCGATCCATACGATTCTATCACGGGGCTCCTGCTTGACAACTAGCATATTTCGCGGCAACGAATCACCGTGAAGGAGTTCCATCTGATGGAACTCGCTCAGCACTTGCGCGAATCGAGCGAGATTATGCTCTGAGAAGTTGCTGATTTGGCAAGGTTCCGCATTTGGAATGTATTCGATAAAGACAGCATCGGGCCGAAACTTGTCGTTTACAAATGGAGATAGGAAAGGCCAGAGTAAAACGTCGATTTCCCGTATTATTCCATAGAAGTCGGGAACGACTCCTCTGTCGCAGAAGCCCCTTTGCTTGAGAAGCTTGTACTCTTTGAATTCTCGCAGAAACAAGCAAGGCTCTTCATCGGAGTCAGACGTTTTGGGGTTGTTTTGGCCGCGGAACTGAGAAGGCGTGAATCTTGGTAATTTGGTCCAAGGGTTGGTTGGAAAAATACGTACAACTTTCATGAGGCAGACCTGATCATCTTTTTTGACCTTGTACACTGATACACGGAGGTCTGAGTCCTGACTCAAAAGGCCGAGAAACTGAACAGAAGAGGGCTGCACCTGGGTCTGTAGAACCGCCAGGCCGAAAGGCGAGTTGGCGGACAGCATAGAGGACGACATACGAAAGTAGGCTATGAAGCCGTCTAAAGAGGGCGAGAAAAGGGCGACTGTGCAAATGAAAAGAATCGATAACTGTTGGATAATACAATGGACAAACCACAGACAAGCTCTGAGTTTCGTGTCATGCAAGGTGCGAGCGAGCCCGAAGCGCTGACACCAGATCGGGTGCAGTTCAAACGACTAAATGGTAGTGGGTTCTGTGCGAGCGTGTACTGCCATGAACGCGAACGATAGTGGCGCTATCGTTGTGAAAATGGAACGGTGTTTCCTTTAAGCGTTTGCGAAGGGCGGCGGAGTTGGGGCCAACATTTATGCACAAATTCACGATGGGCACCGGCCCGCCTGGAGCGAGCCCCGCTTGGTGTTGAGGCAGGGGATCAATGGCGACGTTGAAGTAAGAGAGGGGGCATTGGATATTGGTCTGCGAGGCGATGAGTAATTTCCGAGGGCTAATTTGCAGAGGGAACGATTTCGAGATGGAAAATTCAAAATGTACTTTTCTTGCTGTGTCTCGACATGTCTCTGACTGGGGAGGGGTACATGTGCCTTGGGTCTTTGTTTGCGTTTGCAACCGTGGCCATCATTTGTGCTCCCGTCGTATACAACCCGGGTTCTACTGACTTGACTGAAAATTCACATATACCGTAGAAACTCACATTTATTCTGCAAGCCAAAGTCAAATGAAAACTCCGAGGTCCAACTACAGCATCGGAGCGGCACGACAGAGTAGTGGACGAGGCGGCATGCGAAATCACCCCGCAGGGTTTTCCAATTTAATATCTAGTTGTTGAATCGAGCGGAAATCGCACCAGTACTGCAAGTCATACTGAATAAATTTGCGACCTCTCAAAATCTATTTCTGTCGTGGCTTTGCATAAGCAGCCTCCGCTACCGCCCGGGTTCGTGCCCGACGGTGCCGACGGTGCGTCATCCTTCCGGAGCTCTCCAATGGACCCCCACAAACGCCCGCCAGCTCGTACCACGGGTACTGCCATACTTAGGTATTTACTGGTGGTACAGCACTGGTAGTGCTAAGCGCGACGCTTTGCCTGCCCCGCCGTTCAGTCTTGGCCTTTTTACTTCAACAAGGCCTTGTCCATTTTCTCTCCTCCCTTCCTTCATTGCTCTCGTCGTCAAGTTTTTTTTCTTTACCCCCCCGTCTTCTCCTATTTAGCCCTGATACTGGCCTCGCTCGGTCGAGCCAAGGAAAATTAGACGCCAAAATGGCCTACAATAGATCCTACGACCCAGACTCTCTCCCGAGGTACGTACAAACGCCCCCTCGCTACCCAACAGCTCCCCCGTTTCAACGACGACGCTTTTTCTTCTCCTGCTAACCAAGCTTTCGCGGCAGATTTGCGGAGCCAAATGAAGTAGGTCGAAGTTTTAGCAATCGGTTCAGTCTTGAGTACACATGTCCGACTAACGACCACTCGACAAACAGAAACCTGGCCAGGCGCCCCCTCCTCCTCAGCAGCAGCAGCAGCACCGCCCGCAGCCACCGCCCCAGCAGCAGAATTACTATCAGCAACCGCCTCCTCAGCAGCGCTACAACCAAAACCCGCAGCCCCCGCCCAAAGAACAGTATGCGCGGCCACAGGACCAGCACACGCGGCAGCAGGACCAATACGCCCGACCCTCGCCCACGCAGAACCTGCGCCAGCCCAGCAACTACGGCCACTCGCCGCCCGCCAACGTCGCTTCCCACCGCCCGCCGCCGCCCTCTGCCGACACCAGGCCCTCCCTGACCTCCGTACCACCGCCCTCTCCTGCGCCTGGCGCAGACTCTGGCTCTGATCCGACGCTGCGGCCCCTCTTTCGTGCCGTAGACAAGGCTGGTGCGTGACCTTTTGTCTTTCACGTAACCCACAGGCGAAACTGGGCGCTTACACTGACTTGCTCCGCACAGGCACGGGCCAGCTCACCGAAAAAGAGCTCTCGGTCGCGCTCGTCAACGGCGACTGGACCGCCTTTGACATTCAGACGGTGCGCATGATGATTCGCATGTTTGACGCCGACCGCAGCGGCAGCATCGGCTTTGACGAGTTCTGCGGCCTCTGGTCTTTTCTCGGCTCCTGGCGCACCCTCTTTGACCGCTTCGACGTCGATCGCTCCGGCAACATCTCCCTCTCCGAGTTTACCGACGCCCTCATCGCCTTTCGCTATCGCCTCTCCCCGCAGTTTGTTGAGCTGCTCTTTCGCACCTACGACAAGCGCAATGAGGGCGTCATGAGCTTTGATCTGTTTGTGCAGGCGTGCATCTCGCTCAAGCGCATGACGGACGTATTTAAAAAGTATGACGACGATAGGGATGGGTACATTACCCTAAGCTTCGAGGACTTCCTGAGCGAAATCCTCAAGCAGATGAAGTAATTCCCGGTGGAAGGAATGGATACCATCGTCGAGCGTTGAGAAGCTGATAGGGGGGAAAACAGCACATGATGGGCCATAGATGGCTCTGATGAACTAATTCAGCGATTCTGGCGTAGAAACTGATACACATGACGAAGGCGATACGATGATACCCATGGCCGACAATCCAATATGTTGATATATTATACATTAGTATATTTGCCTCGCAAAGCAGTTGTCATGATATTTTGCATGGTAACCCGGAACCAAGTATTGAAGATGGAATAGCAGAAGAAAGTGAAGAAACGCATATGCGGCAAGGTATAAAACAAGACGCCTTGCAAAGAATCAGCAAAGAAAACTCTCGGTCTTATTCAAACAGCCCGCTAAATTCAGACCGTTTGCCCATTCACCAGGCGTTGCCCAGCCAGTCCACGGGCAGCAACCCCTTCTCACTACCCATATCCAGCCCCAGCCCCAGCAACTCCAGCGACCTCTTGCCCTCGTCCGAAAATAGCGTCTCCTCCTCCCACACCCCCTCGCTCGTCATTGCAATCTCCTCGCCCACCGCCAGCGCCCGCACCTCGGTCGGATAGTGATGGCCGCCGCCGCCGCCGCCGCCGCCCGGCGACCCCGTCAGCAGGTGACGCTTACTTCCATCCGGCGACGCCTCTCCGCCGTCTGCAAAACACCTATCCAACGCGCGCTGCACCTCGACGGCCCTTTGACCGTCCTTGTCGCCGCCGCCGCTGCTGCCGCGCGCGCCGATCCACGCGCGCGCACCCAGCGCCGCCGCCGTCTCCTGGCCCGCAAGCGCGCTGCGGCGGCGGTGGGTGTGGTGACGGTAGGAATACCACGGCGGCGAGACATTGTCAAAGCAGTATAGAAGAGCGGTCAGCGGCAGTGCCGATTCCTGCAGGAGGTGCGCGGTCGCGTAGCCTTGCAGCGCGGTATACGCGATGCCGTGCGGCGCAAACACGACCGATACGGTGCTGTCCTGTATGCCGCAGGATCTCGCGCTGGTAGGAGTTGCGGTGTGTGTGAGTGGTGGTGGTGGTGGTGGCGTGGCGGGGAGGAAAAGCGGCGGGCTGCCGGAAGTGACGCTGCTGCTGCTGCTGCCGCCGCCGTCGTCGGCGGAGAAGCTCGGCGCCGGAGTGGGGAGCCGCAGCGGAGGCGTTGGGACTGGGCTGGCCGTGCGTCGGCGGACCATTGGCGGCCGGTACGTAATCCCAATCGCGACATGCGACCCGCGCTTCGGCCCAATGTACGTCAGGGTCACCTCGCCGGGCTCGCCGCCTAAAATTCTGGATAGGACGGGGATTCGCAGTATCTTGTCGCGCTCCTCGTCCCTACGCGCGCCGCGGGCGCTGTCGTCCCACCGCGGGAGGGTCTCGACGGTGTGAAAGTGGCGCCAGCCGCGGATGCGGCGCGCGGCGAGCGGTGCGGCGAGGATGCGCGTGCGGGGGGGAAGGCGCCGCAGGGTGGGCTCATGGCAGTGGCAGCGGCGGGGACTGCTGATGAGGGCGACGTCGATGGCGGAGAGAGCAAGGTCGGCGTCGGCGGCGACGATGCAAGGGTCCAGGAGGATGTGAAAGGGCTGCGTGGAGAGGGCGACGTCGGAGGTGTCAATGGGCTCAAAGGTGAGGAGGAAGCTGGACGCGCCGTGGAGCTGCTTGACGGTGAGCGCCATCTTCGTGGATGGAGAGGGCGTACAACGGCTGCCCCCGTGAGAGGGAGCGTAGTGAAAAACAAGGCGAAACGTCTACTCAAAGGCAGAGATTCGTGCCAGAAGCTATCTGACGGCCGGTGAAGAAGATTGAAGTTGTCAGCTGTGGGATAATAAAAATATCGTGGAGTGGGTTTCATGATATCTAAGAAGACTACATATAACTCCATAGCCTGTGCCATCCAGTCCATTGTTCCGGTGGGTTGTCGAGGCAGCACTCTCCATACCGTGCCTGACGATGAACGGGTCTCTGGGATTGCCGCATGGATATCGTTTCCCCAATGGGTCAACCCGACCAGATCAATTGCTGTATCGGTTGCTGTGGGCCTTGTCCATTTACACAATGGGCATGCTAAAGTATGAGACAAAAGCAGACGAACGAACAGTCGTGATCTTTTGTAGAAGGAAACTGAGCTTTCATTCCAAAGCTACGTAGAGACGGAAATTGGCGAGAAAACGTCATTTTAATTTTCCCAGACATTCTACTCTGGTGTGAAGACGTGGTCACGGAAAGAGAAGCATTCCAGTCGCAGGGCAAGTGCGTCAGCAATGCCGATTGTGTCAACTTGTCCGTGCTAGCCTGCGGTTGAAGAGTGTGTCCACGACCGTGAATTACAGGGGATATTCCACAAGAAATTCAAGACGTTCAGCTTAGTTTGTTAATAGGCCGTGCCGCTGGATAAACACTGCATCGTGCATTACCAGGCCATGGTTTGCATGCATCCACGAGCGCGAGTAGTACGACTAGCGCTCGTCCAAAACTAATGACGAGAAGTGAGAGAGAAACTTCATATCGAGTAAAATATGTTAATTTCTTTATAGAGTATTCCTCATAACCGCGGGAAAAACATCTTGGTTCGCTTATCCAACAACCATTGCTGATCCATTCGTTAGTAGGCAGTGGGTCGCTACTGGATGGAATGCGTCGACCGGGGTAGCGCGCCACCACCGGGCCTAAGCAAAATTGACTAGAAACAGAAAGGCATTGAAGACTGGCAACGGCATTGTTTTGGTGGATTTTGTCAACGGTATTCGTTGCTGGCGAGTGTTCGGTTTGACCAGTTTCTGCACCTGCCGCTGTTGGCCCCGTTAGACTTGACGTCTACTGCAACCCCAGTCGGCATACATGGTTCACGAAAAACTAATATTTGACAACCCATCGCCAATCTTGTCGTCGTCATTGTTGTTCTCTGTTTACGTAGTAGCAGTTGTTGTGGTTGTTGTTGCACATGGACGGGGGGTGACCTGCCCAAACACTTGACCAAAGAGCAGCTGCGTAGATCAATAATATGCCTGATCTGTACGTAATTGGCCTCCATCCCGCCGTTGAATCAGTCGCGAGAAGCCGAGTTGGTTTGACAATTCTTTCTACGACGTTTGACATTGTGCGCGTGAGCGAGTTTCATTTAGACAATTACACAACAAAGAATGCACTTGCTGCCATCGGTTCTAGAAGTCAGGTCGTTTGGTACAAGAAGAAAGATCACTTTAGTCATCGCTTCAAAGTCTGATCAAAGTATAAAAGAAACTCAAAGCCCTTTAATTCTTCTCCAACAAATCCACCTACATCGATCAAAGCTACTTCGACGAACGCTAGTTTTACCGCATCACTCTGCCTTGCCATGTCTTCGAGCCAAGATGAGACTTCGTGGGGCGATCGGCCTGGCCCCGACGACTCCAACTACAAGGAAAGGGAAGAAGAAATCATCAACTTGATTAAGATGAGCATTGAGGCGCTGTCGCATATGGAATTGAGCCCGAAGCCGGACATGGAAAACATGGCCAAGTGGTTCGCCCACGAGGCCGTCACCAACTCCACGAGCTTGGACGGTGAAGTCCAAGCCCTAGCCTATAAACAGTTGAGCGACTGCTGTGGAGCCCGTAACGAGTGGGTAGAGGCTCTCGTGGCGTTGGAGGTGGCCAGAGCTGTGGACGAGGACGGCTGGACAAATCATGATCACCATTTATACCAAGTATATACCAAGTTTGTGGCGATTTACAAAGATTGTGTCTCAGGCGCTGATCTAGGGCAGTGGGAGAAACACGCTAAGCGGACGATTTCGGTTCTCGACAACAAATAACTCGTCTTTGACTATTTACAAACAATTCATAGATTGGCATCATCATAGAGCCGTTTAGCTTTTTGTTTTCGCGTGACAAAGTGTGATACAAGCATGTATAGACGGCCCGACTTTGAACAGGGACGAACAACACCCGCAAGATCTGCACGTAATACGCTTCCAATACCCAGCCTATGAAGAATAAGACGTAACTCTTAGAGTAGGCGGAGACGATGCCGCTTCGGAAGAGAACCGCTCGTGCAATCTCGGAACGGCAGACTGGGCGGCTAGGTTCTAGGCAGCTGGCCGCGTGCAGCATCGTTGATGCGTATGGCGAGGGAGAAGCCAAAACAAAAATAAAATTGGAAGAGAGAAGATTGAATCTTACATGCACTGGCAATGGAGTCTACACAGTTGATTCTGTTTAGCGATCAAGTTGCGAAGGAACCCATCGAAGCAGCTGTTTATCCATGAAAGCGCTTACCGCAGACAACAAGTACTGCACAGGACCTTGCATCAAGAAGAGACGTCCAGACTTTACAACACACACGAAAAGTCTCATATACACACCGTCCATGAGCCATGCACCCCTCTGAATTCTGGCTGGCCACGGCCAGCGCCGCGCTCGACCACCACCCACCCATCCCCGCGACCGCCCTGGCGCACGCGCAGGTCGCGCGCCGCATCTGCCAGGACCGCTTCGCCGACAGCGCCAACAGATATCTGTACCTCGGCCTGCGGTGGGAGGTGGAGGCGCTCGAGGTCTTGGCCGCGCGCGACTGGGCCGAGGCGATCAGGGGTCTCCGGATCGCGTGCGGGGCGTACCGGCTGGCGAGACACTGCGGCCGCGGGACGTGGATCGAGCGCGCGGGGGGCCGTGGCGTGCGGCGGTGCATGGCGATGGGGGTGTATGCGCTTGGTGCGGGATGAGAGAGAGTGATATATGGAGGGCGAGAGAGGGCTTTGAGTTGGGAGATGCAATGCGTCAAAGGGCGGGCTTTGTGAGTAGTAGTGTGTTCAGATGCACAAGTTGGGGGAATGGTAAGTTATAAAGGGTAGTATGAATGACGACAGACAATTCAAGAGGGACTCTGGAATAAATGTAAGCGGCAGAACGTTTGTAATGCGATTGCACGGTTGAAGAGGTGCAAAAGACTTGGACTTGCCAAAACCGGGTGAGAGAAGCAGAGAGTTAAGATTGATTCGAGTTGCAGGCCTTCTTAGTATTAAAACTCTCGCCCTGATCCACATGAGAAGACAAGGTGTCCGAGTGGTTGTAAGTAATTCATCGTGCTCCACTGTTTGTGAACCATTACTAACTCTAAAAAGAAGGAGTGTGACTAGAAATCACATGGGTTCGCCCGCGTAGGTTCAAGTCCTGCCCTTGTCGAAATACTTTTTTTTTTCATGCGACGTGAATGAACAGACTCTTCTTCTTTCTTCTCTTTTTTTTTTGACAATCGATAAATGGAGGCTGGAAAGGGTCTTGTGGGACGGTGGCACGTGGGTGGTAACCAGCGTGGACATTAAGGCTTGTTCTTTGCCAAAAGAAAGTTTAAATGAGGCGTCTCTGGTGTGTTCGCTCATGAGACGAAGGCTTGAATGGAAGCCTCTTTGATGGTGGCTGAAAGAACGTCAACCTATAATGGAGCATGGTCAAGTTTGGTTGCAAGCGTATGCTCAACGTATATAATGCCTGCTTTAAAGTAGTCGGCAATGTGCGATTGGAAAAAAAAAGAATAGAATCTGACACGCAATATTTCGATTCATTCTCGCGGTCAAAGAGTGTCTTTTAGCCTCTGGAAGACGGTCTAAAAGGTGTGTGTGACTGACTTGGAAAGAAGCGCTGCGATTATATTGGTTAATCTCCTAAACGAGCTCTGTAGACGTTGGAAAATTACAGGATATTTAAGCCTATGAAAGACTGTACCGACTATTTCCAGTTTTCATCGTCTTGGCATCATCTCACCATGGTGTTGACCATCACTGGTATCCCAGAACGCCTTCGGCAAGATCTGGATCGCTCAGCAGCTCTGGAAAGAGATGATCGACTTCCGGCACGTGCGTGAGTTGGGCCTAGAAGCTTTCAAGAGGCTTACAGACCCAAGTCACCGCGCCAATATTTGCCTCGTCTTTGCCAAGGCGCACGAGGGCTTGGAGCAGTGGGAGTTTGCGCTCCAGTACTGGGACCGGTGTCGTGGGCTGTACCCCGAGGGCTGGAACCACGACATGGAAGGTCGCTCGCAGGCCTGTCGGGTGTTCTCTGGCAAGTCGAAAGAGATTTTTGAGAACATTTGCGTCTGTGGATAGTTTCAAAGCCTGAGTATAGAGCTGTATTCACTCTTTTCTCTTTTTGTCTGTGGATAGTTTCAGGGCCTGAGTATAGATTTGTATTCACTCTTTTCTCTTTTGTGGCTTTTTACTTTGCTCGTCTTTCTCGACGCTGGATTCCATATGTACGCCATGTAGCAAAGTCTATGTGAATTTTGCTACTTGTCGCTGGTTATTAAATCTCACAGTTGTATGACGATTGGAGGAGGAAAAACGCCCACCTGCTCAAGTTTGAGTATCTTAACTCTTGGTGGCGGTGTTGGCGCAACGCCCACAAACCTACCAGGCGAGATAATACAAGAGCATCACTATATAAACAGGCGATTTCTTCGCTTGGGTCCTGATTTCTGGTTTCGGATTAAACAAAGTCACTCTTCTCTCTTGATCTGTTTACTTTTTTTCTTTTACAAATCAACAGCAAACACAAGCAACCTCTCGACACCAACACAAGCAAAACCACCATGACCAACGCCATAGACGCCATCCTCCGCTCCAACGCGCTGCGTTACCAGCCGATGATGGTCAATGACATTTTCAAGCCCTACAACTGCAGCATCCCGTTTTTTCGCACCATGACGGAGTACGAGCGGCGCTTCCATCCGGGTCTCCCCGCCGGCGATCACCCCGACCGCAAGTTTCCCTGGCTTGTCGAGCCCGGGCTGCAGTCCATTGAGGTATACGAGGCCATTCTGACGCAAACCCTCGCGCAAAACCGCCCAGTGCCGCGACTCCGCGTCTACATTTGCGAGTCGGGCGTCGTGCAGCGTCGAAGCGCATGTTCCATCCCCGCAGGCGGCTTACTGCGCGACAGAGGTCTCGACGACCCTCGCCGTCGGGAGACGCGCGACGTGTGCTTCACCCTTTTGAGCTACGGGGAGCAGCTGGAGGTGGCGAGGTGGCTGCACGAGCACGGCGGCGTGTCGGTGGCGCCCTGCCCGTTTGCCGCGACGCCGCTGGGGTTGTTGGTGCTGGCGAGGCCGGCGCCGGACCCGCGTAAGAGGGCGTGCTGGTGGTTGGGTTTTGACGGGGGCGAGGAAGACTGGTCGCAGTTTCCGAGGAGCTGGCCGCCGGAGGGCGTGGTGCACATGGGGTGCGACGGCGTGCTGGCTTGGGCGCTGCCGAGGGAGGACGGAAGGCCGAGGCGGGGACGGTCGTATGGTGACGGTCAGAGAGTGAGACTTGGGTGGGAAATGACTGGACGTTAGAGGATGGGTGGTGCACCGTGGAATAAGATGTTAAGGTGACGGACGAGCTGGGTTTTAAATCAGAGTGTTTGAGTTGTTGGCCGGTTGATTTGTGGCTTGTTCAAAAGTATGTTGGGAAGGCGTCGGGAGGATTGCATTGTATTAATAGATGAAAAAAAAAAAACACGCTATGTTAGAAAGAGAGTTTCCGATCTTGGAAAGGGAACAACCTCATGATTATTCGAAAGAAGTGTTTATTAGTATTTGAAGAAGCAGTTACAAGCGTAATGGAGAAGGGAACTTATACTCACTCATCCTTGCTATGCCGTGAACTTGGAGCAAAGGTGAAACCAGGGACATTATCGTTGGTTCTCAATTTTTGTGAGCTTGTATATGGTACTGATCCTGAAAAGCCAATAAATTGAAAATGTCTGTCGATTTGCTGTTACAATGGTAGCATCGATCCATGTCGAGCTTCAGAATACCTGCGCGCTTAGCACAGCTGGAGGCACGGTAGGAGCGGCTGCTGATGAGCTGAGCGCAAGTCTAAGCCGAAAAGGAGAACAGCTGCGAATAAAATCACAAAAAAAAAAGTTGCGGCACATGATTCTCTCGAAATGATGTATATTCGGTTATGGAGATGAACGTTGAACGGTGTCTGGTGTCTTTGGACATTGCCGTACTATACATGTACTGGTAATAAGTGAGCTTGTCATTTTGCCCGCCAAGCCCAAAGCGGAAGGCCGCGAACGCCGAATAGCAATGCGGGAGGGGCGGCGCTAAGTTGATAGGGGGTGCAGTGACGGGCGCAGTGTCATTTTTAGTTTGCCAGTTTTCTGGGTGTGTTTTGATATATATCTAATCATAAAAAAGGAAATGATGCCGTGCCGATATCGCACAGAGACGGTGCAGATTGTACAGAGATACAGGAGATGCAGATATGCGGCGCGTGGCAGCTGCTGCAAGTCATATCTAACGAGGGGGCGAGGGGAGCGGGGGCGGCCAGTGACAGTTGCGAGGACGCTGAGTGGCTGATTTGGGCTGATAAGGATAAGCTGCAAGAGTAAAAAAAAAAAAAAAAGACAAGAGGTGCGAGCTCAGAGCAGTTGAGCAGACGTTCGGGAAACTGGGAATGCATCCCAGCTACCTAACCCTCTAAACTGTACTGGTCAGAGAGTACGAGAGAGCGAGGAGCTTCGAGTCAGAGACTCCACCATAGCTTCAGCTGCAACCCCGCGAGCCCGCACCAGAATAATACAGAGGACCTATTACAACAGAGGAACCAAGTTGTGAGTAACGTAATTGTAGTCAAGGTATCCAATACATGGCTCGTACTTATTCCTAGTAGAAAAGGGCCAGTTGATATTTTATTGGTGGGCGTTGGCGTCGACAGCACCTTGACTCGTTGTGGTACCAGCCGATTTGCACCGGCCACGCCGAGCTGCGCATCGAGTCAGCAGACAGCCTGATGTGCGCCAACGACTTTGTCCATGTCTTGGCTTAGTTTCCCAGTCATGTTCAAAGCATTTTTTTCTTTTTGTTTTTGACCCCGTTGAAACGAAAGTGAGCAGATTCATTGCAGAATTTTTTTCATGTGGCAGTGGCGAGCTTTCCGTCTCCATTAAACCATCAAGCCATTGCACCGATGCGGAGAGAGGTAGGTACCTTTGGACCCTGGGAGCCCGCAGAGAAAAGGTAACTTTCCTTTACGTACGGAGGTACATGTGGAGGTAAGCCACCGGCAGCAGGCAGGCTGTGGAGGGGTCTGGATAGTCGGAGCTGAAGAAGCAGGCTTTTTCGAAGGTTGGACAAGAATTGAAAAGCACGAGTGATGTGAGAAAAATGCAAGAATAATGTCGTTTGATTGGGACATTTTGAAAAGCGTAGATTGCAGTCATGCGGAGGCGGTCTGTTATATCAAGGGGCCTCGGCGGACAACTTGAGACGCCACACGCCCCAGAAAGCTCCCTCACGAGTCCCGGCGATCGCCAGTGAGCTTCAGGTACTACCTGGTCAACGTATAGGGCGCGTTATAGTTGCTTGAAGCTGGAGCTAAGTCGCAGCAGGGGGGGGGGCAAGCTTTCAGAGCTTCATCCTGCAGAGAGAAGTTTATAATTAGAGTGGCAAACCTGTCATTGCAACCTCTGGTCGCCCCCGAGGGAGCACGGGAGGTAACTGAGCAGTAGGTACCTACTTATTTAGTCATGGACAAAAAGTATCTCGCCAGCAACCAAGGCGCCATCAAGGCTTGCTCATCCAGCAGCCACGGAAAATTCTTCCACTACTGAATTTCATAGAGAAAGAACTAATAGGTTTTGATGGCTTCGACTTGCTGGCTGACTGGTGCCGCCATCAATCGATGCTGCAGCGCCCGCGTGCTGGAGAGAGACAGGAAAAAAAGAGAGGTCACCCGGGCGCAGGCCCCGCCTCGGCGCACTCAAGGTAACTCTCGTCCTCGAGGTACTTTGGGCCCCACGCCGGGGTGCGCCGGGACGTGCGCTGAGGAACTGTCTCTTTGGTTAGTCGTTGTGTCAGTCGGTCGGCAGAAAGCAAGTATCGCGGAGCCAGCCAGTACTTTGCTTTGTGTGTGTGTGTGTCTGTGTCTGTGTGTGTGTGCTTCAGCCAGCCTGCGAGCTGCCAGCTGCCAGCTGCCAGCTGCCAGCTGTGAGCCAGTGACAACCACGCCAATTCGGCTCTCCAGCTGTTTGTCTGTTTCTTGTCCTTGTCATCTCGAATTTATTCCCGTCTTTTTTTGTTTTCCTTGAATTTTTGCGCAACGAGATAGCACCAATCGCAACATATCCTATACTTTGATTCATGCTTCCCTCGTCATCGCCGCCCTCACCACCGTCACCTCAAACAGCTTCCTCGGATCTGCCGTCCACCTCTTCCCTCTCTTGGTCCCGGGTCCAATCCACTCACACCAAAACTCACACATAGCTCTTTCTGTCTCCCTCTCTCTCTCTTTTTCTTCTCACTCTCTGGTTACAACATTGACTGCTTGACCGAATATTTTGCTACTCGGATCTCTCTATCGCCTCCCCAGATCAATCTCTTTTATTTTTTTTCTCATCTCACAACTACATTAGCCCGCCACCACATATCACACCACCCACTACCACCCACCACCACCGCGGCCGCCACCACAAACACCTTTGCTTCGCCTCGATTCGTCTTTATTACTATTGCTACCTCGTCCATAAATATTTCTGGCCCCGGAGGAATTAGCTTCAAGTACCTTTGTCTCGTCCACCACAAGCTTTGCGACGACAACAGACATCTCTTCCCCGCCCGCCCATGCCTTGATACCTCGCATCGCAACTTTCAATTGAGCCTTCGCCAACATATACGCCCTCCCAGCTGCGCCCGCTCAACCTGCTCGTCCTTGGCCTTTGCTCGCGACACCTTCGGTTTCCCCGGAGCTTCAGCATTCTACATCACCATTTCCCCCGCGCTCCGTCACTGCACCGCATTGAGCTGCGCATGGTGGGGTCAAGATGCCGCCTCGCTCATCTCTGACTTCGTCCTTTTCCATTTCTGATGCCAACAATGAGGTCATTTGCCCTCTAAGCAATCAGGATGGTTCCAACTGCCGCAAAAGATGCATCGGCGTGAGTTTCCATCCTCCCGCTCCCTGCGCCCGTCCGATATATGAATGTCACTCGTCTCTTGGAGTGCTGTTCACGTCGCCGTACCGGGTCGGCACTCATCTTTTTCCTTTCCTGCATCTAACCATGATCCTTCACAGGAAAAACGTTATCGCTCCATGCAGGAGCATATCCGTCGAGCTCACCCCGAGTACTACATTCCGAAGCTGCCCGCCACCGAGGAGAGTTTTCTGCTGATGGTCAATACACCGCCCTCTGAGCGTCCCCCAACCGATTCGAGTCCGGTCCCTTCTGCACAAGGTGCGTACTCTTGTCATTTCATAAGCTTTGAAAGAAGCAGAAAATCGTGAATTGAAATGAAAGAAGAAGGAAGCATTTCAGGCTGACAATTCAGGCTTTCGTCCACGCCAACATGATTACCGACACAACTCCTCTGGCCCGCCTACCCCCAGAAACTCGGATGAATTTTCCAATGGCAGCGTAAATCATATGCTCGGAACGGCCACAGCTGCCGCTGTCCTGGCCGAGCTACGAGAAAACGACATGGACGGAGTAAGTTTTGCGTCGCACAGCTCAGAGCTACAGCTCTTACCCACCCCAGCTGCCCCGCGCCAAATCGATAGCACCGCCCCCAGCATCAGCATTTTGAACAAACCTGGCATCGGCTCGCAACAAAAATATTTCATCACTAAATTCAGCGTCAACATATCATCAATTCTAATTCTTTCATCTATAGGGCTATCATTCCGATTTGGATGGCCGTCGTATCCCGCAAACATCCATCGAGCTCCCGCCGCTCCACCACATTTCCAACCATGATGTCACCAGCGACCCCTACTCCAATCGCCATCTCCCCTCGCTTCTCTCGGGCTCACCACCCGGTCGCTCCTCAACCCTACCGCCGCTGCAGCGCCACCCGGGTCCTAACCGCCCCCGCAAGCACTCTGTCTCCAAACGCGCCCAGGAGGGCCACAAGAAGAAGAATTCGCGCAGCAGCGCAACCGACTGGCTGCGGCGTATCCAGAATGACGAGCTGCGGCCCGGCGACCGCAAGGCCCTATCCGTGGAGCCCTCGACAGACTTTGGCAAGCGTTGGAAGGACCTCATCGATGCTGCCGATCAAGCTGCCTCTGCCGCCGGCGACGCGGACCAGGACCGCACGCCCATGCCGCAGTCGCCCGTATCCATCCATCGCTCGTCCATGCCGCCCTTTCCCCAGCAAAATGTGCAACAGCCCAGCTACCAGGCTTCCCCTCTGCAGCAGGCCCTGACGCCACCGTCACACAACCAGGACCCCGTCGAGCCCTATCCCAGCGTCGAAAGCGGTGACAACTTCCACATGGCCACGAGCGGCCTCTCCGACTCGTCGCCCACCTACTCGGCCCACAACATCCAAATCTACTGCGCCGCCTGCCAGGGCGTCTCCCTGCTGCGGGCTTCGTATGCATGTACCGAGTGCATCTCCGCCGTATGTGCCACCTGCGTCGAGGTGCTCATGGCCGAGCATGGAGCACGAAGGAAGTGCCCCCGCTGCGCCACCATTGGCGGGCGGTTCAAGCCTTTTCAGCTCGATTTTCGATGAAATGCTGCTCACTCAATCTTTGATGAACCCAATGATATTTCTCCATGACACTCTTTTCATGACTTAGACTGATCGCACTGCCACTCTTCTGCGCGGCTACATCTCCTTGGGTCTTAGACGTACAGGACACGGGCTACAAAATCATTTTTACCGGCGCACTCGGAGCCATGATATAACGATATACTACTGCTTTTTCTAGGGCCAGCCCCTGCACTTGGGTTTCCCCTTTCTATTGGGTTCATGGGTTCATGGGCAGAGCTTCTTCTCTCTATGCCTGTCTGCTCCTCCAGCGCTTTGTCCTCGCACCTGTGATTTCCCGTTTCTTCTTCCCTGTTGTGACTACACTGTCCTTTTCACCATTGCCTTCTTTTCTACTTGATAGCTGTTTTGCGGGTTTAGTCCTGTGGCTGCCTCGTCTTCAGCATCTTTTTCCTACAAGATTTTTTTGGATTTCACTTTTTTTTTTGGCTTGGCTTCTCCCATGTCGGTTCTTTGGATTGCGCATCTTTTTATATTGGGCTAGGTATTTTGGGCTTTCCTAGGACACGGTCTTGATCTGGCAAGGACCAGTTTTTTTCCGGTTGGCGTTATTTAACTTGAGCTTGTAGTGACGGCTTGACGGCTTCTTTTGGATTTGTAATTGGTGGCCTTGACCCCTATTCGCTTTACCCCTTGACGGGATTCGATGCAATTTTTTTTTACGCTTTTGGTGTCGGCTGCACAGTGTATTCTGTTGTTAGCCCACCAATGATGAATGAGATTGATTTACTTTGCTTTGATTTTCGATGATGAATCGTGCCCGTGCAATGATGAAATTGCTCCTTTGTTACATCCAAAAGATTATAAAGTACAGTGCTTATGCCTTGACCCAAACGCCATTCCTGCCAACAAGTACGAGTGAGTACCGCTCACTGTATCTTCCCATTCATTACCTCTTACTCTTTCACTCCTCTCTGCCAATATCTCTCATATCGTCCTCACTCTACTTTCCCTTCTTTCGCAGCTCCTGCTGCTGCAGAAGCGCGTCCCTCACCGCGGCCCTCGCATTGCGACTTCCGCCCAGCTTCGGGCCCTTGAGCACCTCACCCGCCGCCACGGCCTGCTGGTGCGCCTGCTGCTTCTGCGTCATCCGCGGCTGGTTGAGCGCCGGACGCCTGCGCTGCCGTCGCGCGGCCACCTCTTGCATGTACTGCTGGCGGAAATTCTCTGCGAGCGCGTCGTCGTTTGCCGCGGCCGAGGCATCCGAGACGTCGTAGACATCGACTGTAAAATGATGGCAATGTTAGTTTTGCGGGAGAAATGGTAAAAGAAGAAAAGAAAAAAATGGGCGGGGATAAGGGGAAGTAGGGTCGTACGTTTATTCTCATGAAGAAAGGCTTCGACCATGGCGTCGCGCTTCATGTCGTCGCTGCCGCGGCGGTTACGGCGTCGGCGGGGAGGGTTCTGCTTGGTGGTATCTGCTGCGTCGAGGCTGCGCTTTTTGCCATTGTTGTTGTTGCTGCTGCGAAGATCGGCGGGGACTTGCACTTCGACGAGCCTGGTCCAGCTCGTCGTCGACGTGCCTGTCTGCACCGTCCCCGGCGCGTTTGTCTTGCGACGCATACCCTCTGTCCTTTTCTCGCCGCCGTCATGCACCGCGAGATTATGCTGCTGCTGCTGCTGCTCAGCGCTGGCGCCGCGACGCGAAGAAAGGCGCGATTCTACATATGCCGTCCTGCGCGGTTAGCTCTGCTGCCCTTTCCTTTTTTTTTTTCTGAGGAAGCCGAGATGGATGAGCGGTAACGTACATGTGTCTATCGTCGGCATCGGCGATGAAGCCCGTCTGGTGCATGAACCGATCCGGCAGGCCCTGCGCGACAGTGGTCGCGGCGTCGCGCAGCACCAGGCTTGTGTCGTCATTACTACTGGCGTGTGCGGCAGGCTCGTTGCGCCCGAAGCCGACACCCCCGCGAAAACGGTGCTTGGTGCGTGATTGCCGCAGCTTGAGGGCGGCCTGCACGGAAGAGGAGGCGTCGGCGGCGTCGTCTACGACCTCTTCGTTGCTGTTGTTGTCGTTGTCGGATACGGGCGCGTCTGGCGCCGCCGCGAAGATGGAGGTGGTGGTGGTGGTGGTGGTGGTGGTATCAGGCGAAGGGTCGCGGTCGCGCTGACGTAGCGTCTTGGTGCGTTTTTTGGCTTTGAAGCGAATGCCTGGTTCATCTGACTCCATGACTTGTTCGGATGAAGCGAGTTGCGACAGATGAGGGTGGCGAGATGAGGGTGACGGTGGGAAGGAAGAAGATGTTGGAGACAGTTTTGAGAGAGAGTTGGTGTATGGTGGGTCTCATTGGTGGGTGACTTTATCGGGTTGGCTTCTCGCCACTGCTTCGATCGGTACAACAGCAACGAATCAAGTGATCATCAAAAACTAACCACGCGGATTCGGTATTCTTTAAAAGCAAAAGAAGAAAAATGGTGAAAAGAGTATGACTTGTAGAGCCCATTTAAGCTAGCAGATTCGTACTCACGCGAGCTCAGGTTTACTTTGTTGCCTTCGGCGGCACTGTGCAGGGTATGTATGAGCGGCGCCACAACGTCACCGCGCGGTGATTAACCGCGTCCAACTTATAGGAGTCGGCTTCCGGTACATCTTCTCGAGCGCCAGCTCTTGTCTCATTGCCATGCCGGCATGCTCATGACTCTGTCAGGTACTTTACACGAAAAAAGGCGCAGGCGTACGGCCTCACAGGCTGGTGCCGCAACACACCCGACAACAAGGCAAGCGCCGGTTCCCCAACGCGAACACCTTTTCTTATCGCATGCTGACGAGAAGTTGTCTAGGTCGAGGGCGAGGTGCAAGGTGAAGAAGCGTCGGTTGATAAGCTCCTCAAGGATGTCGGCCAGGGACCCAGCGGTGCCACCGTCGTCAAGCTCACCCAGGAAACGCGGGACGTCGTTGCCGACGAGGCAGATTTTGCCGTACGACATTGACTGAAGACGCAATATGGAGAATAAGTGTATTTTACACATGATGAACCCAATTCTAGAAACGCCACAACGCTAAATGCTCAGAAAGAAATGATATACACACGTCTTCAACGCCTTAGAAACCACGTCCTCTCCTTTTCACCACCGGCTTCTTCACCGCACCCTGCGTCACAAACTTTTTCCCGTCCGCGCTGTTAATCTTCTTCTTGGCCTGGCTCGCGCACTCCGCCTCGTCCTGGAGCCTCAGCTCCTCCTGCCGCTTATCCTCTGCCATTTTGGCCTCGATTTCCATTTTCCGGTTAAACTCCGTCTCCGTGATTCTCTTGTCCCGCGCCGAGTACCCCTTCTCCTTGATGGAGTAAAACACGCCGCCCATGTCCGCCAGCCAGTGCGGATCGACGGCCGTCACCGTCGACACGTACACCTTGGAGGTGAGGACCAGCTCGTGGTAGACGACGTAGTCGGGCGGGTGGCCCGCGTAGAGCGCCGACGTCGGGTGCAGCTGCACGGGCAGGTTGGTGCGCAGGTTAATGTACTCGCCCGAGCCCTTGTACCGCGCCGCCTGGTGGTAGTAGCCGGAGCAGATGCAGCGGCGAATCATGTCCCAGTCCATGCCGCAGCTGGCGAGCTCCATCTTTTGCATGCGCGCAATGTCCAGCAGCTGCTCGCGAATCTCCTTGGCGCGCCGCAGCGACTTGGAGTGCAAGAAGTGCTTGACGCACCAGCCGTCCGAGAAGCCGTGCGCCTTCCACGCCTGGTAGACTTGCAGGTACGTCAGGTGGTCCGACTCGTGCACCCAGAACTTCTCGCGCTGCGTGTCGGCCTCGTCCTGGCGCTCCTTGGGGCGGTAAAACACGTTGGGCACCGACAGCATCGACACAATCGTAATCATCTCCTCGCTGCAGCCGTAGCGGGCCGCCATGATGAGCAGCTTGGCGAGCGACGGGTCCATTGGGTACGCGCTCATCTTGCGGCCAATTTCTGTCAGCTCGCCGAGGTTGTCGAGCGCGCCGAGCGCCCACAGGTCAAACATGGATGTCGAAATGGTGTCCTGCGGCGGCGGGTCCATAAAGTCAAACTCGAGCAGGTCCTTGACGCCGAGCGACTTGAGCATTAGCACCGTGTTGGCAAGATTGGTGCGCTGGATTTCTGGAATTGTCTGCAGGTAGAGCTCCTCCTTGAAGGCCTTTTCGGTAAAGAGCCGAAAGGCCTTGCCGGGACCTGTGCGGCCGGCGCGACCGGACCGCTGCGAGGCGTTGGCTTGTGAAATGGGTGTGATTTGCAGCGTGTCCATGCCCATCTTGGGGTTGTACACCTTCATCTTGCTGTAGCCCGCGTCCACCACGTACTTGATGCCGTCGACGGTCAAACTCGTTTCGGCAATGTTGGTCGCGACCACGCATTTGCGGACGCCCGCCTCGGCGCGTTCAAAAATCTTGGACTGCAGGTCGGCGGGCATCTGGCTGTAAATGGGCAGGATGCTCAGCTTGGGCGGGTCGTTGAGCGCGTCCAGCCTTTTTTGGACCAGCTCGCAGGTAATCTCAATGTCCTCCTGACCGGTCATGAAGACGAGGATATCACCGGGATCCATAGAAACGTGAATGGCGAGAACCTGCTGCACCGCCTGGTCGACATAATCCTCGACAGGCGAGCGGTGGAACATGACGTCGACGGGGAATGTACGTCCAGGAATGGTAAATTCAGGCGCATTACCAAAAAACTCGGAGAATCGCCTAGAGTTCATGGTGGCAGAAGTGACAATGAGCTTCAAGTCGCGCCGGCGCGACAAAATCTTCTTGAACAAACCAAACAGGATATCAGTATTGAGAGCACGCTCGTGGGCTTCATCCATGATGATGCACGAATATCGGTCCAAGTCGGGCTCGGTGAGAGAGTGCTGTAGCAGAATACCCTCCGTCATATATTTGATTTCGGTGTCCTTACTCGTGACATCCTCAAAACGAATGGAATAACCAACAGTCGTTCCCAGCTCCACGTCCATCTCCTCCGCTACACGCTTAGCGACACTCATTGCCGCAACACGACGAGGCTGCGTACACGCAATCATGCCGGTCTTGGCGTACCCATCCTCGTACAGAAACTGCGTAAGCTGCGTCGTCTTACCCGAACCCGTCTCTCCAATTACAATCGTGACCTGGTTTTCTCGAATGACGCGCAACAGCTCCTCGCGCACCGCAAACGCAGGCAAAAACTCTCGCTGTTCCCGCAATGTCTTGCTGCGGCTGAAATCGCTTGCGCCCTCGGCTTTTTTCATGTGCGCGCTAAATTTGTTACCGCCCTTGCGATCCGCAGTCTCCGTATCCGCCTCGACCGGTGCAGGCAGCGCGCTGTCGCCGTCATCTTCCTTGGCACCCATGATATTGCCCAGCGCGGTACCCGCCAAGCTCGTCGCCTGCTGTGCCTGCTTCTGCCGCTCTCGCTGCTGGCGTGCCTCCTTGACAGCCTTGCTTCCCTTACGGCTAAACACGGCCATGTCGCTCTGGTAGTCCCGGACCGCCGGCACCGGGTCGAGCTGCTTTGTGAAGATGGTGCGCCCGTCGAGGAACGGCGGCCGCAGCTCGTGCACAAGCAGATGCACGCGGGTCGCCTCCTGGTCGTCAAAGTCTGAGGCCATGTCGCGCCGCTGGGCCACGCCCGACACCAGCATTCGGTTCGTCTCCCAGGCGTCGTTTTCCTTGCGCCGTTGTTCCTGTCGCGCGTCGTATCGGCTGGTCATCTTTTCGGCCTGGGCAGACTCGAGCTGCAGCGCCTCCGCGGTCGACACTTCGTAGGACGCAAAGGGGTTGTGCGTCTCGTCACCGAAAGCGTGCCCCCCAAACTCATCCTGCATGTACCAATCCCGGTCTAGCACTTTCCAATCCTCGTCGGGAGGCTGTTGCTCATTCTCCTGCTGGCGAGCCGGCGTTGGCGCATAGCGTGAATGGGCGCGCGGCGTCGATCCGCGTGAGTCTTTGCCGAATCGATTTCTCGAGTGCGCGCCATCCAAGCGGCGTCGCTTAGGATTGTACCCGTCATATTCTTGCTCTTCGCCCATGTCGGAACAGCGGTTCGCTCCAGCAGATGATGTCGTTGAGAGCTTCAAGAGGTCGGTCGCGGCGCGAACGTCGACGGCGAAGTTTTGCCGCGTCCGCTATCGATAAGTTCTAGCCCCGCTGAAAGTTTTGGAATTCGGTGGGAGGGCCCCCACGTCGAGTTTAAAATCTTGGGCTTCAATCTGGAAAAAGACATTTTCTTCATAGATACCCAATCGCACAACATGTCGATGATTACGGCCGCTCAGTGGGTCCCAAGAGGATTCGCTGCGCCGTTTCCGCAAAAATACACACTTGACGAGGCCGAATATGAGAGAATAGCGGAACTCGCTAAGCTCCAGCTCGACGATGCTGAGGAAGACCTCAAGGAAGCGCAAGAGCAGGAGGGCGATGATGATGCAATGATCGATGAAGCACCCGCCAAGGATAAGAAGAAGAAGTCCAAGTCAAAAACCAAGTAGGTATGCCTGAAATTGGGAGAAGATGCCTTGCGGCTAATTGTGCAGCTACAACGACGACAAGGACCTAGAGAAATACGATCTGGACAACTACGACGACGATGAGGAAGTCAAGATTACCGAAGATGTCCAGGGTCTTAGCATGTTTGGCAACATGAAATCTCTCAGCTACTACGAGGACAACAAAGACGACCCTTATATCACGCTCCAGGATGAGGACGATGAGGAACAGGAAGACCTGCAGATCCTGGCTACCGACAACCTGATTCTGTCGGCAAAGGTCGAGGACGAAATGGCACACCTGGAAGTGTACGTCTACGAAGATGCCAGCGACAATCTCTACGTCCACCACGACATCATGTTGCCCGCCATTCCCCTCGCCGTTGAGTGGATCGACATGCCCGTAAGCAACAACGGCAGCGAGGGTACCGACGCCCGCGGCAACTCAGTGGCCGTCGCGACCATGGACCCTGATATCGAGATTTGGGATCTCGACACCATCGACAGCATGTATCCCAACGCCATTCTGGGCCCCAGCGCCGACTCCAACCCCAGCATCGTCAAGCCCAAGAAGAAGTCCAAGAGCAAAAAGACCAACGACAACTACCACGTCGACGCCGTCCTGGCGCTGGCCGCCAACCGCAAGCACCGAAATCTGCTGGCGTCTGCCTCAGCCGACAAGACGGTCAAGCTGTGGGATCTCAACACGGCCAAGTGCGCCAAGTCATACTCGCACCACACAGACAAGGTCTGCTCGCTGGCCTGGCACACGGTAGAGCCCACCGTCCTCTTGAGCGGTAGTTATGACCGCACCATTGTCGCGGCCGACATGCGCGCGCCCGACGCCAAGGCTCCTCGCTGGGGCGTCGAGAGCGACGTGGAAAATGTCAAGTGGAACCCCCACGACCAAAACTACTTCTTCGTCTCGACCGAGGGCGGTGCGGTGCACTACTACGATGTGCGCAATGCGCCGTCGGACCCTGCCGCGAGCAAGTCGGTGTGGACGCTGCAGGCGCACGACGAGTCGGTGTCGTCCTTTGACATCAACCCCATCATCCCCGGCTTCATGGTCACCGGCTCGACTGACAGAACGGTCAAGCTGTGGAATATTCAAGAAAGTGGTCCGTCAATGGTCGTTTCGCGCAATCTTGACGTGGGCAAGGTGTTTGCTGCGACCTTTGGCCCCGATGCCGAGGTTGGCTTCCGCCTGGCGGTCGCTGGCAGCTCAGGCAGCATGCATGTTTGGGATACCAGCACCAATGCTGCTGTGCGCAAAGCTTTTGCTGGGCGCGTACCGGAGCCGACTGGTGATGTAGAGGATCGTTTGGTCGGTGTGGAGGATGATGACAGCAGTTCCAGCGAGGAGGAGGACGAGGGTGGTGTTGCCGCCGAGGGCGCGAGCGAGGACGACGACGAGGATGAGGACGAGGATGATGAGGATGAGGACGATGACGAGAAGATGGAAGAAGATTGATGTTGCAACATCTACTATATGGATTTTTTTTTTTTGGGTTGTGGAGTGTTTGGAACATGAAAAGTGAATTAGCATTCTGAATAGACAAGGGTTATCCCCCCATTGCGCAACTCGACAATGTAATGTCCATGGCCTCTCGATACCCGGGTCTGCCCTTCAAGATATCACCGACGGTCAGGAACGTAATCTCTGGGTATCCCACCACCTCTCTATCGATGTGTACCCTTGCCACGCGGTGCAGGTTGCATATATATCTTCCCGGCAAACACACGTCGTCCTGTCCGCACTCACCACCACCAGTATTGCCGTCCCACGCGCTCTCCTCCACCAGCATCAGCCGATCGACAATCAGCGGCAGATGCTGCCTCTTTCCGACCTCATCCTGCCCCATGCCCAGCGTCGCCACGAGCGAGCTGCGCAGCACCGCCGCCGCTTTGCGCCTCAGCCCCGGCGCGCGGCACTTTTGCACGATAAAGTTGCAGCTCGCGTAGATGCTCGGCGTCGACAGCATATCCGTCTTATTCTCCACCGCGGCCGCGGCCGCGGCTGCGGGCGCCAGCGCGGCCTCGAGACACGTCAAGGCCGCTGCAAAGTCGCGCACAAACGGGTCCCAGCACGTCTCGCTCCAGCACGGCCGGCAGCGGCCGATGGGCACGCGCAGCAGCACGCGGACGAGCATGCGGCGCAGGTCCAGCGCGGCTATGTCAATGTCGACGGCGCGTCGGTGGGTGCGAGTGCGCACGCGTCTGGTAAAGGTTGCGTATCGCGCCTCCCACGCCTCGAATAGCGGCGCAAAGGCGTGCCGCTGGGTGTAGGCGGTCGTGACGTCGTCGGTGGTGGACGTGAATGGGAACGCGTCGAAAATGTCGTGCACGCTGTTCCACACCATGTCCAGCTCAAGGCATGCACGGAGCGCCGAGGTCAGAGGCTGCCGCTGCAGCGCGGCCAGGGCGTCGCGCCACCGGAGCATCGGCAAAGGCTCGCTCGATCGCGATGGTCGCCGAGGGCTACTAGCGTCCGGCTCGGCGGCCGCCGTCTCGAGGTGAAATTCTTGCGCGACGCGCTCCGTCTTGACGTATACGTAGAGTATCTGTGTAGCCAGCGCCGACACCGACGGCACATCCAAGCACTCCCAAAACGCCCACTGCATGACCAGCCGGCGACTCGTCTCAAAGAGCGCCACAAAGACGGCCTTTTCACCTACACTTACCGCATAGCTGGCGAGCAATATGCTCGCCAGCAGCACGGTTGTCTGGTCGCGCGGCTCCGGCCTCTGCGGCTCCGCCAGTGCCAGCGCCGGCGTCGCCGTCGTCTGCAGGATATGCCTCACCGCCGCCGAGTATTGCCGCGCGCCCTCGCGATCGACGAGCGCGGCGGCGTCCGGCTCCAAGCCGGCGCGGGGGCTGCGGGCCCAGGCGGCGCCGGCCAGGGCGTTGGTGGCGTGCCAGACAGCGGGCACGGCGCGGGCGACCTGCGGCACGTCGCGACGCCAAAACGTCGTGTTGAACTCGTCGGTCGCAAAGGCGGAGATTTCAGCGAGAAAATACCGCCCCAAGACGTGCTCGGCGGCGGTCGGCACAACGGGCGTCGGCTGCAGACGCGTGTCCGCCGCCAACGACGGGGGCGCGGGGGGCAGGCGGTAGCCCTGGCAAGGGCGCCAGGAACTGACGCAGCGCTGGCAAGCGGGCCGAGCCTCGTCGCATTTGACGCGGCGGGCGCTGCGAAAGTATTAGTGTTTGACGCATGGTAAGGAACGGACGGGGAAAAACGGGATGCCTCGGCCGGGAAGTTTGGCGTACCGACATGTGAGACAGCCGGTCCTGGTCCGGGGCGCGAATCTTTTGCGCTGCGGCTGCTTCCGGCCATGGTCTGGTTCTGTTTCTTGAATTACGGATGTGGCGGGCTTCTGCAAGTGGCAGACAATGGTGGTTTCTGCCATGATGATCTTCTGCCCTGAGGAGGAGCGCAAGATCGTGTATGCCAAACCCGTTTGAGCGGTGGTGGTTAGCGGCCCGCGATTTAGCGACAGCCGAAATGTCAGGGATTATCGGCCGCGGCCACGCTTGCGAGAGAGGCTAGATCGCCGGACACAAATCTTAAAAGTGGCGATATCAACGATAAAGTCTCAGGCGATGACAAGCAATGTGTTCAACTTGGCCAAGTCACCCGAACCGGGAACGAAACGGGTGGGGTACGAGGAGTCGATTTCGATCCTAGCAGGATCATCTACCATCTAATCGTGACGGGATCAGACGGTTCCAGAACCCGCGCGCCGAAAATCAGACTTGTAGGCTAAAATAGTGTTGAAAGTGGTGGGACTTTGCCGTTGCGTTGATAAGGCTGAGTGAGGGCTGGACTAGCCACCCGTCATACGAGAAGTTCTATGACTGCGTGTCCCTTCAGGCCAGCCTCGGCAACGTGCGTCCGATGGCGCTACGCCAACCAGGTGTGTCTGACCAAGACTTGGAAAGAACAAAAAAAAAAGCCTTGTTGGCTGATGTGCACATCTTGCAAGCTCGAGAGATTCCGAATCGGCAGAACAAATCGCATCTTTGAAACAAACCTGCACGTAGGGCTGCGCAGCGTGAACGAGACGCTGCTCACTGGGGCTGGTGTTCTCCACCAGTCTATACTCGTTCATCCTGCTCAGTACAGTATTTCCGGTTCTTTATCATCTATCTGTGCCAATGAAAAATATCGTTTGATTACACAGAAGATCGCAGAGTCATTGGGTGTTTTCTTCTCGGGCTTCTAGAAGGCTGCCAAAACGAGTCGCATGATCAACCGGGGCTCAGACGCCGTCGCCCCATTTCAGCGGCATCGTCTCCAAAGTTTCCAAAACAGATATCCGATATCAGACTCTTGTAAGCTTACAGAAAGATAACAAGACGGTTGCTTGCTACGCCAGAGGGTGGGTTCTGTGTGAGTGGCCTTTGTCACGACTCACAGGTGGTCAAACCGCTGGGCGCGCCGTCTGTATGCCTTGATGCCTTTGTTCATTAACACTAACTTGAGGAAGAGCAGTAGACAAGTGCCCGACAGCCTTGTACAGACTTCAGGCAATCTCTTGCGAAATTAGGGCACCGAAGGAAACTCGCTATGTTGGCTCCTCAACAGCCAAGCAGACTCAGGAAGAAACAGCGTGCGTATCACTGACGCATGTCCCTCTCTTGATTTTCCTAGTTCGTTGATGAGAAGGATAACTCAAGTTATACCTATCCGACCAGGTAACAACGGCTTTTACTTAACCTTTGGCGATTAGACACTGTCCGAAGAAACCACTTTCATCCGCACTCCCTTGAGCGATCGCCGCTTCCCCTTTCTTGACAAAAGACTTATTCAGGGTCGTTTGAAACCCTGGACTCGAATGAGTAGTCTCACGTTAAATAAGGAAGTCGAGTTTCACATTGGCGGCGCGGCATAGCCCACCTCCCTACGGAAGTCCCGCCGAGGCGGGGACGGCCGGGATCCGCCCGTTTGAAACAAGACGCGACGGTTGTACTCGGGCGGCCCGAGGTCTCGACCATGAATTGAACAAAGTAGTTACAGCAATGCTCTACTGACAACAGGGGAAAGAAATGTGACGTCAAAAGACGGATTTTTGAAGCAGAGACAAGAGGGACCGTTGATGCGATTCGTTGTACATACACGAGCCCTGACGCGCGACAGCCTTCGGTGGTTCATGCCGAATAAAAATAGAATACTGCTGTCTTTGCCAGACCAGGGGCGGGTCCACAGCAGAATTTAGGCAGCGGTTTGGAAACGATGGCAGGCCATGTTATAACAGCCATGTTGTTATAGGCGAGGCAAGGGTATCAATTGATGATGGGAAGCCACCAGTATCCGTGGTAGCTGGTAGATCACTTGAGTGCCCCCGTAATCAAGAGAATGCTGCGACAAAACTTTATTAGCTGTGGTTGCGGCATGGAAATGAGCAAGATATGGCGACTTATTCCCTCAAACGCAGCTGATCTGATCATTATTGATATCATATTGTCTTTTGCAGAACAGCAAAAGGTCATCAAGGCCACTTGTACGCCCTTGCATAGATGATTCGAGCTTGCGTCCTAGATGCAGGCAAACCGAGTTTCCCGGCGAAAGAGTAGCGCATTGCTGTTGACGTCGTAGTTACAATGATGAGGAAGAGGAGCATCTTCTCTTTTTGCAGCGTACAGTCAAGAGGCTATCGAATATCGAATACGGAGATGCAAGATGCGGACCGGCAACGCGGAGAGTATCTCAAGCGAAACTTGATATGGTTCATCACGCGAGTTGAAGATGATGCGCAGGCTCATCATACTGGCCTGCTATTGTTGCTGGAGTCGAGAGATATTGGAGGCGTGACCCATTACTACTGCCAACATGGGTATATTTAGGGCAATTATAACGGTCAATGGGGACGCTTGACAGGGCAATATTGCCGCCATTAAATCGAGACGGGCGACCCGCTTGGGGAATTAAGCCTGTCATGACCATTCAATATCGCCCGTCTTATTAAAGGAGACGATCGCCGGATGGGGTTTCTGCCCTCGGTATTGGTAAATTTGCTGGGGCATTGAAGACCCCTTCATTGCTTTTTTCTCCCGGCTACCTGCCATTTTCAGAATTCAAGTCCCTGCAGAGGCCGCGATAGGCGATAGAGTAACGTGAGAAAGCCATCAAGTGTCCCTGACTCGTTGCACTTGCATGTATATGTTTCAAAGCGTGGAAGGTACTGTAAGTAAGTACTTGGTTGTTGCCCACAATTTTTGGTACAATACAATGTATTTGTCTGCAAGCTTTCGATACGCAGGCAGGGAGGTTGAGGGGCAAACAGGAAATCGGGGGCGGTCCGAGCGTTGAACATGGGAAGACTGAGTTTGGTGCTCGTCTCGTGGACTCGATACTCCGCGGTGGGTTGTGATGATTGGTGATCAACTTTCGATGGGAGCAAGAGGCCAAGCTAGAGTGGTGTGCGATGAAGATGAGACGATTGGTTTGTGCTGAGCGGGGAGGATGGGCTTGATTTGGGACAAGGGCGCTTACGCAGGCACACACAGTCACACACACACACAACACCCTAGACACTAAAATGAAGAACATGTACCATGCATATGAGTTTCACATACAAAAGGTACAAGCCGCACTCGGCACTAGCCAAGGTTGGGCACCTGAAACCTGTGATGAACAGGGGCGTGTTTTGGGCTGGCTCGCATATGTACAAACAAGGCATCATTGGACGACGGCAGTTAATGGGAGCAGGAGCAAAAGCCCAATGCGACAAGGCATAAGCCGAAGAAGGGGGAGGAAGGCAAAGGGCGAAGAGGCGGGAACCGGGGAAGGCGACACGTCAACATCTACCGAGTAGGAACAGAGTTTCGGAGGGTACCTGGGAGCTGACGCGCAAGGCATTGGAGCATTTTGCGGCCGAGGGCGAAGTTTTACAGTTTGCAAGCGCCGGGCATCAATAATCAACGTCCACAATTGAAGCATTTTTCCCTGACGAGTCCCCAGCATGAGTTCGGAGGAACAGGGCAAGAATTCTGTGGGTTTTCTCTGCAGGGGGGGGACTGGTAAAAGGCGGGCGTGGTCTGACCCTGGCATATCGAACATCGGAACATGTCATCAGCACCTGCGCGTTTAATTGATTTTTTCTGCTTCTCCGTCAGCATGTGAGAAAAAGAGCAGAGACCATCCCCCCCCGGGATTCGGGCCGCTTCCCTTGTTGCCCAGTGCGTGCGCCCAGCGATGTCTTGCTCTGTGCGAGTTGATGCTAGCCGTTGGGGCCGCACAGCAATTCCAACTCCGTCAATCACTCGCGATAAGAAATTAGCCATTAATCAAAGGCTTTGAAGTACATCCCCTTTGCAGCGAGAGAGGCCAAAAAGGCCGCGCAACAGGGAGGAACAGACAACAGAGGGCTAGACTCCACTGCTTGTGCGAGGCCGATACGCGATTGGCCGCTTGGCAGCCAGCTAGGGGTTGACGACACTGGTTTACCCCCCAGCCGGTGGCACCTTTACGGCGTACCAGTAGGCGGGCGTTGGACCTGATTGGCGGATGGTGGCGCCCTGGAGGTACTTGCTGGTAATAGAAGGTAATGGAAAAGAAAAAAAGAGGAGCGAGCAGACGGACAAAAAAAGTCTTTTTAGGGATGAATCGGCGTTGTGAGTTATCAGGAGTGGACTTCCGATGCGAGGGCCCCATTCGGGTGCCTGGGCCCTGGAGGCCCTGGGGCTAGACTGGTGGAGTCGCAGCAGTGATTGGCTGTGTTTGGGGCCATGGTGGATTGGTCGTGAGGCTTGTGTGGGACCCCACGGCGAGCGACAGGTACCAGCTGCCAGTTCGCGGTGTGGTGCCCAAAGTCGACCACTTTAGTGTACATCCCATTAGGCTGTGTTTCCCTGCTTGGAATTTGTACCTTCGGTGGGTGTGAGTCCGCGCGCGCAACGAACCAGACCGATTCAAGCCATCAAGCCATCTATGTACATCTGTGTTGATGGTTGTGTGTGTGTGGTTCTCCAATGTGCACTTGTCCCCTGTTTCTCGTTTCCTCTGGTGCCCTTCTTTTTGGAGTGACTGGTGCTGGTGTTCCTGGTGGATGGATCTAACTACCGCCTTCCTGCATCTCGCCCTCCCTCCATTGTCTCTGCCCCCCTCTGTTCGCCAACTCTCTTTTTCTCTTTCCTTCACATTCTTTGCAAGAACACAGTCCTTTTCTCTCTTCCTTTTGCAAAACGCTGGTTTCGTCCTGGTTTCTTCACGTCCGTTTCTTTCATTGACGACGTGCTTTTTCTCTCCTTTTTATTAGTCTGCGACTACAATCCTTTACGCTTCACGCCACACTGCACCACCTACCCATCGCCTACCACAACACGCAACACAGCGCCGCCAAACTGATCACAGCACCAACATTTGTTTGCGCCGCACCCGATCCTCGTGTCTACGCCCTCATTTGAAAAAATTTGCAAAAGTTGCGACTCGCTTCGGATTCACTCCTTGATCCAGCTCCATCACTTTGCATCGTCTCCTGTCAAGTTTTCTCTTCCGCCGCCACCTCGCCACGGACAAACGTTCTGGTCCAACAAACAAACAGCCGACGCTGCTTTTTCACCTACCCGCACCTGCCAGGTACCAACACAGACAGCGCTATCACAGCCAAAAAAAAGGGAACCCGCACAAGGAAAAAAAGGCCGCACCCACCCACCGCGCTACTCCCTTTTAGCCCTCCCGCTTCAATTTGCGACGAAAGGGAAAGAAAAGAAACTCTCGGGATCACCCAGTTTCACTTATTTCGCCGCTTAGCCCTTTATTATCCCTCTTAGCTTTTATATACAGCTTCTAGGAATCAGGATTTCCAGAAGGTCAAGGTCAATATTCAGCCTCGCCCGCTTCCTCTGACAATCCTGCTCGGCCCTTTTCCCCGCACAACTCTGTGCTGACCGCCGCACCTGCTCAGTACGACACTGCCCGCTTGATAGCCCAGCCAGTCACCTTCCGCGTTGGGAAGTTCACGACCACATCCTGCTGCACATTCTCCTGCGATCCCGCCAATCTATTAACGCTTTTCTGGCCGACGCCCCGTTTCGTGCCACTTTGCGCTGTGCAACGTTTCCTAACAAGCACTTGATCAAGGACTTTCCGTTCTTTTCGTTTCCGCACAACGACGCCGTCTCACCTCCAGGTCACAAGGCATCAGGTACTACGACCCGTGCTTGGTTGCCTACTTGCACCCTGTCGCTCCACAACTTCACCTGCTGGCCTGACTGGTCATCCGTTGATAATACAGGCTGATTGCCCACCACCGTTTTCCGGCCGCGATCTTTCTTCTCACTTTCAACTTGCACACATCAAAATAGACTCGCCATGTCTCTGTCGCGAGCTTTTACCACCTCGCGCCGCAAGCTCGGCCTGGATATCGACTCGGCTCCCAGCTTTATGAAGCGCAGCAACACCACCACCAAGACACCTCCATCTCGCCCGAAGATTTCTGCGCCCGTCGAGCTCATTCACACCACAAACATCCTCACGTACAATGCGCCCGACCTGCCTCGTCCTTATCGCAGCAACTCGGCCTCCTCCAAGACGCCCGACTCGGACACGGAAACTTTTATGACAACCGACTCCACGCCTCCCACCAGCCCTGATGTGTCTCCTCATGAGCGCGACTGCGCGTCGCCTACGCCGGAGCCAAACCATCTGTCCTGCTACTTCCAGACCGCTGGCCGGACTAGCCTGGATCCTGCCGCCCCCATCATTCCCAAACGTTCGCCATCGCACACCAAAAAGGCCAGCTACGAAGCCCTCGCTCGCAAGCGTTCCTCTCGCCAGTCGCGCGACTCAGACATGTCGGCCTCTTCACGCCCAGGTCTGACTTTTTCACGTGCCTCTTCCACTTCTACACGTGCCTCATCTGCCTCGTCTACTCTTGCGCAAAAGACACTCCCTGCTACCCCGCCAGCCAATATTAGCAAGGAGTCGCATCCTTTTGGCCAGGAGCTTGCCCAGGTTAGCGAGCTTGCTGAAGAGTATGGTGTTGGCAACAAACTCAAGCCCATTGACGAGGAAGAGGAGATGTACCTCAGCTCCCGTTGCCTCTCCAAGTTTAGTGCCAACGACTACCTAGGCATCGTCCATGGCCTCAGCAGCTCTTTTTTCCCGGAGCACACTGCGGCCCCCGCCCCTCTCTGGATTTAGCTTCCTCAAAAGGACAGGCTCGGCAATTGACTTGCATCTTCGGCTGTACATATTTGATCACATACCGCGCGGAACCCATTCGCTAGGCGAATGCTCATCTGCACGCTCTTTACTTTCTCTTTTCATTTTGCGCAGCTTCAAGGGACAACAGGGACACGGGATTCAATGACAACAAGGGTAGCGATTGAGTGACGCCATGATGGGCTTTAGGTCCTGTCTGTTTTGAGGCAGTCGTATGGTGATTTACGTTGAAGGCGTTTATAGACACAGGGTCCACCCACGACTACGGAGCAAACTTGACACATGTTCTGACGATTTCTTTCGATTTGTATGGTTACTAGGAACGGGCTCAGTTGATCTTTGCCCATGGCCACGACGGCATTTGAATTACACTTGCTTTATCTTGCTACCTTGGTGCATTCCAATGTGATGTGTTGATTGAGTGAGGTGCATTCTACATTCTCTCCCGAAAAAGGTTAGACATGCCATAAGCTCTCTAGACCGCAAAAAATTCAGGTCAGAAAAGTCGGCGCCAACGACTGAATAAGACAGAACATGGACAACATTATAGAAGCCCATACAGAGATGATGTCCACGGCGTTGAAGGCGAGAATGGCAATCACACAACGCCACTGCAAATGGAGAACCTACCTGTCGAGGGATGAGACAAAATCATAGACGAGGTCATGGGCCACTGAGGAAGAATGTCACAAAACGACGGCTACGGTATTGAAGATGGGATGGAGTAGAATAAACAAGGGGACCACCAAGGCTCGAGCCCACTAACAGTATCCCATACTCAGATAGAATTGGGGCCCGTGAGGTACCCTCTACTGATTAGAATATGACAGGAAAAGTGGGCTATATACTTTAACTGTCGAGTTCTAAATTTACTTAGTTAGAACCCTGACCTGGAGCCATGCCCAAAGCGACTCCCCTCATTAGTAACGACGTCACAATGGGGCTCGAGTTGCCCAATAAGACATAACATGCAAACAGGTCAGTACTTGCGAATGCCACCGGCTACTGATATTTTGCTGCTACAACTACCCGAGCTTATATCCTAGCAATGTGCCTTTGTTGATTGTATAGACTTCTATCTCCAGTTGACTCTCTTCAGCGGCGGCCCGAACGCAGAGGAGCTGATTCACTCAGACGCGCAGCAGGTCCAGCACTGGCCCTAGCAAAGATGTTAGCCCGTTTTTCCATGTTTACCTTCTGTCTGTTGACCTCGAACCTACCTTTTGCTCGGCGTCCTTAACATGACTGCATTAGCAAGTTGCTTTTATTTCAGCAAGACCAGTGGGATTTGCGAAATGATACTTACCCAACCATTGGGGCAGCTCGGAGCGCTCGGAAAGCACGCCTTCCAACAGAGATCTGAGCGAGCTTCAATGGGCGTGGCTATGGCCAACCCAGAAAGGCCAGAAAGAACAGCGACAGCGAAGATTGACCTCATGTTTGATGATGTTGTTTTTTTTGCTTTTATTTCAGTGCACTGTGATTATTGACCGCAAAGTTCTTGGAGGCCGGTGTCAGATATTTATACTTTTCCATCAGATCATAACACAGCAATGGCTGTAGTTGGAGCTGAGGACAATATGTAACACCTGCATATACGAGAGACAAGTGATGTTCCCTTCCGTTCTGGATTACGCAACTAGCACAATTATACTGAGTGAGATGAGTAAATATCGTATGCTAGGCTGGTAATGGTAAGGAGGGGCGACGCACCTCTAAGGCTAAATGTATATCACTGGACAGGGGTTCGAGTACATAACAAAGGCATCACACCCAGTATCTATGTAGCAGCAACAGCTTGCTGCAACTGTGTCCTTTGAAATACAGTGTATTCTGCGACCGCAAACGCATAGAATCTAGCCATTTTATTGAGACAAGGGCGGGTGAGAGTTTACATATCCACAAGGCAATGATTGCACTAGTGAGAAAAATGTTCAATGCGGCCAAAGCATGCGGCGGTTTCTTGCGACGGTGTATATTCCAGCAAAACCGGAAGATCGGCAACGTCAAGAGGCGCTGGATCAATAGCGCAGCTGGAAAAGCAGTTCGCCCACGCCCACTTCGCTTAATGCCCCTCTGGGCCACATTGCCAGGCCGATGAACCGAAGTCCCGTCGTGACAGTTGCGGGGCTAAACTTCAGCGGTTATTAGGCCAGGCATCTCGCTGATCGCGGATTGAGCGGGGAAACCCTAGCTTCACTGTCTGTATTAATATCCTGGGCTGGGGTAGTTTTTTGGTGGACTCGCCGCGTAGAAGCCGCAGCGGAATTGGTGACTGCTTGACTGCCTACATATCAGATGGAGCATGACGACGCAACGGCATGCAATACAAGTCATAGTTGGAGTAGTGAATTAAGTTGCCAAAGCGAAACGTCTGATGTATTCGGGAGTCTGCCTCGCATGTCCGTAATTCGACCACGTTTATGCCTTTTCTGCATCACCCTGACGAGTTTGCGCATTATGGCCAGCCTGCTCACACAGACCACATCGCCGAACTTTCGTCTCATTGCTAGGCTTTCGTCTTCTTGTACTCTCTTTGACTAACATGTGCGACCGTGTCTTTCGCCGTCCGCTACAAGAAGACATTCAGCGCTCGCTGGAACTGCAGTCATTACGTGTCGAACTCATCAATCACCACGCATTGTAATGATGTTTCTATCAAACGACCTGCCAAAATGGCTTGCGCAAGGCCGATGGTCCGTTTTACATTTTTTCCTGTGGCCGCCATTCTCGCCTCGAGTATCGCTGGAGGTTCCGTCATCGTCATAATTCTCGCCATCGCCGTCATTTCCGCCATCGCTGTCGTCGCTGTATGTCGCTACAACTGCCCCTTGTCGCCATCCTCGAGTCGAGTCTACAATGCATAAATTGACTCTAGACCGCGACGGGGCTAAATGTTCCGAACCATGCATGCATCAATGACACTGGCGGGTGTCATCCTCACATCCTGACGGGCAACGGCCCCCATTTCGTGGCTGGCTGGGCTAAGACTCCGCGCGGCACACTCCCATAGCTAGCACAGACACAGCAATCTGCGTTGAGCACAATGACCTGGCGGACCGTTTTCAATTCCCAAGTCATCATGAGTCATGCGCTGTACCATGATGTAGCACTGCCTTTACTGCGACAACTTACCGCACATAATTCAGGGCACCTCCGATCTTGAAAGGCTGCATGTCACAACCCAGGTCCGTCATGTATCATGTACGTGCGTCGTCGTCACGCGATGGCAACCTTCCTCTTTGGGCCATCCCGCGCTAGGTAGGTCCGAGTGATCGAGGACCCCTGCTAGCGCTGGCGGGTTGGTGCGCTAAAACTGAAGCAGATCATGCTTGTTCGCTCCAATGCCGACGGCGCTTGATTTCGTATATATCGCGCTTCTTTCAATGTGGCTTGCTTAAGGTGACGTGAAAATAAAACGCTACAGGGGCTTTTAATTGGCAATCATTTCGCGGGCCGACCGCATGAATAAGATGTGTATATTGTCGTGTCGTACATGTCTTGGACGGAACAATTTCATCACCCGATAGCCGCTTTGATCAATGAAATAATTTCTTTGGGGTGCTGCGAGCTCCCATGTGTGCACCTCGTTGGCTACGTGCCTATAAATGAACCTCACTCACGGTTAGTAAACAGACATGATACGCAAGGCCAGGGCTGGAGCAGGGCAGCAAATACCGAAAGACGGCAAGCAGAGAAAAGAAGAGAGAAAGTCAACGTGTCAAAAAAGAGAGTAACTAACGACAGACAAGCCAAATCTTTGTGTCATGTTTCAATAGTCAACTGACAGCCTGCATAACTGCAATACCATATTAGGCTTGTTTGATATTTAGAAAGAAGGGTAGAAAGTAAGGTCATCTAGGGCTAAGGAGTATCTAGCTATATATCAACAAGATATACTCAAGGGCGCGAGTTCCTGATCTTAAATCAACCAGCAATCTGCTCTAGAATCTGGTGGCAGAGCACTTCGAGGTCTGCTGTAGAGTCCACAATTATAACATTGTCTTGTGGGCGGCAAGGATGCTGAATCCAGCGACGGAAGAGAGCCCGGCCATCTTCGTCTCCGCCCGCACCCCGAGCATCGAGCTGTGCTCCAGCTGCTCCCGCGGCGGCCGCGGCAGGGGGTGGTCGATTAACGCCGGTACGCTGGCTCATCATGGGATCTCGAGCGCGTAGGCGTTTGTCCAGTAAATCTATGTCATCGACCCTGCACTCGATGTACCAGTAGGTGTAGTTGTGCTGGCTGACGCAGGCGGCTCCTTGATCGAGGACCTCCTGGAAATTGCAGGTGCTGTCGATGATGACGCTGAGGCTCTGCTTCATGACGTCCTGGGCGAGCGCCCACTGCAGATCGTAGGCCCCCTTTGCCGCCTGGTCAAACGGGAGCCTGGCTTTGAGAAAGGCGGACCGGAGCACGTCGTGGTCGATGACCACGGCGGTGATGGCGCGTCCGAGGAGCCTGGCTACCGTGCTCTTCTCGGAGCCCGGCGCGCCAGACATCTGAATGAAGAGCTTGCGTGGTGATTGCTGCGTGGCCATGTTGCTGGCCTCTGAATAAGAGGCAAGCTAAAGAGTGTGTCCTGACGCGGGCGGGAAGCTGACTTGAGAGGCGATATATGCATGGAGAGGGGTTAGAGAGAGAGTAGAACTGCGGGGAAGAACGTAGCTGAAAGGGCAGCGGGCGTCTGCCACTATATACACAGCGCAAAAGCTCACCACACGTGATTAGACAGACAGGCTCTCCCTGGTGTGAGAAGGCAGAGAACCAATAGTCGGATGAAATTCTATCTGACCTAAATAACCTGTGTCCTCCCTTTAAGGAGTGACCTAGTTATATGACTTGCCACATAAGACGATGTCTGTTGGATTAAACGACATGGTTGTCGTAGAAGGTTATTGGTCTGTAATTCGTGTTGTTGATTGTTATCCTACAAGTCAGGCCTTGACAGAGACTTCCAGCACGCCATAGGGCAAGTTCTCGTTCGCTTTTTGGGACCTGAACAGAAGCCGCTGGATCATTGCTGCTCCAAAATTGGGGCTTTCGGACCGTGAAAATGAAGCAAAAGCACGCCACGATTGCGCTCAATGTCTAGGTTAACACTGAGCTTGAGCGCAACAATGGGATGCGGTGGGTAGCTATTATGGAGATTGGGAGAGCAAATGCGAAGTAAAGATATAAGAAGAAAAAAGAAAAGGGCAAATAAAGAAACTTGCAACTTCCTCAAATCGAGTGACAGGGTTGGTGTGTCACAAGAGTAGCTGAGCACGTTGTATCGTTTTGCCAGGACAACAAGTGACGTAGCTGGTAAGGCTGTAACAGGCTTCTTGACGCTAACATTAAATCAACTAGGGAGAAGAATACAGAATATCGAATTCGAATGTTGATGCATATTGAAGCTCCCGCTAATGCAGTCCAATAAAGGAGTCGAAGCCCAGCTGCGTGTCCATGTCGAAGTCCATGCAATCAGGGCCTGTAAAGTGATGATTCGTTCCCATGCTTCCCTTTGAATCTCTGGCCCATTCATGTAATGTCCCAATCCACGAGCAAAAAGAACAAAAAAAAAAAAACAAAAGATATTCACAAAATTATACAATGTCTATTCCCAACGCCTCGCTTCTTGCCGCGCCCAACGCTCCATCAACGTCCGCCCAATGGTTCCACCGACTTGACCAGATCTGTTATGGTCACAATCTTATACCCTTGCGCCTGCAGCTTCGGCAGCACCATGCGCAGCATCGGTGCTGTCCATTCCCTCCGGTCGTGGCAAATGATGATGGCGCCCGGATGTGCCATGCTGAGGATGTGCTTTGCGTTGCGCTCCGGGTTGCGAATCTGCGGATCGTGCGGGTAGATGCTCCCCAGCGTGATGCGGTAGCCGCGATTCCCGAGCATATCGCGCATCTTTGTATTGAAAAACCCAGACCCCGGCCGAAAGTAGTTATTCGGCAAAATCTTGCCCTCTGCCTCGTACGCCGCCACGAGCTTCTCCTTGACCTCGCCCACTTCCCTCTCCAGCTGCTCCAGGCTCAGACTCGTCGACGGCACGTCGTGCATGGCGTGGTTGCCGAGTTCGTGGCCCGCCGCCACAATCTTGCGCAGCGTGTGCTCCCGGCCCTCGACCTGTGCGCCAATGACGAAAAAGGTTGCGTGCACGTCAAACTCGCGCAAGACGCCGAGAATCTCGTCGGTGTGGGCCGACGGCGCGTCGTCGAGCGACAGCGCCATGATCTTGTCCGTGGTGGTCTCTTCAAAGAGCACGTCGGGGTAGCGCGCGCGCAGGTAGCCGAGGAGAAGGGCGGGCGGCTTGTAGACGCAGTAGAGGGAGTAGAGGGGCAGGAGGAGGAGGACAGCGCCGAGAAGGGCGAGAAGGACGAGGGTGGCCATGCGGTTGCGGCGGACGTGCCGCCGGAGCTTGGTGGGCAGGCGGAAGAAGGGTATGCGGGGCATTGAGTGTGATGTATGATGTGTGTGTGTGTGTGTGCGTGAGAAGTTAACTGTGTATGATCGTTGCGTCGAGGTGAATAAACGTCGAACGCGGTCGAGCGTTTGCAATGGTATTGGGTGTCGAGTTTCCTGCCAGCTAGGGGTATCGAGAGCTGTCACCACACCATGCTCTTTTTGTCGCGCAGTCGTAAATTGCCCAATCAGGTATCGCTTTTCTGAAAGATAAATATCGGATCGGGTTCGAATCTCGCGTTGGGTAATATATCGAGTCGTCGTAATTCCAACTCGTCTCCCTTTCAACAAAGTTGTTGAGAAAAACCTCCTGGTTCGTCTTTCTTTTTGGCTTGCCGTTTTTTAGGTGGAGCCTAAAAGGGATCGGGAAGGGTGGGCGGCTCCATTGCCTGGGGGTTCGGCAAAGCTACCCAGAGACTTAGTGAAGCGTAATTAAGGTATGTCTCTGAATTGTAACCGTGGGGTTTGTGCATCCTTTAAAATGCGGCTGCATGCTATGGTGAATCTAGAAGAAATTGAATATGCAAAGGGTCAGATTGGGGAACGAAAAAAGTAGGGAAATGCGGCCAGATCCTCATGGCTGCGACGGGGCCCGGATGGGGCAGATGACAAGGTTCTGTGCCACTGGTAGACGATGAAAGTTTTTCTTGCAGCATCTTCAGCGTGAAAAATGCTTCCATGTCGGAAAATTTTGGTTCCAACCAGCATAAAGACGACAGAAGATGGCATGACCAACTTGCTTACGGCGGGCAGTTGCACGAAGCGTGTCGGTTCGGCACCACAGACTGTCGCCGCTTTGTATTACATACTGCAGCGAAGAAACACCTGGCTGTCGGCGACAGGAGGTCGATGAGTTCAACTGTGGCGAGCGAAGCTTGCTATGCAGCTGTGTAAATCCCGCCATTCTTTAGCTTCATCATACCATCACTGGCCCGGGACCGGGCGGATGTACGCAGTGAGCATTCTCATCATTCTGTGGGGAAGACGATTAAATAAACCGTCGTTACGCGGGCCACTAGCACCCTCGAGTGGCAATTCAGCGTTCAATGTGCGTGATTTTGCTGCCGTGTCGTCACCGGTTTAGACTTCCGGTCTGCATCTACGGGTAACGGGGCAGCTGGGCCGATCGTAGCCCGAGTCGATGCGCCACCTCTTCTCCTCGTGCGGCGGCATGCGTTGTTTATACCGCAAGAGAATCAATTCAAAGTATCAGAAAGATATCAGATAGAATAAGCTACAATAAAAAGTCACAAGAAGAAACATACGATATTTTGTCACAATGATGGTCAAGAGAACCTCTACTACCATGGGCATTTACAGTTTGCTGGTGAGCCGGTATCGGAGGGGCCGCTGCGTGCCGCCCCGCGTCCTATTTTTTTCGAGTTGAAAAGGCGAGTTAGCATTATTACGCCTAGAGAAACAGCAATTGTTCCCCAAAACGAATTCAGGGACCAGGGTTTGGCGGATGCCAAAGGTGATTTATTCATAGTCCCGAGCTGCGTTCTTCGAGATGGTGTGGCCAGCCTATATCCGCGGCGGCAATAAATAGAAGGAAAAGCAACAAGGGAGCAATGCAAGTAGAAAAAAGCGCTAATTTATCATCAAGTATTCGTCAGAGGTGGGAGGATGAGAGTCGTTTCGGCCGTGTATCAAAGACGAGTAAAGTTGACGTGATACTGAGACTGTGTTAGTTTGGGCTGCATCGTGTAAGAGGAGGACCAGGGTGCAACTTACCAAGCCTAATGATTTGCGGCCGCCACGAATATGATGAATGTTGCGATCAATGACTGCGCATGTCAGCAAATGGAAAAGAACAAGAACAGAATAAAAGAAAAGGCGGCTTACGCATTCCTTCTCCGCGCTGTGCAAAATGGGCATCTTTGCTGTCCCAGCCGATGAGCATGCCGGCCGTGATGCCCACCGGAGGCGCGACGCCATCATACGCGACCGGCAGCCACTGACCATACGACAGCGCGTGGTAGCCGGGAATGGGTTCTCGCTCAAAGCATTTCGAGAACGGCCTCAGACGATCCTCGACGAAGCCCGGATCGGCGTCGCAAGCCGTGACGATTTCGGTGCAGGGGCTGTTGAGGGAGGCGGCGATGCTGCCACGGAGAAAAGCGCGGTCGCTGGCGTACGTGTCGGCGACGGCGCGAAGTGAGTTGAGCCAGCGGGCATACGAGGGCGAGGCGAGGAAGGCGTCGAGAGCTGCACCGGTGGCCCAGCGGACAACCCAGACCCATTTGCGCGAATCCTCGAGCTGGTAGCCGAGATACGAGGCGCGGGCGCCGGGGACGGCCTGCAGCTTAGCGGCAACGTCCAGAAAGGCCGAGGGCGGCGCAGGTGGCGAGTAGGGCGGCGAAAGATCCGGGCGAAAGGTGACGATAGAAAGTTGAGTGACTTCGCAGGTGGCCATGTTGAATGTTTGTGTAGAGGTGATAGTATAAAAAAAGGAAGACAAGTAGGTAGGAAGAGAGAAGGAGAGAGTAAAAGTAGAAAGGCGAAAAGATGGAAGGTGGGGAGGTGGGTGGGTGTTGCTGAGATGGGAATGTAATCAGCGAAAACTCGCCTCAAGTCGGAGATTTGTATGATGGGGGATCAAGGGGAGATTAAGAGGAAGAAGCACAAGGAAAAGAGAGAAGAAAAGAAACCAAAACGGTCCCTGGTGCGAGTATGGAGATGAAATGGGTCCTCGTTCCTTTGGCAGCTTGGGGATCCTCTCTTGTTAGTATATAGTTGGGTCGGAGAGCGGAAAACGGAGCGAGGCAAAAGGGGAGGCAAGAGAGACGAGGCGAGGCAGGTGAGGAAGGAGAATGAGTGGATAAAAAGGAGTCTCGTTCTTGACGCTACTTTGACTTTTATGAGATATTTCTTGTTCCCATTTTCGGCCTGAAGAAGAGGTCAAAACAAAAAGTGCCTTTTCGTTTAGATGGAAACCAGTAAGCCGTCCACCTGCCCGATTGGCGCAAAGCCTCTTTTTTTGGGGCGAGGGGATTTCGGATTTTTCCCTCGTAGTAGTAGTAGCAGAAAAGCAAGATTGGCACTCCCAGGCTTGGTTCCGGTCTTCGGGGGGGGCGTGTGGGCGGTCCGGAAGGGCTGGGCTGTGTAAGGTAGCAGGGACGGACAAGGCCTGTGGGTAAGGGTGGCGATGGGCTGTTTCTATTTATTTTTGTTTTTCTGCGGAATTTCCCTATCTTGTAAAAATAAAAGGACAAACTCTGTCGTCACTAAACCAGTACTCTTTCATTTAGGCACCGTTTGGTGTGTGCGAAGTGTGTGGCAGTATACCAGCGTTTGCTTGGCGGACCAGCACGTGTCAAGCTTGCAGTGCCGTGATACATGACGAAGAACAGACGATAATATTCAGGAATCAGCTCTTTCTTTTTAACAATCCCATCACTTCTGGTAGCCTTCATAGCTACTGTTCATATGCTCTGTTATCAGCAGGTTTGTGGTCTTTTCTTGGCCGTTTTCTCGCTGCGATTCCGCACCTCGGCCTATCAATACTCCCACACGGCGTAATACAACCCTCTTACTACCTATGATTTCCCTCTACGTCGCCGCCCTTGGTCGCACCCAGCGAGGCCGATCCCGGGGCAGAGCCACAAGCTATTGGTGGAGATGCTGGTGGTAATACGTTACTCTCAGGGTCGGTGCTCGTCTGTGTGTGATCAGTCAGTTTCAGTTTGATTCTGAGTCTAGGACAGAATTATAGCAACCCGATCTTATCCTTGAACCATTGTTGATCGATTTACTCGACTTGTTGCTAGGCGCATTCTGCACGCTGCACTCCGTACCTCTCGCAGCCTACCCTCCCTCACCATATTAGTGGGTTGTGTGTGGCGCCAGACGAGGAAAAAAAAAAGGCGGCCACCACACCAAGAACAGCAAAGAGCCCGCCCGCCCCCGGAGCGGCTGTCGGAGCCGGGCAATTTTTTCTTTTAATTGTGGTGGTTGGCAGAAAATTACCAGGTAATGATAACTCTGTCTGCCTTACCTCTCCCCCCATAACGCGTTAGCGCGACCGAGTGAGCCGAATCTATCCTTCTCTTGCCATCCCACCCCCGCCATACCAAGTACATCGCCGACATGCCCGCTCTATTTTTCTGCAGGGCACAGCTCCTCGTAATATTTTAATTTCCGAGTATGACTGCAATGAAACGTTATATTGTTTATGCTGCAACGAATTGTATCCTGTCATCACCTCGTGGAGAGACATATTTTTGCCTTGTTTGTTTGCTTTGCCTTTGCCAGCTGCTACGTCGCGTTGCCAGCTGCCAGCACAGGACCCACGCTGGCAAAGAAACGTGCCAGCGAATAAGCTTGCTGGCTGTTCATGCGCGCAGCACGCACAGCCAAACGCTCTTTTCCGACGCACTGTCGCCGCAGCAAACTACTGCAAGCCTGTGCTGCATCATCAGACACACTGCCATTCCAGCCACGACGTCATGCTACATGCAGGCTTCAACAGTCATTGATTCTCAGAGCTTTGGATTCGCGCCATGTGGCCGAGTTGACTATCAAAGATGACCAACATGGGATAAAATCGAATTAGACTATCTATAGGTAGTCATAGTTATCCGTTGTGTCCGCCCCCTCCACCAGTTCGTGGGCTCATCCTGCTGCTAGGTCACCCCCTGGTTACGGCCTAGTGCCATCGACCACAACGGCCACCACGTCCAATATCATTTGTACCTACTTTTACACAACACCAGTTCTTCTTCCATCGCCAGTACCATGGCTGGCCAGCATTAAATCGCTCGCCGATGAGGTGGTTCAGGCAGGGGGAAGAGATGTTTTCGCGTCGCGGAAATTCGACCCCATCAGCTGGGGGCTCTCCGTTCGCCAAGAAAAACAGAAGAAGAATCAGAATCTATGTCAAAGACACCAGCATTCAATCGGGCCTGTCCATCTTTACGATCCTTCAGCTGGCCCGAAATGTTGAGGCAACAATTTCCGATAGCGATAGTCCTCCGCGCGCCCGCAACCTCTTCGTGTGTTAGCCCGTCAATTTCATCTCTACCGCCGCCGCATACTTCTCCAGCCTTTCCATCATCGTCCTCGTCGTGACCGCCACAATGCCGCTCTGCATTGTCCAGGCCAGAAGAGCTACCGTCTCGGTTGTTTTGTACAGCCTTGCCATGCGCGCCAATGGCTCTCGCAGCGGTCTGTCCGGGCATATGAACAACGCCACTGAATACCGTTCCCACGCAGCCAGGGCAAATTGTCGTTGCCATGCTGCAGGTACGGGTGGTGCTCGATCTGGTTGAGCAAGGGGAGATCTCGTGCGGTGCGCAGCGTCGAGTCGATGCGTGGACGCAGATAGCTGCTGATGCCGATGGAGCGGGCCTTGCCTGGCTCCTTTGACGCCTCTGTTGGCTGTTCAGGCGCGATACAGATCTTTGTCTGATATGGCGAATGTGCGCGAAAGAGACTTCTTTGTTGCCGTCAGTACGCCACCACGTCGGTCTGGTGGGCGGAGAACCACACCTACAGGCCAGAGTTTTCAAGCCTCGTCGAGCTTCATCTTGGCATTGGCAGGCTCCCGTCAATGGCTGCTGGACTGTCAGGGATACCTTGACCCGTTGGTGACAAAGAGTTTCTAGAGTGCACGCCGAATGCTTGAATATCTACGCCCACTTCCTCCCCGTACTGGATTCCCCTTCTCTTTGAACGACCCGGTTCTGGTGCAAAAGGCAAGCTATACAATTGTTACCAATCTGCGCAGCTCAAGTACGCGTCAACAGATGCATCTGGTGCATCACCGGCGAAATACCCAGAGCTGTGGAGAAAGACTTCTGATTTCAATGGGTCTGAGGGTATGACGATGAAAAAAAAGAGATGAGGTGGCTTTGTTGTCGCGGATATCAGAGGCTGGACCACAGCGGCGAGCCCCAACACCGATGCCGGTTCGCCCCTACCGGCTCAAACATGTTCCCAGACAATGTCTGGACGAGTCAATTGACAAAGCCGAGAGCGCACGAGTTCTATAGGGCGCAATGGGCTTGTGACGTGTTTCTTTCTTATTTGCCCTCAATATTAGCGCCCAGTGTTTTGTGTGACCTTGGCTGTAGTTTGGCGATGCTGCAAGCCCCATGACCGGTTCATATGTTGGTGGAGCATCGCACAGCAAGGTGCATTTTACAAGAGCAGACTGTGACGTTAAGAGCTTCGCATTTCGATTATGCATCGGCCAAAAATGTGCAATGTTCATGTGCAATGTTCGGGTCAATTAGTCAAGCTATAGGAGGGAGCTTTAGAACCTGGATCCTAGCATTTCTACTCTGGTGACTCGACTTGGCCGTGTAAGTGCTCGCTGGAACTCCACACAGCGAAACTGGTGAAGAGGCTTTATTCCTGTGCTTGGGGGGAAATCGAACGAGGCTACAGCAACGCTCGAAAGCAATTAATCCTGTAATAGATAATACTCCTCCCACGCTCTCCTGATCGCGGCTAAGCGGCGGTTGCGCAACATTTGTCGACCTCCTATCCGCAAGCACTGCCTCGGTAGACTGCTTCGACCTGCGCCTGCGGCTCGTTGTCAGTGTGAGCTTGGCAATCGGTGTGGCTTCTACACTTTTTTTTTTCATGGTTTCAACCAAATGATGGGCCATTGCAAACGTTCTATAGGCAATGGGCCTGTCTATCAGGCAGGTGTAAGGGAAGAGGTAGGGGCCGTTGTGGCAACTGAGATGCCGTCTGTCCTGCCGAATTTTGGTAGCAGCCAGACATGCAAGTTGGTTGAATTTACACCTGCATGCAGACTCATCAATTGTTTGGGATTATAGGGCGCCGGCTATCGGATTAATGCCCGTGAGCTGCAATCGTAGCCTTGCCCACATCCCGAGATTTTGCTCACACAGCGTCCGGTCTGGTTTCTTTCTTGATGCCCCGTCTGTCGAGTTGAACGGCTGTGAGAATCCGCCTGGTCCAGTGACGGTCCTTTGCGCTGAGGCCAAAATAGTCAGATAATGAAGTCTGTTTTCCCAATACTGGGTGGGAAATCCAATCTTTGAATGGACTTGTGGTGTGGACTCGTGATGTTGGACCTTGCGCATCAACTAGACCTTCACAAAGAAATTCTCAGAATAATCATGTCTAGCGGTAGTAAAACGAAGTCAGCTTTTGCGCAAAGCACGGCCATGTAAGCAAGCTGAAGTTGCTCTATGAAAGTTGCTAGCTGCTGAGGACCCTGGTAGTTGATCCCAGGTGCATGGTTAGAAACTCGCCATTAATGATAGGATATACCGGGTAATTAGGTGTCAGCCATGGCCGAGATGGGGCATGGAAAGTCTCTATGCGGCTGGTAGAATGAGCCCGAGGCAAGAGTTGACGTTGCTCCCTTGATCACCAGGCTACTATTACGGCTGAATCCTCGTTGAGAATCTCGTAGGTGATGCACTGGAAACCTTTGCCGCCGATTCAGGTGGTAGTAATGGCTCGCAAAGGACCGATGCGACGCCACTTGCCTTGCTACGCAGACTCCAGGGCTCCATGCGTTTCTTTTTCCTGTTTTTGCTTACACGTGTGCCACGGTCGGCCGCATCTGTCTTGCTGCTTGGCGGCGGGTTTGCCCACGTTCAATGGTGCGAGACCAGAGGCGGCCCGAATACAGCGCCGGGGTTTTGCGACGCCACGAGGAGAAAAAATAACTCAAGTCTGCAAGGAGCGAACAAGGAGAGATTCTGCGAGAATGCGACGGAGGGGAAGAGTTTGCAACTTCTATGGCTTCTTCGTCATTGACAGCGCTACACGTTCGCTGGTGCCACCGTCCCCCAGACGCCAAGCTTGCGCCGAAAACAGGCAGTTCCACTCTCATTTAACTGACCAATATTTAACAAACTATATAGAATACCCTTATGGTACCGTTCCAGCTGGGCACCGAGGTGCTGGTACTAGAATACGAGCGTCAGGAACAACGAAAGCAATGCAGAACATGGATGGAATCTGCCGCGTGTGATATATGGCTATCATTGTCGCAGCTCCAACTCACGGCTTTCCAGGTATCACCAGGGTAAGGTGTCGGGCGCCCACAGAGGATATCCTGATGGACAAACGAGCGAGTCAGGGAGGCGCTGAACAATCTTTTGACGACCCCGACCCTAAAAAGCTTATTTGAAAGGACCCCTGCAAAGCGCCCGTTGGAAAACGACGATGGTGGGACCGCCGTTTTCCCCAATGTCCTCGATGTATATCACGCTTGTCACTGCTCTTAGCCGGTGAATCGCGCACACAACACTTCCTGGGGCTGGCAGCGCTTTTAGACAATTATCGTCATTGCTTTTTCGTGTTCCTTGTCAAAATCGGCAAGTATTTCGGTAAATATTGTCCACCTTGGCCTCATATAGCACTCGTGGGTACGGTGTACAGACGCGGGATGCCAAGCTTTCGTTAGGCTTCGCGGGGCGTCTTGGCAAACTGGGGGAGCTCGCGGGGGTGGGAACGCGGCATTACCACCTAATAAAGTTTGGGGTATCTACAGACGTACAAAGCTGAAGACAGGTTGAGTAACGAAGGGTCTTTCGTTGAATCATTTCCATCTGAGTATCATGCTAGCCCCTAGTCATCAACAATACATCTCTTTCGGTCCTCTCGTCTCACCAGATTGCTCTCTCCGCATATTCTACCCGCCAGTCCTCCGTATTTCGTTCCTTTCATCCTCTCCATGTGTATTGCGTCGTGTGGGCGCCACGACTAATCGAGGGAGAGAAGTTGCTCTGACCGCGACACACTCTAGGCAAATTCTAGATGAAACTGCCTCCTCTTCTTAGTCCCCCCAGATTGAGCCAGCTGAACAAGGCTACATTGTCCCCCCCCCCCTCCTCCAAGAACTTTCACGCCCCAAGTAGCCCTATTTCCCCCCGGGCACACGCAGAGGAGGACCCAACGATGGAGTTTGCGGCCTCAGCCACATCTTGGCTAGATTACGCTATCCTCACTGACGAAGCGTCCCCGCAACTTTAATATATTACTCTGCTTGCTAAAGGCGTTTTATGCACAGGGATGGGCATGTCTCAACTTTGACTTGATGTCAGCTGCGACGGTGTCTAGATCATGGCTGACCCAATCAGCACAGGACCTACCTGCCGCAACCATGCCGTCGATGAACAGAGGTGTTGACACGTCAGGTGAGCGTTTTTATTGCTATCGCTGCGTGGCTTTTCCTTCAGCTTGGCAATCGCTGCCTTGCTCGTACGATTTCTGGAGGGGGCCTTCTGGGGCCAAGCTTGAATTCATTGTCTCTGATTGAACTATAAAAGCTCGCCGGAGCGTTACATTTTGACCCGATGCCAGGTTTTCCCAGAAAATTGTGTGTTCACGCCACCTCATTTATACCTCCTGATTAGCTCTCACCGAAAGAAAAGGGCTTACTACTTTTTATTTTCTGAGCCATTTGTAGCTGGCAAAGCTTATCACGCAGCGACTCTTTGATCATGGCTCAGCCGGCGAAGCAGCAAAACGAGCCGATGGTCGTTGAGGAGGAGTATTCGCAGAAGCCAGTCCCGCAGGTTGAAAAGGTCGACTACTCGGGTGCTCATGAGAAGACTGATCCCAAGGAAATTGCCCTTGTCAAGAAGCTGGACCGATGGATCATGGCGAGTCCCCAACACTAAAACCTTTTTTTTTTCTTCACAGCTAAAAGCGGAGGCTAACGAAAAAGACGTATAATAGCCTATGCTTTGGAGCATGTATTGGCTCAACTACCTCGATAGAAATGCGATTGCATTAGCACGTCTAAACGATCTCGAAGATGATCTCAACCTCACAAGCACACGTACGTTGGCCGTGGGCGTCACAGTGCCTGTCGTCTTTGGCATGGCATGATGCTGACTGGGTCACTCCTAGAGTATCAAACTTGCGTCTCTATCCTCTTCGTCGGTTACATAATTGGCCAAGTCCCATCTAACATGTTTCTCACTCGCACTCGCCCGAGCCGCTACATGGTAGGTTCTGCAGACTACATACCTTCTGCCAACCAACTAACCGTTCTTAGGGAGTAATGATGATGCTATGGGCCGTCGTGAGTGCCCTTACCGCCGTATCCAAAGACTACGTCGGTCTTCTCCTCACGCGATTCTTTCTCGGGGTCACAGAGGCGCCCTACTATCCCGGTGCGGTCTATCTACTCTCCATCTTTTATACGCGCAAGGAAGTTGCGACACGCATTGCTATTCTCTACACGGGAAACATCTTGGCAACTGCTTTTGCCGGCCTGATTGCCGCCGGAATATTCCACGGCATGGACGGCGCTGCTGGCCTCGCTGGTTGGAAATGGCTCTTTATCCTCCAAGGCGCCGTCACATTTGTCGTTGCCATTGGCGGATACTTTTTGTTGCCCGACTTTCCTCTGACTACGTGGTGGCTGACCCAAGAGGAGAAAGATCTGGCGTACAACCGCATGGAGCTTGATACGGTCGCTAACAAGGGAGAGACGAGCACATGGAAAGGCCTCCAGCAGGCTGCCAAGGATCCCATGGTGTGGATATTTTGTGCAATGGCGCACATGCATCTTGCTGCCAATGGATTCAAAAACTTTGTGAGTTTGACGCGAGGCTGCTTCACACGCCCCTCTCGCTAACACCACTATCCTCTTTTAGTTTCCAACTGTGGTCCAAACCCTCAAGTTCAACACAACCATCACCCTCGTGCTCACCTGCCCACCGTATCTCATTGCCGGCGCCATTACGATCCTCGTGTCCTGGTCCTCGGGTAAAATGAATGAGCGCACCTGGCACATTACTATATCCAAGGCTGTAGCCGTCATTGGCTTTGTCTGTGCTGCCGCCACTCTCAACACCGTCGGCCGCTATATATCCATGGTCATTTTCACGATTGGTACGTACGGCGTCAACAGCCTCATTCTCGGCTGGTGTGGTAGTGTGTGTGGCCAGACAAAGGAGAAGAAGGCGGTTGCAATCAGCATGGTTACCATGATTATGAATGTCAGCTTCATCTGGACGCCGTACCTGTGGCCAAAGAGTGACGGCCCGCGTTACACCATTGCCATGGCAAGCAGCGCAGCGTTTAGCATCGCCACGGCGATGCTAGCATGGATAGCCAAGCTTATTATGCTGAGGCGTAATAGGGCGCTTAGAGCTAGCGACGACGAGACTACCAATTTCTATGTCTACTAGCTTATAACACTTATATTAGGCCAAGTATTTAGATCGAATTGACCTCTGGAAAATAGCGTGACTGCGTAGGGTATTCCCAAACCCGTGCCGCCATATGTTTTTGACGAGAATGCCGAACTTGAGTCAAGTTCATAAAATGCGTGACGTCAGCGATGGCGCCGCTGCGAAGTCGTATGCACCAGTCTCGAAACCGCTCTCTCGTTCTCCCGACCATGGGCGGCTCGGTGCTGCCAGTGGAGCGCGCTTAATGTGAGCCCATTTCCGAATACACAATATGATGACGCATAGCTTACTTCTTCCATGATTCGCGCAGAAGCTCACATGCGTGTCTCTGTTATGGCGGATCGCTTGCGCGGATCCGCTGTGGTAGCAGCTTGGCGCCGTCGGTCGCTCGGCTTAGGCAACTAGCATAACCGAGGATCGACACTAACACTGACTGTTAATTGTTGCGTAAAAGTAGATGCGAAATTAACGCCAACGCTATCAGTGAGCTACGCTTTCCTTAAATTCATGTTCTAGAAAGTCTGCCGGGATTTCGTGCAGGAAGTAGCCTTGACAGTTTGATAGCAGCATTGCCGCCTCTCCAAACTCGAATGCCACGGGCACTGTAGTAGGCTCCAGCGGCAGGCCGGCCTGCTTTTAGGGCACATGTTTTGTTGTGTCAGGCCTAGGCGGAGGTTATTGTATAGCCGGCAAGCCTGGCAGCTAGCAAAACTACGATATTAGCAGGAGTTTAGTCCTATAATATATATAGCTAGAAAAAATCAGAAAAAGGAAAAAAAAAAACCAGCGACTTTTCTAGCAGTCTGAAAATGGCAGCGGCAAGTATCAGGTTGCGGGGTTAGCTCGGATCGCTGCGCTTCGATAGGCCTATAACTGAATAGTTCTAGTTTATTTTAGGTTATTTCTCTTTTAGAACTTAAGTTTATAA